CCTTTGCACAATCACGTACATAGATGAGGTATACCATAATAACAATAACAATTGCTAAAGAGCTTCAGTGCGGTATGGTTTCCGCTAAACAGTGTAAAAATATTAAAACCGAGAGAGGTAAAAATGAAAAAGCCTGTGGCGATGATGTGGTAGGAGGCTAGCGTCAAGTGCCGTCACTGCTATTTTTCAACGGCGGCATTACTTTGAAGTTCACGGCGTGGGAGCGAAAGCGAGAGCCGCGTATGAAATTTTGTATATATACGTGAGGTGAGAGTAGAGAGAAAGCGAAATAGAAATAAGGTGCATACCACATACAAGGCATAAAGAGAGAAATCGATTCTATATTGAAGAGAGTAAAAAATGAGTGGCGGGAGGGTATATATCTATATAGCCTCACCCCATCGGGTCAGGTAGGTCGGATAAGGTGAACGATGTTTATAAATAATAGGGCGATGGACAAAAAAGTAGGCCAACCGGTAAAGATTGAAAAACTCTGTGCTTGTGTAAGCTATATAATCGAGTAAGGGCGAGCTTAACAAACGTTCACAATTGCTCGAGTAAATAAAACGCTTATACTGTTGACCCTGTGAGGAAAGAAAAAAACCCGAGCGAAAGACTGATAGGAAAAAAATGTCTACAACTCTCTAAAATGGTTGTGCACGCACTATACCTGTTGTGACAAACCGCAGACATGTGCAAACCGTCAAACGGGCGTCTTTTGAAGTTGTTGTTTGTGTTAGGGCGAGAAGGGAGCGACTTTCTCACAACGCATTTCTCAGGCCCGTCGCTTGAACAGTTCGATTGTGGCGAATCATTCGACTGCGATATCACATTGCGTATAGAACCGTCGGCCATTCAATACGCTCGTCAATCTAACTCGTCGTGTATTTCCGTCTCTTCTATATTACTCTGCTATCCTGCATGCGCAGCATTGGGCAATGCGGGGGCACGACGCCCTAATTGAATCTAATGTCCATTGCCGAGTTGTCAAGTGCCTCATTCACTGCCCACTTATTGTCGCTGTTCCAGGAGTATAGAAAGTGAGGTAAAAATTCATGTGGCAAAAAATCATGCACAAGGAATGACCTTAAAGAATAAGTATACTTAAAACTTTAAAGACCGAATCGTAGGCGAATATATAGAGCAGCAAAAAAAGACAATCGAACAGAACCTGGGTACGCAAGATGTCTGTCAGCAAAGCCTCTCTCTTTCACAGTATGTATACACAAAGCGTACACTTTATACATAGGCACGTATATACACGTACATGCATGCATTCATTGCTTTCTTTATATTACCACTTTTCCTTTACTCTCTATCCCTCTTTCTGATCACTTCAGCGTGATGGCAAGTCAAAGATAAACCAGTGACAACGGAATGTTAACTATGGTCGTGGCGTGCGCCTCGCCTTCGAGACCTTCCGTCGCCCCATCAATTTGGCCTTTGATATGAATGTCGTGAACTTTAGCCTCTTTTATCTCATAAAGGCATATATACAGTATATATACAGTATATATATATATACTGTATAAATTGTACATATATTTTTATGCATATCGTATGTATACTATAAAGAATATGAAGGATCGTTTTCATCAATGCAAATATTTTACTTATTTTGGTCCGATTATCATACAGTATGCATATTCATACACAGTTATATTGATGGTCCCATTCCCTGTCGGCCGTTGCGAATCTATACGAATGAGGAAAAAGCCGCCTCGAATATCAGATAAAAACCCATTGCCGATGGCGGTTGTAGTTTGCGGATAATATTACGAAATGTTCTATTTACGAGGTGCAGGCTGAATGAATAATGCTTTATATATACACACTTTTATAATATATACAAAATATACTGCGTAAAAGTATTAATTCATAAATTTACGTAGGATGTATTAAGGCTATTCCATTAAAATAAGACAAAATATAACGTCAACAATACAATAATTTATCGTTATATATGATTCAAAATTATTTTAAACCTAACTATCTTTTGATTAGCCTATTATTAAATTTATAAAGAATTTTTATAGACTTGCTTCTGCCAAAGGTAAAGAATAATAAAAAATATAAATACCCTTCTTTTGGGGGTGAAAAACAACTTACATAACCCACGACATCCGATACCCCGTTGAGGTCAATGCGGTGACCCGAACAGTTGTTGCCTGACCTCATTCCGCGTTTGCGTTTAGTTCGGATTAGCATTTTGATGGAGATTAGCATCTGGCTTGCGTTAACGTCGCTCGTTTGTCTTTTGTTTCGCCCTGGCGGGGGTCAGTACTGAGGCTAAGTTTGAGGCGTGGTCGGTTAGACGCCCTCTGATCTTGTACGAGTCGAACTTGTTATATTTCACCTTTCACTACTAGATAACTCCATTTTTCGATTTTTAATATAACTTTTATGCAAAAGAACATTAAATTGATAGTCAGAATTCTAAAATGATTAATATGTTGTATATATATAACTCTAAAATTGTACAGTAAATGTATAATATACTGTATAGTTATATAGATATATATATATATAGTATTGATCTTTATTGATTAGGTATGGAACGCCGTTCTTCTCAACGTTGAAAGCCTTGACATGTGGCCGCCTCCTCTCCTAATTAGTGCTTACGCTAATTAACGCGCTAGCTCACGCACGTGCCGCGTGCTATGGTGCACTTGCTAATTAATACGATTATATACGGACGGTTGTCGTTTTATTTTTTCTTCTGAACGGCCGAGGGATGATGGAAAATTTGCGTGAGGCTGGGAGGAGCTATATGTAGTACGTTATAAATATATACTCTCATTCTCTATAATCACCGAAAGCTGATAAGTGTGACGCACCGCCAATATTTCAAATACAGCGAAATTACAATTAATAGCTTTCTCCCTGTCCGCGGCTACTCTATAATACAGTATATAACATAAATCGTGTACTACGATGTCGTCTATAAACGCACTCTTTCCGGGTGCGCACAAGTAAGTATTGCTAAAGGCAGTTAATAATATATACGCTTTCCTTTATATTTATTATTGCGTAAGCGATTTGCATATAAATACTCACGAACACTTAATTCCTATCTCTATATACGTATGCAATTTTTTTGGCAGGGACAATGTAGCATCGTTTCCTATAGACTAAAAATATTTTTATTATTAAATATGCTTAAATTTAACAATGTATAATAAATTAAAAGTCATTTTTTTAAGATCTAACTTTCGAAGGTATCTACGAAACTGAATCAACACTGTGGCTTCTAAGTAAACGAAGGTGTATGGTGTTGGCAGAAATTGGAGGCGAAAACAATCAAATTATATCTAGGCGGAGTGGTGAGGCGCATAATGCCCCTTGTTTTCATTGAATTATATATTCATATAGTGCATGTGCTCGTAAATATGTTGTTGTTATGAATATTTTTCCTATAGATGTTAAATCTATTTTACTTTGTTCTTAACCTAAAAATGAGTGCATTTAAGGTAGCAATATTAGTAAACATATTATATAGACAACATTTTGGTTTTAAAAGAGCATATAATTGTAATTAACGCAAAAAGCAATTGAAAAAGGCGTCAAAACAGTTATAAACGACAGTTTGATAGCCGTTCGCCCGAGGGGAAGCAATTAAATAAAACATAGTACTTAAAACATTCCGAACGTCGCGTGCGAGGCACACTCTAGAAGAGGAGGCTTCAGTCGAAAACACGCCGTTATGTAGCCCACAGGCTACTATATAGACTATCCGTTGACCATTGTGACGTCAAAGCCTTTACACTTTGTAATTGCGCTGTCAGGCTTTTGGGCACTCCTTTCCCACGGCTGTTGACAAGCTAAGTAATTCGTCATCTTTCAAGCGAGATGCCTGTCTTTCATTCTTCCTTTTCCTTTTCCCCTTCCTGTATGCACATCGATATGTGTATTAAATTTAAATTTATTCACATAAAATTTTTTCCGGATGAATGTAGAATTTCAATCAATCATACGCTTTAAAAATAGGAAATTTAGTTTATAATTAAACTTCTATTGATCATATTATAAAGAAGGTCCAATTAGAAGTTATAGGAGATAAATTTCTGCAGAACCGCTGTGTGCACTTACTCATATACTACATTTGCGCATGCTCGATCGGAATTGGGTTAAAGGTCGAACAACAGCTGAGAGGTCGCACAATACCGGCTGCTGTATCGAATTAAACGCGTACCATATAATCTTGCCACTCGGCTTGTTTAGTCACGACAAACTCTCGCAAACGCACTTCATATAACAGTTAATAAACGTTCCATTTATATATATATATTTATATATATAGCTATATAGATATATATTGATTATATACATCATATCTTTTGGTTGGTAGAAATATTAATATGCGATTCTTACATATATATATATATATAGATATATACATCTATAAATGCTACTCGCAATGTATTGTACATTGCATGTAGTTATTTAGTGACTTGCTTAAACTACCATTTTCCTTACAAGTTAGTAAAAGGCCATTTTTAAATGAAACCAAAGATAATCATATATTAAGAAAATAAACCCAAATTTTGAATGATGCATTTAAAAAATAATCAATTGAGCAATAAACTAAGAGCAAAATATGATAGAAGATAAGAAAAGATAAGAAAACAACCTCACCTGGAATAATTGCAACTCTTCCATTTTTATCCACGACTGATTTCCAGCCTCTGCGTTCAAACATAATTGACGCGCGCTTTTTAGAGAAGACTTTTTGTCGTATACAGTAGCTGTATGGCAGCCATTTTGCCCCGCCTCGCCCTCTAGCCGATAGGGAAGCCAATTAATATTCATAAGATAGGTGACCAATGAAGAACGAAAGGTAGGTGAATGGCAGTGCCCGTAGCGCCCTCGCATTCACCAGGTCCCGCCCCTTTCACCCCAGATTGCCTTATATGGAAGTTGTTTCCTAGGTAACGACGAAGTCTCGAGTACAGTGTCAAAGTTCAAACATGCGAGCGCTTTCATGTGGCGCAGGCCGCGCCAGTTGGCTCTGTTGCCTCGCACCAGTGTATGCATGGACATTGCCTGAGTATTATGGCTATGGCGGCGCCGATTGTTCAATCGCCTTTGAGCGGATGGCCAACGCCGAATCATCCAGAGACAAATGGAGATACAAATGTTGGAATTGATATACAAAACACTCGTACAACGGCACCAGCTCCTCCAGCTCCTCCACCTCCTCAACCTCCTCCTCCACCTCCTAAACTAGAGGATGCTGCCTCTACGGAAGATGGGGATAACAATAATAAATCAGGACAGACTATTGAGTGCGTCGTTTGTCAAGATAAATCATCAGGAAAACACTATGGTGTTTTTACGTGTGAAGGTTGCAAGAGCTTTTTCAAACGATCCGTTCGAAGGAATTTAACGTATACTTGCCGCGGAAACCGCAATTGTCCTATTGACCAACACCACCGTAATCAATGCCAATATTGTCGACTAAAAAAATGCCTCAAAATGGGAATGAGAAGAGAAGGTAAGTCACATAATTATTAGATTTTTAGAATAGCTTTTAAAAGCAAGAGCCTTTTTTAAGTTATTTATTATTTTACTATAAATTACAGCTGTTCAGAGAGGTAGGATTCCTCCAACAGCCCCACCTCCGTTTCCCGGTCAGATGTCCTTGCATAATGGTGACCCATTAAATGGACACTCTTATTTGGGCTCCTTTATCTCTATGCTTCTACGGGCAGAACCTTATCCTCCTTCTCGTTATGGCCAGTGTATGCAGCCCAATAATATTATGGGTATTGAGAATATATGTGAACTGGCAGCGCGTTTGCTATTTTCTGCCGTTGAATGGACTAGAAATATTCCATTCTTTCCTGATCTCCAAGTAACTGATCAAGTTGCCTTGCTCAGATTGTGTTGGAGTGAATTGTTTGTGCTGAATGCAGCTCAAAGTAACATGCCTCTACATGTGGCTCCGTTGCTGGCTGCTGCTGGACTTCATGCCTCTCCAATGGCAGCTGATCGAGTTGTCGCCTTTATGGATCATATACGAATATTTCAAGAACAGGTTGAAAAGTTAAAGGCTCTACACGTAGATCCTGCAGAGTATTCATGTTTAAAGGCTATTGTCCTCTTTACGTCCGGTAAGTAGTCAGTCTTTTCGTCTCGATCTTTATCTATTTCTATATACTCGCCACTTGAAACTGATAAACGACCTATTCTACTTCGCTTTCCGCTATATAAGTATGTAGAGGGAAGGTGAGGTAATGATATTCTGTATTTTGATACAGAATTGTTGGGTAATCATTATGTATCGAAAACATAGTACGATCTAAACTCATAGACCTTTCTAAAAAAAGGCTATTCACCTAGACCATGTAAAAAATTTGAAGATTTGTTGCTTTTCGACACCTTTTTCCAAAACGGCTGGATAGATGTCGCTTGTGTCTAATTTCCGATATATTCCAAAAGATGGCGCTATATCTTGCGGTTAACCTCACCAACATCGCTTAGTGTCTTTTTACAGTAAATTTGTGGTAAATAAATCATAATTCGAATTATGTTTTACAGATGCCTGCGGTCTATCTGATCCGTCTCATATCGAATCGTTACAAGAAAAATCGCAGTGTGCTCTGGAGGAATACGTTCGTACTCAATATCCAAACCAGCCGACAAGATTCGGAAAACTACTGCTACGTCTTCCTTCATTAAGAACAGTCAGCTCACAAGTAATTGAACAATTATTTTTCGTCAGGCTCGTCGGAAAGACGCCTATAGAGACATTGATTAGAGACATGCTTCTTTCCGGCTCTTCCTTTAATTGGCCATACATGGGTTTACCTCAGTAGGAGATTAGTTGTGTATAGAAATTTTAAAAGGAAAAAAAACACACACTCATACACAAACATATATATATATTAAAGAATCTTTTTTTTTTGTTTAAACCGTTGCTTTTGAAGACCTATCGCATTTATTTTTCTTGTATGTTAAAAAAAATTATGTGCTACAATCAGTGAGTCACGAATCTAATTCGGTTCAAAACCCAAAAAAAAAAAATCATGTATAAAAACAAAGAAAAGAATTCACATCTTGTTTTCTAACCTTGTTATATTTTGCATTTGTTTTCACATTTAGCGTTTGTTTTGTTCTGCAAATGAATGCCATATATTTATGTTCTGTTCAATCGTCATAAACGCTCAAACATTGTAGTTTTATTCTTTTTTTGTTGAAAATTTCCGAAAAATTTTTCTTTTTCTTTTTTTTTATTATCAAGAAAGCTGTATTGTTATACAGGGTAATAGCCGATTAGTGGCGGATATACTTACTAGTGCTCTTGTTGGTATAAATACATTTATTTACGTGTTCGAGGTCAGGACTATTCAACAAAAAAGAAAATATCAATAATTACAACTGTCACTTGTATAAGATCTCAAAAAATCTGCCGATAAAATTTTCTAAGTCATTCGTTCAAGCTTATTTATGCAGTAAATGTAAACACTATTGTTTTACTATTTATTCTTTGTCGATTATTTTAACTTTCATATTAATAAGAACATGTATCATATTTATATATATACCTATATTTATGTATGTAAATGTAAAGTATATTGCTTAAAAATATTTATATTATTTGTATATGTATTTTGTGCCAATGAGATTGAGAATTCGGACATATCCGATCGTGCATGTTCATTACTTTAAACATACGATTAAAAAAATTATAGTATAATGCACTCGTATAATTTGCGGACTAACAGAAAAGTTCTCCTTTTATATACATACGAAGAATCGAAATCGTTGCCTTTGTGTTTTTGTTGTATAAATCACGCACTCCTGAAGCTGAACTGCTGCCGTTTTGCGGTAAAAAATGATGCTAACTTGTTTTCTTAGGACGATGCATTTTTAAGCAATCTCAAATAAAGATATTTATCCCGACTTAATTATAAAGAATATTTTATAGGGCTATCAACAATAATTTGCAGAATCTGATAAAAAAAATGCTGTATTAGATAGTTTCATTCTCCTACTTCGAGAAAATTTACGATTTGGAATGTCCACTACCAAATAATTTAGATGCGCCTGCGCAACAATTAAAGCATACCGCTAAAAGTTGTAAATCAACAAAGAATTTTATAGTATTTTCAACATTTATATTCATTATAAATATTTCACGTATACAAAAAAGTATACATAACACATATACTGAACCAAAACATTCGTCCCTGAAATCTTTAGATTTCTTTAGTGTTATCAAATTCTCATGTGATAGATGGTTAATAACAGGCCAGCAAACATACAAATCGAAGTCTGTATAAAAACTACCGAAATACTGAGCCTACGAAGCATGAGACGCTCTGATTGAGTTGGATGATGGATGCAGCACTATGACGCGTATATATATAACAATTGGGCGGTAGAAAAAAATTAGATTGTGTCATATTCAGAAGGGCTGTGTGTCTGACATCATTTAATCACGCCTGTTTGATTGCAGGAGAAGTAAAAACTGTGAGTTTTACATAAAAACACTCGACTCAACGTGCAGAAAGTTGACCTCGAGCGCAATCTCTCACTGCCACTGTGCCCCAGTCAGAATTGCTTATCTCACATTGCACCATGGTGCTTGTCATTGATATAGCCTGCATTAAACTGTAGCTCTCTTCAAAATAAACATACTCCTTTATCGGCGTATCAGTTCTCCTTATTCCTGACGAGCGAGCGGCGCCTGTCCGTTAATGACGTCATGCACGCGTGATTGCTTCAACTTAATCCCTGTTCGGAGAACGGACAATGTCCGCGCCAAGTCGCACGTATGTAATTGGTAATTGAAAGGAAAAAACCTAAAAATGAGTGTTGGAATTCAAGACGAGCCGCGTAAAATTAGGTAGGGGCTATTTGGATTAAGAAATACTTTGACCCGCAGATAAAAAATGACCGCATCAAAGCGAACTTGCCGCCTTTGGCGACGATATAAAAACGCATAAGCGCGAACCCTCATCAAGGCTCCCAGGCAAACGTACAGTTCACACTTCTCTTCACATGCATCTATCGAGAGAACGCATGCGCAACACACGCGGCAGATAATTAGCATGATCAACGGCCCGATAACTAACAACCTGCGCGTACGATTCTCACACCAATTTTTCATCGGTCAAGCACGCCTCTGCACTAAATGAGTACCAGAGAAAAGATGCTCAGCTTGTTTTCCTCCTCAACGCGCCATATAGCACTCATCGCTTTACGCTCCGACAGTAAACAGGCTCGCTGACCACATGCTTACACCTGCGCCAATTAACACCATCATCGTGAAAGAATGCTGCAATGCCGCGTAAACACGCAGCTTTGGCTCGTGAGGTCAGCATGGGTCACTTCTCGGTTCTACTTCTCTACTCGTAGTACTATTCTGACTAATAGGAAAAGAAAGTGAAAATACATTTCATATTCTTCAGCGGTTCATCAAAGTGTACAACCTAGCGTGCTATCTTGGCGCCATATCGAAAGCCGTGAATTGTATGAGCTGGCAAAGAGCTTGCATGCACGAATTGGGCACCAAAAGATCGGCATTTCAATGCCGCGCTTTTGATCTTATCGATACAATGATCAGCAGATAGTCGCTAATCAACCTTTGCATATTTCTCAAATAAATTGTATATTAACAGGCCTTCATTAAGGCTCACATGTAACTCTTTCGAGCTTACCAATATATTGCTGTAACATGTGGAAAAGGTCAATTTTATCGAGTAACCTCATTAAATATATGACGTAGAATTGCGTGCGTGCGTGCGCAGATGTGTAGTTACGTCATGGAGAGACGCAGAGTTTCGAAAGAGAAATTAGGTCAGATGAGGACGCGGAAGGCGCCATTCTTACAGTTGATGGCACGGCTACTTCGAAAATGACCTTAAATGACCAATGACTAACAGCACCTGGATTAGGTCAAATCGGTCAGCATTGGAGCGTGAGTAAAAAGCAATTTTTCGTAGATATTTGAAATAATAATATTTTTAGAGAATAATAATGGGCCTATGCATGCACACATTGAATTGCCAGAAAATATTTTTAGTCAGCATCCGTTCCCATACCGCCGCCAATGTCTATATACATTCGCGGTTTTGCCATCGCCGTCCGCACGCAATTATGCTAAATGAGAGTGTTTATACAGAGAGAAAAATCAACATAATGTTAGCTCAACCCAAGTGGTACAATACGGTGTCAGTATGACGTGTACGACGCTTACATTTTATGTACGTCTGTAAACTAGTGTGTTAAAGGCGTTTCGAAAAGTTCAGCTGGAATTCTAGTTTTCAAAATAGTGTCAGTATAAACAATAAAACATTATAGTTTAAAGGCGGACAATGAAGGTTTTCTCTAATTTCTCATTATTGCCTACCTTTGCGAAATGATCTTCTTGGGACAATGGTAAAATATGGATTTATTAAGGCAAAAATACGTAAAAGCAATGGAAGGAGCAATGGAGGAACTAAAAACTTGTATAAAGAGCCCATGACTGAGAGTGCTCATTTGCATACTATTCGATGATTGGACGAGACGCACGCTTCGACGTTAAGGGCGTAGCCTTGCCACTGCAGGTCACTTGTCCCGGTGCTGACGCGTTGGCGACGAGCCAAACGCATAAAACTACATAATCACACTGCTTTCTTTTCCGTTTTCTCTATCTTTCCACTTACATTTTATAAAATCATGAAATCATATTTTAAAAGCAGACAGTCTACGTTAATATAAGATATGTTTTTATGCAGTATATTGATAGAATTCCTTTTTGTTAATGCTGATGCAGTTGTCCTTATTATGATAATTTCAAGTCAAAAATTTCATTAAAACTGGTAAATACACTTTATTAAAAATTTAACGTATTGCATACAAGTTAACTTGTTACAAATCTTCTTTCTCGCTAAAAAACTACAAGTTCCCTGAAAGAGAAAATCGCAAAATCACAAAAAGTTAAACTGCACATAAGGGCTCTGCTGAAAAGTATGTGAGTTCAATATTCGGGTCATTCCTCAGCGGGCATGTCTTATTATTGGCCTGCAGTCAGACTCACGCAATAACTGAGGCTATGAAGAATGTGAGAGGGTGGTTAAGTGGTGCAGGAAGGTGACGAGGCCATCGTGCCCCCTGCTAGTAAGGTTACGTTCAGCGTGGGACCAGCACATTCCTCGCACCAACCATCATTTTTCCGAGAGAATGTCCAACAATCCCTTCCGTTATGTTATACTTACTTATCTTGTATAATTAAATTCTTGAAATGCTGATATGTGAGATTTTATGTTGGGTCATACAAAACGGGCTTTATAGTAGGACTTTAAGGAATAACTTTAGAAAGATATTTAGATGATTTTTATGTTTGCTCTAAGAGATAGATTTTTCCGTTTATAAAGTTTGACATTAACATCGAGAAACTCGTTAATTTTTAGAGAAAGTGCTACACGGCTTATCCGACTGAATGCTCCCATTTTAAATATGAGCTTTTAGCGTAATGACTCTTCGATCAAAGATTACGACGCCGTTTGCTCTGCATTTCCCCGAAACTTCATTGTATGTAATTATAGAAGTGTTTTTTCTTTTAAAGGAAATTTTAGTCGAGAATTATTAAAATACGATATCAAAAAATCAGCTATAGAAGAGATGAGTTTGGAAAAGTTAAGCTAAATTTGAAAGTACGAACGTGCGAAATTCTTTAGGCGCCGGAAAAAGAATATTTTCATTTGTATTTGATGGTGAAAACATATAAAGGAAATAGTAAAAAGGTTTTCACACATAAAGACCAGCGCAACCAGACATACAGCTTAACTTCTCATAAAATTCATCCGATACATGAGAAGAAATGTTACGAAGGTCACACCAGGTCACATGACATAGTCTCAGAACAAAGAGATCAAACACAGTCCAGTCATTTTCTGCTACTTACTAGGTGGAGGTGATGTATATTATCTATGCGTAACTGGCATACCGAAGGATTGATTTTCTTCTTAAAAATACTTACTATAAATGTATATCACTATTTGCGGTTTTTACACATTCTTCCTAGTTTCTTCAAAGTTTATATATCTTTCATGAGGCTTAAATACGCTTCTCCTTACATGCAACGGATTGATCGATATCTCACTTTCGTAGTCATGACAACACGTAATAAAGAGAATGCGCAATCGTGTCACCTCACACAGCGTTTTCTCGTTTGATATATATTCACAAAGAAGCGTCGTTATATACCATAATTGATTTAACCGCAATTTTTTTCTTAACGTTGTGTTGCAACATCAAAAATCGGAATAAGATGTTTTAAGACTAACTCTGTCATTATTCTCTTTTTTTTTAGCTTTTATGCCTAAACAAATAATTAAGAATAATATCCCATGATGAAATTTATAGAAAATAGCCTTACAAAGTAATAGTTTCCGAAAAAAAACTGCAATGTTTCATAAAGAATAGCCAAAAGGAAGAGAAAGCTATTTGTGCTACTCTCCTATTTTCTCCCAAAAAATTTTTAGCAGGTATCTCTAATGTAATAGATGATGTAGAAAAATGGCATCTTAACTGAAAAATATTTACACAAATTGTATTATGTATACGTGCTATATAGTTTATGGCTTTCTATCAAATCCCACTCGTCGATTTCAATTAATTAAACGCTTATTGAGTTTAGATATTATTTTCTTTTACTAAAAATAACTTATTTATGTAATTAAAAATTGTTTTCAAGGAACATTTTACACAGTTCTCTCAATATATATATATTTATGGATATATGGATATATGGATATATAGATATATTGTCTCATCATGTATTTGTACTTGGTGAGTTAAAGCTAAGGGAATAGGACACGTGTCTTTTTATAGGATGCTGGAAAATCCATACACATATAATATAAAAAGAGTAAAATGTCTGTGGCATCTATCAGCAGCATCTTCCACGCAGCACGCGTCCCGAATTGCATTTTCCTTCATATGCAAATGAGGTCATTTGGGTGAGTTGAGAAGCCAATGAGGGAGCTCGACGTAGGAATGAGGTCAGACTTCTTTCCGCGGGACTCGATATAAGCATTTCTCAAAGGCTTCTCTCCATATTACTTGGTTTTTAATTGCATTCTTCGTGTTCCATTTACCTATGAGCTGTTATGTCTTTAAGCTTACTAACAGAAATGATTTTTGGTAAATACTAAAACATTCACTAACGACTCGTCACATCAATCATTTGCAAAATTTTATTTCTACTCGACAAGGCATTCTGTCACTTTACTTTGCGGGTGACGTAAGGTTATGGCACGTAACTGCAGGCGTCAACCTGAAACTCCAGGTCACAAACGCATGACCTTGGTCACTTAGTTTAAACTGAAGCCTTGCCCTGGATCGTCTAGTTATTTTTATATTTCCGATGAACATGTTCAGCTCCAAAGTAAATAATACATAAACTGTTGGCGTTGCAATTCTATGGGTGTGCATTATGTATATATAAGATATTTCAGAGTTTTGAGACACTATTTACAATTTTTAAGTAAACTTCCACCGTCGGGAGAAATTTGAAATTTTAGCGTTTCTTGAATAATATTATTCGAGTGAAGGGATATATTTAATTTTCTAATAACCTTCCCAAGTTCCACTACTGCAACCATTTAGGTTGCTTGTTTTCAAAGAAAATATATAGAAAAGTTTTCAAATTTATATTAACAATATAGTGTTTACATCTTAAAGAGATCCAACAATTTAAATCTTTAGTGTTACAGATGTCCTCAATACTTAAAAAATACTCTTTGTTCCTTTTTTTCGTTTTTCAAATGGAATTTTGATGCACATTCATTCAAATCTTGGTAATAAGAGTCATAGGCTTTAAATTACAAACATTACATCTTATATGACCGAAAATACTAGTACTGATTATATGAATTAGTAAATATAGTGCAAATTTCTAGTAAGATTGTTATCTATCTCTTTTTGCAATTGAATAATTTTTTTTTGAGATAAGTTTTCGGAGGGTTTTATTTTTTTTATATCTTATGTGAGTTACACCATTGCAGATAATGTTCTACTTTTTCTTATCGCCATCTTTCGGCCTCCCCAACAAACTGCGACGAACATCATAGCACGGACGCAAACGAAAAGCGCTGGCGACATTATAGCTTCCTGTTTCTTAGTATTTCCTGTGCAGTGAAATCTTAAGAAGTCGAATATTTTGTAAACGAATAAAATACTCCTATGTAAGCCTACATTAATGATCATTCTAATAACTGGAAAAAAGAATAAGTTAGATGATAATTCGATAATTTTGCATTAATATCTGATTACAAAGTTGTCGAAATTCTTTTCGAAAGCAAATTTTATATGCTGTCATAAAGAGTAAACGAAATACGAATTCTTTACTCACTTCCATTAAATACTATACAGATTAAGTCTCTCTCTAATTCTAAGTCTAATTCTAGTTGAGGTCTAAAACGAATCTTAAATGATTTTACTGTTTTAGAAAATAAAGTGTTACAGCTTCTTCTTATTTATATAATATAAATATATGTACATTTAGAACGTATATAGTAGTTGACAACAGCAATATTTGACTGATAAATATCTAGGACTGAGTCTAACAAATGCTTGACACAAAGATGGAATGTGCAAATGAATATGCTATGCTCAATAATATATCAGTTTACTGCGGGTCTAAAAGGAAAGCAGTATCCTCTCGCATCTCAAAAGTTTATCTTAATATAATTTTAAAGCTAGTTGGAATAAGTAAGACTCTCTATTAGCGTAAAAGTGATTCCATAGTTAGGAGTCTATAAACGCGTCAAATCACGTGCACATCACTTTGATGTTAAATAAGATTGCTTTTGGCGTTACTGGTGGTCTTTGCCTTAGATTTTATATAACTTTTGGTAACTTCTAATAAAATTTATGATCTTTCCGAAAATATATTAACGCCCGCTAATTCAAATATAGATATTATATCCCATAATTGGAACATTTCTTCATTAGATGATACCATACAAAACAATACAAAATGGTGTATTTTAAAATGAAAATAGATCACACCCACGAGATGGCAGCACCTAAAGAATTCTTCTAACGCTAGATGGCTCCACGATATTTTGAAGAGTGAATCTAAAGTTTAATAATGGAGGGGATCCGTCTTTTGAACGGTATTTCCGCAAAAACGAAAGTAAAATTGCAAAATGAGTTCACGTCGTGTAAATAATGAAAACAATAATCGTAAACCATTTCCATTAGATTTATAAATAATTAGAGGTAAAAGATTATGAATTAAGATATCAAGACATATAATTAAATAGATATTATATTAACTATTAGATGATTTCGTTCTATTTGGCACATTATTCAGCTTATAAATTACAAGGGAAAGATTGCAATTGGGAAATCAAAAAAATAATCTCTTGATAATCATTTACTGAAATATTAAATGACTTTTTTTTAACTTTTTAACATATGATCCTTCGGTGTCTGTAAATAAATGTTTATCATGTTATGTTCAATTATAATCTCATTTTATTAAATTTAAAAAGAAGCACAATTAAGTCAGTTTTTTCAATTTCAATATTACAATTTGCTGTATTGTGGATTGTATTGAAAATAAATAATAAGGTTCTCATTACTTCGTATTAGTCAATTATAACAGTAATTCTCAAATGGAGTGTTAAAGTTGAAGTTCGTTCTTACGCTGCATAACAAACAAACTCGATTAATAACAAAACAAAGTTGTGGCATTACCGAAGTTTTTCAGGATATGCTTGCATAAATGAATATGAGCTTGTAAAAACCATAATAATAAATAATAATCTCAAATCAGTAAGTATTTATTAAAATCTGTTCCATAAATTTTTTCAGGTGAAAACTAACTGCTAGTCAAGAGAATTTACAATAGTCAAACAGAGATTATCCGTTGCGTTGATATTCTTAATGCTGATTTTGTCTTTTGTTTATTGTTAGAGGGGAGTGTAATTTCACATTAGGCTTATTTTTTCTTTGTATAGGTGTCCCTTTAATAAGTTTTGTAATTAAAGTTTTTAAACAAGGGCCTCGTACTCGTGAACAAATGCGGAAGTTGTTATTGCAATAAAATATACAAAAATGCTTCAACTGCCCTTGAAACCTGTAATAAAATGATACTGTAACTTTACTGAAGAGTTATTAATATCTTTTACATACGTTACAGTTAAACCAATAGTATATTCATCATTATACCATAAAAGGTACACTCCGTCAAAATTCATTGCCTCAGAAAACAGTTCTGCAAATCTGTGCTGTTTTTTGCGCAGATTGAATTCTTTTATATACCCAGGCAATTTTTCAAGTTCAGTTTTAGTGGATGTTGGCATTCTCTCTATGTAGTAGTTTTTGTGGACATTTACTGTAATGTTAATTTCATTGCTGTCGCCAACAACAAGAACCTTAGGGAGACTTTCACCCATAGCTCATTTCACGGAACAGGAACATGAATTGAATTGTGGGAATTTAAACCACGTGACATGCTCAAACCAATCACCGAAAAGATCTCTTCAAGGGTACGCTGTGTCTCGTTTTCGCGTTGTTGAGGTCTGCATACAGCAAAAATGGTGAGTATTAAATCAACTGAAATCTTCCAAGATATTAAAAAATCACTCTCTCACGAGTGAAAATCGAGCAGAACGATTTTTTATCTGTATATTGCACCATTTATTTGGCTCTTAACCTAAAAAATTAGCTTACTATGAACATTTTTTTTAGGCTGGAGGTAAAGCTGGAAAGGACTCTGGAAAAGCAAAAGCGAAGGCCGTTTCCCGTTCTGCGAGGGCTGGCTTACAGGTAAATAATATTAATAAGCTATTGGGCCTAATCGATACTATTTCGAGGATTGATAGTTTTTAACGGCTGCTTTGTTTATTTGAAAAATGGCGCGCTTTCCTAAACAAATTTTTTTCCGTCTACAAAGTTCCCCGTTGGAAGAATTCATCGTCATCTTAAGAACAGAACTACAAGTCACGGCAGAGTGGGAGCAACAGCCGCAGTCTATAGTGCCGCAATTTTAGAATATTTAACGGCCGAAGTTTTAGAATTGGCGGGAAATGCTTCAAAAGATTTGAAAGTAAAACGTATAACGCCAAGGCATTTGCAACTTGCTATCAGAGGAGACGAAGAATTAGATTCTCTTATCAAAGCCACTATAGCAGGAGGAGGTAAAGACAATTTATTTCCTGAATTTGCATTCTCTATCTATATTTTCTGTTAACAGGTGTCATTCCCCACATTCACAAATCGCTTATTGGCAAGAAGGGCTCACAGAAGGCTGCTTAGAAACCATATCTGTACTAAGGAACAACTTATTCTTATCGTTATTACTGTATGATACATAGAAACTAAAGTGTTTCAACGTTAGCTCATCTATTTTTAGACCATTTTCATTTGTCAAACCATGTCGTACTCTTTTTATATTTATCTATATAATTATATGTATGTAGTTTTTTTTTGTAGACGTTGAAAATAAATAAAATAAAACAAGATACAATACTTGTGTTTTGATTGGGACGCATAAGAGTCAGGTAGCCTGTCTAGATGATGAGACTGGGTACCAGACGCTCATTTGCAAAACATGGCGATCGAGCTGTGCAATTAAAAATATACCAGGCAGGAATTTGTCAAAATGAAATTAGTTAGAGGTCAGAGGGTTAATGCAACTAGATTGGCGTTTTACCGAAATAAATATGCTAATTTTTCAGTCTGTGGCTGTTAACGATCCAAACTATTATATCGAAGATGAAGCGAGCCGTTCGTAATTAACACTTTTGTTGTGTTGTTTTTTTTTCTGGTTCGAAATATGGATAGACAAAGCGGAAAAAAGAAACAGCTAGAGGAAAAATCGACAGAAGACAATAGTTCTGATGCTTTTTATAGACAGTTAATTCTGGCACAGAATGCTGCTTTTGCCCATGGAGCTTATATTACTCAATCTCCATTCATGGCTCCCGAACTAGCTGTTGCTTATAGTATGCTTGATCCTGTTTACGCTTCATACAGCGCCATGATGGCCAATCCATGGAATATCGCTGGTCTCTGTGCTTCCGCCGCCACAACAACGTCTACAACAACGACGACGGCTGTTTCCTCCTCCTCCAGTGGATTTTTAGAAGCATACTCACAAATATCAACGAAGAAAAAATCGTCAAGCCCTAAAGCAAAAATATTAACGGTACCTACGATTAATGATGAGTCAAAGCGAGATGAAGCCACAGCAACCTCAGGTTCAGATCAAAATGTTTCGAATGACAAACCAAATAAAAGAAAACGAAAGAGTAGTCCAGTTAGACGAGTGAAAGCAGTTTCGTCATCGAAACATGACGATAGTGCAACTTTGAAAACAAATTACTCTTCTCTACCTTCTAATAATAAGGCAGTCAAGAAACAATCCTCTCGTCCCTCTCTCTCCGAATGCTTGGCAAAGATGACGACTTGCGTAGCTGCTAGTGGTCATAATTTGTGGTCTGGAGCTTCAGCAGTTAATAATACAGAAGGAGTACTGGATCTCTCGTCGAAGCCGCAAGAAAGTGACGATTGTCAAAATAGTGAATCGCTTGAAACACAAAAGACTCTAAATATATCTGAACAAACTGAGAATGACTCTGATTCACTTAATAGCGGGAAAGGAGAAGAAATCCAAAGTAGGGAACAGGTTGAGATTGAGTCAAAAAATACAGCAAATGGACCAACAGAAGAAGGCAACGAAGACAATAACAATGATAAAGATGATGCCGAGAAAGATTGCCAAGTCAATGATAACATAGAGGAGAAATTACCATCTTGTGAGAGTCAGACGCATGAAACTGTGGAGTGCGATAAGGGTGAAAAGCTTAATCTTGAAACGAGCCTTGAAACAAACGATGATAACTATGATCCCGAGATGGAAGAAAAGGTAAAAGAAGAAGAGGAAACTCTTCTCAAGGAAGATGAAAATTTAAGCCAAAATAACAAAGACATCGCTGAAGTAACAGATAATGAAACAGAAAAGAATTGTACTTATGAAGAAGTTGAATCAGAGTCAACTTTAATTAAGGAGAAAAGCATTGAATTAACTCCTGTTGAATCTACAATAATTGTTGATAAAGAAAAAGAAGATACAGAAGTATGTAAAGAGTCTTCAGCTCCAAAAAAAGATATGAGCAAAAAACAAAGTAATGAAATTGTCAAAGATATTAGCAGTCTTGAACAGAATTACAACTTGGAGACGCACGATAAAAAGGAACAAGTTCGAGAATCGATTGCTGCGAAAAATTGCGGAGAAGGGAATCTCATTTTAAACATTACTGAGCCAGTGATTGTCAAGAAAAAGAAAAAAAAGAAAAAAAGAAAGCATCACAAGCATGAGGAATCAAATGGCGAAGAGAAAAAAGCAAGCATTGTTTTAAAACTGCCCAAAGAGAAAATCTTCAAAAACGATCCATATGCTTTTGATGAAGACGATGAACATACTCCAACAGTTCAACCTCTAACACGCCCTATTCATCGAAATGGGACCATACACAGTCGAAGACAACGAGAGGAGTTAAAAACTTCAGTTTCTGAGTCGAATGAAACGTTGGCGGTATCATCTTCATCAGTAACAACAACAGCTTCGCATTCTCAATGTGGGCCTAATCATACCAAAGAATCATCCCTTCCTTGTTATCCTGCCACAACAACAACAACAACAACAACAACAACGACAGCAGCAACAACAACAACAAATTTGGAAGAGGAACTGGATGATAATAAATTATTAGCCAGTATTAATGACATATTAACTGACTCAGAGCGGAAACAACAATTACAAAATGACCTTAAGTCATTTTCAGAGGTTCTTGAACAGTTACAACAACAGCATCCACCACCAGTTACACCTCCAAATACTGCTCCAAGTTCGTCGTTTCCTTATACTTATAGTCAACAGCCCACAGTCACTTATCAGTCATCTTACAAGACATCAAATTATACAAATAATGAAAATTCTGGCTACTACAATACCTATCCTTCAGGGGCAGCACCATTCCCATCTGAGATGAACTGCCCCAGACGAGACGCGTATTATGGCCAAGATACACATCAGAATTTTCAATATAACACGTCGTCTTCCTATACAGGGGCTTATGGAACTAATTATAATAACTATCCATCATCAGTTCTTCCCCAACAACAGATAGCCTATCAAGGAACGTCGCATAGAATGGGAGCGGGAAGTGGTGCCGAGCAAGGAAGTATACAGCCTATTAGGAGCGCCTACTATCCCCAATCTCCCGGTTCGACCTCCCACATATCGCAGCATCAGCAATATTTTCATCCCCCTAATGTCCGGAACTCTAATTCGATGTATAACGGAAATCAGCAATCTCTACTTCCACAACCATCAACAAACCTCAGACCGCAGGGAACAGCGGTACGAGCAAAAACTTGTTTGCCTCTTCCTACACCTCCTCCATCTACTCAGGTTTATAATGAATCAAAATTAGGCACCGCTTGTAGCCTTCAAACAAGCACCGAATTATCTAGTAAGGTCCAGTCAACATCTCCTATTTCATCTGGTACAAGCTCTACGAGTGTATCACCAGATAAAAATGAATGTAGCGACGCTCCAGCGACTCCAGTAAATGAAGAATCAGATTTAGTTGAAAGGCTTAGAAGTAATACACAAGAGGAGGTGCCAAGCTGTAATTGTTTAGGATCAAATACAGTATACGACGAACGAGTCGAAGGACCTTTTTATACCCACCTTGGAGCAGCGCAAAGTATAGCAGGTATAAGAAAATTGTTTGAAGAAAGAACCGGATTAACAGGGAATGCCATTCGAATCGAAAAGATAATTTACTCCGGTAAAGAGGGGAAAGGAACTCAAGGTTGTCCTGTTTCAAAGTGGATCATTCGTCGATCTTCAATAGAGGAGAAAGTTTTAATCATTGCGAGACCAAGAGTCGGACATACTTGTCCTCAAGCAGTTATCACAGTCAATATAGTCGTTTGGGAAGGTGTTCCTTCTCAACAAGCTGATGAATTATATGATTATCTTCGGCAATTACTTCCAGTATACGGTTTACAGACAGATAGAAGGTGTGGATCAAACGAACAAAAGACTTGCGCCTGTCAAGGTTGGAAGGATGATGTAGGAGGAGCATCATTTTCTTTCGGATGTTCATGGAGTATGTACTACAACGGTTGCAAATTTGCTCGATCTCAACAGCCCAGAAAATTTCGTTTGAAAAATGAGAGCCATGAAACACAACTGGAGCATGCGCTTCAGTCTCTCGCTTCTCACTTAAGTCCTATTTACAAACAAGTAGCACCTGACAGTTTTAGAAATCAAACTCAATTCGAGAAAGATGGATTGGACTGCCGTTTAGGACTAGACTCTGGACGACCGTTTTCTGGTGTAACGGCCTGCATAGACTATTGCTCTCATGCTCATCGGGACAATCATAATATGAATAACGGCAGTACTGTGGTAGTAACGTTAACTAAACACAGAGGTCTGGGAAAAGGGCCGGATGAACAACTACATGTTCACCCTCTTTGCATACTTGACCCTACTGCTGAAGATGGAACTCGCGAAAGTCGTTTACAGCAGGAAAGAGATGGATCAGTTAATACGTTAACAAAATTTGAGCAAATAGTTCGAATCCGATCAACTCCTACCCCTTGCAAGAAAAAGCGGAAATTGCAACAACAAGAAGAAAAGAGAAAACGAGGAGGGGATATGCCAAAAAAGAAAGCTCCAACCAAGGCCGAGTTGGAGCAACGCATGCGTATGGCTCATAATTTACAAATGCAAATGTCTTCGTCTGGTACGGGAGCGCAAAACTTTCAATCACCTTCTTTAGTGACAGCTAACAACCCAGATTACAATAATCCGTATACTCAAATGTCTTGTGGTAGTGGTATTTTCCCCCAAAATTCTGATGGTATGGATAATCGTCGGTGGTGGAATGGAAGTAAAACAGGAGACATCAACAGAGAGGACTCGTTAAGGTGGTGTGAAGATTTCAATACGACTGAAGGAGATCAATCTGGTCATGAGGAGATTTCCTACAATGAACATTTATTCTTGGATGAAAATATAGGAGGAGTTGCACTAGCCCTTGGTCATGGTAGTGTTCTTCTTGAATGCGCAAAGAGGGAAATGCATTCTACAACTGCAATTAGGGAACCTAATAGATTTCATCCTACCAGAATCAGTCTAGTTTTTTATCAGCACAAAAACATGAATTATGCTCGACATGGAGAACTTCAATATCAACAAAAATCAGAAATGTGGAAGAAAAGAAGAGAACAGCAGCAGCAACAGCAGCAACAACAGGCGAATGAACTAAATGCTTGTAAGCGGAACAAAAGTCAAACAGAACAAATGGCTAATTCTATTGTACGTCAGTCCGCTGAACATTGCGTCGTTCAATCAGCGTCTCATATACCTCGTGCGCCAATCTCTCATCCTCCTACTTTAATGAATTTGCACCGGCAGCAGAACTGGAATTCTGCGCCTCCAAATGCCTATGGTTTTTGGCATTAACAGACAAACTGACCGTGTTCTACACAGGTGCTAAGTAATTTAATCTCATTCCAAAAACTATAAATTTCCTGATCTAAATTCCTTTTATGTATATAAAATATTCTCAAATGTCTAGTTATAGAATGTAAATAGGTGTGTATAGATATTACGAAAATGCTCGAAATGAATCTGTACAATTAAAAAATGAGCGATATCTCAATATTAAAAAGCTCATTCAATCGTGTTTTGTAAATGGTTGTTGTGATGTTGGTGAATATATAATTAAAAAAATCATCTGTTATGCTTCGATATGCATTCTCTAATTTGTTTTTCAAGCTCCATAATTATCTTGTCATCACTATTATAAGTGCCAGTTTGTAGCAAGGTGTCCCTCTCTTCAATTAATCGACTAAGATGCTCATCGTCAGCGTCTACAACAGAATCCGGAGTTGAAACAGATGGTGAGCGAAATACGCGAAGTTTATTTAGTTCCTCTTTTATCATATCCAACTGCCTCTTCTCACTTTTAGTAATATCACTTTCTTCAGCGGCCAGGTAGCGCATCTTTAATTGCTGCAACTCTTGATGTTGTTTTTTGAGTTGATGCTTTGCACTGGCTTGCTCTTTTATTCTAAACCGCGCAAGTTCATTAATCGCTTTCGCCCATTGTTGCTTATAATGAACTTTGGCATTTGTTGTTACAAGCAGTTTCTTCTCCAATTCAGATTTCTCCAAGTTCAACATATTTATTTCAGACTGAAGACGACATTCAGGTTTAGATGTTAATTGCTCCTTATAATTTCTAAATTCTTTGTCAAGAGAAGCGTACTTATTCTCAGCTTCTTTTATTTCAGAGCGAAGTTTGCTAATTTCTTCTCTTAAACTATCTGCTTTAGATCTCTCTAACTTTAACTTGTGCTCGCTTTCTTCAGTTATTCTTTGCCAGGCGTCTTTTATATCTTTCATTTTCCGATCGTGTTCATACTACAGAAAAAAATTACTTTATTCTTTTTGTTGGTTAAACTTTCTGAGGTATTACCTGTAAATCTTGCTTTATTTTACTGATTGACTGTTCTTCGTCAACCAGATGTCGCTCTTTCTTTTCGACTTCTGACAGAGTTTTACGTAACTGGCTTTCAAGTTCAGTATATTCTGCAATCTGTATAAAAGTACAGTGATCATTACTTGCAAAAAACAGAATACATTTATCGTTGTTCAAGACGTGCTTTAATCTAATTTACTTCACATAAATTTTTTACCTTTTTCTTAACCAACAGCTCTCTTTCTTTTTCTCTACACTTCCATTCCTCAGTGATTGCCTCCATTCTGTTTCTCTCTTTTTCTCGAAGCTAGTAATAGGCAAAAAAAAATGTTATTTTGGCAATGAATTTTCTTTTTCCATACCTGTTCTTCATATTTATGCTTTTGTCTCTCCTTCCAAATTTCCAATTCCAAGGCAGTTTTATATTCTTCTGTGGACCGAGCATTTGCTTTTTGCGTTGAAAGGTCATGATTGAACGCTTGTAGTTGTTCATTTCTCAAAAAACCCCAATCTTCTAAGCACAATGATATCATAATTTTACAAAAAATACTTTTTTGTGCTTCAGTCTTGTTAGCTAGTTCAATACTCCCATTCCAAAGTTTGCGTACACCTTTTATGCCACTGCTATGCTAAAAGACAAAAAAAGATTGTACTGAATAAACTATCTAAAATTTGATATTAAGCTCATAATTACTATGGCAGGAACATTTTGAGATTTCAAAATCTTTCTTAAGTCAGCTTCCCCCTCTGCTAAAATTTTTGTTTGGAGACCTTCTTTACCTAAGAGTTCTATTTTTAAGGGAGCTCTAGCAAAAGTCTGAACGACTTGACTTTCAAGAGCGGCAAAATCGAAAGCACAGAAACCCTGAGGGATAGCAACCTCGGTTTCACCTGGAATTTTCTCAATTAGTGAACTCGTTATTGGGTCGGCTACCCCAAAAAAAGGGTACGAATATCTGGAACATATTGTATTGCTATATATAAATAAATATTAATTTGTTTAAATTTGTTTAATAACCTGATTGAAAGAGAAGAGTAATCAGATTTTAGCTCAGAAAGGGTCTTCATATTAACAGAAAAGCAATAGTGATGAGGGGAAGATTCTGAAGATCCAAAACTAGGTGTGTATTTCTCAGTACTAGGTGCTTTTACAGGAGCTGCACTAGAATCTTTTGTGAAGGATATATAAGTTGGACAATAGGAAAGAATTTTTGTATAGCACTACCTTTAATATCCTTTTTCTTATCTTGAATAGGAGGTTCCTCTGAAAAAATTTTGGTTTACAATTGTCTTTCCTATGCAATTGATACAACCTAGAATATTTTCCAGATTTGGTAAGTCTTCTTTATCATTGGTTTCGGTTTCTATTACTTTTTCCTCGATTAAATGTTCCTCTACTGGAACTTTCTATTAACATCAATAGTTCAGAATTTTTTAAATGATTTTATGTGTTGTACTTACAATATCTTGCAAACGGCGGAGTGAAACTGATGCTCCAACCTTAGGTTTTGAATCATGGCTAACATTGACGGCGTGAATTTTATTACGATTGGGAGGTTCCAACTATTAGGAAAAACTTTAGATTAATAATCTATTCCAGTAGAAACTTTATAATTTTACTTCAAATGTTCCTTCGACAGTTAACGGTTTCATATAAAGTTCAGTTGAAATAGGTTTAATTAGTGAGTCCAATTTAATCACTGCTCTGCCTAGACTTTGATCACCAGAACACAAATGAATTTCAATTCCAGTTTGATTCTTAAAAAATTCTCTCAGAGTATCAATGCTGCTTCGTACATGAACCGACGCTCGAACTGACTGAAATTTTGGATGAATCAGGTCATAAAAGGGATCTTGAGTGATTTCTGAGCCCATGAGAGTATAATAAAAGTAAAATCCATTTGAATTTAGGGGAGATGGCTGATCGGCCGGAAGAAGCTGAAAATCAAGCTATGTTTGAAATAATATTTTTGGAATAGGGCGATTTCATCCAAATTCTTCAAATAAATTTGTGTTTTACGGATATTTAATTAAGGTTAGTCGCCTATTCAAAAAATTATTAATCTTGGCATATTGTAGCCAATATCAGATGAACTAGGACGAAATCTGAGGGATATGAAACTATATTGAATCACACTAACATTAATTAGGTTTGCGGCAAAAGCAATAGTAACTGATAATATAAATTCATCCGAACATTTTTCACTATCTCCTATTTGAAAGTATCCACCTTCCTCATTTAGAATAGGTTTCAGTTGTTTTGAAGTGACTGGCGTGGGAATCTTTTCTTTTTCTACAATTATCATTTCAAATGTATTTTTTATTATTATTTAAGACACCTACGACGTTCAAAAGATGATGCCTCCTCCTTGTCTTTATCAATATATATAGCAACCAGTACCTCAGGTTTACTACTGTATTTAGAATGTAAAATCTGTAGCCACTTTCCCGGTTGCTTCTTGTTAGCGCTGCGCAGATCAAGAATGATGTATCCTAATGATTCTTTTTTGGATTTGCTTTTATCTACAGCATAAAACTGAATCTTTATGGAGGATCTCTGTAGTCGATGTTGGTGTAAAGCTTTTTTGTCTACACTCCATGCCAATTCTTGTTTAAATTCCACAGTCTCTAAATGTTCAATCGGATCTGTGGCTAATAGTTCACCGTCAAAGCGTCCCTCAGCTATAAGTTGATACTTTGATCGAAATGGAAACTTTCTCCCTGGAATGGGGCAAGTTTAGACAAAACAAAAAAATATTGATATTGTTTACCGGCGAATAAAGATATAACAATCAAGCTGCCATCATTTTCAATCATACTTCAAGATTTTACCCACAAAAGACTATAAGAAATATGATGTTTTTCGTGAAATGAACAAAGAATAACTACTAGTTTAAAAATATGTCGCCGCCATTTTTGTTGTCCTTGGTCACAATCGTAAAATTTATTGTATTATTTTATTTTTTGATAATAATGTTTTTTCGAATTTACAATATAAAATTTAAAAATGTTTATTATAAAAAGATAATAATAAACTATTTCCGGTGAAAGACGGTTTTTTTTTTCTAGAAAAAAAATAGTTCCTCAATTAATCCGATATTATAATATTAAAACTCATCGTTGGACTATATAACAAGTAAGCTGTGCTTTCTTTCAGCATTTAATTAAATTATTAAATAGTAATCAAAAGATTTGTAAATTTAACAGAAACAAGTTCGTAATAAAGATGTCAGCCATATTCTCTGCTGGTTGTGCCAAAACATAAATCCGTAAATAACGTCTTCTCGCCGCTCTGAAATCACTTAAGTGAGCTAGTGCCCGTTGGTCAGCAAGTGAAATAATTGACACGGATTATGTGATATCGATTGTTCTTAATTCGATTAGGTTAATTTAGAGAAAGAGGTTTTTGTGATAAACTTTACTACAGTTTTCGCCGCGCCGCAAATCGTGCAGTTTTACCGCCTTTTTGGACAGACATTCATGACAACAAATAACCAGCTGAAAAAAACGTATTGTCTAACACACTGCAATTATGCAGAGACCACGAAACGAAGAGACTACTCGTGGTAGAGGCCGTTCATCATCTGGAGGAAGAATGGCTTTACCGAACAAATCGAATGCTGCGAATCTAAGTTGTTTAATGGTTGGCCCCAATTTTAGAGTCGGAAAAAAGATTGGCAGTGGAAACTTTGGCGAATTGAGACTAGGTACCTACGAAAATCATTTCCTGGATCTATATTTTTGTAACATCCTGTTATATTTTTATAGGCAAAAATTTATATAATAATGAACATGTGGCCATCAAATTGGAGCCTATGAAGTCCAGGGCTCCTCAGCTGCATCTCGAATACCGCTTTTACAAACAGTTAGGACAGGCCGGTAAGTCTTTGGCTTATTTGTTTGTACTGCTATAGTTAATTTGAACAATGCAGAGGGAGTTCCACAAGTTTACTACTTTGGCCCATGTGGAAAATACAATGCTCTTGTCATTGAACTTTTAGGACCTAGTCTCGAAGATTTATTTGATATATGCGATCGCAAATTTACGCTCAAGACCGTATCGATGATTGCGATACAATTGGTAGGCTTGTCATTAGTATAAATTAGTATAAATGACGGCTGTTTAAACATTGACTGTTTTCAGTTGACTAGAATGGAGTATGTGCATTCCAAACATCTTATTTATCGTGATGTGAAACCGGAAAACTTTCTCATTGGTCGCAAATCTAGTAGCAAGGACCATATCATACACATAATAGATTTTGGTTTGGCGAAAGAATATATTGAACCGGAAACTCACAAGCATATCGCCTATCGGGAACATAAGAGCTTGACTGGAACCGCTAGATACATGAGCATTAATACGCATTTGGGAAAAGAGCAATCAAGAAGAGATGATTTAGAGGCTCTTGGACATATGTTTATGTATTTTTTAAGAGGTTCCTTACCTTGGCAAGGATTGAAAGCAGAAACCCTTAAAGAGCGTTACCAAAAAATAGGCGACACAAAGCGCGCAACCAGTATTGAGACGTTGTGCGAAGATTTTCCTCGTACGTAAAATAAAGTTATAGTAATTTTTTAACTAATAATTTTTTTCATCTAAAGCGCAATTAGCTACGTACTTACGGAGTGTGAGAAGAATGGACTTCTTTGAAACACCAGACTATGAGAATTTGCGTAAGTTATTTTATGACATGATGCACAAAAACCATTGGGAACTGGACTACAACTTCGACTGGACCGGGAAGCACAACACTAACCCTTCCATCGGTTCAAATCAAGTAGTTAATGATCCAGTGGATTCAAATCCTGCCAATCCCTCTTCCCCTGCGAACAAAACATCTGGCAAGCCACAGGTATTATTCTAAATCAATTCGTTAGAAACATTTATGAAACCTCCATAAGAGACTTTAAGGCATTAAAAGTATAAAATCTTTAGATATAATTTGTTGATAGTCCAAATTCATCGATGCACAACAAATTGTATAAATAACTTCTAATATAAAAAAAAATTCATAAACATAATTAAAAGAGAGCGTTACAGGCTCCTGGAGCGGGGCAACAGAGGGGTAATGCTTGGGCAGAAAATAATCGAGGCAGTCAACTGCTAGTGGCTGCCACTGATCGACATGGCGGATCCGTTCAGGTAAAATGATTGCACACAGCGCATGTCAAAAGAAATCATCCCACTATTGCTGTTGTCCTCTGCTCCACATTTTTGATTTTATAAATTTTTTCATTAAAAGTGACCACCGTAAATGTAGCCGCCAATAATACAGGATAATATAAACAATCAAATTTTTTTTACAGGCTGTCAGTTCAACACATGAGGAAAGAGATGATACCGGACCTAACTATTCCCAAACCCCAATTGCAGGTGGAACTGATGGAGTGGATATGGAAGAAGGTACTGCGAATTGTTGTGGGATTAAAGTGGGTAGGAAAAGCCGCCGCAAGAAAATGAAGCAACAACACGGTCGTCACGCTTAATGGACAAATACGCGCCTGTTAGAAAAATGTGATTCGAAATCACATTTATCGTGAACACTGATTTTACTTTTGTCTATTTAGAGAAAGAAAATTTTAGGTTGGTAAATGTGTTTTTTTTGGTAAAAAAAAAAAGAAAAACAGGAACGAATCGGCGTTTTGGCTGATGTGTGGTCAAATAAACGTAAATGTATATATATTATGAAATAAAATAAATCATCATAATTAATCATTGCCTTAATTCCTTATACTATCAATTTATATATTATATATAATAATACAAGTATATATGACAAGTTTACAAATTTAAGTTTTTTTTAAATCAATAAAAGTAAAGAAACTGTCTGGAAACACAATACAAAAATACTAAATTCATGAACCTTTCTGAAAAAATTCAAGAATTTTCCAGTTGTAAGAGAAAATTGTAGATTCTATATTTTGTCAGCATTAAATAACTTCAGTGCTTTAATCCACTAGAACAAAACAGAAAAGTATAACTTTAATTTTCTTGCTATGATGTCCAGAGTCCCTTATGCGAGATAGTATCTTTACCAAAATCAATTTAATCGAAACAGTTATTACAGTTTAGGATCTTACAGAAAAAATTCTTTAAAACTCATGAAAACTGATAAAGTTTAATCTCTAGAAAGTTTTTCGTTTAAGAGTTTTTTGAATTAAATATCAGCATTCCGGTACCAAAACCTAGCTCTATGGTCATCGCTGCAAGTCATCAGAGCAGGTCCTGTTGGTGAGTGACATACTACTCGTACTGGCTGAGCATGACCGGTCGCCAAGAGTCGTTGTCTATCAGCATTTCGCGCGTCCCACGAACATAAACTTCTTGATTGTTCATCAGGAAAAAGAGCAAAATCTTCGGTATGATTGAAGGTTGCATTTGTATGACACTCTTGACGACCGGTAGTACCTGCTCCAGTGTAGGCTATCAGCAACCGAGAAGTTGAAAGTTCCCAAAGTCTAACAACAGAATCTAGCCCACTTGATAATATGTATTTGGAGTTGCGACTGAATTGCACAGACGAAACCGGAACGCTATCGTGTGCACTCTTGAACGTGCTTACACATCTTCCGCTAACTCCATCCCAAACTTTGATATCACCATCCATGGATGCCGTTGCAAATAGATTACCTTTTGGACTAAATTTAACTTCCGTTATTGGACCACGATGTTGATCTAAAGCGCTACTGGTTGAATAACATTGAAAGGTTGTGGCATCATATAGTCGAACTGAAAAAAGAATAACTTTTATTAGTTGTAAAGTTTCTGAATCGTTATTTACTTGTTGGATGTTCTGTTCCTGCTAACATATAATCTCCTGAAGGATGAAGAGATATTGATTTAACAGCAAAAGCCTCTTGTATGCATTTTGAAGATCTCTTAACAGACGGTTTAGTATACTCGAAAACTTTAATCGTACAGTCAAAACTTCCAGAGAAGAGAAGAGGAGAGGTAGGATGGAATTGTAAAGTTGAGACCTCTTCTGAATGATCATATAAAGTTCTGATGACTGGATGAGCTTCTCGTTCATTTGGATCTATATTGTCCAAACTTTTAGCTAACATTCTTTCAACGTCCAGGACTTTGATAGATGAATCTTCAGATCCTGTTGCAACAACTTGGCCTGAAGGATGATAAGTTGCCGAACGACAAGGTCCTTTATGAGATGTAACATAGCAAGTTTCATAGGTTGCCACTTCAGATGAAATTCTTTGCACCTCTGTTTCAAACTCCAGATCTAAACCAGTTCCAGGTGCAACACAACTTATAGTTGTATCCTCTCTCTTGTTACCTTCGGCTTCTAACCCTAGCTTAACAATGCCTATAAGTCTATCCGATGGTGGACAAGCTGGCTGAGCTTTTATAACATTTGATAACTGAACAGCTAAATTTGAATATCCATCGTAAAAAAGTTGGCTGCATGATTTATAAATGTATTATCGCTCTTGATATTGTTCATTATCATAACTAGAAATTGTAAACAAACCTAATAATCAGTCTGTAAGTCATTTCGCGATCTCTAAGGGCAGTGTGAGAAGCCATAACGAATATAGCAAATATTTAAGGTTTTAATTCTGTAATAGAAAGCGGCGGCTTAACGATTTCACTCTACCAGTTATGACTATCAAAAGAATATTTCGGTCGTCCAGATTTCATATTATTCTTTGACTGTTGGGCAACATCAATTAGTGACTTTCTAACGAAGTGTAATCAGAAGACAAAGCCGATAATTGAACTTTTCGTCATGTCTGGAAAGTTTAAACCATTATTTAACAAGGAAGGAAAAGAAAAAACTGTGGCTCAACTGCCAGGCAGGCATCCATGTGAATGTCAGGCATCCAAACATGACTTAATTAATAATTGTGTATCCTGTGGTCGAATAGTTTGTAGTCAAGAAGGTTCTGGTCCTTGTTTTCATTGTTCGGAATTGGTAAGGTCTTGTTGTTACTGTTATTCCATTAAAGCCCTTGTAATTTTCAATTTAAGGTCTGTACTAAAAGTGAAGAGGAGATACTGAGACGTGATTCTAAAAAGTCAATGAAACTTCGGCAAAATCTTATGGGGAAGACAGTTGAAAATTCTAAAGAAAAGGCTGCAATAGAACACAAGAATAAATTACTAGAATTTGATGAAACGTGCGCCAAGAGAACTCGTGTTATTGACGACGAATCAGACTACTTCTCAACAGGTGTTGGTACTTGGCTTACAAAGAAAGAACGAGATGCTGTTATAAAACAGGAAACCACTCTGAGAGACAAGCGTTTTGCTTCCCGAAGAGATAGAAAGAGTATGTTTCAGACATTTAAATAAATTTGTATTTAAATGTTTTTTTTTGTATTAGTTCAACTCGACTTCTGTGGGAGACAAGAAAACGATTTGCCAGAGAGCATGTATGATGAGGTCATCCATCAAGAATCAAAAGAAATTGCACCTAAAGCTCTAACTTATGGGAGACAGAGAGCGCCAAAATTCCTTAAAGAAAACTCTTCAGAGATCGTAGGATCAGTATGCAAAGAACATGAGATCTCTAAATCTAGAATCCAATACGACGAGCAATTAGAGACAATGGATAACGGAATGTGTTTGTCAATGCACCAACCTTGGGCATCCCTTCTTATTAAAGGCATTAAAAAAACTGAAGGAAGAACCTGGTATAGTTCCCATCGAGGTCGTTTATGGATAGCTTCAACTTCGAAACAACCGACAAGAGAAAATATTGATAGTTTAGAATCCTACTATAGAGAGACTTCTGGAGAATCCGAATTCCCTTCCTCTTATCCCACTTCTTCTTTACTCGGCTGTGTTGATGTCATAGACGTCATTCAACCAAACGTAAGTTTCTTCTTCCACTTCAATATTGTAGATGTCACTACTTGTCATTTGCAGACTGAGGGGTCTTCGCCATATGAATTTGTTTGTATAAACCCCCAAGAATTGCCCCTAAAATTTACAATGAAAGGACAGCACAAAATTTGTAAGTAAAAAATATCAAAAAATTCTCGTCCAATTTAGAGATCACTACTAATAATCAGCAGTAATTGAACAATCCTGACACCTGCTATTTTCTTTCTCTCTCTCTCTCTCTCTCTCTCTCTCTTTTTTTTTTTTCTCTCTCTCTTCTCTCTCTCTTCTCTCTCTCTTTTTAAGAGCTCGTATTCGTCCATTTTTCTCTCTATCCTTACTCCACCTATCACAGCCCCAGTTGTATAATTATATAATGTACATTACATTCAGCGTCAACCGTCGCGGATACTTATTGCAGTGAATAATTCAAATGACCGTTGACGTTGATGAATGCTTGAATCATCCAAGCATTGTAATATTTGCAATGTTGTATAGATAATTTATCATTTGGCATGCGTTAATTAGATTACTGTTTTTACTCTACACTGGTACAAGCTGAATATGCTCTCACTCTACATCTGACCTTTACTTTCACCCACTGACCTTGATTCGGGCTTTTTATCTGCCCCAAACTGATCACAAATCGCAAAAGTAATAAGTGATCATGTTTAAAAAGCTTAATATATAGTTAATGCAGCGTACATGTATATTATGAAATCATTTACATATTGCGGTGGTCGCAAACTGTATACGTGGTACATATCGATTTATTGACAAGACGATCCGCTGGCGTATATATAGGGTACTGCCGCTATATTAATAAAGGGAGCGAAGGAAACTTGTTGAATAAGTCTTTTCTTTATTCGACGGATACACCTGACGAAGAAAAAAAGAGCGGACCGTGTAGTGTTTTCTGATCCTCCGCGTTATGTTCGCTGCCGACCTCGACCGCGTGAAACGTGACTTCAACTGGGTGAAATAAACACGAAGAACGAGATAAGCCGCTATGGCGCATTCGATTAATTTCTTTTCCTCTAATGTTATACTCTGATATTGTGTATATTGAGAGACGTTTCTCGTTTTCGTTTTTCAGTTTTAAACGCTTCTCATTTGCACAAAAGAGGTATGGGAATATTGCGCGACACATGCTATTGTTACGGGAGAGTTTTATACGAAAAATTCAGTGAATCGTGAAGATAAATATGCGCGACAAACGACTTGAATGACAGACGAATGAAACGAGTAATCAGCGGGTGTAGCGCGCGTTTTATTCCTTCGCTATTCTGTTCTCTCTATCCGATCGATTGCTTTATTGCTAGAGCGCTCTGTTCGCAAACATAACTATATAGGAGAGGGGAGGGAAGTATAAAAGAGTAAAATAGAAAGGAAGGACAAGCTAACGTATATGTTCATCTATATTGTAAATGTATACAGCTAATATGAAATATAAAAGCATTGTAAAACATCTCGCAAATTGAAGTTTGAATAAGTATAATATAAAAGGGAGAGTTATATCTGTACATACTATGTTCTATATATATATATGTATATATCTATGTGTATGTATGTATGTGTGTGTGTATGTATGTGTCTGTGTCTGTGTATATGTGTATAGATGTATATATGTCGGCTTTTTTTCGCGCCGCATCGAGCATTGATTTTTACACGGCTCGGCGCTTGTTTTACCTACGCCCGAATTGGCGCCAGCCTGGACTAAGTTAAACTTAGTGGAGCAGGCGTTCTACTGGTGAAGTTAGATAACGGATCGAGTCGGGAAAGAAAGAACGTGCGTGGAATTCGTTTGCACGCATCCTGCTCCGCTAAAACGTTCGCTACAACGTGATTCTTTGTTGTCAAAGAAACTGTGTGTTTGCTATTAAGTAGATTTTGTTTCTTATTTTGCGTCTTGGACGAAACGAGTAGGCCTTAAGATGAACATCTGCTAGTTTTTTATGCATCATTGACACCATGAAATTTTCAACGCGTTGCACTGCATATAGACGTCTTTTGCGCTAAAAGAGAGAATAAAGATAGTCGTTTTTCGTTCACATGGCGTGCGATGGCTTGCATTTCCTTTCGACACGCCAACTATATACTGTATGTATATGTTTGGGTGTAATAAATTTTAGGAGGCGATTAATATATACAGTATGTCTATTTGCTTAGATATTTATTAAAAACATCCAGTTTTTTTGTTCAGTAAAAGTGAAGGAAGAATGAGTTGTAGTAAAAGGAAGGCAGCAGACTATAGGCTCTTTGCAAATAGAAAACGCTGTCGATATTCCCTCGGGGGAACGTGATGAATGAAGAAAGCGGAGCGTGCTGCCTCGGCGGTCAGAACCCTGTGTGGTGCCCAGATGACGCTGTCAGATGCTCTCGGGCTTTGATTACTCGCAAGCGCTTTGTTTAATCTATTAGTGTTTGTCAGTATTTTCAAATTATTACAATTATTAATCCTTGATTTTTCCTATCACACATTATTAACCCTCGGGGATAGACCTTTTCGTTGCGAGTGAAAGTCTCACTGCGTGCTACCAACGTTTTTCAAACAACCGACGGCGCCCCGTTAATTAGACGCCCGCCGTTCTCTTTGTTTTACCGCCTATATGGCAATATCAACTGACCTTTAACTAAATACTGTTTAGCTGCGTTGCACTGTTATTCAATACGAGCTTTTTTAACCGGCGCGCGTAATTATTCGAGCATAAACTATTCTCGCCGTCGGCGATTGATTGCTTTATGCGTTTTCTCCTTGCTTCGCGAATTAATATGCTGTATATTCTCTCGGATTCGCATATGTCGCTACAATTGTTTTCTTCCCTTAGATAAACTGGACCAGAATATTCTAAGAGCAGCACAGAAAGGACTGAAGACATTAATTTAAATATTTTGGATAAATAAAATAAGAAGAGAAACAAGTAAAAAGGAAAAGAAAAGCGTGTATACGCCGCTTCCCTTATCGATTTCTCTCGCGTATTTATATACGAGCACGCGCGCACCTGGCTTGTGGGTTCTCCTCTAGCCGGTTGCTCTATAGTTTATGCATTCATATAATTGATAACTTGCTTTCAATTAATTTATTATGCTTGTACTTGAACATGCTCTGTGAATATAAAAATTATACCCAAAATGAAGACTAAAAGTCAATATCTAACTAAAATGATGTTTATAGAGGTGATATTTTCGCGCCACACACGAAGCGATCGTGGGTCTTTGTGCTTGTAGACGCCTTTGTACCTGAACTGTACTCCGACGCCCTGTTTAGTCGAAGCAGAATGAACTAAACCGCCGAGCGGTGTGTCTCTTTGAACTGTTGATTGGCGAAAGAAACGACACGCGCATATACCGAATTTGAAATATTTACACAGACGGCAAACACAAATCACAATAATAACACTAAACGAATATTCAAAAGCGGCTTTAAATAAAATCTCATTTTTGAGCTCCATAAAAAAATCAACATATTTTTGTTGAAATAGCACCAAAAAACCAATGACAGCAGCCAAAACGCTGTAAAATCATTCATATGTATGTATTTAATTTAGAAAAATTAATAACTTGGTATCGAAATCATCAAGGAGTTGACGATATAAACGACGTTCGTTTCGTCTAACACAAAGCAAACTGGGCGTCGCGGGGCGTGGCTATTGTGTTGGTGACGTCGGAAAAATCGAGTAAGAGGATGATGAACGAATTACCGAAACGTCTCTTGCATAATCAACAATTAATCGTGACTACGGTATGCATTTAGAAAATATAATCATTTTTAGGTTAAAGGAACGAAAAAGGCTGGTTGCGTGTTAAGAGCACCTGCCTAAAACGTGTCATTCTCTCTCTTCGCTAATCATTATAACCAATTTAGTTGCAACTTTATTGACATTCGCCCTTATCAGTGAGAAAATAGGATATACAGCAACGTTTTACTCAAGCCGATTACGAGAATGCACTGAAGCATAACGAAGAGGCAGCAATCGTCCGATCTATCATGAACACGAATTATTAGTTAAATGCTCGCTTAAGAAAATCGTTTCTTTATCTATCATTTTCAAATCTTTCTTTTAGACTTCTATTTCAAAGAATGGCTATTTTAAGCAATCGGCGTAAAACACGATTGAACTTGTGAAAATCTAAAATTAAAAACAGAAAACAACAACAGAAAGAAACTTGGCGGATGATCATTACGTAACAAATAAAGACTACAGACTTCAGACTGTACTACATATACAATGCGACGCTTTGCAGTTGTCGCGTGTAATTCGACTCGTTGTCGTCATGGCGACCCTGATGGATTGCTAACGTTCTTCTCTCTTTAGTAAAAACGTACAAAGTATATATGTATATGTGTGTATATGTAATGAAATATACTCGCAAAAAAATCTTGTTGGTTTAAACGCTTGAGAGTGCGGTTTATTTAGCTATATGCCTGATAAATTTTAGCAGCAATAAATCTAAACATATGTAATAATCCAGCGTATACCTTATAAGAAAAAATAACAGCGCCGAGCACTGTATATTGTATATTGCATTTCAATATAATATATATATATATATATATATATATATATATATATGTATTAAAAGATATATAGTGTATCTATATACTGTATATGTTTTGATCTATACTACAACTCTTCCCACATATATAGTTCTGCATTGTTATTTACAATTTATGCTTTTTTGTTCAACTATACATAGTATATATCATATATGGAATATTCCATAATTGAAAATTAAAGAAATACAACACAGGACAACATGCTCTCTACTCAGAAGCTTACAAGAACTGAACACTGCCAGAATGTGGTACAAAGCGCCGGCGGGAAGCGGTTGAAACGAGTTTTCCGTTTATTTTATTATACAGAAGAAGGTCGTAAGCGGCTGTACGACGTTTTGGCTCATTACGCATTCCGCCGCCGCTCACGTGACTGCGGCGCCTTTGCCGCACTACTAAAAATAGCCTATTTCCACACTATATTTCAAGCAGACTTTAGCAATGTAGAGCTTTTTTTTAGAATTGTCATTTTTTGTGATATTTAAAAATTTTTTGTTTATATTAGACAGTCGCATCAATTCTTGTTTAATAATTCCTTCCTAGTTGGATAGTCCGTCTTCTGAGAGTCCAAAGAAAAAAATAACAATCGACCGTTTGAAATCAAGTACATAACAATATTAGCGTCTTTTGTTGCGCGAATCAACATATCCTCTTATCGCTTTACGGCGGATGCGGAATAGTTCGCTTTGGCAAAAAGCCGTTATTAACCGCCAGACTGTCAACTCTGCTCCCCGTCTCAGATAAGTGCTATTCGAAAGTAAATAAACTGCTTTAACTACAAAGCTATATATTTCGCAGAACGATTCTGGACACAGATATTTTTAAATACTAATATAAAATAAAACACAGGGATTTCGTTTTAGCTATTCTACAGATAAATTAATATTCGGAATGTGTAGTTTGTTCACGTTTTCCGTCTTAAAAAAATAGACAATGAAAAAAGCAATTAGCGGATACAACATCCGAGATATCTGCCGCAATTCGACGTGATTAGGCGCAAAACTAACGCTGACGCGCAAGTGCATTATAGTCGGATCAAAGCTGTCAAACGTGAGAGAAAGGCTACCAAACAAAAGAAAGGGCCCCCACGGCTCACTTTACGACCGGCTGCCAAAGCGAACTAACAACTCGTCGACCAATCAGTATCTAAGCTAGAGCCACAGCTCGACGCTGATTGGTTGATTTAGGGCGCCAGATTCTTTCGCCTATCGAAATACAAGCATTCTATACGCATTGTTCGTGGATCGAAGACCGCCGCAGAAGTTCTGCTCTTGGACGTCTTCTAGCCCCACGACGCCCTTTTATCTTTTCTTGCGGCGGTAAGATTACTATTTAGTTACATTTGGATTTTTAAGAATTTTCTGTGGATATTAGGCGAGTTTTTTTGATTTTGCGTAAGTTAGTCATGCGTCACGTTGTACAGTTCGAATACAGAAAATGAGAGTTTAAGGGAAACACAAAGTGAAGCAATTTGACTGTCGTTATAAACTCTTTCTTTTATTACTAGCGTTTTTTGTCTGAATGATTAGTTTTAACATATTTTAATGGTTTAGACGAAAAAGAAAAGAACATGAGCAGCGTCACTCAATCATCGGCGGACGATAACGGTCAAACTGCGCCATCTGTCGCATCACCTCCGCCCAACCCGACTACCGCCGCCGCCGTTGCCGCTGCCGCCGCTGCTATTAATGACAAAGGATTGAAAATGAAGATTAAACGGCCTAACAAAAGCGGAAGACATGAAATTGTTAAACAAGAGGCTAAAAATTTGGAAAAGAAACGCGTTCACTCTCAAATCAATCACTCTGTTAAAAAAACAAATGTTGGAGGTCAAACATCGTCAAAAGATCGTAAACCTAATACCAGCGAATATGGCACACCTGCTCCATCAACTCCTTCAAAAAGGGAACATGACCCTTATGACTTTTGTAATGATGATAGTAGACCATCAGCAGCAACATCTTCTACAGTTCCTGTGAAGAAATTAAAATCGGATGCCTTAAAGGTAGGCCTTAATTTTATGTTTTTCGAAAAAATAACGTCAGCCACACAATCGTTTATATGCTGCTTTTCAAATAATTCTATCTCTGTGAGTACACGAACGGATAAGATAATGACGTTCTTGGCTGTGAGCCAATGTTCCGTTGAAGATAAGAACGCCACCTACGTTATCGTGTCTTAACACGCCGCTTTATTTATATTATATATTGTATTTTTACCCGAACAGTCGAATGACGGCATGGTTGACACAGCGACTGAAACCTGTTCAATCGGTGTCGTTACCGATCCTGAATGCCTGGGACCTTGTGAACCAGGAACTTCAGTCACGCTTGAAGGGATAGTTTGGCATGAAACAGAAAATGGTTGGTAGTATATATATAATCAATCAATTTTTAGAAATCGTTTTTCAATATCTAACAGGAGTACTAGTCGTAAATATAACTTGGCGTGGTAAAACATACGTGGGAACACTTTTAGATTCGACAAAAAATACATGGGCCCCGCCTAGACTTGGCGACGACTCGCCTACTAGCGAATTAGATTCGCGAACGCCGAAAGGTCGCGGTAAGAGGGGAAGGGCAGCTGCTAGTCAAGATACAGGTGAAAGAAAACTGCGAAAAACAAGGGGTCGACAACAGGCGGCTGCTGCAGCAGCCGCTGCTGCGTCCATTCAACAACAAAATTGTATAAACACAGCACCTGCTAGTCCTGCGAAAACTGGTGAAAAGAGAAAAGCTAACCGTCCAACTGAATTGGATCTTGAGGTTAAAAAATCCAAACCAAATTCAAGATCTAGTACGCCAATTGGTCTAAGGGGTGATGATGACTATATTGAGTGCCCCGAACCAAATTGTAACAAAAAGTACAAACATCTCAATGGCCTGAAGTATCACCAAACTCATGCTCACGGAGAAACGGCTATGTCGGATTTATCGCCCACTCTTCCACCAGCAAAGTGCCCGGATACACCAGTTAAACATGAAGAAGACGAGTGTTTAAAAAGTCCAAAAGCTGAAAATACAAATGACGAAAACAGAAAAAAACTTGTCAAGTGCGATAGGAGTAGTAAAGGAAATAAGCGCTCAACACCAACAACACCAAAAACTAAAACTGAACCTTCTTCCTCAACGTCTATAAAAGACAAAAAGCCGAAAAAGAAAAAAAGTAAGGATAAAGAGCGAACAAAAGAATCTAGCCAGTCTTCATCACAGAAATCAGAAGAAAATTCCGTGAAAAAATTAGAAGTAGCTAAGCCTATGGCAGCTCCAGCTGCTCCTATGGAATCGACGGCAACGAAATCAAATAAGGAAGACCAACGTCCAGCCCAATCTCCTGCCTATAGTGATATTTCAGATGCTGCCAATGAAACGGCTTCAAATACTCCTGAAGCACGAGTTAAAAACAGCTTGAATGACACAAGTACCGGTTCAAATACAAACTGTTCCACAGCTTCTGCATCATCTTCAGCTGTTGCCTCATCGTCATATTCTCATTTATATCCATCACCTTTTATGGGAGTACCTATGCATGCAACTAGTCCAGGCGGTAGAGAAGAAGAGAAAGAAGAACGACGTCAGAAAGAAAGTCCAATTGAAGCTGCAAAAGCAGACGATGACGCCCACCATCGACAACATTTTCTTATGCAACAACAGCAGCAAATGCTGGCAGCTCAGCACGTAGCCCAGTTTGGTGCAGCAGCCTACGGACAATATCCACCATATATATTTGCCGCTCCTTCATTTCGTCATCCCCAGATTGAAGAGGATAAAAATAAACCTATTGATCTTAAGAAGCCGTCCGCCTCTTCACCTGCTTCTTCTCCTAAATCATCATCTACACCCAAAAGGCCTCCTCAATGTTCTTCCGCCTCTAGCACCACTTCTAATGGTTCTTTGATTCAAGCACAACAAAATGCAGTAGATGATAGACGAGATGGAAATAAATCTCATTTAGCAGCCGCTGAAGTTAGCAATGGAGCAGCAGCTCGTCTCATGGCGGAAAGAGATCGAGCGCACGCTCTTAGGCAAGTGAGTGACATGCAGAGAATAGCAATGTATCATCATCCCCCGAGTACGAGAGCCAGCACTCCACCAGACAGATATTCTCCTCGAATGGATATACCGAAAAACCTTCCAACAGGAGTTTTGTCACCTTACGCTCTTCCTAGTTCACAAAATATGCTTCTCTATTTACAACATCAACAGCAACAACATCATCATCATAGGACAGCACTCATGCAACAGCATTTAGCCACAAGCCGTGAATCGGCTGAATTATCAGCGCCACCCGGAGGTCATAAAATAAACGAATTGAAGGAAGCCGCTCGAGCGCATCCGTCCGTCTCGACAAAGTGAAAGGACCGCGTTTAATTAACTGTGAAACTTTCTCTTTTCGCTACTTACATACTATTCTAGTATAAGTATAATCGTGTTGTGCTGAATGTTTTATTTTTGTTATATTTGTAGAATCGTTACATAAAATAATTCTCCTAAGAACTACTCTTCTTCCCTGCAATAAATAATTTGAATAGCGCCTAATTAAAACTTATTCTCCTGAGAGTTAACAGAGAGCAATCTCTATACCTAGTTTTTTATTTTCATTACATCACGTACCTTTGCTATGGATGTATCAATCTCAAATTTAAAATTCTTTGTATACTTTTCACTCGCCTTCTTGCCTTCTTGTGATAATTTGGGACTAGTGAAATTCCTATCAACTGATAAGATTGTTACAGAAGGAGAACACATTCAATTAGAAGTAGTAAAAACTGGAATAGCTGCTAGCCGCATCATTGTTGCAGTTGAAATCCTGGGTCAGAATACTCATGATTTTGAAGGCACGTCTGTTGTTTTGACTATACCACCCGGAAAGGAAAGTTATACAAGCAATGCTCATTTTATAGTAAAAAATGATCAGTTTCCAGAAAAAGACGAACTATTTAGATTTAAGTTGACTGTACTTAACGGCGACGGTAAAACTGTTCAACCTGATATATTAAAAGTTGTCATTGCTGCTAACGATAATGCCTTTGGAGTATTTAGTCTATCCAACACTGTTGGTTTTTTTATAAATATACTATCGTAGTTAATATATTTTAACTACTTTCAGGATACAATGTTGGTTGTTAGCGAACTGTCAGAAATAAATAGAATTCCTTTCAATATAAAACGGGAAGCTGGAGATTTTGAAAATGTTACAATTTTGCTTAGAGTTAGATCAATACATTTTTTATTGTATTCAATATAATTAGTTCAATTTCTAGATCGATGAATTGCACGGAAGAAAAAATAGTAGTGAAGATATTAAATTATCTAATAGTATTGTTTTCTTTACTGAAGGAGAACGAAGTAAGCAAGTGTATTTGGAGATAATACCCGATGTTATTGCGGAGAATGACGAAATCTATGCCGTTTATTTAGATCAAGCCAATCAGCCATCTGACGTACTTAATACAACAAATATTGTTCTAAGTCATATTCCAATGACGATCTTAATATCGGAAAATGATGCACCTATAAGATTTTCTCAAGTCTTATTCCACTTGAACTTTGTTATTTTAATTTAAATATTAATTTTTTCAGCTTGAATACATCTTTAATGAAGAGGAGTTTAAAATTACTGTACCGATCTTCTTATTCAGAGGATTGAGTATAGATGGAATAACAAGGATAGGTCCTATCGAATCACCGGCCACAGTCGATTATTATATTATTCCTAAGTCGGCAACACTTAAAACGGACTTTGAAGGAAAAAATGGAACAGTACAATTTTCTTCTGGAAATACAAAGAGTTATTTTGAAATAAACGTTCTAGCCGACGAAGTTCCTGAGAAAATCGAAACTTTTTTAATATATTTAACGAATCCTGTTGGTGACGTTGTTCTTGATATTCCACATCAGGTTAATGCGACAATTTTGAGTAATGATAATCCACACGGAGAAATAAAACTTACGGATAAAAGTCAACTATTAATTGATGAAGATAAAAATATATCGGAATATTTCATATTATTATCAAGATCGGGAGGTCGATTTGGGAAAGTGCTTATCAACTGGACCATAATTAGCGATTCGGAAGAGTCGGTATTGAGTGATTTTTACAGTGTAAATGGATCTGCTACTTTCGAGGAGGGGGAAGAAGAACGCAATGTCTCTATTATAGTTCTTTTAGATAGTGTACCTGAAGAACCCGAGTCGTTTACATTTTGCCTAATACCAGATACGATAACAGGTGGAGGAAAAGTTGAAACAAATCCGTGTAGAAAAATAATTATACTTGATAGCGATGATATGTATGGAGTCATAAAGTTCAATTTGGATAATAGCGAAATTATTATGGTTAGTGAATTTTTATAAATTAAACACCTAATCTTTCTGTTTAATTAAGGATAAAGGAGTAAGAAATTTACGGATAGCTATGACGAGAGATGGAGCAAATAATGGAATACTTGAAATAGATTTGGTGATCTTGTATTCCCAACATTCACGAATACATGGTTATTTCTATATCCATTATACTGTATATTTATATATATACAGTAGCATTTCTATTTTTCAGACGTATTAAATACATCCTTTCCCATCACATTACCATTTCCTGAAAGGGAAACTTCCATGTTTTTTAATGTTTGTATACAAAACAGAAATACTTTAATAATATTTAATTACTATCATTTAAAGATTCCTCTTAAAAGGGAGGCATATCTAAAATTTGGAGCGTATTTCAATATTTCTATTGTAAAATTGAACCTTAATAAAGGTTAGTAGGAAATATTTCTATTTAAAGGAAAATCAAACTTTCTCTTAGTCTTGAGGTTTGGACCTTATAAAACGCCTAAGGCTGAAGATAGTATCCTTATTATTTCTGTTGATAGAAACTATGCAAATGGAGAAATAGGCTTTTTAGATGTAAATAATACAATTGTAAATGAAGGAGATAAAATTGAAATAGAAATAAATAGAGAAGTAACTAATCGTATATATATACGTATATATTCGTCAAATTTTAGACTATTTTATTAGGGAATATCTCCGGAAATTGAGGTATTTTGGGAAATTTTAACGAAAAATAGAACTTCTGATGTTTTTCCATCAAGTGGCGTTGTTAATATTGAAAATGGTAATAATTTTCTATATTTAGGTGACGTAATGAGAAACTTTTATAATCAGGTATGACATCTGGCGTTTTAATATTAAACATTTTGGAGGATTTAGAGCCTGAAAATCAAGAAGATCTGATTATCTCTATAATAGACGTTAAGCCAAATGATAATCAAAAACTTAAAATAAACGGTATTTATTTATGAAATTTCCAAGTAAAATCATAAAAAAAGGAATATACAAAGGAACTAAGAAAAGGATAATAATTCGAGAAAACGATAATCCAGGAGGAATGTTTGAAATAGGGAATGTTACGAAGGATAAAGAAGAATATAAAGTTTTTATTTGATTATAATTAGTTCGCTATATAGGTTTTATTTTATTTAGGAAGGAGATTCTTTTTTATTATCGATTATTCGATCCCAATCTAATATTGCTCGGATATGCATTAAATATGAAGTACCGGGGGGAAACGAAGAATTTATTGGTGTTCCATCTGTTATAGTTTTCGAGGAAGGCGTTTCCGAAGTCAATAAAACCATTATTGTTAGAAATGATGATCTTCCAGAAGTATAAGAAAACGCTATTCTTCCTTAATTACTAGAAATTATTTCACTTTTTTTTACTTGAATATATCTAGATTACAGAAAGTTTTGTTTTGGAGATAAGTAGTTTCGGTCAGGTAGGCGATATAAATTGTCCTAAAGCAACTGCAGTTGTATTTGGGGAGAGAAAATCCATTGAAGTTTCAATAAAAGAAAATGACTATGCTAGGGGTATTTTAAGTTTTGCACCTGATCATTTACATCATATATTAGGTACATCGATTTATCATATTGTCTTTGTTAAAAATAAACAACTATTCTTAACGTAGAGGAATCTAAAAACGGAACTAAAATGAGTGTCCTTATTCCTGTGAAACGTTTCTTTGGACGGTACGGAGAAGTTGGTGTAGATTGGCAAATATTTCCTTTCGAGAATAACACCGATATATATCCATTAACGGGCAATCTGGTTCTTTCAGAGGGTGAAGGTGAAGCTTTCATTGATATTTACAGTATTGACGACGAAGTAAAATCCCTTTAAGAGATTCTTAAAAATGCTTTTCTATATAGAAGAATTGTTTTCACAGATTCCGGAGAAAAATATATCTTACAATATTTCCCTGATGAATCCAAAAAATGGTGCCGTTCTGGGTAATTTAACACAAGCGACCATTGTCATTAAGGGAAACGATGATCTTGTCCATTTTCAGAGTATTAACTATACATTAAAATTATAAGCTTATAATATAATTAAAATTATTTTACAGATACTAAATTTTACGGTAAGATAAGAATGCAATGATACCCAACTAAATGAAATTATTCATTAGCAAACGAAGGAGATAATGTGACTGTAGCAATTATTCGCGACGGACTATGCGATTACGAAGCTTCTGTTTCGTATAGAACAAGGGATTATACGGCTTCGAGTGAAAAAGACTATGTGAAGGAAACAGGAACGATATATTTTAGTGTAAATGAATGCACAAAATATATTCGAATCATTACAAAACCAGATGAAATTCCTGAGAATAATGAATCGTTTTTTGTAAATCTCTTTAATCCAATTGGGCCTGTATCTCTTTTCGGAGTAGAAGATTTAGAAATCATTATCGATGCAAATGATAATGGGAATGGTATATTTGCCTTTGCTTTAAATCATTATTTTGTTGAAGAAGGAGAAATTTCGTTTATTGAAATCAACAGAGATTTTTCTTATCATGGAAGAGTATATGTAAAGTGGGAAATTACGTACGGGAAGAGTGAACAAAAAGCTTTTTTAAATGATAGTGGGATAGTACTCTTCAAAAATGATCAAAGGAAAGCTGCTGCACAAGTTACCGCTATCGCAGATGGAATGCCAGAGTTTTCGAAGAATTATTTTATCACTTTGACTGATCTTTATCGAATGGTCAATGAAAAGGCTATACCTGCATCAGGCTACTTCAATCAAAGCGCCCGTAACGTGACAATTACAGTTACAAAAAACGATTACCCATACGGATTGTTTACTATAAATGAGGATATTCATATCGATGAGGATAGCGTTAGTGATTCAACTGGAAATTTAACAATCATTAGGACTAAGGGATTGAGTGGATTAGTGACTATTCTATGGGAATTGCATGATCCAAATCATGCTGGAAGTAGTCCCTCCGTTCAATTTTTGGATTTAATTCTATTCTCCGATCCTCAAAATTGTTCAAAAGACTATAATGAAAAAGGGAACAACAACGGAATACAAACTCCAATAGTACATTTGAATCACTCTTGTTCTTTACTTATTAAAGAACAAACAATACCTGAATCGTTAAAAATGGTCACAAAAGATAGAGACATGACAATTTCCTTTAGGATACAAATAATAAGAGATGGAACCTTTTTCCGTAAACTATCATCGGAAAATGATAATGAGATATATAATTTAAGCATAAATGTTAAAGAAACGAAGCTGATCTTTGAAAATCAACTTTTAATGCATGAATTTATATTTAAGCCATCTATAAATTATAATAAATGGTACTATTTTACAATAATTCTCAAATCATCCGAAATGTTCTTCTTTCAAGATGGAAAACTAAACGATCGCCAGAGTTTATCGGCTGAATTAAGCGATAACAACGGAAAATTCTTAATTGGTGATCAGTATTTTGAAGGTTTGTTTTCCATGACAATTATTATACTCAAAAGTAGATAGAATTAATGTATTGTTTGTTGTTTCTTTTAGGTTTCGTACAAGATTTTCGTATCTGGGATAGATCTTTAACTTTTTATGAAATAGAAGATTTGTACGTATCACCAGTCTCCGCACACTTTTCTCCTATAAGCGGCTATATAACCTTTGAAGAGCAAATGAAATATCAAAATATCTCAATTCATAAAAAAGACAATTCTATTGCAGAAGATGAAAAAGTATACATTTTTAAGCTTCTTCAACTTACTTCTGGTACAATTGACCCTTCTAAGAGTGAGGTCAAAGTTACAGGTATACTATATAATATTACAGATTATTATATAAACATTTGTTTATACATATATCTCGCATTTCAGCTTTAAAGAGTGATTTGGCAAACGGATATTTTGGCTTTTTAGACAACCATAATATAATAAATATTGAAGAAGGTCAAAATATATCTTTTACAGTTTCCCGCCTACGTGGACGCTTTGGTAGCGTTTATATATTTTGGTCTATTGTGGTCAACAATACTTACGATTTTGTTTCTAACAATGGGTCAATACTCTTCGAAGAAGGTGAAAGCGAGCATGTATGTATTATTATTGATTTCGCATGTTTTCTTTCTAAACTTCTTCTCTTTCATAGAAAATTGATATCTCTTCCGTAAATGATAGTTTTCCTGAATTAACTAAGAAATATACATTAAAACTGGAAAGACTTTCTGTAAATGGCGGCGAAGAAGAATCCTATAGTGGTGGAAATTTTGATGAATCTAGAAGATCGATTCAATTCGAGATAACAGAAAGCGATTATCCCTTTGGTCTTTTTCAACTTTCTACAAGAAATATTGAAAATATGTCTTTAATATTACAACCATTTGAGAAAATGAAATCGGTATATTACTATTCTAAATAAATAAACTCTAAACTGTCTTTTCATACCCAAGGTATTTGTAGAAGAAGCGTGGAAAGTCGTTACAATTACAATTGAACGTATATCAGGTTTAAACGATTACGTCAACATCGAATGGAAAACTACTGATGGGACTGCCCTATCACCTTTTCAATATATTGTTTGTAATCGAATATCTATTTAAGTATATTCTATAGATTATTTTTTTTTCCAGGGCAAAGCGGGAACTATAAAGTTTGCTCCTTTCCAAAAACAGTATTTTATCGATATCGTTTTAGTCGATGATGATATTCCAGAGAATTCAATGAATTTTTTTATCGAAATAAAAAATCCTACTAACGGAGCAGTTATAAATGAAGAAGCAGCCAAAATTGAAATCATAATTCAAAGTTCTGACAATCCTTTTGGAGAATTGATACTCTCTAATGATAAGCTTAATATCTACGAAGGACAGGAATATACGTTAAAGGTGTTTTACATAAAAAATAAATGCTACTCTAACAATCTTATACCTTTATTGAAAATGAACAGCTCTATAGGATAAATGGTACAGGAGAAATAAACGTTACTTGGGAAATTAATGATGATTCAAAAGAATTTAATCAATCGTACGGAGTAGTGTATTTTGGAAGAGATGATTCTGTTAAAACAATAAAATTGACTGCCAATTCGGACAATTTACCAGAAATAGAGGAAATTTACGAATTGAGAATAATACACGTCTCTAATGTAATTCTATTAAGAAAATAATGAATTCTAAGTAATTAGCTCTTTTCTCTTTTTTAAAACTAGGGTATGATAGGTAAACAGAGATATTCTATTTTAAAAATATACGAAAATGATGATCCCTATGGCGTTTTTTTAATTCATCCAAATGTGTACATGTTCGAGGAAACTGCAGGTAATACTACGATAAATCGATTAAATTTTAAATACTAGTTTAATAAGGATTTATTAAGGTATTATTAGCTTCGATGTCGAAAGAAGAAAGGGAACATTTGGAACAGTTGTAATCAGTTTTACAATAGAAAATTCGAGTAAAACAGAAAAATACGCTGATGAAGATGATTATACACTCTTTAATAAAACACTCGTGTTTCAACCTGGAATAGTAATGGCAAAAGTATTCTTGTCTATTTTAGACGATGATATTCCCGAAGAAAGAGAACTTATAGCTATAAAAATGACAGCAAAGTTATTAGTGACGACAGAAAGTGGTAATCTATATTTTCTTTAAAAAACTATCAAGTATAACCTTTAAGTATCATAGATGAAGAAAGATATAATCTTACATATAAATCGCAATCATCCTTGAGGATATATATAATTGAGAATGATTTTTATAATGGTAATTTCACTCTGGAATGTAAAAAGACTATTAAAGAGAGTTATACTTTTGGAGAAATTGCAAAAATTCATAGAAATGGAGGAAAATTTGGAAAAGTTAATTGTTATTCTTTCAACTTAATCTAATAATTAACAAAATGAACTTACAGATCGATGTATATTATTATATAGAACATGGTTCAACTGAAAAAGACGATTTTAGCTTACTAAACGAAACAAAAGTTACATTTTTAGAAGGAGATGTATCAAAAGCAATTTTTCTTTCTATTGTGGATGATAGCATCCCCGAGGGCAATGAATGGTTTTCGCTTCAAATAAAAGTTCTTTTTATATCCAGCTTACCTTATATATTTATATACTATATAAATACTTTCAGGTGACATCTAACAGTTCTACACTGAATCAACCATCGGAATGTATCATAATAATTGAAGAGTCTGATTTCTATAGGGGAGTCTTTCAGTTTGAAAAACAAGGCGATGTGTCTCTTATCGATAAAGAAAGCAATTTTCATAAAATTAAAATTATTAGAAAGGGTGGTTTACAATCTGTAATACCAGTTTACTGGAAAATTGTATCTCCTAAGATAAAAGATATTGAAGTTTTACCAAATACTGGAACTGTAAATTTTCTAACTGGAGTTACAGAAGAGTTTCTTGTTATTTCTGTGATATTCAAAAAATTCATCACAAAAGTATATTAAAATATAGAGAGTTATAGAAAAAGTCCTTTCTACTATTTATTATATTCTAGACAATAGAAATAGAACTATCTAAAGCCATCAATGCAACAATTAAAAATGGCGGTGAACGTTTTTATCTAACCCTTCTTCCATCTCAAAGCTCATTTGGCCTGTTAAAATTTGATGAAAACCAACAAAAATTATACGAACTAGCCAGCTCTTCGAAGCAAACAATTGACATTATTCGAATGTAAGAAGATACTCTTTTCATAATCTTATAAATAACGAACTTTTTCAGAGGTGGACTCTATATGGAACTGGAAATCTTTTACGAAATCAAACAAACCAGTGTTAAAGACTATTTAATAGATGAAAATAAGATAGAAAGCTATTTCTCTCAACCAAAAAGTGGTAAATTACCAATGGTTGGAACAGTTGTGGACGTAAAAGATCAAAGAACACCAAAAAAGGTAAGTATTAATCACTATTGTACATGTTGAATAGTTGAAAATTCTTATATACGTATCCGATTATTTGTAGAGTTGCAGTTTAATATGTTTGTTGGATAAGAATTGCAAATCTTTAGATTTTAATATGGAAACTTTACAATGTACGTGGTACAGCTCTGGAGACTTTGATTATGTTGACGACCGAAAGTATTATATTCATTTTAGAAAGAATGAATCACTTATGCAAACGCTTGAAAAGAAAATAGCAAAGGAAAATGAGGACTTTTTACCATCTTCAAACAGCGTCCAATTGAAAGCTTGGACGAGTAGAGTAAAAATTCCAATTGATATCCTTTCCGATTCTCTACCTGAACCGGATGAAATGTTTACAGTTGAAATTAAAGATGTTAAATCGTTAAATCGAAATAATACAGATAAAATCTTTAAAACGCCATTTTCAAAGACAATAATTATAAAGAATAATGACAATTACTTTGGTTTATATAGTATAAATATATTATTGAAAGAGGATAGCGAAAGATTCAGACACGTTAAAGTTTCGGAAGATAATGAAAACTTCGTTTTAGTTGAAATTAAAAAAATTGGCGGAAGTGAATTTCATTCGTCGGTGTTTTTAAAAGTGAATACTCAATTATCCAATGGTGATACGAACGACATCATTTTTAAAGATCAGAACGTATTCTTTGCTAAAAACGAAACAAGCAAAATTATTTTGGTAGGAATCAAAGATGATGATCAACCGGAAAGCGAAGAAAAGATAGTTTTTGTCATTGTTAATCCTTCGGACGGTGGTCAAATAGATAGAGAATTAAATAAAGTTGAAATAATTATTGAAATGTCCGATTACCCATTGGGAGTATTTGGATTTCTTTCACCTGGAATGAAAATCTCTCAAGGTAAAAGCATAGAAATTGAAATCTTTCGAGAAAAGTTTATCAAAAGTGCTGTACAACTGCAATACAAAATCATAAATACAAATATATCTAAAGATTATATAACCACTATTGAAAGCGATATTATGTTTGGAATGAATCAAAATATTTCAACAATTTCTCTAGTTCTAGCCAAACTTACAAGGCCAACTTTAGACGTGACGATTAAATTTGAACTATCAAGTGTTGACGGCCTCTTTAATAGTTCAACGATGAATGGTTACGTTAATCCGTTAAGAATGTATTTTTTATTACAAGTGCTGGGCGCAAACTATCCTCATGGTATCTTTTCATTCGTACATAATTCAATATCAATTGAAGAAAATTCTAAATTTTATGAATGTAGTATTAAAAGATCATATGGAACATTTGGTAAAGTGGGTGTATATATAGATATTATTAAAAAGTCCTCAACTGCTATTGAGCACGAAGATTTTCGGTTGACAAACACCCTTGCAGTTTTTGATCAAGGTTCAACGTTAGAAACGATAAAGATTGATATATTTGATGATGATATTCCGGAAATTCGAGAATGTAGTTCAATCTAATATATATCATAGATATTTGATTATAAATTTCGTTTTCCGATAGATTTTACCTTAAGGATAATATCTGTTAAGGTATTAGATACCTTAACGAATCATACGCCTCTTATAAATGATACCGAAGATATTATAACAATCAATATACTTCAAAACGATAACGCCTATGGCATTTTTAATTTCGAAAGGACATCGTAAGAAAGAGATAAATTTTTTTAATCTATTATATATAATTAATAAGATAAAAAACAAACATTGAATTTTCTATAGACTAAGCGTACAGGAAACAAATTCATCTTTTAATATAAGAGTTCTACGATCAAGGGGACTATTTAATAACGTATCAGTATTTTGTTATTCCCAAGGAACCGTAAATGGCGCCAGTTTTAAAAAAGATTTTGATTTTATTCCAAGAGTAGATACAATTTTGAATATCTTAGTTAAAAGCTTTCTACTATTTTACTATATACTTATTAATTTTAACAGCGTCTAGATTTCGAAGAATTTGAGAAGGAAAAATCGATTACTTTCGAAATATTTGAAGATAAAGATTTTAAAGAAGGAAACGAATCATTTTTCATTTTAATGGATAATCCTACAAACGGTGGAGAATTGGGAAATATTTCTTCCGGTTGATAGTTGGATTGATAGATTTTTATCGATATTTATCTAAAATTTTCATTTTTTTTTAGTTCTGATAACGATTATCGATGCAAATAACGAATTTGTAGTGAAATTTGCTGATAGAAACGATATTGTTTTAAAAGAGATTACAAAATCAATTTTCTTAAAAGTTGTACGAAAAATGGTCCATTCGTTTAAAGAATACAAGTTTACTGTCTCTAATTCAAAAGATAAACATTCCAAAGATATTAAACCAAATTCCGGAAAGATAACGTTTAAACGAAACGAAGTATATTAATAATATTTTACAAAAGTTTGACAATAACATCTATTTTTCGTTTTAGGCAGTCCAATATATCATTCTAGATATTATTGATGATGAAGAACCGGAAGAAGATGAAATCTTTTTCGTAAACATATATTCAAACTCCTTATCAACTTTATACGATAAGACAAAAATTATTATCAGAGAAAATGACCTTCTATCAGATTTGTATGCTCTGCAAACGAGATGGTTAACTATCCATATAGTATTACATTTATATATATTTATATATATAATGCATATATATATATCTCTCTCTAGGGATGTCTACTCTGAAGACGATACTATAGAAATAACAATTTCAAAAACAAATTCCTATAACATATCTATTCCTTTAAATTTAGTAACAATTGATGGAACGGCTAAACATACTAAAGGACTATATACATCTATTGTTCCCTTCCAAAAAGTACAATATCTCTCTTTAGACAAAACTATCTATCTTTGATAAATTCTTTGTAGTTTTCAGAAAGAAATACTAAAAACAGAGAATATTTCCTGTCTACTCATTCAACAGTTGTATTTGGTGGAAGTTATCTTGATGATAATACACAAACGCTAGTTTATAATATCAACTTTTATATCTATAATGATTATTTTACAAGAAAAACTTTTATACTTCCTATTACACCGACAAAAATACAATTTCTTAGTACTGAATTAATTGGATTCATATCCGGAAGTGGCAATCATACTAGACTTTCGGTTTATTCAATTAATAATGATAAGTTACTTTTGGTAAGTTCTTTATAAGATAAATATAATAGACAATTATAAATCCAAGTTAAATTTTTAGGTAAAAGATATCTCGCTAACAAATTTAATAAACTTTGGAATAGTCTATAACTCTCTCTTCGTATTAACTAAATATGAGCTATACTTCTATGATAAGAAGGATTTAAATAGTCTTTTAGAGGTTTTAATATTAGATATACCAATAAAAGATTCGAAATTTATTTCAAAGCAGTCAATATTCGTCTTTTGTTCTGATATCGAAAGCCCGAGGTTAGTATGGTTCCAAATGTACAAAAATGGTCTAATTATATTAATTATATCTTTTAGCATTTATCTATATAAAATAACAGAAAATCTGGCTCTTATTCAACTAAATAAAGTTGAAATTGAATCTTGCGGGAAAATACAATATTTCAAAACAACTAATTATTATATAATAATAAAAGTACACTCATTTATAAATGTCTGGCAGATAAGCTATGACTTCGAAATGAATCTCGTTGAAACTATTTCTGCTAGCGGTGTCTCTAATTATGAAATCTCTTATCCCATGGGAGAAGAAGGTACGAGTAAATGACCTTAAAGTCATACTTATAGTATTATCTTCCTTAGTTTATCTTACTCTATCCGGTGAAAATATCGATTCTCAAGTGTTCTTATGGGAAGAGAAAGAAAAATCATTTTTAAATCTCTTCTTAAAGAATTGGGAAAATATTCTGTTTATATATCAAAAGGAAAAGGCGTATGCTTTCTCTCTCACTGAAAATTCTACCGCAATTGGATTAATAAACAAAATTAACTCAAGCAGCGATATGAGCTTTCTGTTTGTAAGCGTTTCTCTTCTTTTCATTTATATATTGTTTCTATATTTCCAGGGATTTTACATTCAAATTTGAAGAGATGGAAGATATAAAAACTTTCTATATGAAAGTCTATGATGACAACGATGCTGAAAATTCAGAATATTTTTTCATTAATCTACTTTCTAGTGATAAAAGTACATTGTTTACTTCTAAAATGATAAGGATCCGCGAAAATGATGACTTTAATGGGGTATTTTCTTTTCACAATAACTTTTTAAAAGTATCTGTGGAAGAGAATGTCCAATCTTTTGTTGATCTCACAATAATAAGGGAAAGAGGATCTTACGGTAAATGTATTGTATTTTGGATTTTTGATGACCCTACTAATACTGATATTCAGCCAACTTCTGGAATGGTAAGTAAAAATGTCAATCTATTATTAGTTATCTATATTAACTGTTCTAAATACTTAGGTAGAGTTTGAAGAAGGTGTAACAGAAGGAAACATATCCCTATCAATCATCAATGATAATCAACTGGAAAACGTGGAATCTTTTTTCATTTTTCTGCAAAGAACCGTTGGTGGATCTCGTCTCGGAGATAAGAGATATTCATTGTTACAAATAAATGCAAATGATATGAAATACGGAAGAGTTCGTTGGAAGACGGACAAAGTAAATGCCTACGAAAATGAAGAACTACAATTAACACTATTAAGAGAAGAAGGATTGACCGACGATTTAAATGTGCGAATCTTGTCTTTTATTGATATACAAGATGAATATTCAGCCAAGCCAGGAGCCGATTTTTTCCCAATAGATGATATTTACGTTATCCCCAGCGGAGTATCTCAAATTTCTATTCAAGTTAAAATCCATAATGTTAGATTTAAATAGATAAATTGATAAATTAATTAAACGATTTCTTCTTTAAAAAAAAAGGATCTTATAGCGGAAAGAAATGAGCAGTTCTATTTAAAGATATTTTCTGTTTTTCCTAAAAATAACCCGCCGAAGAGTTCGGATCCCCTAATTGATTCTTTCAGTCAAATTTGTACCATAACTATAGTTGAGAACGATTATCCAAATGGTGTAGTTGAGTTTAAAGTTGGTTCTTTTTTTCTTTTTTTGTTAAATTGCAAAAGATAACGATAATAAACTTAAATAATTCTTAAAGGAAAGAAACGTACGTATGGTGAAAGAAAACGAAGCTTTTGTCAGATTTCCTATTATCCGTCGAAACAATATTAATAACAGTAGCGTTATAGTTTCGTGGAAAGCATCAACGAAAACAACTGTCGACTTTAGACCTATATCTGATAATCTTGTATTTCATCCTAACGAAAATTTAAAATACGCTAATATTTTTATCATAGATGATAGTGAGATGGAAGGAAAAGAGGTACTGGGATGATCTCATTATCGAGTTTTATCTTGATTTCTTTTCTTCTTCCATAGGTATTTGAATTAAACTTGGAATCGAATGATAATAGTCTTTTAATAGGAGAAAACAATAAACAAGTGTTTTATATTTCCGATAATGATTCCCCTCTGAATGATATCGGATTCGAAAAAAGTACATACGTTTTAAGTACAAACAATGCTAATGAAGATAAAAGTTTCCATATACCGATTAAAAGGCAAAACGCAGGAGAGAGTTTATCTCTCGTATATAAAGTATCAACTACGGCAGTTAATGATATAAAAGCTCCATTAACTAAGAGACTATCATTTAATATTGGCCAAACAACAAAAAATGTTGTCTTACATGTTTTAAACAAGAAGAGATACGAAGAAAAGGATTATGTATTAGAGATAATCTACTTAAATGATTCTGATAACTTTCTACCAAAGAATTCAAAATGTCAATTAATTTTACCGCCCAATATTCAAAGTGAGGTGTCTGTAATAACGAAAGATGTCTATGTTAATGAACCTAGTATGACAAACTCTGGAACGGCTGCAATTAGTATTGAACGTTTCAAAAATCTACTAATACCTATACAAATTGAATGGTCAATTATACCAAACGAACTAAATACTTTTAAAAAGAGAAATGGAGTTGTAAAGTTTGAACCTAATGAAAATAGACAAGTTATAACTCTAAAACCTTTAGATGACTCTATTCCGGAATTGGAGAAATCGTATTTATTCTTAATAAAAGTTGCCGAATCGTATGATGAAACAGTTAAAATTGTTGATAATTCCGCAAAAGTACAATTTGGTGATAGTGATTTTCCAAGAGGATATTTTGAATTTTTAAATTTCAAGCAGAATATAATAAGTGAAACTGTAATTGATGTAAAAGTTGCTAGGAAAAAAGGTACTTTTGGATCAGTAAATGTCTTTATAGAGACAATATCGAAAAGTTCTGATATGGAAAAGATTGATAGGATACTACCATTTTTAACTAATCAGAAACAAGCTTCATTTTACATCCATTTTAATTCCAGTTTAAGAAATGGTTCCTTTATTCATTTACGAATTCATAAAACTGAACTTCTTTCACATAATAAAAACAATAAGGAACTGTTTGAACCGCCAAAAATTGGATTTATTAATCATATTTATCTATATTATACAAAGATTTCAAAAGTATCAATTAAATTTGAAGTACGAAACTTTTATGGATCGGAGGGAAAGATTTTGAAAATACCTATTCAAATATCAGGAGATAACTATGAAGATGTAATAATACATTTCGATACGAAAGATATTTCAGCAGAAAGAAATATTGATTATAGACTGTTGACTGATACGATAATCGTAAGACCTACTGAGTCAAAAATTTTCCTGCTTGTAGAAATAATCGACGACAATATTGCGGAAGGGCAAGAATTGTTTATAATCAATATCCGTTCCGCTTCAGGTATTTTTTATTAGCGTATAATCTAACGCATTTACCTACATTTCTTGTTGTCAAAAAAAATATGTTTACGTTAATTATTTGGAATATTTCTCTTTCATTTTTAATTTTAATTTATGATATAACAGGAGCCATACCAGTTGAAGTTAATGATAATAGTACTACAGTAGTCATCAATACATCTGATTTTCCATATGGGCATTTAGAGTTTATAAAACCTGTTATATATGAATTTGAAAATCCATCAGAAGATACATCTTTTACGGCTGGAATCGGAAGGAATGGACATTCAAAAGGATCAATTAAAGTATTTTTACAGTTGCAACAGATTTTTGAAAATAGATATTTAGATATAAAAAACGTTGATGATATTTGTTTCATTGAAAGGGGAGGTTGTTCAACAAAAATCTCTCTATTATGGACAAACAAAGAAGTAAACAATAAGACATTTTCTCTTCAAATTAAAAAGCACGGTTTACAATGGGAAATTGAAAAAAATTTCCGCGTTATCATGTCAATGATTCAGTCATCAGAAGGCGGTACTTTGGCAGATTATCAAACAATGTACTTTCTGTCTATAAAAGTAATTATATAACAATATTCATATACTGTATATACATTCTTGATTCTGAAAGATTGTTCATCTCTTTCAAAGGTCAAAAAATACTTACATCCAAATGGAATTGTAGAGTTTTCTGGTATATCTCTACAGAAACGTCTCTTTGAAGAAGCAAATGATTTTCAGATAGTTTCATTTCCAATTTACAGGAGTTTGGGAACAATTGGAGATATAAGTATCTATTGGAATATTCAACAAGAAGGAGCTAAGAACAATATGGAAAAGAATAAGAAAGATTTTACCCAATTATCCGGTTCCATTCAAATTAAAGATGGATCACGAAATGGTGTAATAGAAATTAAAATTATTAACGATGAGGTTCCTGAATTTCGGGAAGATTTTTCAATTAATATCGTTAAAATTATTGGAGGTGCTGAAATAAGTTCACAGTTGAATAAAAGTTCTTTTTCAATAAGGTAAAAAAAATAGTATCAATAAATGCTTGTATTATCGTTAAATGTTTATAATTTTAGAGCAAATCAACACCCTTATGGACTATTTGGAATTTTGCCTTTGGAACCATCCTTAGAAATAAATAAAAATACGAAATTGCGTACTTTAAATTTCGTTTTCTATCGTTATAGAGGATTATCTGGCGAAGTGAGACTTGTTTATACAATTGAGAAGGACAATGACGAGAAAGTTTACTCAATAAAATTTAAAGAAAATGAAGATACGCAAAAGATTTCAAGTAAAATTCAAACAGATTTATTCCTAAGGAAAGGAGAATCTTTTATTATAAAAATTAAATCCGTATCCCTACAAACAATTAATAGAGGTGTTTATGTTAATTAAATACTTATTGAATGAATAATAACTGCTTTCTTTTCAGATGAAATTGAACCAAGCATTCGGGAAGATAGAACAAAACTCATTATTGAAGTAACTGAGAGATATGCGAATAGTATTGTTGGTATAAAAGTCAATGAATCTTTTGATAATGAAAAGAGAATTAAATTACAAATATTTCGAAATGGTTTCTATGGATATTTAAGTGTTAAGTGGGCTTTGTTCTCCAGTTCAAAGTTTTTAAACGGAACTGATGGTACAAATATTTTTATTGATGGAGAAGAAAGCATTGAACTTGAAATTTCAATGCAAAAAGAAAGCTTAGTCAATCTTTTATGCGAAGTTGTTATTTCTGATGTAAAACTTATTAATTCTTCGGGTGGTGTTCTAATTGATGAAAGATACAAAAGTGTAAAAATATATCCTGAAGGTGTCATTGTAGTCAATCAACAGCAACGTTTAATCAAAACCTCAGAAGATTCGGGCTATGTAACAATAGAAATGAATCGTTTTTTTGGGAATTTAGGTGCCATTATAGTATTTTTTCAAACTAGCGACATAAATACTACCAAAGATGTTGATTATAGAGCAATAAACGATGGAAAAGTTGTATTTGCTGAAAAAGAAGTTACAAAAGTTGTAAAAGTCGAAATATTAGATGACGAAGAAGCCGAATTAGATGAAATTCTGACCTTAACTATAACTCAAATAACATGTAAAACAAATTTGTGCATGTCATCAAAAGATCTAAGTTATTCAAAAATCCTTATAGAAAAGAATGATAATCCTTATGGTGTGTTCTCTATTCAATCCGAGCAGACATTTGTTAACGAACCAAGTGAGATTACTCTAAAGATTATTCAACACTTCAATACAAAACAACGAGTAGATATTAGAGTAAGGTCAATAGGGGGTGGTGAAAGTTGGTTAGTTCCATCATCAAACAGTGATAAGACTATTGAAAAAGCCTTAGAAATCAGAGATATGAAAAAGAAAAGCTCTGCTTACGAAGATTATCAAGTTCTAGATCAACTTATAAGTTTCTATCCTGATGATAAAATGCATACTGTTAAATTTTACATTCAAGATGATTTGTTACCTGAAAGTTTTGAAGAATGTTTTATATATCTTAGTTCAGAGAATCCAGCCGTTGCTTTTGCTAATCAAAACAATAGTTTTAAAAGTTACGCTACCATTACAATTAAACCAAATGATATGTGGAATGGTATTGTTGGATTCGAAAAGCTTTCTTTTACTTATGACGAAGATTCTCAATCAATTATCAAAATACCAATCGTAAGGAAAAATGCATTTTTTGAAAAATTACAGGTATCTTGGTTCGTTTTACCTGTGAATAATGAATTATTAAAAAGGAAGATATTGTCAATGAAAGGAACAACGCAATTTGAGAAACTTACCAATCGTACATTTATTGAAATTCCCTTTAGAAATGACAAAATACCAGAAAACGAAACGTATTTTTTCGTTAAAATTGATAAAGTTGGCGAAGGAGCAAGGATAAATGATAAAGAAGACGAATGTAAAATCATTGTTCTGGGTAACGATTATCCAAATGGTTTTATCCAATTAGTATCAACAACAGAGAATACTATTGTTAAAACGTCTAAATCGCATATTGATTTAAAAATTGAAAGAAAAGGTTTTCTTGGTAAACGTATAACGTTTAAATTAAAAACCGAAAGTCCATTAAATTCAATACAATTACCCGAGTCCAAAGTGGAAAGAGCCGTTAATGGTGAATTTCAAAAAATTGATAAAGAGTTTGTATTTGAACCGAATATGGTAAGTATAACGATAATGATAATAATTTCGTTGAAATAATCTTTATATTCTTTAAATTTATAGAAAGAAATTGCCGTTAATATTAAATTGAATATAAGCACATCAAAAGCTAAATTTTTTACTGTATTACTATACGAATTATCAAATTCGGCTAGGTAACAAACAGTTTATAATGTTAATTTATACTTTTAAGTACTATCACTTTTTACTTTTAGCTTAGGAATATCGGAAATAAACGTTACGATAGTAAACGACGATATCTACCAAATATGGATTATTTTTAATGATTTTAAAGTATATCAAGCAACGAATGTTACGGCTATTACATCGTTAGTAGGAATATTTATACAATTTATATAAATTAAATAGTAAACAAACGTTAAAGTTCTTTTGTCTTTTTCTTTTTTTTTTGCAGTACAACCCGACAATTAATCAACGTTGCTAAAAGTCCACTATCTAATACTTCCGGTGATATGATGAAAGCTTTATTGAAATTTTTATTCTCTTCTCTGGAAAGTAACTTATGGAATGATAGTCTATATCAAGATATATTTGAAACGTTTTGCATCTTACTTCAATCTACTCGTAAAGATTATTTACATGGTAATTCCGATTTCGTAAATCTATTACGTGACTTTCTACTATTAACGTTTCCTACAAAAGAGCAACAATGTAGTCCTATTGAGTTAGTATTACCTTCATTGAAATCCTACATATAATTCACTATGTTTTATCGGTAGATCTCAAATGGAATGCGATACATTAAAAGTAGTATTTGGTATTAAAAATATCTCTTCCTTACAAGATTTTAGGATTCAATATACGAAGAGCGATTATATTAAAATATCTTCTAATACAAGAGATATTGATCGTCGTAAATGCGGAAGGTTCACTATAATTGAATATAAAAGTACCCTATGGTACAAAAATATAGTAAAAAGTAATGACTTTTACGGAAAGAAGGTATCTCTAAAACACAATAATAATTAACACCAAAGGATAAACATTTTCTTTTACCAATTAGATTTTGTCTTGTACTATAAACTATGAAAAGAATCCTATAAATTTGAAATCTATTTCGTATCGAATTAGTGATAAACTGGTTGACAAACAAGACAAAAAATTAAGCTGCTCTGGAATGAATATCAATAATAAATCACATTTTGACAATACATTTTGTAAAGCATTGACTGGTCAAAGACTAAATGAAAAGTTTGTTGAATGTGAATGTAAAACAGGAGAGCAGTTTGCAGTTTTAATGAAAGATATGACAAATTCTTCAAATTTTGGGCTGTACTTTTATATATCAGTCATATTTTGTTTGGTAAGACTCTTTTTTATTTGTTTTTTAAAAAAAAAACTATACTCTTTTTTTTTTTATTTATTTTCAGATCTGTCTCTTCATTATCTTACTCTTTCATCATACATGCAATAATGACGGCCTTTTCCCTATTGATCTTCATATGCACATGTTCTTTGCTTCTTTTAGCTTTCTGGCTTGCTATACTCTTGATACGTTTTTCAGCGAAAAAATTTTATCAAACAAGAATAATTGTACTGCAATAGGAGTTATTCTGCAATATTTTTTCATTGCGCAATTTTCCTGTTCAACTAGTCAATCTTTAAACTTTTGGAGAAGTTTAATTACAAAGAAGAAGCATAATCTAAAAGTATATGTTGCTTATATGTTATTAAATTGGATTCTACCTGGCTTTTTAGTTGGTTGCTTTTATATTGGGACGTACCTTATTAATAAATACGTAATTGAAGTTGATCCCAACATATACGGCGATGTTCAGGGTAATGGAGATGTTTGTTTTTTACAAAATAGATATAACGTTCTTATTGGCATTCTACTTCCCTGTGTGGTATTTTCTCTAATAATTCTTATCATTATGGTTCAAATATCCAGAGAAAAGGCGAGTTGGCAGTTTAAAGATGATATATACGTGAATAGATTTAACCTTTATGAATTACGATATCTACTTATTAGTTGGCTGTTTCTAATATTTGCTTGGTTGTGGGGAGGATTGCATTTAACTCTGAATCATTCGTGGATGTTAATTCTATTTTGTTTGTTCATCATTTGCACTGGATTATATTCACTTTTAATCTTTGTAATATTTAGACTTCCTTGCTGTCCAATCTTTAAAAACAGTGATCTATCTGGTAGCAATGAATTAAAGCATTATAGCAATAACTGTAAAGATAGCGACAATGATTGTGAATATATATCAAGTATAGTAAAAGAAAAAGACGAATTATCAAATTGTAATATGGATGATTTAATACTCGCTTTGAATTCTGTTAATGTTTTTGACAATGAAGTATCTTTAAAGGAAGCAAAAGAGGCAGGAAAAGTTGACTTAAGAAGAATTTCTATTGCAGACACAAAAGTTTAATATACTCACCTGAAATAACTTTAACTAAGACCCTTCACTTGTGAATTAGAGTTACTTAAATAAATTTATCAACTGTTCAAGTATTTTAAACTGAAAAACACTATTACCAGTTTAGTTTAAGTTCTATCTGATTTGAAATTTACATGTCAGATTTTGATTGGTTAGTGCTAGATGTAAACAAACATGGCGGCAAACTCAAAACATTATGACTTTCATTTTTTAACTCTCTTTTGCATCTTATCGCTTATCAATTTAGAAGTAAAGGCGAAGGAGGCTTCCTTCGACGTTAATGTAAAGCCAGGTGGAACTAAATTATTGGCTGAAAATCGATTGGCTAGTTTTCGACGTGATCAACACTAAACTAGAATACGACATTTTTTTTCTTTAACAGGGTTCGATTCGATGCACATTCAATTATGTAGCACAAGGTGGAACAAATGAAAAGTGGAGAATGACAATCGTAGATGATAGCGAAAGACAGAGTTGTTTAGTTGAAAGACCGGATGGTAATTCATATCTATTTTTTCAAGAATTTGATTTAGAGATTGGAGGTGTAGAATCAATCTCGGCTGCCATTGCTTATGTAAGTAAAAGAAATTAAGTAAATAATTTGAATAATTACTGTCAATTTTCGCAGAAAAATGACTTACAACCACTGGATCAAGAAGAGTACAAAATTGATTTTCTAATGAAGAGAGTAAGCTCTCAGAGACAACAATTTAAATCTCAATTAGCGAGATTAGAAATAATGAGGAACCTAATGGAAAATAGAGGAGAATTGTGATAAATATTCAATAGTCAGTGTTTATATTTTAATGATGGACAATTGTCATTCATTGAAAGTATAAGTTAAAATAAAAAGAGTCTATTTTAATTGAAGCGTCTAATTAAAATTTATATACTTTTTAATTATAAATAACAAGAAGAATGATAAAATTGGTTTTTAGCTAAAAATATTCGCAATTAATTTAAAATCAACTATTAAACGTTGTTTTATAAAAGAATAGGAAAGGTAAGAAGCTGAGAGAATATTAAAATCTTCAACTAAGCTACTAACAATAGATTTTAATTTGTCTAGGAATTTTTCATTAATTTATTCTAAATCTTTGCATAAAACCAACATTTTTTCATTCTTTTCGAAGTTTCTCACTGAGAGACATTTTCGGTATAGTTTTTACTAAAATATTACATAAGACACACGTATTCGAATTATGAGAAAAGAGTTGTGTTTCTCTCTACTCGTTGGATTTCTTCTCCTATCGTGTGATCTAAGTAGCGAATGGAGTCTTCGATCCGTCAATCTCAGCGACGAATCATTTAGCGTTAACGAATGTATTAAAAGTTGTCAAATATTTGGAAATGAGAAAGAAGCGAGAATAGGAAAACGTCAAAATGGTCCAAATGGTCCGGATTTTAAAACGAATGGATGGTAACAACGTAAATTATTAAAAGAATGATGTGTTGTCAAAACAAAAAATACAGGTTAATTATTGCAAATCAAAAAAAAAAAACAATTGATTTTTATCATTTCAGCTGATTTTCTTTTTACCTTTTGAAAAGGTTTCAAGATCGAAATTTTCTATTAAAAAACAAAGAAACAAATATAATTATTCCTCTCTCTCTCTCTCTCTCTCTCTAAGATTTAGGTAATTTATTTATAGCCTTTTAAAAAAATTGTGATAATTTGTGTATTGAATTATATTAAAAAAAAAGAGAAATTACACTCGGAAAAAACGCTTGTGCACTGTTGAAAAACAATATTAACAATATTTCTGTCGAGCTTAATACCGTTTCGACTAAATTTGCATAGATGTTTATCAAGTGCTTTTTTTTTTTACAATAGTATTATTAGAATAAAGACATTTTCTTTAAAGCACCTTTAAACAATCGTAGACTAGATGTCAGTTATTTCTATATTTGGCCCATTTTTCAAGTCCAATCCGATAGCGTAATTTGTATTGGCAATTTTGTTAACGTTATTTGAACATCCATTTGAATATGTAACGCAATCTGGATATATTGTCATTACTCTTCTCTGCTCTTCATAATTTAAATCTGGACCAACAACATTACTTTCAATTGATCCTTCATCATCTGAATTATTTTGCATAATAACCCCAAAATTGGTTTGCCCTTCCAAAGTTAACCAGCTGGGATTAGTTCTATAAAAAACAAATAAAAGAAAATGTACATAATGATGATATCATCTTCAAAATATCAGAGTAATATAATATACCCTTCGCATAACGTTGGTTGTAAATTAGAAGTAGGAATTTCTGACTCTTTCATCTTCGTACGACCGTTAGCTAAATGAAGTAAAAAAACAAAAACTAGTTAAGATACGAAAACTATATATACGAAATAAAATACTGACTTATTTCATAGGTTTTGAAGGACTTCAATTTTCTTTTATCTCTGAAATTATTGTTATTATAGATATAGTTAACGTAAATATTACTATTAAGAATATATTACTTTTTATGGTTATAGTAGAATATAACGCTAATTATAATTATTATCAAAAATAACAAAACAACCACGGAGACTAGAACAAGAATTGGTATTTTATTTTCTGTACTTTCTTCTTTATTTTCGAATGCTTCTTTAACTTCTATTACGTTATATTGTCGAAAAAGTGGAACAAGACGATTATAGGTTTTCTTTTCTTCAATTATTCTGCAAAAATTTCCATTATTAATATTGATTTTTAAAGAATATTTTACATTTTTTAAATTACTTTATTAATTCAACAGAATCAATAACTGTGCCAGAATCTTGGTTTATTGCATGAATGAACATATCTGCTTTATTTTTATCGGGAGTAGATTGCGAACTTTGATGTATCCTAAATGGATAAACAACTATCAATGAGTTATAAAGTATACATTTACCAAGGAGAACGTTACCGAATAGTATCAACATTTATAATATAGCCAGTAATGTTAGACATTACTTTGGAAAAGTGTTCTTTTCTTTTGTTTACTTCTTCCGCTGTTAAAAGAACTGTTACTATAACCCTTTGTTTTTCATTTAATAAGTACACCTGTTGTAGAGAGACTATATTACTTAAATTCCATTGTTTGTTATCTAACTTACCGATATTGTGGCATTGTCAACATGACTAGGATTTGAATCATTCACTCGAACATCAAATTTAATGTTTCCTTCCCATTCTGTTTTAAAATATACGTTAGTTTTAATTATTCCTTCGTGAGGAATGATCGTAAAAGGAAGGGAATCCTTGGGGAAGTGTGTCTTCAATGTAGGGGACAAACGAAAGTTAGATATTATATACCAAGTTAAGTTTGCATTTTCATTGATATCATAATCAATAGAAACAGTTTGTAAATTGAGAACTTCGGAACCAAACTCCGATTCTTTGCTTACTCCTGCAACAAAAGAGGATTTGACGAAGAAAGGTGGATTGTCGTTTATATCTTGAATAAGAATGTGCACGAGTAGTTCAGTTGAATCACTTATATTGAAAGTTAAACTGGCATTTTGCCATTTATTTGTAAAGCAATCTGGATCGGCTTTAACGACTAAATCTACCATATTGACTCTTTCTCTATCAAGCTTCTTATTAATCATTAGAATTCCTGTATCTTTCTTTAAAGAGAAGTGGTCCTTCCACGGTTTTGCACCACCAGCTAAATAATAACAAATACTGCTATTCACATCAGGATCTGTAGCAAGACTGAGATTTGCAATTGCCACATTTTCCTTCTCTTCATAAGCTCTAACTATATAGGGTATCTTATAAAGGTCACGGTTGAAAGACGGTAGATTATCATCCTTATCAGCAATTTCTAGACGGTGTATTCTATTGTCTTCTTTCTGGTCTATTGAAGCCTGAACGTGTAGCAAATATTCTTTCTTTTCCTCTCTATCTAGTACTTTAGATGTTGCTAAAATACCAGTCTTTGGATCAATATGAAATTTTTCACGATAATCATTATCAGGGGTCCATTTCAGTTCAAAAAGCATCTCCTCGTCGCTTTCAGTATCATAATTAGCGACTTTAAAGTGTTCTATAAAAGTTCCTTCGGGTTCATTCTCTAGAACATGTAGTATTTTATTGGCATCTGGATGAATAATTTTTGGTGATTGATCATTTACATCCTCAACGTAGACCTTAACGAGAGTACTACTCGACAGACTAGGTGTTCCTTTATCAGTTGCAAGAACAGTTATTAAACGCATGCCGGTCTTGTTGACTAGACTATTGCTGACGAATACAGATCCCGTTTTTTCATCAACACCAAACAAACCCGAGGCGTTTGTGCTAGTATTGTCTATTGAATATTGAATTTTGGCATTATCCGTCGCTGGATCATCTTCATCTACAGCATTTACTGTTATCACAGGTGAATTTATTTTAGCATCTTCCCTCAAACTGTTAGCGTAATATTCACTTTTTTCAAATTTCGGAGGGTTATCATTAACATCCTTCAATTCCACAGTTAAAGTCATAGTTGAATTTTGGAATTCAGGTTGAAAAGCATTCATATCACTTACAAATATATCTATAGAAAATGTTTTAATCTCCTCTCTGTTCAATTTTTTCCTCGTTTTTACTACGCCAGTCTTATTCTCCACTGAAAATACACTTGAAAGGTCATCAACTTTCAAGCCTTTAGTGGCCATTCCTGTAACGCTTTTTATGGAATATGTTAGATCAGAATTTAAATCAGAATCAAAAGCTTTTACAGTATAAATCTCACTACCAATTGTAACATTTTCATAAATGGCTATTGATTGCTTCATTGGATTAAAAAAGGGTATCTTATTATTGACATCTTCTATTTGCAAGTAAATTGTAGTTGTACCAGTATTAGTCTGAATTCCTCTATCAATAGCAACAACAATCATTTCATATTCGTCTATGATGTCTCTGTCGAGCCGAGCCATTTTATCGACTGTAATTAGTCCTGAATTTGGATCTATTTGAAATTGATCTCTACTTCCGGTTTCAATTCTGTAGAATATATCATTGTTTGGCGACGATAGATCTCCATCTTTCGCTTTAACTGTGAAAACACTGTCACCTTCTGTTGCATTTTCTTTTATAGAGACGTTGTGTGATGGTTTAACAAAAACAGGTGTTTCATCATTCAAGTCTAAAATGTATATATTAAGAGGAACTGAAGAGTTCAAGGATGTTGAGGGGTTGGTCCTACTAACATCGCTAACAATTACATTAAACGATAAATTTCCTTTAAGAGAAGGGTTAAGACTTTCATAGTCTATTGGCTTAACAATATTTAATCTAGCTGTAAATGGTGAGAGTTGTTGAACGTAAAATAAATCGGTTAAATTACTCCCTTGGATTGTAAATTCTAATTTATGATTTTCATCAGGATCTTCAGCGATAAAAATAATTTTACTTTCAAAATCAGCAGAGTTTTCTCTAGCGTATCCATCATAAGATGTCCTTGAGAATTTAGGTGGATTATCATTTTCATCAGTGAGATTTATTGCCAAAGAAAGGGAAGATCGATAACCTCCACCATCTATTGCATCAACAATTAGAAATATTTTTTCTTTAGTCTCTCTATCTAACAATGTGTGATCCTCGTTGGCCTTTACTCCGACCTTAATTATACCCTTATGTAAATCTATTATAAATTTTTGAGCATCAGCACCTCGAATGTAATATGAAATTTCGCCAAGAGTTCCCGAATCTTTATCGGTTGCTGAAATGTTAGCTACAAATGTATTTATAGGAGAGTTTTCCAGTATTGAAACAACATATGGATCTGAATTGTCGAAAACTGGCCAATTGTCATTAATATCAATTACTTGTACAATTATTGTTGCAGTATTACTATATTCTTCGTTGGTCTGATGTTCTTTTACCTCAATGTCAAAAGTAAAATTGGTATTCTGTTCATAATCCAAAGCTGTTGAATTTGAAACTCGTAATAGCAGGGACGCTTCGTTTGCTATTAGATTTTTTGGAGATAGAATGAAGATGTCACTGAATAACGTGACATTCATAATTCCATGGGGACCTTCATCCGGATCTCGAACAATTAACGGCGGGTTCAAAAGTACAACTGCCCCTTCTTGCGAATTTTCTATAATTTTACCTACGTAAATCTTGGCATTAAATGTAGGCTTATTGTCATTGATATCAATGACTTTGATATTGAGAGTTGATGTCGATACAGCATGTTTTTCACTAACCCCACTATTTACTTGTTCTACTTCTGTTGCTTTAATGACCAAATTAATAGAACCAAATCTACCTATCAAATCAGGATGTTCCCTATCAAGAGAACCAGACAAAGTCAATTCACCGGTATCAGAATTTAAGGTGATATTTTCAAACGATCCCGATACAATATCATAACTTATCCTATTCGGATTAAGCACTCCTTTGTCTCCGTCAACAGCTAAAACACTATAAATAACTTGACCCTGTTAACGAATTACTTCGTTTAGAATTAATAAGAAAAGGAGAGTGTATATTTTTTGACAACAGCTCACCATAGTTGCATTTTCAAAAATTTCAATACTATTTGGCAAATTCTGAAATTTTGGGGGAGTGTCTTGTTCATCAACAACATGGACTAGAATATTCGTTGTACTATTTAAATTTCCCGTATCTCCCGTGCCTTTGTTCTAAAACGTCAAAAATTGCTAGTTTTACAATTCACATGTAGGAATGATATTATTGATCGCAATTTGGACAAAAGTCATAAATTATATAAGAAAAAGCTTTTACAGCATAATATATTGATATATATTTTGTTCTATAAAGCATTATTATACCTAATTAGGAATATACAAGTTAAATTTAAATTGTTTAAAGTTCTTATTGGGACGGCTACGAAGACATTTATTAATATTTCTAATAGCTTACCATTGCTATAATGTGTAGCTGATAAAACTTTATTTTTTCATAATCCAAAGTATTAATTAATGTCAATCTTCCTGTTGAAGTCAACTCAAAAGTATCTAAATTATTCTGTTGTTAAAGATATTTCTATGAAAGTTATTATCCGATTAATAAAGAACTACAAACTTTTAAAGCACATGTTACAATATTAAATGGAGAGTTATCTGCATCAGTAGTATTTACAGTAAACAAGTGTCGACCAGATTCTTCATTCTGTAAACAAATTGTTCTTAATTATTATCTTAATTATATTGGATTAAAGATATATTATAGTATTTAGATAAATAACCTCTGATACGAAGATTTCATACGGCTGCCCAACGAACTGTGGTGCATTATCGTTTATATCCAAAACAATTAAGGTAAAACTCGTTTGATCCTGTTAATATGGTAACTTTGAATTTATAATTTCAGGAGAAAGAGGTGAAAAACTAACGCTATTTCCGTTTCCATCAGATACTTTTAGACTAACATCAAATTTATCAACGGATTCTCGATCGAGAACTTGTTTGGTTACAATATATACTTTCCTAGGTTGGTTAGACGGTTCCAACTTTAGCCAGTATTTGGCAAAATCACTCGTTATTTCAAATGTTAAGACATCATCTTGATCAGCATCAGTTGCGCTGATATCTACATTTATTATTTCTCCAGCAGGCCTCGACTCATTTGTTAGAACAAAGCCGTTGATAGGGTTAAAACTTGGTGATGTGTTTATTCCAGCTAAATCAAATATGTTTAAGTAAGAATTGAGATAAGTTTTTCAGAAAAATTATCTCTTATTAAATATTTAGCATTCGTTAAATATATTTTGTATTTAGTTCTAAAAGATTTATGAGAGATCTCTTTTTGTCCTAAATACAAAAGCCTTTTGAAAGAGTATTGGGTCAAAATTGATCATTATATATAATAAAAAATACTTGAATGAAATTATGTTTCATATATTTTAGCTACTGTACTAAACGTCAAGCTTCACTGAACTAATTTCGATTTATTGACATCACTCTGATGTATTTTTTTTAAAAGTATCTCAAAAAATTAACCTGCAGATGTGAAGAAGAAAATGGAGATTATCGTACTGTAGTATAGCAGCAGCATTTACGCAGAGGACTGGTAGGCTGAAATATTAAGTAAAATTCACATTCTTATGTTAAAACAAGTTCTTAAAAAAAGAAAACTCTTATTTAAGAAACAACTCCGTAGATTCATCATGTAGCTGGTTTCAGCGAGCAAACATTAAATTTTGTATATGTCAATAGAGAAGTGTACCTTTGCAACAAGCGAACTCAATTCAAGAAATGATTCTAAGAGAAAAGAGTTTTTAGTTTTTCGACAGATAAAACACGTTCTATAGTTATTTACTAGCCAATAAAAACATGTTGTAATTCTTTATTGTGCTATATTCTCATATGTTGAAGTAAAATTTTCTTCTGACTATACAAAACTACGATATCAAAGTTAAGTTTGTAGATTACGATAAGACTAAAAGAATTTAAAACATTGAACAAGAAGAAATTTCATTTAGATCTTTTATCTCATTTATTAAATTCAACATTCATCGAGAGCCAATATAGCTGACGTTCATTAAGTTATCGACTTTCGTATTTAAGCTTTCAAGTTAAAGATTAATCTATTTTATTTATAACCCCTTTTATTAATAACAAAGTGACCGGGTAAAATGTAAATAATTGAATAGCTTCTCAAGTGTTCATAACCAAAAATGGTGATGTAATTACGGACAGTTTACCTGTTGAAACTGTTGAAAAATACCTACTTTCTAAATCGATTTCGACACAATTTTCAACTTAATTTAATATGATTGTTCAAGAGAGATGATCAGTAATAAAACACTTCTAGTATTCATTTCATTCTAATGTATTTATCTAATGTATCTAAATTGTTATTCATTTAAAAAATTTTTCACGTGTTTATACACACCAACGCAACTCATCGATATTTATACCAGCTGACATCTTTTTTTGATATTTCTTTTTACGTTAACGCTTCTTCACATAACGAATTACAGATATTGAAATTAATTTAAGCATAAAATATAACCAACCACCTTAATAATTTAAGGGCGAACTGACTTGAATTCTCTGTTTCGCTTAATTTATGCTATATTGATTTTGCTTTTTTCTCTATAAATTGTACCTTTAACTTATTTTACTTACCAGATAGGCTTCATTCGACAATTCAGGAAAGAAACGATCTAAGTTCAACTGTTTGTTTTATGACGAAAAGTTGCTTTCAAAAGCGGTATTAATTCAGGCATGGTAGTACTGGAAATGAAAACGTTCTTTCTATTGATTGTTATACCTGTGTTCAAATCATCCGGCAGAGGGCGTGTTTCCAACGAGTGGCAGGTGTGATTAAGCAATGAACTTGGTAAAAAATAGGCATTCTTTAAAATATGTTGTACCAAAATAAGACATTATCAGTTCTTATTGCACGAAAATTTCATACTTAAGCTAGAATGAAAACATAACGATTGCATTCTTACGCTTATGCTTGCTTTTGCTCTTCTCTTTAGCTGAGATCAATCGATTTGCTGATAATCTGTTATATACGCTTATATAAAAATCATATTTTCTGGAGGTTTAGCGCAAAATAGAAACTCATAGTCGCAACTTAAAATCAACACAATTATTATATTCTAACACTTTACGGTTTGCTAAAGAAAGATAAGTTTTCGTAACCTCCCTTATGTAATCTGTCCCTGAGGATACGAAAGCTATAAGGTCATTTTCTTTAAAAATCTTTTCCAGTTAGTTTTTTAAAAGTACTTCAATTGTAAATTGCGCTACTTTTATTAATCAGATTGTTTACTAGACAATTGTGTCTAATATTATGATTTATCGGCTTGGTTGTTGTTCCCGTTTAATACTTTGGTTTTATGAGTTGTAACAGAATTTTTATAATCTGCTTGGTCTCTTGTATAAATTCGTTATTCTCAGTGAATATGTTGCAATAATAGTAGCCTTAAAATTAAAATTTTCCCAACTACGTTCAATTTTAATAATTCATTCATAAAATATATCAATTAATCCGTGAGATTATAATAATATTCCAATAGATATTGTAATTATTGCTATTATTATCTTAAGCTAACGAAGAATTTATAATTATGATGAGACTGAGCATTTTTTTTTTCATTTGTCTAATTGCTCTAAATTAAATACGCCGATAAGTAAATATTGTGTACAAACGATCAATATATCTTGGATTTATAGACTGTTGATTGATCCCGATCGCTTTTCAAGCTTTATTAAACGAAACTCCTTGCATAGCTATACCAGTCGTAATGGACGAAAATTGTACGGCTGTTGAATATCTCCTTGAAGACTATGTGGAAGTATCCTTACCGATTTTACGATTAACGTAAAAAAACCTTTTTCTCGGTTAAATAATTAAGGGTTAATTAAACATTACGGCGTAGAAATGAAAGCACTCATCGTCGACGCCTGACGTCAGAGTTTTTAAGCGCAGGCGCCTCCTCTCATTTTTCCTTCTATGATGAGTGACGGAAGAGCAAAATTGCTCTGGAGACGCTTATTCGATAAATTTCGACTATCAAAAAAGGCATTAGAAAAACGAAAATTCTTCCACAGGTCGAAGACTGTTGGGGAGATACCCGAAAGTCTACTACAGCAATCGTATTCCTGCATTCCTTCACCAACGGAATGGATAAGACCGAGAAGACCAATAAGGCTTATAGAAACGGAAAACAAATCTTCAAGCCCAGGACTTCTTCGGACACCAGGTTAAATATTCTAGTTTTATATTCGTTATTTTATGCGGAATTTATTGAAATTGCCCTCGAACATTTTATTCATAAAACTAGCTTACTTCTTTCAATATGAGAATATAGATAATGATAACTACAAATGAATAAATTACAGATACTCATTAATCGAATCTAAACATCTATATTATCATCTAAAATCTGCTTTAAAACAATATTTAATAGATAATGTATAGTTTGTTCTTCGTAGTGTATGCATATAATCGAGCATATATTACGAAGAGAGATCATTTAGTGCACAATTTATACTTGTTTGATATTTTTGCGATTTTAATTCTATATTTTATACAGATATTCAGTTGGAAACTCGATCAGCCAGTCCATCTCCGAATGTTAGTCGAAACAGAAGATTTAAATCTCCGTTATATAAAGGTTACAAAGTTTATTCCTTGTTTGTATGCGTGTCTGTCTGTGAGTGTGTGTGTGTGTGTGTGTGTCTGTGTCTGTGTTCCTCCTTTAATTAAACTATATATTAAGAAAATACGACAGGTGACAGTAAATTAATCACTCTTTTAAAATGTAACTATTTTGCAATGAAATTACACTTTCTAACAAGAAGTTTATCTTTAGAATTGGGAGGAAGGGTTTCTTTATTATATTATATTATATGTAACAAAAGGCTATCAGCTCAATTAGCGTTAGCTTTACGCTGTTGATTAAACTGCGCAGAAACTATACAGTCAATCTAGTTACTATGTTAGTTTTCTCAGTAGAGAAGTAACAAAAAAAAAATGCCTTTAATATATTTATTATTGCTTTCCTAGCAGTTTAGAAAATTGTTCATCTATTTTTATGCAAGTTTTTATTCTATATTTAGAAGATAAATTGAATTTGCTAATTTTTTTTTTACTCCTCTTATAATCTGTCAATCGACAATTCCAAATAAAGCTTTTGTACTAAACTATATACAATTTTATTTCTAAAAGATTTATTTTTCTATCACAGTTGCATCTTCAACAGAAAATGTACCTAATGTCGTACCGGTAAGTGCAAGCTATAATTATTTATCCAAGTGTAAAATACAGTCGCGCCACCTATTTTTACAATATCATTACTATCTACCACTTGTAGTATAAAACTCAATAATTAACTAACGAGCATAGCACAACCGTTACTTTTCAATCTTATTAAAAAATTACTGGAATATTTTGCCATGCAATTCTCTTCACCTTATGTAATAAAACCATTTTTAATGGACTTGAAACATGTAAAACGTTCGTGGAAAGATAAATCAAAAATCGAACCTGTCACTCCTCTCAAAGCTGTCGAATACCGACAGTGCAAACCAAGTGCAGCATGTAAGACCGAAAATAGTATAATTAGGAGTAGATCTTTTAATACGTCGTACGAGGTATAGATGAAATCAATTCGGATTTTGTTTAATATTTTCTTTGACTTGATTTTTTCTAGCATATCGTGGCAACACTTGATGAAAATTTATCAGAAAAGAGGTAAGATAATTTTGGGTTTTTTTTGCACGCTTCGCTTCTTTCTTAAGTTAATCCATTGCAAAAAAAAAGTATTATTTAATTTTCATTTATTTTGCAAAGTTGGACTAGACTTGGTCGGAAAGATCAGAAGGAAGAGGAAAATCGCGGTCACATTAAAAGACGACATCAGCGTTCACATTCAGTAGACTGCACAGATGCAGTCCGAGTTTCTTCAAGTAGAAATCGAAAGTTGGAAAGAAGTTCATCTATACCAACCAGTCCTCTTTTAACTACTCCAGCCGCTTGCAAAAAATCACCAAAACCCCGTCGTTTTAACAAGAAGAGACAGCCTTTTGCTGAAATCGATCTTTTTAACGCAATAGGAGAGGGAATTTTTGATAAAGTGGAACAAATCTTGAAATCCGCAGAAGTAAATGTCAATTGCTCAAATGAAGATGGCATGACCCCTCTTGATATAGCAAGTCTTATTAATCACGTACCATTGATAAAATTGCTGCTTACATTCGGTGCCAAGGAGAATTTTAATGGAATTGGAAAGAGTGATAAAATGCTTGAGGAGTTAATCAGGAAAACTATTCACTCTATGGGTGATGGAATGAAGAAGGACGATGACTTTTCAAAACTAAACTTCAAGCTGGAGCTATTAAGGAGAATGAAAACTACCCTTGAAAGAAGTAAATTGCCCAATCCTCCCTCCAACGTTCAATTGAGTGTTCGAAGTGTTGACTCATTACTGGTTTCGTTTGACGAACCATTACCTCCTTGTGGCGCTATCACAGTAAAGTATAAAATTGAATGGAGTAAAACCGTTTCCTTTCGTCCTCTTGCCGGATCAGAAGTGGTAATAGGTGACGCTGTTAAATGCTTTACAATCTATCAACTACAAACTGGAGTTCCCTACTACGTAAGAGTTTCTTTTGGAAACGTTAAGGGTTTCAGTAATCCAAGCGTATCTTGCCCCTTATTTGCTGTTCCATCTAATTGGAGAGAGGTTGAAAAATCAAAACCTAGAATGGAAGGTAAAATGGAAGAATTAGATAGTCTTCTGATTGATTCTAACTGTATAGAGTCAAATTCAGCTACAGTCGGAAGTAAAAAAGTTACTATAGTAAAGAAAAGTCTTAAAAATTTGTTCAGTTCAACTTCTCGGTTTCAAAGGCATTTAAGAAGAGGAGTATACTTGTGCTGTTTAGTGTATCAAACTGATAAAGTTCTGCTTACTACGGACGATTATTTACCTTGTGTTGAAGTTGAAGAAAATGCAACTCTAACGCAATCCGACTTACTTTGGTTTATGAAAGTTGCTTGTTCTTGGAATGATGTAAAACAGTTAAAATCTGATTTAGAGAAAACTACATCTGGTTCGTTGGAATCTCGACTTAAATTATTATTAGCAATAATCCAACTCCAAACATCGTTGGGTATATCTGACTTAGGCCGACTTCGCTCAATTCCCGTTCATTCAAATGGAGTGTTAATTTTGGTATCTGTGCTAAAACTAAAGAGTACAAAGGATGTTGCTTGTAATCATGCAAAATGGTGTTCAATTTCAAAACTAGAAAAAAGGTATGATGATTCTGATATGCTAATGACGAAAACGAAAGAAATAATACAAGAACACGAGGCCGGTGAAAGACGATTAAAAGAAGGACTTTATGTAGCTTATTTAAAACTAAAATGTTCTTTAGATAAAATGCATGTTCTTGTTGATTCACATGCTCCGAATATTCTACCTCATCAAAAAGTTCGCGACTGCCCGAACATAACTAAGGACGAATGGGTCTTTTTAAAAAATATGGGAACACCGGAAACATGTTCCTTTCTTGATGATGAACAGTGCGGAAGGATGATATGTTTTCAAAAAAAATTGATATCCGCTTGTCGTCAGTTAATGATTAGGTTAGGGGTAAAAGAGGACGAAGCTCTTAGTCATCGTTTGTATGATGTTGAGGCGGTGGAAATGTCAGACGGCATAACATTAATACTTATACTTCCACCTGCCGAAACATTGTGTACTATTCCTGGAAATACAGATGTCTGCCCACCTGGTCACGTTGTTTTACCTGTTCAAGCTTTTGAAATGGCTTACGCTTGGACATATGAAAGAGAATTCATTCAAAAATATTCCCATTTATCTTTAACAGTAGAAACAAACTTGATGCTCTCTCAGCAAGCTCAAAGAGAAGCGTTTTCCACCAAAGAATTACTCGAGGCAAAATTAAGAGTTGATCGGTTTGCATCAATTCGAAGTCAACTAGAAGATGTTTGGAGATCTACACGGTGGACAATGGATGCCGTTTCATTCGCCAGAGCAAAGGGTCAAACTCAAGGTGTTCCATTGAATATTCTTTACGCAACCATCGCATCTCCAAATGAATCTCCAACTTGGAGACGTTCAGATGAAGGAGATTCACGTTCATGCTCCACTGATGCCGGTTATCAGTCTGATAGAAATGAAATAGAGTCTGCAACTCTACGAGTTTATGCAGCTTATGAGTGTGGTTTAGCACTTGGAAGTTGTGTGAAATTAAGAGTAACCTCTCGAACAACCGCAAGAAAGGTTGTTCAACTTGTAATTCAACAACTGAATAGAGCAGTGTTGATTAATGGAAAATCAGGTCCAATTTATTCAGACGATGAACTAGACGATTTCTGCTTAAGCTATGTAATGCATGGCATAGAAAGAATTATTGCTGATCATCATTCTCCAATAAGTAATAAGTCGGCTTCTCAAAAGGCAAGATTTTACGTCAGACCTAAGCATCAGTGCTTATACGCTACTTCTGTTTAATTCAACATTTAAATTCTTTTGTATTTGTCAATGAAATCAATTTATATTGTGATGAAGATTGTTAAATATTTAAAATATACGGTTAACAGTTTTTACTGAAATGTAATTAGAAAGGAGACTGCCTGTTTTCTTCATTTAAAAAGTAGATTTTTACGATTCCCTTAGAGGTTTTTATCTCTTCCTCGAATTTTATCAGCATGTATATCGATAATCCATAGACGAATGTTGGAATGCCTGCATAAAAATTTACATTAATCCTTACTAAAAAACTTTTTTTCCCTAAACCATTTTATATCCTCATTAAGAATCTGTAGTGGTGTTTTATCTTTATTCTTAGCATTAAACATTGACAAATCAAAAGCCCGGCAAATGGCTAAGGTAAAAAAAGTTAAAGAAAGGCACGTTCCGAAAGAATAATATCTAATTTTTAGTGATCTGGATGCACCCTTCATATCTTTTGCTAAAGTTGACCAAAGTGTGTAACATCCTGCTCCTGAGCATGCTACAGTTCCGATTACGCGGCATTCTGTGCAATCTGATTTTGAGTCTTGATTGTTGTTATTAGTTTCTTGAGGATTACCCATTAAAGCCCTCCATTCATCTATCACTCCCATTATATTTAACTAACCTAGATTGATTGCTTTTAGAGTCGTAAATAGCTTATTATGTTGAGATAGATCTTCTACCGGCGCCGAGGAGCAGTGATATTTGATGAAAGGATAACAACCAGTTCTTAAAATTTGATAATTATGCTGTCCAATGCACCAGTTAAAATTTGAGAGTGAGAATTGATCATTTAACACATCCTTCTGTCGAACAACAAAAGATGTCCAGAAAGGATAAGAAGCTTGCTCCAAATGCTTTGTCAAAACTTCCGATGCTCTTGGTTTGCCTCTTTTGTATGGTAACAATTTTTGGAGAGAGAAAAATGAGCGGCAAAAAAAATTACTAGAACTACTCATAAAGTACACTCGGTTGTAAGGTCAAAGTTTTGCCGACATAATTTCAGCATGGTTAGTATTCCATATAGTTCTTAAATATAACGGGCACCTGTATTTCCGGTTGAGCTAAAAATAAAAGTCTGACTAAATTTAAACGGTATTAAGTTTAAAGTTTCGTCCTTTAACAATAGAAAACCAGTAAATTTGCTGTCTGTTCAAAATTAAAAAAAGTAACTCAATGAACTACTAACAGTTTTACAACAATTTGCAGTTGTTAAATTTTATAAAGAATTTTCCACTTAATTATATAAACTTCAGAAAAAGTTATAACATGTATTATTTTGGAAGTTTATTTGTATATATCAATAAAATAGTCAATTAAAAACTAAAAGAGAGTTAATATATAAAGAATATTAGAATAATTCAAGTCTATTGTTTAAATTGCTTAAGTAGATTAAAACTATGGCAAAAATTTTCAATTTTATATTCTATGGAAGCTAATTTCAAAGTTAACTTAAAACGCCAATATTAGTCATTTTCGATCTTACAACAAAAAGCAAGGCCTCATCGAAATCATTTGAGTGTGACATATTGTTAGGCTATGATATTGTTAGAAACCGCCCCACTATACGACGCAGTTCATGTGAAATCGTAATGGATAAAAATCAACTTTTAATTGCAATCTTCTTATTTTGTAATATTATAAACGGTAAAAGAAGTTTTATTCTTTTATAAACATGGCAGTATAATCAATATTTTCCCCTCTTAAAGTGTCAGCTACTTCTCTAGATAGTAAGGAAAAAATCATTCTCATTGTTGGAATACTTACAGGAGGTGTTGCTGTTTGCATTTTATGTGTGCTTATAATATTTCTTTGTCGAACGACACCTCATCGCCGTGGTAGAAAAAAGTATCATAGAAAAATAGACAAATACAGATCACAGAGCAATAGTTATACAGCAGATGTTTCGTGGGCCTCAAAAACAAAGATCTCATCTAAAAATATTCCACCTGGCGTTTGGGCGAATAACCCTTCAATGGTTTCAGATTTCCCATCGTTAGCATATAAGTTAAACGAGAAAATGAAAATGTCAAGAGAACAAAATATTTATAACCACCATTTTAACAGTGAAGATACTTTATATAAACCAGATTTGGGAGCCGTGTCCCATAAAAAAGAATCGGCTATATTTCAAACAAGGTTTTCGAATTTTCACTTAACTGATTCGAGAAGCAAGTTAATTTTGGATGAAAACGAAGAAAGCGTGACTGAAGAGTCAACTAAGAATGGTTTCCATGAACATGAAGTCACCACGAGGGCATTTAGTGAAAACGGAAAGTCATCTCAGACACCAAAACTACCTGAAAAAAAAGTGATGGATCCTAGCATAAAATCGTCTCAATTTCTGGATAAACGAGATAAACCAATTGTTAGAGATGACAAAATACGAAGGAGCAGCTCTTCTGAAGCTGCAGTGGTTGAAACTCAACGAGCATTTGACTTTTTATTAGAATACGGAGAACAGTAGTGAAAAACTGTAATTATTTATATATTGTATATTTATACAAATAAACATATTTTTTAATTGTATATTATATCCTTTCTGATAACCATATTGCAATTTTACAACCCGCTTTTATTGAAGTATTCAGTACTTTATACATTGGAGCTTTTTCTGCATCATGCTCAAGTCCAGTGTCATGGTGTTCCATTTCTTCATCTCGAAATTTGCTTAAAGTCTTCATTAACCCCTCATACTTTTTAGGATCAGTTTCCATTAATTTACGAATCTGATCATCGTAATGCTCTCCTATGACAGTTTCCACCGCAACAGTACAAGCCATTGCAGCTTCTTTTCCCATCATTGCCGTTCCAGCCCCCAGCAAAAATCCGGCTACATTCCAAATTGGCATTAAGACTGTCGGTCTTGACCTGTACTCAGGTATTAATTTCTGAAATGTTTCAAGATGAACTTTCTCTTGATCCCACATATGTTTAATGAGGGCGGCTTCGGAAGTTCCTTTAAGAGCCGCGTATTGGCCAGCATAAATCCTTGTAGCCCCAAACTCTCCTGCATGATCTACCCGTAACATTCGATCCAGCATACGCTTTTCTGCAGCAGAAGACGTACCCATGTACCTAATAGCAAGAATACTTTTGCCATTTTTTACAATTGAATCTAAAATTCTCTTTCTACCCAGCATATTAGTTTCAAAAACTTCTAAATGAGCGATAATATGCAAGTGCTATAACAGTAACACTACTTTCCGTGCGGAGTAGGTTCTGACATGGAAAGTTATTTTTCTATCGGTGTCCTTTTGTAGAGGTTAAAATTGAATTTGTCTAAATGAACCAAAAGACTAAAGATTCATGTTGTGATTTTTTTTATTATTGTTTCAAATATGTACTTATACTATATGGATAAATAAAAAGCCACTTTAAAACTATTCCGCAAAAGGAATTCTTTCTTGAATCTTTCATTTATACTTAATATTTCTAACTAATATTAAGTGTCTATAAAGGTGCAGAGTACATACGCTATCTGTTAATAACCAACAATTATATGGTTGTGTAACCTACATAAAGTATTTCATTGTTTTAGTATCTACGGAATGTAAACCTTAAAGATTTCACACACGCCAACTATCTTAGGGACACAGCATAAATAAACAATATCAAAATAAAAAAGTGCGGTCACTTTCAAGTTTCCTGTTTATTCCTCGGTGACAAGAGACCAAGCTTCCTCTGCTCTTGCATAATATTTATTAGCCAATCTACCTTTCATTGAAGCCATTGCTGCATCAGCTGCCTCATTAAATAAACCAGCAGCAGTCTCCGGATCCGACTCCAAACCATAATTTCCTTCAAGATACAGTTCAGCTAATTTAGCTTTTAGACTATACAAAGGGTCATCCATAGTCGAATCGAAAGCTCCACTTTCGTCCTCTTCAGTTCTCTCAATAGCATCTCGATAATAGCTGACAGCTTTCTTGTGGCATCTCTTTCTGTTTGGGCCTAAATTATCTCCAGTTTCATAGGCTCTAGCAAGAAACAGCATCGCTGACCTATCTCCTGCGTCTGCTGCAGTTGACATATATTCAACTCCCTTAGCAATATTTTCATCAGTTGGTTCAACACATACATTAACAAGAAAATCACGTTGCATATCTAAATGCAAATAGGCCATGGTTAAAATAGCCTCCATAACGCCTAACTCGGCAGCGTTTTGCTCGTGATAGAGAGCGGATTCCTCATCAGGTTCGTCACCTTCTTTAACCACTAAACGACCTATTTCATGATATTTCGCCATTTCGTGATGAATTTGTCCCAATATTGAATCATCTGTTGATCGATGATCTTTGCTAAGACGAAAGTTTAACTCTTGAGCGAAGCATGAAGGTCTTGCATGGTGGCTAAATGCCTGGTGAAAACGGATCCTTTCTTCTTCTTCCGTAATGGAGCTCGTATTACTATCACTACTTTCGCTGTAAAATCGAGTACGACGACCATTATTAATCCAATGAGGTGGCGAAACACTATGCATCGGTTCATCAACGGGTGGCGAGTTTTCAGGTTTATCACTCATAGGACTCACAGGTTCATGCATGCCATCAGATCCCGTCGAACAAGAAGATATTGATCGAAATCGAGATTTGGCTAAAAATGATGTTAGATCAATTCGATCTGTTGGAGAAGGACTAACACAATGCTCTAGTTGCCCTTTCAGGCGAGTTTCTGCAGTTTTATGCATTTGAACAAACTTCTGTTGAATAGCAATTTCATTTGGAGCTAAATCAAACTTTGACAAACCCATGCTATCACAAATAGAATTACAAGTATGTGAGTGAAAAAATAAAGCCATTCCCTTTGTTCCAAGATTACCATCTCCGTACTCCGACCCATTGACAGTGTGTATTTGGGGATCAGTCCATAAATCACCTACTCCTTGTATATCGACAACAATCAGTTGATGACCAGATCTCTCAAATGTAAAATGAGAGAAAGCTTGAGGAGTAGACCTGATGTGCTCATCGACAAATCCCGAATTAGAATTGTACTTTATGTAGTTGCCCTCTATGAAATGCTCCAAATGATAAAGAGGTGAACCTGGTCGAGATGTAAATTCTATAACGCACATTTGCATTATATCAACTTTTTTGGGGGGCTTATGACGGTTATATTCTTCACCCCATAATTTAGCATCCATCTGTAGTTGCACATCCTCAAAATAAACTTCTCTCTCCACTTCTTCCATGTACCTTTTAGAAACGTAGTTATGAGCATGCTTCCAATCGTGCCGATTTGTCCACGATGACAACTTTTTGCTATTGGAGAAATTTTTCTAATTCAAACAGCTTTAGTTTAAATATTTAAGATACTAACAGTCTGAAGCACTCTCTTAAAGCTCCGTGGTTGAATGGCTGTTAGAAAGAAAAGCTAAATTGATATACTCAATTTGGGTAATAAGCTTGTTTTTTTTTTACCACAGATTCCATTTTCACTTCAATATCATCAACAACCCATTTCTTTTTTAGAGCGTTATAACGATGTCTTTTGCAAGTTTCTGTTGGATGGTTTTCAATGTGAAATTCAAGCCATGGATCTTTCATTGTCTTTAATTTGCGCAAAGCAGAAAGCCAATGAGATCTCGGTGAAGAAGTTTTCTCCACATGTACGGCTGAGAGTGGTTGATGAGATTGCTCAAGCAAGTTCAAGTGCATTTTAAAAGGCACAGCCCTGGATCTTCGACGTTGACGAAGAGACAATTGCACTTTCTTTTTAGGTGTCTCATCTTGACGTTCCTCTGAATCCTCTACATTGTTGTTAACCAGATCAGTTAAGGGAAAGATAAGTATATCTTCGTTGTCTTCCATATTCCTGTTGAGAGGAGAGGGTTATTTCTGAAGGTTATAATATTTTTGCCAGTATATTTTAATTCGATATCGAATATGCTTAAACAATTGTTGATATTTACTTTGATCACTCTAAGTGACTTTCATTTGACCTCGTCACGTACCTGTTTTATTTTGGTAGGTATACGCTTACTCCACAAATAGTCGGCCTTGTGGTCTAGTACTATGTTTTTTTTATTATTTGACAGCACATTGATCAATATAAACAGTTTTAACAAAGGTTAATTGTGAAATTCGTTCAACTACTTTAAGAAAATGATTCGAGCTACCACAAATGTTCAGCAGGGTTAAAAGTGTAATGACCAAAATTCATATTGATATATAAAATCGTAGATAAACCGTTTTAAAAATTGTTCTTGGGTCAAGGTTAATATGGCGAAAATTTACATACTCAATATACTGCATACGAATTTTCGTTTTTATTGAACGCTTAACAATACAATTGTTCATTAAACTCGTCATGCAAATACAGCTTTTCATCCTGCAAATAATATGTTGCAACAACTCACTTTAGATTGTTGTATTTTCTTGAATATCAAATAATTATGTTGTGAAGTTAGAGCTCAAATCTATAACAGCCAAGCTGATAAACTGCAGAATTACGATAACTAAAATGCAGTAGTTTCTTTGTAGATTTCATTCGAGACTGTATCGCGTCAAAACAACGATAGCCTATGTACACTGTTCCTTGTAACCCGGCCAGTTATACTACGCATGCGTATATAAAAATGAGTCAGAGAATTAGGTCAATTCAATTGACAACAGATGTCGTTTTATTCAAGTTGCTTTATCGTGTATTTGTAAAAAATTGTCATAATTTCTGCAAATATGCATTAAACTATTCTCTTTTAAATACATTTCCTAGTTTCGACCCTGTTCTATTTCCGAGGCAAAATTCGACTTCTTTTTAGATTCCACATGTTTTGCATAAGTATAGAGCAGACCTCCAAATATATTTATGCATATGCCTGAAACTATTGGAAAATTAGCTGATATACCTTCAAATGTAAACCAGCCGATCGCCGTTTGAGCCACAGATTTGAGAACTCCTGTGATACTGGTCGTCAAGGCTGAGTTATACATTGTACAAAGAAAAAGTAAATAATTGAGCACACAGCCTAATATCGTTGTTGTACATAACATAAATATTGTAGACCATGTAGGTATTGCTAGGTGCGATAGCTCAAAAAGTGATAGTATGGCAAAGAGAGGAGCTGTATGTAGAGCATTTACATATACAGCATCAATTGCAGGAATATTAGCAGATTCTCTTTGAACGCAAACTAAGTAGCCAGCTTGAAAAAGAACACTTGCTCCCCCGCTAGCATATGATAAAGCGTCGAATTTCAAGTCTCCATAAGCTGCTAAAAGGCAACCAACAGTAACTGCAATTACAGAAATAAACACTGTTTTGGACGGTTTCGGTTTATTTAGGACAATGATTCCAAGCCCCAAAGTAACAACAGGTGCCAAGCGTTTGATTGCTCCATACATAGGAATGTTCATACCTTTTAGAGCCCATAGTGCAAGAATACTGTGACAAGCATAAAGCACTGACGGTAAGAACATCTGGCGTCCTAAAGATAGAGAATATCCTACTAAGTTGATTTTCTTCAAAGTTTTAAGAAACTGGAGAATAATTAACATGAAAATCATCTGTACCAGCATTATAACGATAGGTGCATCAAACAAAAAAACTGTCAACAAACTTTTATTTAAAAAGGCCATAGATGCTGAAGTTAGTCCATATGCTGCTGCTATTGCAAAACCAAATAACTCATCTTTCTGAATTTCTTCCCCACCTAGAGATTCCATCTTTACATTTATAGTAAATATAGATAATATCCTCTCTAGAAATCAGTGACAGTTAACTAATTATACGTCTCGAAAAAGTAGACGTGTTTAAAACAATAAAATTTTCCTACGTCTGTTAAAGAGCGAAACCTTTAACAAAACTCAGCAATCTTCAAGCTCATATGGGAATGCTGTTGACGTCATATGAATTTTATGACTAATACCGCTTTTTTCTCATTGGTTTATTTTGGCGCGAATACAAATTTAAATTAATAAGCGACAGGCATCATAGACAAAAATAAAATAATCATTATGCACAACATAATATAATATCCTATATGGCTTTTTTGCTTTTTCCTATAATATCCTCTGCTCTTAAACCATTCAGCCATAGATTGGACATCGTTCTGTCTAACGGGTTGATAGTTGAGATCGCGCTTGGCCTTCTCTATGCTAAAATAATGGGAAACACCAGTTTTATACACCTCAGCCCTGGTCAGTAAGGGTTGAAAATTATAGATGGATGAAAAACATAGGTAAAGAATCTCGATCACAAATGCAATGTAAAAAATAAATTTAGTAGGAATTTTAAGATTTGGATACTTATAACCAAGACCTTCAACGAAAGGCTTCATAAAGTCCCAATTTTTTATTGGGGCTCCATCTGAAACGAAATATGATTGCCCAGCGGCTTTTCCGTTCTTTAAACTTGATGATGACAAAATATGACAGTTGACAACATTGTCTACATGAACAAAATCAACGATTGCATCTCCATAAGTAAAAGCAAATAAGCCTTGTTCCATATACTTAATTATGCGGGGGAAATGACGCTCTTCTCCAGGTCCGTATATCGCAGCCAGACGCAAAGCACAAGTTTTGAAACTTGGTGAATTAGACTCCAAGACAAGTTGCTCAGCAAGACACTTTGTTCGAGAGTACTCATCTGTATGCTTTTCTACAGGCCAATAAGGTAAAGTTTCATTACCATTTTTAATTTCTTGACCACCAAAGATGACATTGTAGGTGCTGGTATATATTAATCTGGAAACATTTAGACTTTTACAAATTTTTATTAGAAGACGTGTTCCATTGACATTAACACGCCTAATGAGTTCTTTGTTTAACATTTCCCGTCCAGACATTCCATAAGAAGCTACATGATGAACACAGTCAGCTTCTCGGAGGACATCTGAAAGAGCTGCTTCGTCCAAAATATTACCTTCATAAAACTTTATAGTTTTAGGTAAATTTGAAAGATTTTTAGGTGGCCTTATGTCAAAAAGTCGTACTACAATTCCCTCTTCAGCTAACTTAAGTCCAAGTTTTTGTCCTAGATATCCTGCGCCCCCAGTAACGACATGAACTTCAGCCTTTGTATTCGACAAGCCGGCTTTCATTTTCACTGTAAAAATATTTTTCTATTTACAAATTTTACAAAAGTATATAAAACAACATAAATATTTGCTCATGATAAATATAGAATTTTCTTGATAATATCAGTTGGATCAGATATTACAGAATTAATTTATATTTTAAAATGCCTCGCAATTCAATATACGTATTTAGTGGAGGAAATATTGACATATCTGACTTTGTTTTCTAATATGACACTTACAAAAATGTGATTTTAACCTCAAAGCTCAATATAATCTTAATGGAAACAAAATGTTCGCTTTTATCAGTTCTTTGTCAAGGCACTTATCTGTATTCTTGGGTTGAAAGTTCTTATTAAGGGTACCAGTTTTTTTACGAGACAAATGTTATTTTCGTATAAACTAGATTTATATAAGATTTACCTTCATAGTTACTATAAATACAACAGTATTAAAATGAGGACTTCATGAAAATGTTCTCAATTTGAACAAATTATTAACTTCGAAGTGACGTAGACTTTGTATTCAGAACAATTTTCGATTCAATAACGGAAGTGAAATTAAGTCTGGGTATATTTGTAAATGAAAAGTGACGTCCCATAAGGAACATTAACCATGAACATTTCATGTCCTAATCCTTTTAACAATGGACTACTATATTGTGGTTGGAACCAAGATCAAGGTTTTAATTTCGTTTTTACTTCCTTCATATTTAGAAAAATATTTACATCAGTAGGCTGAACTGAAAACTCCCACCAAATCAAATGTGAACTATACTTTTGTTAAAACAGGATGCTTTGCCTGTGGAATGGAGCAGGGGTTTCGAGTTTATAACTCTGATCCATTGAAAGAAAAAGAACGTCAAGACTTTACTAATGGGGGTATAACCCACGTAGAAATGCTTTTCCGCTGCAATTATCTGGCATTAGTGGGTGGAAGTCACAATGCAAAGTATCCACCAAATAAAGGTAAGAATTGCAAAAGAGTCATTCCTAAATTTTGCAATAATAACATTTTCAAGTTATGGTTTGGGATGATCTGAAAAAGAAGCACGTTATTGAACTTGAGTTTACATCAAATGTTCGATCGGTCAAACTAAGAAGGGATAGGTATGACTGATGACTAGTTTTATTTAAATAGGGAATAAGTATATTATTCGAAAACAGAATAGTCGTCGTTCTTGATTCAATGATTAAAGTTTACACCTTTACTCAAAATCCTCAATTATTGCATGTTTTTGATACATGCTCGAATGTAAACGGTCTGTGTGTTCTATGCCCTAGTAGCAGTAACTCTTATTTGGCATTTCCTTCTAAAAACTCTGGCCATGTTCAAATTGTTGATTTGGCTAATCCTGAAAAAGCACCTTTGGATATTGCAGCTCATGAAACTGCTTTGGGATGCATTTCAATGAATTTAGATGGAACTAGAATGGCTACAGCTTCAGAAAAAGGAACCCTTATTCGAATATTTGACACACAAAATGGATCCCAAATTCAAGAATTGCGGAGAGGTTCACAGACTGCCCACATTTATTGGTCAGTATCAATATTTTAAGTTTAAACGAATAAACATTTGTTTTATTTTAGTATAAACTTTAATATTGAGTCAACTCTTATTTGTGTTTCTTCTGACCATGGCACGGTGCATGTTTTCGCTTTGGAAGAAAAAGAAAGAAAGAATAGACAGTCTTCTCTAGCATCAGCAGGATTTCTCCCTAAATATTTCTCATCGAAATGGAGCTTTTGTAAAATGCAAATACCGGGAAATACTCAAAGTATTTGTGCCTTTGGTGCTAAATCTAATGATAATCAGTCTGTCATAGGTAATATTTTAAAAAAATACTGCTTCAACTTATTATAAAATTTCTATTTCAGTTCTTTGTGCAAATGGATGCTATTATAAATATCTTTTCAATGCACGAGGGGATATTTCACGGGAAGTTTATTCTCAGTTTCTCGAAATGACAGACGATAAAATGTAAATTTAAAAATAATATTGTTAAAACTTGTAATTGCATAAAAAACCAGACAATTGTAAATCAATTTCAAAATTTTTGCATTAGAATAATACCACATATTGTAGCATAACCAACAAACAAAAACAAAGCTCTTAATAACCGATTTGGCTGGCCCTCTTGGGTACCGAATTCAAAAGGAATTATTTCAAAAAATATAACGTACAAAAAAGTGCCTGCGGCTAGCCCTTGAAGGGTTCCATCTACAACAGCACCTTCCGCTGATTTACTAACAAAACTATTGACCAGCACTCCTATTGTAATTCCAACAGGAGATGTTATGCAAAATAAAATATTTGATTTAAAAATTGCAGATGTGGATAATTTACTTTGTATAAAATTGACTCCCAAGCTAAATGCTAAAATACATTTATGTAAAGCAACTGCGGCAAATATCTGAAATAACACAGATTTATTTGTTTCTAATCCAATGGCAAGCCCTTCGAAAACTGAATGTAAAGATAACGCCAGTAGTAGCATAAAAGAATGAATTGAAGATTTAATAGCGGTGTCAGGCGTGATCCGTTCATGGGAGGAACTACTATACTCTAATTCTTCCTGATCACTTTCTGCAACTTCAGGTAGCAGAGCTCTAACTTCATGCTTCTTTGCTTCTCTGAATGTTAAAACTGTCTGTTCTATAAACAACATTAGGAATAGACCAATTACAATTATGAATTCAGGTAGAGGAAATTCACTATCGATCAATTTGCTTCTAAGAAACTTTGTAAATTTTCCCCGGACATTAGGAAACAAATCTAAAATTGAGGTGCCAAGGAAAACACCCGCAGCATAACAGGAAATTAAACTCACTCCACAACGAATTTTTCTAGCTGTTCTGTCAGATAACGATCTTCTCTGAAGAAGCTTCATAAATATTAAAGGAGTCATACTGAACAATACAGTTCCAATGAAAAGAGTACATAACACTATTATTTTAATCACTAATAAGTCCATAGTTGTTGTACGAAAATAGAGAATGCAGCGAAATTGGGTTTTCCTATTGACAGCGGGTAAAGTGTGAATTATTTGTTAATTACTTAAGAGTATCATGATCAAAATTTTATTAAAATATATTTTATAAAATTAAATATTTTAAAGTTAAGCACAAATGAAATTTTTATGACATAGGCGCCATCTCAAGTTTATCTACTTTGTCCTTGGTTTTCTAGCTTCTCTTCTCGGTCTTTTTCTCTATTTCGTTCAAGCACATTATTGATACAATATTCGCTTTCTTCTCCTGCATCTGTTAAGCGCAAATCTAGCTCAAGGATTGTTTTGTTCTCATCCATCCCCTCTTGTAGAGTTTTTCCACCTTCCTAGAGAAATTAATACAAATATATATGTGTAATTCACCGTAACTCAATAAGAATACTTACGAGACCAAGTTTATTACAACTTAAATCTAGGCATTTGATGGTAGCATTTAGCGAACAAACTTGAGAGAACACGCTTGCTGTAGGTTCGCTAAGGTCGTTAGCGGCTATATTTAAGTAGATTAAAGTGTTATTTCTCAAAAGCGATCGGCCTATAGCTTGACCACCTTCGTCTCCCAATCTATTCATTCTCAAATTGAGAAACTTTAGAACGTTATTTTTTGTTAGTGCGTGGGCAATGGCTTGAGCCCCGGCAGAACGGATTCTATTATCATGGATTATTAGCTTTAGCAATTTGCTATGATTGTTTAATAATTTGCCAATAGCCCTTGCTCCTCTGTCTCCTATTGCGTTATGAGATAAATCGAGTTCGATTAGGTTGGGATGATCTATTATATTCCCTATTAATACTCGTACTTTATCATCATCCACTTTAGACCTCCTCAGCCTGAATATCTGCAGAAACTTTGTAACAGCAACACTTTTAGCCAATTGAAGACAGTCGCGAGCAGTGAATTGAAAAACACTCCATTCAAAATTCATTCCGCAATCCCTCACTCCGTAGCTTAAGCTAAATTCTTCAATATTGAGCAATTTAGGGAGTATAGAGTTAAATTCTAAATGATCAATCTCTAATTCATCACCAATGTCACTTGCATCTTCTGATATCTCGTCATCTACTTTTGGTTCTTTGACCGGCGGAAGTAATTGTTTTATATTCAATCGCCTTATGTATGGAGCAGACAGGGAAACTACTTGCTCTAATTTTCCGTTGTCTGATTTATCCGGCACGTAATGTTCAATCAACTCTTCCAAGTTTCTTTCAAAATACATTCGTTTCCAACAATTATCAAAAGATTCTACGTTGCATAAATCCCATCGAGCTATGCAACATCTCTGCCAATAGCGCTGATCTGTTATCAAATTTGCTGTTATGGTAATAGGTAAATTTGTCGATATCTTTTCCAAAACTTTAATTTGATGTTTTCTGAGTAGCTTAGGTAGAATGCTGCTATTGTCTGTAACATTAAAAAAGATACTTAACTTTTCACACACAAAAGTCTTAAAAAGTCAAATAAGTGAATTAACTAACGTTCAAACTGTTCAACTATATGATTAACTACAAGATCTGTTAATAGTGGAACTATAGCCAACGACCATTCAGGGTCTTCGGCTATTATACGACGACTAGTCCGTTGATCTACAGGATTTCCAATAGAAAAAGCCGACAATGTTTTTTCATCACTCGCTCTTGAGGAATTTTTTCGAGATTCTATGCCAGGTTTAGCCGATTTAGCCGATAAGGTAGTTTCGTTCTTTTCTTCACCCATTTTAAAATCTTCTAAAAAAAACTCAGCGTCTTCTGTTTGTTATGGATACCAGACTGGTTCGAGTTATACACAGTATCATAGCAAGGAAAGTGTACCATACTAATAATAATTTAGCGCCATCTACTGTGGCGTTAATGAAAAAATACGAAAAATGGCGGATGATGAAGCTATGGATCAAAGTAAGTAAATGTATTTTATACTGTCTTATTGAGTTATAATTATTTTTATTATTAAAAATTTTATTCTTTGCTAATCCGTACTAATTTTAGTTGATAAAATATGCATTAATCTAAGTTTTGGTGCCTTACCAATCGAGTAATATTTTGAAAGATTCGATGTGTTTCAGTTCAAATTTCTATATTTGATAAATACTTTATTTAATTATTAATTCCAATAAAGAGATTCTAGATTTTATATAGAAAATTGTTTTCAAATTTATGCTAAATTAACGTATTTTAGTTGAATCAAACGAATCGGGAGACGAAGGAGATGATATGCAAGATGATAACAATGAATCTATGACAGATGTTATGGAAACTCCATCTTCCTCTCGGCGAAGATCTCACTTGAGACCCCTCAAAAGAAATGTAAGTTACGAATAATATGTGAGATATAAAAAGTTAATTATATTAACTATAGCCCGCAAGATTACGGAAGCCTAACCCTAGGATATTTGGAGACCCTGACGATCCTCTGTTTACTTCGTATCCCTCATATAAAAGAAAATCGAAAATGAAAGATGAAAGAAATTTAGCAATGAGAGATTCTATTGGATATGTGAGTATGATCAATTTAAAATTTTCTTAACTCATCAATCATGACAATTTTAGCACACTAGAAGTTCAGGAAGTAGTAAATCCGTTGCTAACAAAAACGCATCTCGTCTCCGCAATCTTCTAAAACTACCAAAAGCCTCACGATGGGTATATTGTGAATTTTTCTACTCGACCATAGATCAGTAAGTTGCTTACAATGTCGTTCAATCTATTGACTGTTTAAGAAGTTTATTTTATTCTTCATTTTAGTTCACTCTTCAAGGGCGAAAACGATTTTTTGATTTGTATGCAAGAGTGTTTCCCTTACCTCAATTTAAGTAAACTCACAAGATCCCAATGGGTTATGATGAGACGAATGTTAGGAAAACCAAGGAGGTGTTCTCCTGCCTTTTTCGATGAAGAACGATCAGCTTTGCACATGAGACGAATGAAAGTGCGTTTGCTTCAAAACACAAAATTAAAAGAAATTGATCATTTAAATGATATGCCGCCGAATATCCCTATGCCATTGGTTGTTGGTTCCAAAGTTACAGCGCGTCTTCGTACACCTTACGATGGAATATATACTGGAGTTATTGAAGCCTTGGACACAATAACACATTCATATAGGATTACTTTTGACCGTCCAGGCATCGGCACATTCTCCGTTCCAGATTACGAAATTCTACACGACTCTTCACAAGACTCGTTATCTATTAGTTCTTTCACTTTGAAAGTTCAAAAGGAAAAGGGCACTCCTCAGATGGCGGCAAAGAGTATGATGAGCCCGACCTCTTTCTTGGATGGTCTGTATCTCGAGATCCTATTACGCAACATTATTTATTAAATGTTATATTTTCGACTTTAGTTGATTCTCCCCTTGGTGCGAATCCTGAAAATGATCCCTTCATGGGACAACCAGTAATGGCAGATATATTAAAAAAAGAGGCTGAAGAGCCTATTCCTGACATGCAAAATTCACCTTTACCACCTGAGCTTATTGAAAAATTGGTAAATATAAGTTACATTTTTTGGAATTTTATTTTAACCCCTTTAAGAAAATACTCAAGCCATTCCATTATTTTAGAACGAATTTGCAAAAGTGATAGACACAAAGCAGAAGGTCCTAACAAGACATCGAATTATCCAGAAGGAGATAATCGAAGCTGTAAGTTAGCATTGTATAGCATTAACAGGAAAAGTACATAATTAAATATATACTAGGGAGAATATGCAACTTTCGATGAAACTCTGATGGGGAGAAGAAGCCAGTGCTTGTATGAACTAGAAGTGCTAAATTCTAACATTTGTCCACTAATTTGCAGTATCGATAAATTATTATATGAACGTCTTCCTGATGAAGTTAAAGAAACAGCAACTCAAGTTCTCTTTCATCAAAAGAGATATATGGATAAAGCTGATAAAATATTTGATCGTGTAAAGGGAAAATCAATCGCACCAACTCTTATCACACAACATCCGCAAATTGTTGAACTCATTAAACGACTAAGCACTATTCAAATGCAGATGAGTGCGTTCCCAGGACGGAAGGCTCAAGCAGTCGAAATTGCTGCCTTGCAAGAATCATTAGAAGCGACAAAACTCATGCTAGATCCAACTAATAGAGTGTAAGTGTTAGATGCCACCTTTTAGATTATGAATCTTACCTTTCTTATATTTTAGAATCTTCGAAACCTCAGTTGAGAAATATGTTGAGAAGACACTTGGTATTGCCAGCCCAGAGCCTCGAAAAAGACTCACTTTAAAACAATAAATTCTTTATGTGCTCTTTAGTTTAGATTTTCATTCTGTGACTTAAGTTTTGGCTAGAAAAGGAGAGGATGCATGGTTTTTATGATAATTTGATTCGAACATACAATTACATTTTGCGTGCTACATATAGTTGAAACAATTAATAAAAATAACAGAAGGCTTTAAAGACTTTCGAAGAGAATTCTTTGTTATCAAGCAGAAAATATGACTGATGTACGTTGAGGGATTTCGTTTCAGTTAAACATGTAAAAATGATTACTTTTGCTGTATATAGCGAAGACCTGAATGCGATTAATCATTTTATAGTACACTGTATATCATATTTTGTTATGTATTTAAGAGAAGTGAAGAAAGTTAAATACGACGGTATGAGTGTTAAATAAATTATATAGAATATATACTGTGATTTTAGATAAACTGAATATTTTTTAAATTTACTGCAAAGTACATCCACCATAAGCAGGGTGTCTACAACACCATGAACGCTGCTGCAAAGGCCTAGGAGGTATTAGGTCAAGATCCTCATCATCAGGTTCCATATCGAGATTATAACCATCCTTGATGAGCTGTTCAGTTATTTGTTTTTGCATGGCTTTTGAGAGGGGAGGCATATCAAATTCATCATCGCTGAAAACAAGTCATAAGCAGATGTAGAGAAGAGAATTTTCACTACCTTTCATCACTATCCAATGTCACTAATGGTTTTTTTTGATCATCAAAAGATTGGTTATCAAATTTATTTTTTGTTGGAACGATTAGTCTATTCCTAGATAATAATGCATTGTTTTTCCGAAGTGTTTCCCGTTGGGCATCTGTGACAGAAAAACATTTAAGAGTTGACAATCTTAAATAATACGAACCAATTAGCTTCTGTAGATCGATCTGTTTATCAGGCACAAGTGTTCGTCTCTCAGAAATTGGACATTGCTGATGCTAAACATAATTAAAGAGTTGATATTATCAATCGAAAAAATTATGAATTTAAAGTACTGGTTAGAATTATGGAATAAGAAATTTCCTCTATACCGACCTGTGACACAGGCAAAACAACTGCGTTCAAATTCGTTTTAGTGTCACTATCAAAGCCACTATCTTCCATTTTTTGTTGATTCGTTGAAAGTTCCATGCATTACTGATGAAAAATATTGTAGTTAACGAGAACCGGATGTGAACTTCTGGCAGGATCAATGGGGAATATGTATTTGTAAATACACCTTTATTATTATTTAGATACTGAATACAAGTTATGCTCAAAGTACTATTCTTATATTAAATTTGATATTAAGTTTCACATAATGTAATTGTATATACCTTATATTCTTTTAACCTTTGTTGCGTGTGTATTACGCAGAATATTAAATAAGTATCTTGAGCGAAAATACAGGAATAAAATATACATTTTTATATAAAATATTTGAAAAGTCTGAAATCACGGGAGAATTTAAATATTTTACGTTTTAGACGACATCTCTTTAAATTTTAAGTGGGTTTGGAGATGTAATTGTGTTATTACAAGGTGTTCTATATCCAAAAATTCCATTTTGAGAAGATTAAACAATTTATCTAATATAATAACATTTATTATTTTATTCTTTTCAATATTATTAGCTTTGATAACGATCAGATAATACTTTATTTCATTTTGTTTTATCAAAAGAAAAACCTGGTTCCATTCAGCTTTTAATGCTCTAAATATAAAGTATATACCTAAAAACTAGACATAATACTAATTTTGTAATATTTCTTCACAAATATGTTCACACGCTATTAAAATGATAGAATCAATATATTCTTTAAAAAGTTTATTCACGAATGCTATACTTCTTAAAGAAAACCGCTCTTGGCAAAATATAATTATTCAGTGACACGTCCGTAAGTCTAACGTGTGTTTTTTGAATAAACAGGATATTTTCACACCAATAGAGGGATGATTAAGGCTATTTTAATTTTCAATAACCATGGCAAGCCAAGAGCGTCTAAATTTTTTATACATTATGTAAGCTTTAACTAAACTTATCTTTTTTTGTATTATCGCTCTCTTATTATTGATAAAAAGCCTGAAGATATTCAACAACAAATAATTCGTGAAACGTTTCAACTAGTTTCCAAGCGAGATGACAATGTATGCAATTTTCTGGAAGGTGGAACGTGCGTATATAAATATACTTAATTTCATCTGTTGAAAATCTGCTCTAATATTTTCTAACAGATTGGCTGGCGATTCAGACTTTAAAATTGTGTATAGGCATTATGCAACCTTATATTTTGTGTTCTGTGTAGATTCTTCAGAAAGCGAGTTGGGAATACTCGACTTGATTCAGGTAATTTAACAGATTTTTTAATAACTTGATTCATTCCAATGTATTCAGGTATTTGTGGAGACATTAGACAAGTGCTTCGAAAATGTCTGTGAACTAGATTTGATATTTCATGTTGACAAGGTAAGCTCAATAGGCAGTAAATCGTTTATTCAGAAATGCGTAAAGGTACACAGTATTCTTTCTGAAATGATACTTGGCGGTCTCGTTGCGGAAACTAACAATTATGAAGCTAGAATTCATTTCAACATGCAAGAGAAATTGAGTATAGATGAGGTTCTCTTGATTTTTCTGAAGTTTTTTCAACTCAAGCACTTTTCAATTACGAAATATTCAACAATCTGATTATAAAAAATAATTAATTTAATGAATCAAATAGTATTTTTTTTATTCTATAAAAACTTAGGATAATCTTTACGTAGAAATATCTTCGTTGAAGAGTGTTTAACTTAGGAAAAAGTACCTATCCCTTCATCATTGTGTCCCTGGGAAAAGCATAATTTAAATCTCCATTTTGATTATTTTATTTGCTTTTGTACAAGTTCCAATCCTCTAGGTGCAATATGTTATGTGTGAATTGGTTATGGGAGGTATGGTCCTGGAAACTAGCATGGCCGAGATTATGACACGCATTAATGACCAAAGTAGATTAGAAAGGGACGAGGTTGTCGTTGATCTTGTTTTTTTTTCTAAAATTTACTAACTTACTGCAAAATGTTGATTGATTCAACAGGCAGGATTCTCTGCAGCGCCATCCAAAGCTGTGTCTGCAGTAAAGGAATTGAACATTCCTCAAAAAATAAAGGACATAAAAATTGGAGATTTACCCTCGATTGGAAGTTTCAAATTTTGAAGCTGGTATGATCAATACTTAATAGGCAATTAATTTTCTTTATTTTGCTTTACAGAAAACTTTAGATCTCCAAACAATATATTGTTTTCCTAACGAAAACCTTGTCTTCAGTTTCACGAATTCTTCATAAAAAACATTACAAAAGACTTGTTGAACTTCGTAAAATTTTATTTACAAGAGATAAAAACGATAATCTAGATTTTACAAATTAAAAATAAAATAATTAATGAAAAACAAATCTACCGTTATAAATTGAATCTAAGATGTGTTACGTTCTTTCAATCTTTAATGTTATTTCATTGATATTTAGATTTTAACTTATAATTGGATTTTCATAATTCTGAGTTTAGCTTGTTATTAGTTTCAGAACTTAAAGCTTCATTCATTGATTTTACGACTTGTGAAGAGAAGCTATAATAGTATTTATATTTTTCATTTCCTTCTTTGTTGTATAGACTTAAGATCGGTTCACCATTCTTCTGTAAAAAAAAAGCTCTTGGTATGTATCCACCATCAGGAGAATATTTATCGTCTCTTGGCTCTTCGTCATCTTCCAAATTTACCATAATAAATTTCTTACTTAGTTCTAACAATTCGTTGTCAGATGAAAAACTTGGCTTTAATTCTAAAAGAAATGAATAATAATGTCTTTTATTATACATGATTCCATTATTTAAAATAATTCTTTTAGGCAGCTGTTAAGTATTATGGTATCGAATATTTTTGTAAATTACATTAAAGTTCAAGAAAATCGATTCAAAACCATATGTTCTCTAAAAAATATAATTATGGAATTACCTTTGCAAGCTCTACACCATGATTTGTGCAATAAGAGAAATATCAGCTTGTCACTGAAAGTTGAAATGATATAGATATGCATAAAAAATAATTATTAGCTTACCTATCTTTAGCCATTGTTATTGCCTGATCAAGATCATTCAACCATTTTATATTTGAATTAAAACCTATTGAAAGACAAATATAAAATAGACCAAATACATCATTTTAATAAAAAGAGACTTTTATTTACCTCTAGATTTGTCTGTAGCAGTTTTTTCCAATGTTTCATTTTCATTATCTTCTTTAAGGTCCGCTAAACAATAAGAAACAATCAGGAGTATACCCATAACTACTTTCAATTTTCGATCATACATGGCCGTCTTATTAACTAGCAATACTTATTAGATTATATTGCAACTTGAAGTTTAACTTGGAATTTATTTAGCAAAATAATATATTTTCTCTATATAGAGGAGAGTTTCGCTTCTCGGCAAATGTCTAACGTCACATTCGATTCAAGTTTACCAGTTGTCGACGGATATCACTAGATAATGGATTTGTTGGTTACATTGCATTCCAGCTGATAATTAGTCAGAACACCCTAAATTTTAAATTTTGAGTTTTCGGAAAATATAGGAACGATTTTTTACTATTATAATCGTCTATATGGATAGCTTTACCGTAAAACTTTATTTAGTGCTACCTTGTTTATAGGCGACATAGCTTAATATTTATATTCTTAGTTAAATTTAACTTTAACCTCTAATTTTTGGTAACAAATCATCATTTCTCATCTATACTTCGACTAACCAAATGAGAATACTAGCTATAAAAGAGATATCAATTTGCAAGTTAATGTAGTCAAGAATGATTGAAAACTGAGTGATAATAGATAACAATGAGAATTAGAATCAATCGCCGGTTGTTTCGAACTAGCTTTACTTGGTTGAGAAGATGTGGCTTAAGAACAATTTCAATTTTTGGTTTAATAACTTTTTTTTTATTTCTTATTGTTTTAATATCGCTTAGCAATTCTGAGTCTTCAGCTAAAGTCGTTGCACAAGATGGTATGTTTTAATTTATTAATCTTTTCTCTTTTCTCATGAAATTTTATTATGGCTCAGGTATGACTTCTATACCAATGTTAATAGTTAGAAAAGATAAATGCGACGCTTGTTATGGAGATAACTTCTGCAATCATGTAATGAAGGGTAGCATAGTTATGGACATTCCACATAAAGCAACCGCTATGAGTTCCAAAGGAGCATACGTTGGTCAGTGGGAAGGAAAAAGTATTGTTGTAAAGACAGGTGCTGGCACAGATCGTTTCATGATGTTTGATCGATATTCATGTAACACTGTATTTCAAACACCTGATTGCGATGTTACTTCATCAATATCTAATATATCAAATATCGACATCGACATCATTAGAAATTTACAAGTCAAGATTCATGGTAGGCCCTTACCTTTTTCGTATTGCTCGTCTAATGATTTACTAAACGAGCTTGTAGCCGGGTGAGTGTTTACTCGTAGAAATACTTGATTGAACGTTCATTACCCTAATACTATTTAACAGATATTCAAGGTATCCGATAAACAGAGCCACAAATTTCTTATTCACGTCATTGGTCATTAATCCTGAGTTTGCATTTCTTAATTTTTTTACCAAGAACCACAATTTGCCCTTTCCAAGGAATTATGGTTCTTGCGGCCGAGTTTCAATAATAGAGCGTAATGGAAGTCCTTTGGAAACATTTCTAGATAATCCGTTTAAAGAAAGGGCAGAGATTGCTTTCCATATTTTGAAAAGTTTAAAATCCTTAATAAACGACCAGGATAGATGGTCACTGTCCTATCTGGATTTAAGCTACGAAAATATCTTATATAATGAAAAATCGAAATCGATTCTTTTTACAGAGAGTGGTAATCTTGTAATAAGCCAGAAGATAAACTACGATTGTGAGTTACAATGATATTTCATAACGAATACAACATTTTCTTTATAAAATCATGTATTTTTTTTAGGGACCGCTTTGGGATTATGCAATGAGAATTGCATGTCTAAAGAGGCAATCTACAAAATTCTTGAAAATCAAAACTGCGCTTCTTTTACCTATCAAGCGGCACATTCTATGTTTGCCACAGTGTGTGCTCAAATATTAACCGATTCAAATGATATACGGAAAAAATTTGGAAATAAACTTTTGGGTGAAACAATACCAAAAGGTTTATTACATTCATCAACCGATGATGTCAGCAAGAGTCTACAGGAACTTTTATCTCAGTGTGTTACAGAGTCACTAGTGAATGGACGAATGAACGCCGTTAAAAAGTTAATGGCCATTTTAAAAAATATTATTAATTCTACTTGATATTTTGATTAGAAAAGCTGTTTGGAAGTTACTCAAAATATTTTTTTTTTAATTAATACTCTTCAAAATTAAATTTTCTATAGATATTAAATGTTTTACCTTTAGAAGTATTAATGAATTTTCATTTTGAAAGTTGTATATGGGAGAATTAGGACCGATCTGTTTCTTATCACAAATGTTATATTGTATTCAGTGTTAAAATTTGATAAAGTAACTATTTTACATGTTCAAAGTTTGACAGATGGATATATAAATAAACACATTTGATAAACAATGTAGGCCAAAACTTCAAACGAATTGTAACTTCTCATGACCTAGGTGGCGCGTGCTCAGCACGTGTTGCCTGAACAAGTACTCCTCGCTAGAAAATCATCGAGTTTAAATAGCCAAGAACTTTACTTAGGCCCTGAATCTGAATTATCGAAAACTGTGCAATTTGGATTTAATATTATATTTTGATTTTATTTCAGTGATTAACTATTATACTTATATCATTAAAAATTTGAGTGTATGTGTTATATTTGTTAAGATGTGGATCTGCATAAATATTGTTTAAAGGCCAAAGTATATTTTCTCTTTTAGGTCTAAAGGCTTGATCACAGTATTACGGTCACAATATCGGTCGTGATGAAAAAACATCTGTAAACTGGAATATCTAAGAATGGCTGAATTTTTCGATGAAGAAAATGCAGTAGATTTATCTTATAATGATTTGGATACCTTTCCTGATTTTTTAAGTTCCCACGCTACGAGATATATCTCATTGAAATTGGATCATAACAATATCACCATATTATCAAGGCAGATTGGAAAATATGAATCCCTCGTTACCCTAGACATTTCTGATAATAAAATGACCTATCTAAGCGATGAGCTTACTCGTCTTAGTAGTTTACGAAGTTTAATAGCGAAAAACAATAGGCTCGATGAAGATACTCTGCCCAAGAACTTTGGAACTATGAAAAGCCTACAGCTTATCAATTTTGCTGGAAATCGATTCAACGAATTGCCAACGCAGTTTACTGAACTTGAAAATCTTAACCGACTATTTATGGGTGCTAATCGCTTAAAAACTCTTCCAGAAAGCATCAGTCAATTGACGCAATTGGAGGTATTATATGTTGGTGGTAATAAGTTACAGTCAATACCTGAATCAATTGGTGATTTAAAGTATCTAACAGCTATGATCTTATCAGATAACCAGCTAACAAGTTTACCTGATAGTATTTTAAAATTACGTCGTTTGCAATCATTAAGCCTACATAATAATCAGTTGCAAACTTTACCTCCCCAGATTGTTGGGTTACAACTTACAGAATTAAGTTTGCGTAATAACCCTTTAGTTATTCGATTTGTGGAAGATTTGATATGGGAACCCCCTTCTCTCAAAGAGCTTGCTGGTAGAGTAGCCAAACGACATCATCTTACATATACCGAGTATGATCTTCCAAGGTGTCTTATTGAGTACTTATCCTCAGCTCATCAGTGTGTCAATCCGAAGTGTCGTGGAGTATATTTTACTTCAAGAGTTGAACACGTCAAATTTGTGGATTTCTGCGGAAAATTCAGATTACCGCTTATGCAATATTTGTGTTCACCTGCATGTACAGCTGAATCACCAAGAGTCAGAAAGTGCTCAGAGACGGATTCAGACGAAGACACTCCAGTTACCCGAATGAAAAAAGTGCTATTGGGATGATTTTATTGACAATAAATTTAGAAGCCAACAAATTATAATTAAACTTGTTTATGGAAAGTTTGCTAAATAGCATAACTTGTTTTAATAAAAACCGACTGAGAAAATTTTTTAATCAGTCTTAAAAAAATGCTTAAATTTAAAAACAATTGTATTACATCATTGTGATATGTGCCCTATAAAAATACTTTCTTTCTATTGAGCAGACTATTGAACAGAATATCTTTTACTAATAGAAACAATTTATTCTGAACACTGAATTTCTGGCATAGAATGCAAAGTAGCAGCGTCCTGAGGTAAAGCTTGCTGATGCATATTGTAATTTTGTCCAACGTGTTCATGGTGAACCCTTTGAGAAGGAAAGTTAATAGATTTTTGGAATTTATTACATGAAAAACTATCGTGACAGAGTATATTGTGACCTTTTATAGCCTGCCATAGATTATCAAGAACTGAATTCAGATTGAAATTATTATCCAGGAAACTTGACATTGATTTACCAATAATTTCTTGAGTTTTTAAAACTCTCCCCCCAAATAGCCCATAATTTAATGCTTGTATAGTATGATTTGGATGGTCGCGTAAACAATGAAAATCATTATTACTGCTAAAAAATGCCTCCACGGCAGATCGTTCGCGTTCACTTAGCCTGTGATATGGGCTGCGTATCAAAAAAGAATCAATGTTCGTATTATCAATAACCAATAAGTTCCAAAGTTCAGGAAGAATTGATTTACTAGCTTTGTCGGATACTTCAATAATATTTACTCCATTCTCTATTACCATTCTCGCAATAAATCTTTTCATTAATGAACTTTGCATTCCATTTGGTGGAACATAAACAGATATCGACCATTCAGGATAGATTACTGGTAACAATTGAATATTTCTTAATATACCGTGCAATATGGCTGGTTCGTCTTTCCACATTGAATAGGAAATTGTGCGCTTTGAATCCTTGGATAGTTTATCGAATTGTGGATTAATTCTTGCTTTTAGGTATGTTTTAAGGGTCATTTCTATGTCATTTCTTATCGTTGTCGCTAGAATCTTGTTTAAGGAAATAGTTGGATTGTATCGGGTTCCAGATGCAGTTGTTTTATGGATTAATTTAACGTCAGCTACTTGAGTTGATCTACCTGGACGATATATTTTGGTAATCCAATCATCCCCAAACCAATCAGGGAAAATACGATTGTAATAAATTCCCCAAATGTCAATATGCGTCTTGTGTACAAAATCGTAGGTAAGGATGGTTTCTGCTCCTCCTGTGTGTCTTGGGGCCGTAACACCAACCATTATAGGGTCATAACTTTCTAATCTTGAAATTAATTTTTCTGTCCAGTCGCTAGTAATCATCACACTATCATCATTTATCCTATAAAAGTATAATACATTGTCTAAGTATGCTTGAATCATGGCGTCATTCTGGGCCCAGGCTGGTTTTCCATTATGAGAACATTGATACATATTTAGATAAACATCATGCCCTCGAGGGCAGTTTGATAATATCATATGTGTAAAGCGAGCACGAAACGCCTTCCGTTTATGATCGTCTGTGAAGAAGGGATCATTTTTATCATATGCTAAATAAAAATGATAGATAAACTTTTTAGGTGTCATTGTATTGCAGAATGATGGAATCAGTAATTTTAGGAATGGAATTGCTCTCAGAGTTGCGTCAATTGAATATGTTGGTAGTTTCTTACTGGTTATTCCCATGCCGATAGCTATGGACTTGTCTGAATGTATCTTCAGCGATGATAAACTGTTTTCATCTATGTCAGCATGTAAAATTAATCCATCGGTTGTTTGCCCCCATGCATTGATTGAAGATGCCACAAGCTGTGTCGTGACAGATCTTAGGATAGGCGACGGTTTTGCAGTTGTCACATCACTAAATGATTTATTTAATTGAGTAGTCTCTATGTTAGCATTACCTACCGAAATTTCAATTCGTATATTCATGTATACGTATAAAAATTGTAAGATCAATATTATCACAGATATTAAGGCAAAAATTAATAAAAGGCGCTTTAAGTACATTGTGACTAATTACCAGTTTTCAATATAGCACTTATTGTACGAAAGATTTTACGAGTTGCGCAAAATATCAAGTTAAAAATGGTTAATCCGTATTCAATAGATTTTTTTCCTCATCGGCAATTTCGGTGTCGGAAGAGCAGAGATTCTCAAGTAACTCCCAAATAGTGGAAATTAATGCAGCACAACCAAACAATAAAAGTATTTTTAAAACTTTTTTCGATATAAATGTGCTACTATTAATAATTTTGGAATTTGGGGGAGAACACGGAGGTAAGAAAGTTGAATTTAGATATATTCCACTATATGATCCTTTTATTAATTCCTGCCTGTGCTTAAGGTCGGAGGACTTCAAAGATGTCCCGGTTAATTTTAGTTGCCAACTAACCAGTTTACCTCTGCTTCTTTTTCTGTATATTTTTCCGTGATCTTTTACCAAAAGAGTCCACTTGCCTCTACCAGGTTCTCCCCAACATCTTACTGTTGAAAATTGCCAATCTTTTAAGCCAGCTGTTGAATTATCTAACTTGCGTCGAGCTCCAATGACTGATTTTGTCCCGCTTGGACACAATAGGATAATTTCTACTTCACCTCGACATTCATGCGTTAAAGTAATTGAAACTAAGGCATATTCTAGAACATTGAGCAAATAATCATCAAAATCAGGTGGTGTGTGATATTCAAGTTTTAAGGCTTTTCCATTCCCTGGAATTCTTGAGTTTACTTTCATCTCTTTTGACACAAAAACAGCCTGCCATGGTAAACTCTGCCAAATTCTAGCGGCATTTACTAGTCGCCAAGCATCAAGTAAACCAAACCCGTGTTTATAACTATGCTGTAAGCCTGCTTTATTTTTTTTATATTGAGCATTCTCAGGGTCAACTTGTTTAGCAGTGAGAACTATTAAATATTGAACATCTCTCCATGACAAACAAGGATTGGCAGATAAGATTAAAGCTATAATGCCAGCAGCTATAGGTGCTGCAGCACTTGTTCCAGTATGAGATGCTGTACATCCATTTGCATCGCCTAAAGTCCAATCAGTAGTTACAATAGCTCTATCAGACATGGAACCACTACTAAAAGTTACAGCTAACATACTAGCGCATTGCTCAGCGTAAAATGGCATTTTTCCATATTCCGTGACAGCTCCTATAGTTATAGTATAAGGAGAATTCGCATATCCATCATAATTACAATTATCTCCTTTAAAGCCCCCATTTCCAGATGCAACAACATAGATTGATCCACGACCTCCCCTCCCCAACAACACCCCTTCTGCTAATGCAAGGCTTGCCAATTTGTGCGGCCCGTCTACAGTTGCCCCGTCATCCTCTGGTCCCCAACTGCAACTGAAAATATCATTTTGTCGAGTTTCGAATGAAAATGCCTTGGCTTCAAGAGCGTCAGTTAACGGTCCATCTAATAAACGAATTCCAGCAATCTTTGCATTGAATGCAACCCCAACTCCACAAAAATTATTTGGCACAGCAGCTATTTCCCCAGCACATCTTGTACCATGATGGTTAAATGATGATCTTGCTTTTGACTGAGCAGATTTTCGCAAACGAGGAGTTGGATCATTATCGTTTGAATTTAGGTCATAGCTGGATGATGGATTATAGTTATCTATTAAATCCTTATTTCTCCATTCTAAACCGTCATCAACAACGGCAACAGTCACACCTCGTCCTGTGAAATTTCTATTCCAGACTCCTGTTACATTGATATCCATGCCCCGATTCTCTTCATTCATCAGATGCCATTGTTCTTGAAATTTAGGATCTTGGAAATTAATCTGTCGTTTCGTTCTCTTACGTATTATTTCTTGACGAAACCATTCCAAGTCCTCATTTCTATGTAAACAACTTACAATGGTAGACGCCATACTGTTCAGCTGTGACTTATCGATCTTTAATACACGTTCAGCATAGTCCCGTTCTGAAGCCAACAGACGTTCGTCATCCTGTTCTTCATCAATGATGAATTTTTTTTTGTGAGATTCATGATGTAGTTTGTGTTTGAGAATCCATATATCTTTTCTTATGGGATCAGCTTCGCTTAAATCACAATCCCTTAATATATCGTTGACTCTAGTTCTCCTATCTAATCGAGAGTTCTTTTTAAATTTAACCACAAACGACAGACTTCTTACGTTCTTCCTGCTCAGACCATGTTCAAACTCATCACTTAGCTTTCGTGAACCTAATGAGCCTTGAATCACTCTAGAGCTAATTTGTAGAAAGAAAAGAAAAGTCAGAATGTTAAGCATTCTATATTCACTTGTAATCTCATGGAGACTGAAATGTGCTCAGTTCATAATTGTAAACTGATTTCTGGTGATTTAACTTTATTGGCAAAATATTAAACCTTTAACAGTTTTTAAAAGGCGGGAAAATTTGAATGTTATATTCTGTGAGGACGGATTGATAATTTCATAAGAATTGATAATATTATTTGACTATTAGAGAAAAGAGGGTACATCTTCTTCCACTTCGTCAGCAATTTCTTCGCCATCGTCAACAGCTTCGCTGGAAACTTGAGCGTGGGATGCTTCCGTCCTTGGCACAGGCTTTCCAACTGCTTTACAAACAGCTTCTAGTAGCTTGGGTTGAATATAAAAGTTTAATTTAGCTTTCCGTTCACGAGAGAGAAATTCCTCAACGCATGAATACGCCTGAAAAAGATAATTCTAATATTATTACAAAAATATTTGTCACTAACCGCTTTCCATTTTTCTCTTCTTGCAAAATGTTCAACCATAAAAGCAAACACATCTCCGATTCTTACAGCTTCCTGAACCCTAGGTTCTTCCAAAATACTCTGACAGGTTTTAATAGAAGAATCAGCATCTTCTTCGTATGAGTTTCTTGCGGTTACAAATTTTTTAACTATAGTGAGACGTTGCTTAGTGTCTGACAAACGATCTTCAAGCATTCCTTCGCCTTTTTCAGATGCTTTTACCAGACATTTATAAGATTCAGCTAATGCTCCAAGAGCTTTGTCATAATTTTGATACTCATCCATTTCAACCTGAGCGCAGGCATCGTAAAAAGAGGCAAGTGAATCAAGTGCACGGCCCTTTGTGTAAAAAGTTATTATATTTTTCATAATCTCGGCGTCACGCCTCCAGTCCAGAGACTGTAAATAATTTGCGGCCATTATGTAAATTTCTTTTTGCTTTGACACATTTGCAAAGAAAATAATTTTAGATGTATCTCCAGATTTAAGTAATGCTTTCATAGCTTTAACACGATTTCCTGCTTGTGTAAATTTTTTCGTAGCTATATGGTAAAGTCTCTGTTGCATGCAAATATCGGCTACATCTTCAAGTGACCTATTCCATTCGCTATCGGCCGTCTCCGGTTTTGGAGGAGTGAGTCTTTCAACTAATTCTTCATTAACTGGCACATGCTGTTCACGAACCAACCTAATAGCTTTCTTGTAGTCTTTAGCTGACGCCAAGAGGTCCACAGCCCGATCGTACTGTTCATTTTCAAGGAAAAAGTCAGCACATCGCTGAAGAACATGGGGATCACTACAATCTTCTAACTGTTCAGATATCATGTGAAGAGCAGCAAATTGTTTTGTGTTGAAGGCCAGATCAAGTGCCTTGCTTACGTGTCCAGCTTTGTGATAGAGCATTACAGCTTTCTCCGCCCCGTTAGGTTGTTGTTCATAATATCTAGCTGCTTCTATTTGATCGTGAGGCTTCGCCATAAGCGCCAAGTTCATTAACTGATCTTCCATACCTGCTTCACGACATAAACGAATGGCATTACCAAAAGCTCTTGCTCTGCCAAACCAGTGTATTGCTTCTTTTATTTCCTCATTCATCTCATATTGTCTACCAAGATGAAAACACGCAGCCTTATCGCCTGTTTGCTGACATATTTCAGCGGCTTTCTTTAAATCACCGCAATAGCATGAAACTCTTACTAAAGATAAAACATCTCCGGCAGCTTCATAAAATTCTAAAGCTGTTTGCATCTCCCCTGTTGATTCCATATACTGTGCCCACCATTTCCGTAATGTTCGATCTTTGCGCTTCATTATATAGGTTTCAAGCTGTCTCGGATCATCAAAGAGCATTCTTGGAACTTGAAAACGATGCGTGTCTGATCGTTCGTAATTGCCTATGGCTGCATCAATATTCTCTTTTGACTCTAGATGTTTCGCGTAGTTGAAATAAGTTGATCTTGCATGCATTCTATCGCAAGTCTCGGCCGTTTCAATAGCTTTATGCCATTGACCATTGGCTTGATACATCTCATTTAAAAGATCATATCTCTTGCAATTTCGCAATAGGCGTTCTGCTTCATCAGTTAAACCTAACTGATTAGCTAACATAGCGACTCTAGCATCTAATTCTCCGTGTCCTCCAGCTTTTCTAAGCATTCTAGCAGCCCTAGCATGATTCATGTTACCAAGACAAACGGCAGCCACATCCAGTCGTCTTGTTTTAACACACATTTTTGCCATATTTTCCCATACAGTTTCACTTTTTATAAGTTTTATAGCTTTAAAAGCCTCATCCATATTTCCCAGTGTCAGATAGAAACTGAAATTCATCATTGCATCCCTTGCAACTTTATCGGCATCTTCTAAACCAATAAAATCTCTCATTACCTTCCTAGTAGCTGGTCTAGCATCGCTTTGCTTTTTTATAAAATAGAAATAAGGTACATCAATACCAAATAGTGAACTGCAATCACCGGCTAGAGGAAAACTGTCTTGAATAATAACCCCATGATCTTGTGTAACAAACAAAGATACAACCATTATCTCTTCAACTTCTGATACCGTTGGTTTAGTAAGAGAAATTGTTGTACGCGTATGTTCATTTTGTTTTTTATCTGTTGACCCTGATATTTTTGCTTCGCAAACTAATAATCTCGATTCGTTGTTATCCCAGTAATGTGAAATTGGAAGGCGTCCTCTTATATCTCTAGCAGCCTCTTTTCGCCCTCTCTCCACAGCAGATATCTCCTCCTCTGATTCATCGTTATTTTCCTCTAGTATATCTTCTGATTCACATCTGCCAGTTTCAAAGTTAAAATAGGTCAATTTGTCTAATTCCACGTCATAGACATAAAGCTTTGAGTCAACAAGAGCGCCAGTTGCTTTATTTACTATGATACTGATTTGGCTTGCATTAGAATTACATTTTGCCGACTGAATACAACCGAAATTTGCAATCATATCTGCAATATTCTTGGATGCGATCTGTTTTGCTTCTCTGGAAAGAATTATATTAGAATTATGCTAAACATATTGGAAAATTATCTTACCTTCTCGATAAGTCATAAATTTTAACGGTTCCTACAGCAGAGGCGGCTACTAAATAATTGTTGCAAATTTGTATATAAGTGGGATCTCCATCTGATTCTGTGAAATTTAGTAGTTGTTTAACCGTTCCTTGATAAGTTCGTACTTGTACTTTTCCCGTTTCTAACGTATATACATTTTGTTCAAAGAGACAAGCAATAGGACTATCAGTTGAAAAGGTTCCTGCAGCTGATATATTTGAATCTGAGGAAATTTCATAAATAACTAATTTTTTTCCATTCCAAATTGCAATATTCTCTTTTGTTGTAAATATTCCAGTTATTTGGATATCAGTATTTAACTCTTGATAGCGTTTTGTACTGAAAAATTCAACCGAAAGCTTCATCGGACCGCTTTGAACAGCTGCTGTCTGCTGATTGCAATGAGCCTGAAGGATCTGCTCATTCATTATGTAAACTGACTCTAGCAAATTGGCAGCTAAGAGGAGTTTGTTTGAACCCCAAAGAATTTTTGTGATATATCCTGATAAAGAGCAGGGTGATTGATGATGCCAACAGGTCTCGGGATCTACTCTATTCATTTGTGATGAAGAATGAACTGGTTTATGTTTAAACAAGGCTATGTGGCCTGAACCGGTTCCAGCTGCCAAAATTTGTTTTGATTCACAGAATGCCACGCAAAATATTTTCTCTCCAGGCTCAAAAGCAGTATTTCCATCTAAAGAGAGCACAAAATTTTCCTCATGTTCCATGTCCCACATCCTAATTAAACATAATTTTATAAATATATCACAAGATAAAAGTTAAGAAGCACCTTATAACAGATTCTCCTGTTGCTGTAGCTAAAATTCCACTACCTGCCCAAGTGAAATCTGGGTCATCTGATTTGCCACTTAATTTTACTTTTATTACTTCCCGACATTCGCCGTCAGGATTAACATTATGCTGTAGTAGCATAGAATTTGTCGTTATTGTTACCAGAATGCTTTTATCTTCGTAAAACATCAACTTCCGTACTCCTCCTTCAGTGCTAAACGATTGTGAAATTTCCGCCTCTTCATTTACATAATAAACACCCCCTTGATCGCCTCCCAAAAAGAATGTTGTTGCTTCACCTGTCGGCAGCATATTTGAGCTTACTTTTGGGGTAGCTTTGCCTTTCGGTTTCCAATTGAACATATCCAAAGCTTTCTCGTCCCCGCTTACAGCAGCCCGAGCAAGAGCGGCTATGTTACTGATAAAAGAATGTTTTAGAAGTTAACTTTTATAACAGTACGTAAAGTAGCTGAACATACTTGGTGGCATCAACTGATACAGAAGGTCTCAAAATGCAATGTGAAATAGGTTCATGCAATTGCTGTTTTCGCATAGGATTATGCTGCAATCGGCCTCTGGAGTCAGCTTTCCAAACACAAACTTCTCCAGTCTGAATTATTCGACATGTAGAGTTAACTTATGGCAAAATAAAATAACTTACGGCGTCTGCTGATATTAATTTTGACCCATTAGATGACCATTGTACAAAATTTATAGTACTAGAATGCACTGGAGGATTTTCATTAATAACTTGAGGTTGCTCTTCTAAACTATAAATTGTGACTGTGCCATTTTCCCATCCAACAGCCAGAACTTTCTTAATAGGGTGCCATGATGTTGCTGTTAGAGGAATGGTTCTCTGAATATTTGCATTACTTAGTTTTTCTCCATCTTCTTTATAAAATGTCAGACAGCCTTTGGCTTGTTGAGTATCAGAAGCCAAAGCTAAGATCGGGTAAGTTTTGTGCCATTCCATCAAAGTATGATGGCCCATGGGAGCATCTTGAAGCTTGTGATCGAAATACACTGCCATGGTCTTTCCAACTTTAATAAGTTGAAATAAAAATTATCAACGGAAATAGGCTAATCTTTCAAATAAAGAAAGTATTTCTGTATGATTTTCTGATTTCAAAAGACTATATTTTAAATATATTTAAGAAATATTCAAAAAAGTAATAACTTCTCAAAAAGATTTATAATTAAGCTGAAGCCGTTTATTAGCAACGAGAAAGCTTCAAACCAAATACTTTAGTAGTCTGGTTTCCAGTTCAGAATAGACTGGTGATATTTTTGTCAGTTTTCAGTGGAGATTCAGTCATGGCTGGGCAGAGTGAAGAAGACTACAGTCTTAAGGAAGTTGAAGTTTATGTCAAAAAGCATCAAGTTCAAAACGTTCTTAAAGAATGTATCATACAATTGTGTTTGGGTCGCCCAGAGAAGCCGTATACTTTTTTGAAAGAGTATTTTGAAAGGTTAGAAAAGGTAAATGTTCCTCTACTCTTTTATGACCATTCTAAATCCGTATGATGGCGCTTATTTGCTGAGAAACGCTCTATGTTATTATAAGGTATATTTCGGAACCAGATAAGATACTATTTTCTACAGGAAATTTGAGGACAATCTGCCTCATTTAAGATTCTGTTGTCATTATATTCACTAGGTATTCAAGGTATACCCATTACGTAGATTTATTTATTGATTTATATAGTCGTTAGAGATTTGTGACCAAAATGCAACAATTGCGGCAACAAATTCGTACAATTTTGCGATAGCAAAATGTAATATTTACTTAACATTTGACTCGTACTAGCAATAAATCGTGTCGAAAAGATAGAATGTCGATAAAATTGTACGCAAAAGGACGGCATCGTACTCAGGTACGATTCTCTCAGTCGTCATAGTAGCGTAATTCGGTGGAATGACGTCAGTGCCGGCGTTGATAGATTAATGAGATTTTGGGGGTCCAAATGAATACTGCAGAAGCTCTTTTTCATGTCTTAATATCTCTTAATCGTTTTCTTGGAAAACGACTTTCCGAAAATTTTCTTTCAAGGGATTCGTTTCTTGGTTAAGTAAGCTTGTAACAAATAGTTTTTAGTACGTTGATAATATACGAAAGATGGCGTATATAGACAGCATTTACTTCCCAAAGCAAATTGGATTCATAATAATATAAAAGACTTGTGAGGTTATATTAATCAAACGAATATATGGTGATTTAAAGAACATAAAGCTATTAAACAACTCTTAGGATTGAATACAATGTTGTTTGAAGATCTTGACGAGTAAACGTTATCTTTGTGTACATATTAAATATTGTTCATGATATAAGTTGATAAATTAGTTGCCGAAATTGAAAATATTTGATAATCGAAAAGTTACACTGCTAATCTAACTAAGAATATAACGGATAGTTGAACTCAATAGAAAGAATTCCATTACATATACGCTTAATCAAATAATCTGGACTGAACAAACGCTGATGGGATTATGCAATGGAAAGACACTTATACAACAAACCAGCCGCTCAAGTAAGGGAGGTAAAGAAGATAAAAGAACAAAAGAGCAGGTGCCTTTCTTAATTTACCATCAGTTGAATCTAAACCGATTTAGCTTACCAATCGATCGATTATTTCCAATCAATGTTAAACAAGGTATTTCTTTTAAGCTTCACTACCGTGTCCAACGAACGAAATTGATATCGATTTTAAATACTGTTTGTCTTGGTTTTTTTTATTTGTTCAAACTCATTCACGATACGTGAATAATATAATTACTTTCATTTTTACCACCCATAATAATTTATTTTGGCCTTTCTCTAGCGTTATTAAAAGGCCTGAAGTCGGAGTATTTATCATCCTAGTGTCATTATTATGCGCAACTGGTCTATAGTTAGGTTTTTTCTTATTGGGCGCCGATAGAAATGGTTGCTAATAGCAACAGCTATATAAAAGGGATTTCAATTATATTGAAGTCGTTTCCCCATGATTTCTTTACAAACTCTCCAGCAAAATAGGCCGTGATACGCTATCATAAGCACCTATAACAAAATACTTAATTTAGCACGTATATCTTAAATAACATCTCTAAATCATTCAGGTGTAATTGTAATTTCTGTTTCTTATCCCGTTTTTATCGAACGGTGTTTGTTAGAAGGCAGTAACGTAGCGACGCGATGATAAATTCTCGGCTGCTGCTGCTGCCGGACTGTTACAGACAGCAACGCTCTCTATTGCAGTTTTGTTAGTATATCTCCGGAATATTGACGGCATGTATCGATCATTCTGAGGTTTTACCGCATTTAAAATATGGGCAATAGGTTGGATAAGTTGAAAACAGATACAACAAATGCTGGGAATAATTTAGCATCTAGGATTAACTTAAAATTTTCGAGAAAAACGAGAGAAGAAGTGGAAGCAAAAGAAAACGAAGCGCCAGACGAGGTGCGTACTCTAGATATTGTAAATTTTTATACGTTCTGGTGGGAGTGAAGCTGGGCAAAATCAATAAGTAGCCGACCGTTTTGTCTGTTTGTCTCTTGAGCAATTTTGGATAATGATCGATCGTAAAATTGCTGATAAAAAGAAATGTTGCCAGACTTGATAATACGTTAGATAATTAAAGCCTGGATATATTTAACTGTATTTTCTGCTATCGCTTTTATTGCATTGAGGAAAGGAAAATGAACGACTTCCCTCAGTTGTAATACAAGAAACAGTTAAAAGCCTTTATTCAATAGCAGCATAAGTGATTTTATGGCTCAAATAGCCCATTTTAAAAAAAGAATAAAAGAATTGACAATTAGATGGAATATTTGAAAAAAAATCTTATACATCAAACTAAAAACTTCATTCAGAGAGCAAATTTGTAGAAAAAGAGCAAGGAGAGGAAATTATTCTTAAACGCCTGAAGAGGAAACAGGCGAAACCGAGATAATTAGAAACTCCATTTGAAGATTGATATCAGACGCGAATGTAGACCTAAAACTGGTGAGAAATATGTGGAATAAAATCAACTCGATCATTTGATTGATCTTACTGGTCAAGTTGTTTTCTCCAAAAAAATTGTCTCGTTTTTTTCTCTCAGAAACTAATTATTTTCAGCCTGAAGCTATTTAATGAGCAAGCCGTTGACGAAAGGTCAATCTAGTAGGAGTGCATTTCCCAGCGCCATTTTAAATTTACAATGTTTATAAGAAAACTTTAAAGAATTATATAGTTATAATGAGAACATTAAAATGCTTGCTATAACCTTATCTTACATATATTGTTTGAAAAAGCAACTTTGAAAAATGATATCACCTTAAGAGCGCCATCTAGAATATTTAAAAACGATTTCTGTTTAAAACGCCGTCTGCTGCTTTTATCTTTTATAATTAGTTTTGTTATAATTTAAGTAAAGGGGCAAAGTTTGAGGATAATTTAAGATTGATTGCTGTCTAGCGTTGAAAGGTCAAGTTATAATTCGAGTAGCATAAAAGTAAGAGATCCGAAGTTATAATACAAAGGTTTAGTGCTGCATTTATATTTTCAAACAAATTTTTTTTTGCTTTCTCTAGTTTCATTTATGCTTTAAATTATCATTTAATATAATTGTCTTCATTAATAAATATAGGAAGAGGCAAAGAAAGAAACTTTGGTTACACAAACTCCACCAGCGCAGGCCAAACAAACTGACACTGTCAGCGATGAGGATGAAGAACGGGTTGCCCACATGCAGCAAACGAAAACTGTACGATTTACATTTTTAATCTTGAATCCTCATTTTAATTAGCTTTAAATCTACGATCAGAAACGAACAAGACGAGGTGCTGTGTCAGCCGAGGTGTATACAGAAGAGGATGCAGCTACATATGTAAAAAAGGTGAATTTATCTAATAATGAGATTTTATATCATTCTATATAAGTTTTTTGTCAGGTTGTTCCCAAAGATTATAAAACTATGGCTGCTCTTTCTAAAGCCATTCAAAGAAATGTATTGTTCGCTCATTTGGATGATACAGAGAGAAGGTTGATTTTCTTAAGATATTTATATGAAATGTACTAACTGATTGGTTTCTTTACAGTGATATATTTGATGCCATGTTCCCAGTCAACAGACACTCTGATGAAGTTATTATACAGCAAGGTAAGCCTTTTGAATAATCGTCGAATAATAGAAACCAGCGTGAACTTTGATTACAGGCGACGATGGAGATAACTTCTACATTATTGATCAGGGTGAAGTTGATGTAAGCTGTTCTACTCATTTTTAAATAACATTTTCAACAGTTTATACTTAATACAGATTTATGTTAATGGTGAATATGTCAGTACAATAGGGGAAGGTGCAAGTTTTGGAGAGTTAGCACTTATTTACGGTACTCCTAGAGCTGCAACAGTTAAAGCAAAAAATGATGTTAAATTATGGGGAATTGACAGAGATTCCTATCGACGTATTCTTATGGTAATTCAAAAAAATTTTCAAAAATAATAAATATATCTTCAATGAATTCTAACTTAAATAGGGCTCGACTATCAGAAAGCGAAAAATGTACGACGAATTTCTGTCTAAGGTGTCTATTTTAGAAAGTTTGGATAAGTGGGAGAGAATGACGATTGCAGACGCGCTGGAAAAGATTCAATTTGAAGATGGCCAAGAAATCGTAAGGCAAGGCGAACCCGGTGAAGACTTTTTCATCATTACAGAAGGTCAAGCAATTGTATTGCAACGAAAATCAGACAATGAAGAGCCAATTGAAGTTGGCCGATTAGGTTACTACTTAAATTTTTTTTCATGAAATATCCTTATAATTCTTTTACCTCTTAGGTCCTAGCGATTATTTCGGCGAAATTGCGCTTTTACTTGATAGGCCAAGGGCAGCAACAGTAATTGCTAAAGGGCAGTTAAAATGCGTTCGTTTAGATAGATCCCGGTTCGAAAGAGTTCTGGGACCCTGTTCGGATATTCTGAAGAGAAATATAGCACAGTATAATAGCTATGTTAGTTTGTCAGTTTGAGTGATTACTGAGCTTTAAATAATAATAGGGTTGTGAAGGTTTGTGTTGTATTCTATTATCATTCGACAGGTTTTTGTGACGATATGTCGTGTTATCTTGCCTCAATTTGAATAATTTGAAAATTTAGTACTTTTATTTGAGAGTTGTTTGCGCATTCCTTTAATTATCATTTTCGGCGCATGCGATCTTCCAATCAACTTATGGCTACCAAATTATTGATTTTCTGCAGAAGTCTATTTAATTGAGAGTTTCATTGAGAAGCGCTTAGGCATTAGCTCTTTTGTGTTTTACTCATGTATAGTCAGAGCGTTATCCAAATATATTTATGTAATTATTGCAAATTTATAAGAGAAATGTTGGATCAGTTTGAAAGGATATGGTATCTCAATCTAATATTAGAACATGTCCTTAACTATAATTGTTTTATAAACATTTTTCGTCATATGTAAATTTGTTGTTTGCATGTTCATCGGAATGCTAAGTCTTCTGTGCTTGTCTTTATGAAAATGTTTTTGTGCATAGAATTTTCTAACTCGAAAGGACATTTAATAAAAGAATAATTTTCAAATCAATGAAATAAAAACTCGAATACTCCCTAACGGTTTACTGAGAGCGTGAAAATAAATAAAAATAAGTGAAAGATGAGAACAAGTTGGACATTTTGGAAAATTGTCTAATTTTAGTTATTGATATAAATTAGTCACTTCAGCAATTGAAGATGATCACAAGAGTTATTACACATTATTTATGCTAGTTATCCAGTTCTACCAGCTAGAAATTTTCCCTTAATTTCTTTAAATTTCTTAGTAATTGTATGTCGAAAGTGTCCAATGGGAGTATGCGGTTTATCTGGATCAACCATGACCAATAATCTTGTTGTGACATTATGCACTGATCCAAATCCTGAAAAATCTTATTTAACATTGTTCTTAATGCAACAAGTAAATCCAGACTTACCAATAGCAACAACTGTACAAGCTAAGCATATAACATTATATGGCATTGAAAAATCGGGAGTTGGTAAAATCATAAGCAAACTCTCTGAGTAAATACGCAACAAAGTTTTAGTTTCGAAATCGGATTCATTTTTCAGCCTAAGTGGAAAAAAAAATAAAACCAATTCCTTGTACTATGAGTGAAAACTTACAAGGTTTCTGATAAAGAATTAGAAGATCTTCTTAAATATAACGGGTACTCTATGCTATTAACGTAAGAAGTTATAATTGGAGAATTGATGTAGAATCCATGATGGGCGTCTGGGGGATACTCTGTCCATCTGAGTAGAACTCTTTCAAGTTCAAAGTGTATCTTAGTTATTGTATTTGGAGGTAATTGTAGAACAGCTTCTATTGAGCAGACCTTTGAGCGATCTTTTCCCGGTGTGAAAACTTGTTTTACTACAAAAAAATAATATTAATAAATTTAATAGCTTTAGTAAAATTTCTCATATTAAGCTTACGAGGTCTTATTCGAGAGCTATTTCCCAATAAATTTGAGTCCCAATAAGTTCTATAAGTTAGAGTATGAAAGTAAACCCTTAAATACCAAGGGATTATTTGTAGAAAAACAATAATTCTGTCTTTGTCACCATTATTATGTATAACTGTAGTTACGCCTCCACGCTCCTCTCCATATCCTGTTAAATAGCATATATGCACTTTGAACATTGAATATTTTCCCGTTATATTACTAGCCTGTTTGATACGTTTGAACAACTAAAGTTGGACTGGTAGTTTTTTTCCGAAATATTTTTCTATTATACTTGGCAAGAACATTCAGAATATTGTTGTTTTGTAAATGATTCTTTAAGTCATAAACGGCGTACTTGAATGTTTCATGACCAATATTTTTTGTAAAATAAGAACTTGGTGCTGGGCTTAGGTTGAAAAAATATTCCAAGGTCTGTCAGAGTTTGTCAATAAACGTTATACAGTCTTTATTAATATTAAGGTTAATAGTATTACTTTGTTTTGAGATACGTCCACAATCAATTTACTGGACGAGGATAAAGGACATGTTGATCTCAAGCTATGGGAAAACATATCCCTCAACGACCAATCTGATAACAATCATTTGTGTCAAATTTACAAATACATTGTAATGATTCCTTACCAGGTCGGTTTCCGTGATCGACTATATTAAAAACTACTGCCAAACTAAATGTCAACTCCAAACTTGTTGATAGACACGATTCATTCTATTGTAAGATACAATATGTATAATTGTAAAGAGTTAAAAATAGTAATAAATTTACCCTGCATATTGGTCTAAAATCAACCGATAAAGAATGATAATGACTGTCGTATAGTTTTCGAGCATTCAACAGGGTCCCTAAACCAAACTGAATGAAGAATTTTTTATTAATAACAAAAATATATGCGAAATTTATCAATTACTTTATCACCACATGGAAGCAGCTTTTTCCAAGGTGTTAAATTTTCTGTACAAACAGTTTCTCTGGGTAATGCTGAATACCTTAAATTTTTTGATTGAGAAACGATATGTCTATCGTAAAAAGCAGATGTAACGCCATAAGGCCTGAAAGAAAACTTTGGTATAGCAGTGGATTTCGTATCCATAAAATTAAGAGATGCACAAAACATTCCTGCAAGAACGTTTCGAAAACTTTTCCATTGTTGATCAACACTGAATTTAACAAAAACTGTAAATTTACAGTAAAATTTAAATAAAGAAAAACTGACTTTTTCACTCCATCTTCAAACCATACAGCTAGTTCTGCTCCAGGAGGAGCTGGCCTTAATGGATAACCCCATTTTTCATGTCTCCACAGACCGTGACTTAGAGACAGATGCAACTCTTGGATTTTATAGGCACTTATTATTTCTGCTAAAGCTTTCGGAAATAATCTCACATGTTGAACTAAAATTCAAGAGAACAGAGGTTAGTCAATCGCCAATACAAATCTCCGTAAATTTACTTACAAGCGCTATTATCGCTCAGTTCAGCATCCAGTGTTGTTGTAAACTGAAAGTGATTATAGACATGTCCTGTAGGAAGAGGTTGTATAAACAGCTCTTCATTGTTTTTATCTCTGACAACATAAGTAGAATGTAAAAGATTCAGAACGGTATAAAAAATTAAAATTCTCAAAATCATCTTATTTATGTTATATTTCAAACAATGTCAGGCATTGGCTACCGGTATTTTTTATTGCGAGAGATGGAGCTTATAAATTCCATTTATTTTCGAAATTTTTATTTTTATTTCGAAGGAAGCATCAAAAAGTTTTATGCTGACAATACTTAAAAAAATATATCCATATTTGATTAAAACTATGAAGATTGGAAAATAATACGAAACTAACTTTATTTATTAATTTTATCTCCATCACAAATATTTATCATGTCCAATTTTTTCTCCATGAATTTTTCTGCTATTTTTGAGATTTCCCCAACACAAACCTTTTTATATAGTGCCTCTGCAATATTTACTTTGTTGTTCACAATTGTTATGTGGAAAATTTCTCAAAACGTTATAAAACGTCTGACAAAAGAAAAAAAAGAACAAACTTCGAAACCGATTGGAAAGGTGGAAAAATGGCCAATTGGTGAAGATACGAAAGCAGGTTAATTTCCATAATGACTTATTTCTTTTTAAGAATAAATTTCCTTATTATACAGAGATCAAAGATAGTAAGAAATTAGAACAAGATCCCGTGGAGTTTTGCGGACACATCCCAGCTCAAGTAAAAAAAACCCAACAACGTTTGGCTAAAGAAACCATCGAGAAAGGCTTAACTAAAGAACAGCTAAAAGAAGAGCAGGATATGCAAAGAAAGCAATTGGAAGAAATTTTCAAACTAATGGAAAAGGATCAAGATAGATTTGGCGTTGGCTCTATAGAAGATATGCGCAATCAAATGTCTCTGTATATGTAAAAATTTTGTTTTTAATTTGTTACTATTGTTTTGCACGAAAGATACACAAAATCATACTAGCCTGCGACTTAAAAATATAGGCTATCTTTATTGTTTTACATCGTCTTAGTGAAATTACTAGCAGTATTTTATTCGTTTCCACAGAAATAAAAACTGTCTAAAAACTCAATACGATCTTGAATCCTTGCGCAATTGTTTTGATTCTAATCAAAATTTGAGAAAGCTATTTATATTGTTTGCTCTATCAGAAACTCAAAATGGCAGTAAAAGGATTATTACGTCGGCCATTTGTAAAATTCTTGAATCAGTAAATTTTAGAGCAGAGAAGATGGCGTCCACAAAGATTGCGCAGTGGATATTTTTAGCTGTTCTTTCCCTTTTAACGGTATCATCATATGGATTGACTGAGGCAGGCAAAAAATTACTAGCCGAGAGACTTGCCCGCACTGCTTTGACAAAATGGGCAGATGAACACAAGATCGAAAATGCTTTAAAGTTGGACAATATATCAATCATCAAAAAACATGTATATTTTTGATAGTTAATGAGTGAAATACTTAACAGACATAATTATTTCATACAGGGTGTTTTAGCTGAGCTATGGAAAGTAAAATTTACAGTTCATGAAACAAGTTGTTCAAAAGATGTGATATCAACTGCACTTTGTGCAACCAAATCGGTTTGTCCTTATAAACAAAGTACCATCACAGCATTAATATCTTTAATATCATTTTCAGATTCGAAAATGCTCAGCAAATATCAGAGTAAGCGATTTGCTTTTTGGAGGTGCTCCAGAACAAAGTATAGAAACTATATGCTCTCCCCCAAACTTCGTCCAAAGTCATAATCAACAGCACTTAATCGGAGGAGAGGACGAGGCTGATGTGGAGGAAGAAAGTGTTAAAAAGGCAGTAGCTTTTGCTGTTAAGATTCACAACTTAGAATCAAATTCCCTCTATACCCAAGTTCTGGCTAATATCGATAGGGCAACGAAACAAGTTGTTAACGGCGTATTGTACAAAATTCGCTTTCATATCATTTCAACGAAATGTAGAAAAAATCGACAGAACGTTAATGACGAATGCTTAAAGGTCACACTTGATTCCCCTATAAAAGAATGTTATGCGGAAATCTTACATCAAGCTTGGCTTAAAGAAAAATATTCGTTTCTAAGAGGGAAAAGTGTGCAATGTCTCAAATGGAAATTGAAAGCAAGAGATGTAAGATTTTTTAACATGCTTTCAATATTTATCTAATAGGTTTTTAATAGGTAAATACAGATCTGTTTGAAACTTTCAAGAAAGAACATGGTAAAACTTATTCCAGCATTAAAGGTAATATAATTTTCAATTTTCTTCCTTTATTTTCTTTATGACATAAAAATTTCAATAGAGGAAGAAATGAGACATAAGATATTCTATGACAATATGAAAAAAATTGAAATATTGCAAGCAATGGATAAGGGTTCTGCTATTTATGGTCCTACGAAATTTGCTGATTTAACAGGTGTGTACAAATTTTCTTTCAATTTTCTATATACTGATTTTCATTTATTCTCAGAGGAAGAATTTGGAAAATTTATGCTTCCTTCTAGATGGAATACATCATTCGACGCACGACTAAAGGAAGCAGTTGTCCCTAACGTCGCTGTACCAACCTCTTTTGACTGGCGTACTCATAATGCTGTGACTGAAGTGAAGAATCAAGGCATGTGTGGCTCTTGCTGGGCTTTTAGCACCACCGGTAACATAGAAGGGCAATATGCCATAAAACATGGAAAGCTTTTATCCTTCTCCGAACAAGAACTTGTTGATTGTGATAAAATAGATGAAGGATGTAACGGCGGTTTACCTTCTAACGCATATGAGGCTATTAAAAGTATTGGAGGGTTAGAGACAGAATCGCAATATCCTTATGAAGGATCTGGAGAGAAATGTAAATTTAAAAAATCGGATGCTAAAGTAGATGTCAGTGGCGGATTGAATATAACGAGTAACGAAAAAGAGATGGCTCAATGGCTTGTTTCTAAAGGGCCAATATCTATTGGCATAAATGCTTTTGCTATGCAGTTCTATATGGGCGGCGTGGCTCATCCGTGGAAAATATTTTGCAATCCCTCCAGCTTGGATCATGGTGTTCTAATAGTCGGCTATGGTGTCCATAAAAGAACTATATTATCAGATGAACCTTATTGGATAGTAAAGAACAGCTGGGGAAAAACTTGGGGTGAACATGGATATTATTTGGTTTATCGTGGAGCCGGCGTTTGTGGGCTTAACAAGATGTGTAGCTCAGCGATTATTTATTAAATCATACTGATATATCTCCGTTTATAAGAATAATTTTGTAATTAAAACTATACTATATATATCGTATATATATATACAAAAATTATTTAGTCTTCTAAAATTATGATTTTTAAGTGAATAAACACTTAACGTGGTTTAAAAAAATTTTGATTTTAATGTATTCAGAATTTTAAGCGCGATGCTGCTTGATCAATTCTCGCAGTCTCGCACTAAGATCTCGCGAGATTTAGAAAACAGAACAAGAGAGAACACTTGAAAAGCCTCATAACGGCCGATCGGCTATGTCTTTCTCGAATGATTATTAAGATTTTAGCTTTTAAAGACAGCATAATTCTCTTGAGAAGAAAATTCTTTTATTATTTGAACAGGTAAGCGAAATATTTGTATTATAATAGTAGCCATAGAATGTGTCGTATAGTATCATAATTAAATGAGGTAAAACTGGGAAATTATTCAATCTTGAAGTCTCACCTTCAAGATTCATTCAGACGTGTGCGCAATTCATTAGTAAAAATCATAAATAAAATTAATTTCATTAATCACAGATAACTTAACAACCTACAGATGGCTCTAGCAGACTCGCGAGAAGAATCAGATAGAGTAACAATAAAGGTTAACAAACTGAATCTGGAATGTAGTATTTGCTTGGAACTATTAACAGATCCAAGGGTTTTACCCTGTCAGCATACCTATTGTGCCTCTTGTGTCTCTAATTATGTTCGATACCAGTTAGAAGTGGAAAGAAGAAGTATGGCTTGTTGTCCACAATGTAAACGAGAAATTCCTACTGCTTTAGGGGCAGAAGGTAGGCAATTAAAATTGCCCCGAAACCGCTTGATTGTGGAGCTCCTGGCTGAAGTTAAGAAAGTAGATGAACGAAGAATAAGCAAAAAAAAGCGAAAAGTGGATGACGAAGAAGATGATATTCAGGTCGTTGACATAATTCCAGCGAAAAAAGAAAAACGAGGAAATGGCCATTCAATGAGATATATTGGAACCATGAAATCTTCGAGATTGATAGCGCTGAAGCAGATGTTAACAGTCGATTGCGAACATCATAAAGATAACTACAATATTTATTGTGCTTTGTGCGACAAACTATATTGCTCTGTTTGCGCTGCCTTAAATCTTCCAAAAGCCAAACATTCTGATGTGGATGTTGGTTCCGACATCATCTTAATTGAACCAACTACTGAATCATCGACGTCAACTACTCGGTCAGAGGACGAGGCTCTTTTAACTATTCGAGATGATCGCCGGCCAAATTGGTTCGCTCAAAATGATCCAGAGGAGCGATGGGGTCCTTTACAATTACTACAAATGCCGTTTGTGCCGTCATCAACTACACCAGCTCCGCTCAACTTAACCCAGCCTCGGCCAATGGACTTCACTCCATTTACTAATCCTCCTATTCCCTCCCATTTCAATTTTGCTAACTTTTAAATATGGCCGCTATCAATCATTTGAACATTTATTTGACGAATGCAAACTTTGATTTTATAATTTCAGTAAATATACAATTCTATGTATTCTATAATAATATTCGTTTCATAATATATTTGAGAAAATTCATTTCATTCGATATATTTATAAATACAGTATATTTAGAAAGGAACTATCGATACATCAATTTCATTGCCTTCCATAAAAATAAATACATTTAGTTCAGTTACCAACGACCTCTCCTGTAATTGCAGATACGCTGGCGACACCGGCACTTTGTACATTTCTAACCTTTTTTGTTAAAGTAATAGTCTCTTCACTAATTTTGACAAAAGGAGCCATTGCTTGTCTTCTAACGCGCTCATTCTTTCTCCACTTGGTATATTCACTTTTAATTTTTATCACAAAGACTATCACAGTCATAATTATAGTTAAGATAAGAACTCCACTTCCGATTATTATCAAGTCCTGCAGAGATTTTCTAGAACCAATTATTAAGATAGTTATTCCAAGAGAAAGTCCCATGACAATAAGACAGCAAATGAGTGATAGGCTGCGGGAACAAAATGTGCTTTGGTCGTTGACTGTCATTGAGGAATTCTTTATTGTTTCGAGATATTTTGCATAGCAATCAGTTGGGCCGACTTTATTATCGGTTTTAGCCATATTTTCCACAGAAGAAGAGCATATTTTCAATTTGTCATATATATTCTCTTCGTTTATCTGGTTGCCTTGCCACAACACAGGTGTAGCTGGTAATGAATCAATAAATTGTATATTTTGAATTTACCGCCCTTATATAAAATGGCGTATTTTTCACAGAAGAAACTTCAAGCAGACGACACATATAAAAGAAATATTCTGAGAAGACTAGAATATTATTGATAGCATCAACAAATACTTCATTCACAATACTTCAGGTAATTGATCTGCTAAAAAGAGAAAGAATAAATGTATTAAACATTGATTAGAAAGTCTTTTTAGCATTGTTATTTCTGAGAGAAATGATCATGACTTGTATCTATTAGTATTTTTAAATAATTGCAAATTCATAGTTTCTTTAAAGAAATTGTAAAATTAAGATAATTTCTGCTGTCATGTAATCTGTGTTCGCTAAAGGAACATTTTCAAGAAAAACCAAGAATGAAAGAGAGAGAGAGAGAGAGCTCTCTTACTTTTGTTTAAAAGTCACTTCTTAACAAGATGACTTGCTTTTCTGAATTGACCTTTGTTCCTACAGCATAAATGGCAACAAAAAAAAGGGTCGCAATCGTAACTGGAGGAAACAAAGGTATCGGGCTTGCTATCGTTCGGGGACTTTGCAAGCAATTCGATGGAGATGTATATTTGACAGCTCGAAATGAAGAGTTGGGCAAGGGTGCCGTAGAACAAATGAAGCAGGAAGGTTTAACAGCAAATTTTTTTCGTTTGGATATTCGCAATGAGGGTCACATTGAGGATCTCAAGGCACATTTGATGGATAAATACGGTGGTTTGGATGTATTGATAAATAATGCTGCTATAGCCTATAAGGTAAAGACTACTGACTAGAAGATAGCTGCTTAGAACAAAGCTTATAATTTTCTTTATCAGAGAGCTTCTACTGTACCTTTTCCTACGCAAGCTAAAGATACTATTGAAACAAATTTTACCGCAACGTTACGTATTTGTGAAATTCTTTTTCCCATTTTGAGACCAAATGCACGGTATGCATAAATACCAAATACTAATAGAGATGGTTATGTGAATAATTTTTATATTTCTTTGGCAGGGTAGTTCATATATCCAGTAGGGTAGGAGTGATGGCGTTTAACAAAACATCCGATAAGATAAAAAATTGTTTTAAAAATGTTGCAACAACTGATGACCTAAAAACTTTGATAAATGATTTTTTGAAATCAGCAGAAGAGGGAACTCATACTGAGAAGGGATGGCCAGGTTTGATAGCGTTTTTCGACTATATATTTCTAATATATCTATACATATAATGTATACAAATATATATATATATATATATATATATATATATACTTTTGATTTAACAATTGTTTAGCTATGGCCTATGGAGTTTCGAAATTAGGAGTTTGTTGTTTAACTGGTATTCAACAGAGAGAAATGGATAATGATGACAGACAAGGAATATTAATAAACTCGGTTGGCAAACTATATTAAAGTTTCATTCTTTTCTATGTATTTTTTTATCCAGATGTGTCCTGGTTTTGTGAACACGGACATGTCCAGTCATAAAGGTTTCCTTACACCAGATGAAGGTAATCGTAGACCAATTCTTTAGCTTACATATTACAAATATTTTATTCCAGGAGCCGATACAGCTTTATACTGTGCGCTTCTTCCAGAGAAAACTGAAGTACCGAAGGGTAACTTTGTAGTGGCTAGAGAAGTCGTAGATTGGTCAAACACTCCCAACCACTCTTTAATTTTGCAAATAATATCTAGAGCTCCTAAATTTATTTATAATAGATATTGCTCAATAATGTAATAATCTGTTAACCCATTTGAAGAATAAAATTATTAGTCGACTTTTTGTTTGTGTATTTTTTAAAAATCAAACCCGAGAGATGTCGACACTAGAGTATTACTTTTCATTCAAAATGGCGGAAAATACAGAACTAAAAAAGGTAAACATATAATTTTGACGTTATATTCGCTGACACTTGCCTAGAAATTTATTAAAGCAATATTAAACAGAATCCTGACGTCCTCACAATAAAGCATGCCCTGGAAGATTACAAGGAGCTATTGTTACCCCTTAGTAGGGTTCTTGAGTGGGAAAAGCCTTATCATTCTCTTTCCCTAGTATCAAGCATCACTTTTGTGTTTGCTCTCATATGGTATGCTCAACCATCTTTCCTTACAACGATTGCTCTCTTGGGAATACTGTTTACATGCATTGATTTCATGGGGCCTATAGTTCTTTCTTTTTTTTTCAAAAATGAAAGATGGTCCTCAGAAAAAGATGAATCATACGAACAGATTTGCCAGCGGATTGCAAATGCAAAACGGCATTTGCAAATCTTCTTCACATGCATACAACAGATGAAAAAGAAAAACCCTACAGTGGTAAATATGTTCAATTGAAATTTCTTTATAAGGCTAAAATATTATTTTGTAGTATTTATGTGTTACATTGGTGATTTGCTGTGTCGTTGCTTGGATTGGAAATCTTATTGACAACTTATTTCTCACTTATCTGATTGTTCTTATTGGAGCTTTGGTACCAGGATTGAGAAAGCATGGAATGCTTCAAAAGTTTACAGGATTTTGTGCTAGTCAAGTGGCTTCAATCTTGGAAAAAGCTCGAAACAGAAAGAAAAAACAATAGACTTAAGCTTGTGTATTACATATAAACCAACAATTTAAACTAACGTTTGGCGTTAAAAATTCTTTCCACCTTCGATAGTCCATTCATGTTGCTTACCTTGTAGAGGACGTCGGCTGATGCAAACAAATTTTGTTTTAAAGAAATAATCAAAAATTGACTATCCCTGAAAAATGTATGTATCACTTGTCCGACATTTTGAGTATGAGACGTGTCCAATGCGGCATCAATTTCATCCAAAATATAAAATGGACAAGGTTTACATCGCAGCAATGCCAATAATAAACTAAGAGACATGAGAGATTTCTGCCCTCCGCTTAGTTCATCTAAACTTTCTTTCCATTTTCCACCAAAATGAACTCTTATTTGTAAGCCATTAATTTTGTGATTGTTTTTCGTATCGAAGTAAGCTTTCAGCTCTGCTCCCGCATTTGGCAACAGCATAGCAAATATATTATTGAAATCCACATTTACTTTCTGACAGGCATACTTTATAGCCTCATCTTTTTCCGCATCAACACTGTTTATAAAAATTTGGAGATTCTTTTTATCATCAAGAACTATTCTTTTTTTTTCTATTAATTCATCATAGCTGTTTTTCTTTTGAACATAGGCTTCAGCCGCGCGTATGTTTGTATTTTTATTAAATTCGTCTAATTTTTTTCTCCATTTACCTTCTTCTTTTTCTAGCTTTCTGATATCAAAGAATTCAAAATCATAATTAGTACCACTCTGACCAAATTTGTTTTGCTCTTCGCTAATGAAGGGATTCTCTTCGTTTAACTTCCTTAAATAATTTTTTCTATTTTCAAGTTCTCTTTTCGTATCTTTCAAAGAGTTTTCAGCACCATTCATATCTATGCTCTTAGAAACTGAATTTTCTTCTAGAGATCTTAGGCTATCTTTGAATGTCTTGATTTCCTTATTTTTCTCACTGAAAGTTTCCTCTATCTTTTGTCTCTTTTCATCTAATTCTTGCAAAACTACATCAATCGATGATATTCTTTCCAAGAGACATTTTATTTCTTCTTCACGTTTTTGATTTAACTCCTTCAGTTTAATCATGTCTTCTTCTAATTCAGATATTTCGTCCTGGTACGTTGACCGAGCATTTTGAACAGTAGAAAATTTTTCAACGAAATTTTCATATTCTTTCTTTGCTTTGGCTTCATTTTTCTTTGCTTTTGCGAGCCCTTCAGAAGCTTCTTTTAAGATTCTTTCTTTAGTGGCCTCAAAATTTTCAGCTTCGTTTTTATATTGTTTTACGAGACTTGAAGCCGTCGCTAGCTTAGTTTCAGCGTCTTCCAAATGACATTGATATGTTGTTAATTCCTGTTTTAAATTGTCGCATTCAGTTCGAAGTTCATTGTCAGCTGATCTAGAAACGATTTCTCTTTGTAGTTCCTCCTCTCCCGTTATTTGGTTCATTTGGTGGCGGATGTTTTCATACTCGTTGTGAATCTTGGACATTTTACTTATTTCATTCTTCAAATTTAAGTACTTTTCTTTCTTTGGTTTCAGAGTCTGCAGAGCATCATATAGCTTCATTGTCCCTAGCATTCTAGTTTGCTTTTGAGCCGAACCTCCAGATATTAACCCCTGAGGGCTATAAGTGTCCCCATCTAAACTAACAGTATTTACTTTAACACTCTTGCAAACTTTGAAAGCAGTATTTGTGTCGGGACAAACAATTGTTGGTGGAAAGCTGCGTTGTATTGCTCTAGCATATTTAGTATCATACTCAAGCAAATCCATTAAATTGTGAACGTCTTTGCAAATTCTTTTCGCATCAATCATTTTGTCCTCGGATACTTCCAATTTCATTAATTTATCCATACAGAGAAGGTTGTACGTTCGTTGTAAATACTTAGCAATTTTAGAGGCAGTGTTGTCACTTGAAAGAACCGCGCTTGTTATTCCCTGAAAGCTAAATTCAACTGCCGTTGTATACTTCTCTTCTTTCACTTTAAATAACTCATACACCATTCCATGAACTTCTTCCTTTCGGAAATTAACAGGAGGAGTGTAGTCCAATTCAGGTAATCCATGTTTTGTTCTTATATCTCCTATTGATTTTTCTAACTTTTGTATTTCATGAAGTAGCTTTTCGGCTTCAACTTGCATTTGTTCAAAAATTTCAGGATCATGGTTGCATGCTTCCAAACGTTTCTCAATCTTTAATTTTTCATTTTCCAACTTTTTAAGCTTTAGTTTTTCTTCTTCGCCCTTATTGCCCTCTTTAGCAAGCTTGGATGACTTTTCTTTTAATTTTCTCTCTGTGTGCTTTATGTTCATTTTATATTCTTTAATACTTCCTTGAGCTCTTATTAAATCTTTCTCAGCCTCATTAAGTTTTTCATGAACTGTTAAAGTCCTTCCATCTTGTTGCATTTGTCTTCCAGCTGAAGCTGCCATATAGCTGTCTGTCGCCCTTTGAAGTTGCTTAGTAGATTCTTCATAGACTTTTAGCAAATTTTCGGATCGGTTTTTTCCTTCAATGTATTCGTTGTTTTGATGGGTTGCATTATTTTCCATCTTGACTTTCTTATTCTGGAGATCTTTTATGTTTTTTTCATCATCTTTAACGTCCTTTTCAATCAAGTTTACCTGAGCTTGAATCTTAGCCTTTTCTTTTTGTTTTTCGTGAATATTTTTATTGGATTCTATCATTTCTTGGTTATTTTTCAGATCGTCTTCGCATGTTTTGATTCGTCCACGTAAATCTTCTTGTTTTTCTTTATTTTCTTCTAACTCCTTTTTCTGTTTTTCAATCACTGATTTCTGCTCTTCTTTGTCCTTAGTCAACTTTTCTATCTTAATTGTATTTTTGAAAAAGTCATATGCAATGAGCTTTTTATGAACGTAATCATACTCTCGCTTTGCCTGCTCGTATTTGTCGTAAACCTCCTTCGCAGATTCACACTCAATAAGATGAGGTCGTATAGTATTATCTATCAAATTCTCTATCTCAATTAGCTTTTGATTTTTTTCTTCAATCGTTTTAACGGCATCTGCCTTTTTTTTCTCGTAGTTTTTGGTTCCAATTACTTCTTCAACCATGCCAAGAGTCTCAATAGGAGTCATATTGATTACTTGTTTAATTCTTCCTTGAAGAATTATAAATGTTGGATTCTTCATGTTGATTCGAACAGATGCTAACATTTCCTCAATTTTTTCTTTAGAAGATACATTTCCATTTAGTGTGTATCTCGATGCAGTACTGTTCACTTTGATACTGCGAGTTATTGAAATTTCATTTGTGTCTTCATATCCAATTGGCCGATTATTTTTGTCAGTATTATCAAAAATGATGGATACGTGAGCTTCAGTTACATTACCTGTTCCCTCCTTGAAAATTAAATCTTTTGTATGCGTAACTCTCATCTGGATAACAAAAAAAAATTCGTATGAAATATATAAACTATTAAAGAGAAAAATATTTACGGATTTCAACGCATGTAAACCCAAGCAAAAGCAAATGGCATCAAAAATATTTGATTTTCCAGATCCATTCAGGCCAGTTATAGCATTAAAATTTCTGTCAAAGTTATCTAAAATGGTCATTTCACCGTAGGATTTAAAACCACGAAGTTCAACCCGCTTTATATGCATTTTTGGACCGAAACTTTTCAAGTTTTGCGCTTAATATAATGCATTTCCGTCAGTTAAGGCTGGTTCCTCGTTCCCGTTTATATTCAACAAAGAGTCTTTAGTTTGAGATAGGAACCCCGTTTAATATCATTTTTTCTCGCGAGACTCCGAGATTTGAAAATTTCATCTTCCTTTTCCGGTTAAGTTGTGTGGAAGGAGGTATGCTCTGCCGATACATTTTATAAATCCAATAATATCTTGTGTTTTATCTGTCTCTTTACACGTTTAAACATCTTAAAATCATTTATTACTTTACAGCAGTTAAACTTACAAAAATATGGGACGCCGGCCAGCTCGGTGGTATGTATTCTTTCATGTCATGGTGATGTGTATATGACAATGTCCTGTATTACAGTTATCGTTACTGTAAAAACAAACCGTACCCCAAATCGCGGTTTTGCCGTGGTGTACCCGATCCCAAGATAAGAATCTATGATTTGGGAAAAAAGAAAATCCACGTGGACGATTTCCCACTTTGCGTACATTTAGTGTCTGATGAATACGAACAGCTCTCGTCTGAGGCCTTGGAAGCTGGTAGAATTTGCGCCAACAAATATTTGGTGAAACATTGCGGAAAAGATGCTTTCCATTTAAGAATTAGACTTCATCCTTTCCATGTTATCCGAATCAACAAGATGTTGTCGTGCGCTGGAGCTGATAGGTAAATATCTGCAAATGTATTTCTAAACTAGCTATGTCATGATGATAAACCATTTCACCATCTTTCGACTGAACGATTTGATGTATAATTTTATACTGAATATAAACTATAATCTTATACTTAAACTTTTTATTTTGAAATGTACTAACGACTCTATTCATCAGGCTTCAAACTGGAATGAGAGGAGCTTTTGGAAAGCCGCAAGGAACTGTCGCGAGAGTACATATTGGTCAACCTATTATGAGCGTACGTGCTAGAGATAACCATCGCGATGAAGTAATCGAAGCTTTGAGAAGAGCTAAATTCAAGTTCCCAGGAAGACAGAAAATCTTCGTTTCGCAAAAGTGGGGATTTACTAAATGGCCAAGAGAAAAATACGAAGAAATGAGAGCCAACGGTCTTCTTCAACCAGATGGAATTAATGTCCAATATTTACCAGAGCACGGACCTCTTTCAAAATGGAAGGCTAGACAGAGTAAATCTGCTTAAAGCGTGAATACACGATTGTGAACTTCTGAGAATTAATTGAATAATTTTAATATTTAGTTATTGAACATGATTCAAAACAGTAGGAGTAATGTAAGTTTCTTGTCTGCAGAAAGCATAGAACTTCATACGCAGGTTAACTTGAACTGCTTGCAATTCGATTGCGTTTTGCTGTCACTGGACTAAAATAGTTTCTGGTCTTTCAAGGGTTTCATAAGTAATTTTTCAAACTGACTTGAGAAAGGGTATGATTTCAAGCAACTGGTGTTTGTTTAAAGTTGTCCGTCGATCTCGCAAAAGTATATTTAAAGTAGATCGCAGCCATTTTTGCAAAGACTTTCGCCTTTCTTCTACAAATTGTACTTGCTGTGGAGCAACAGAAATTTCATAATAGATATACTGAACATGTATATCTTACCCGATTTCCAAAAGTTTTTTTCGGGGGGAATTCCAAATCAGCTATCTCATTATTAGATTTCTTAGTATCATGCTTGAGGCGATAAAATTCAGTATATCTTCTGTATACATTCCATTCATCGCTTTGTATTCGGACGTATATCTAAAAAGAAGATGTAAATTTGGTAGGGACTATTTTGAAAATTTACCTGATAGACATGATGAGCACTGGGAGATGAAGGATTTTTTAAGAAAGCACAGGGAATCCAAATATTAACAAGAGCGCCAACACTAGTGTACCTGAGATAGATTTTGTATTTAATATTTTTCGCTTCTAAATATCAAATGCTTACTCATCGATATTTTCACCGTTACTTAACGTTGAGGGTAGAGGTCCCCTTAGTTCAGTCAATTCAGATTGTAGGGTTTTTATGAAATTATCTTTAGAATTAATTTGTTTTTGTAAAATTTCATTAAATTCCATTAATTCTCCATGCATATCTGCAACCTCGATCAACTTTTTCTCATATTCCTCTGATTCTATGTTTATTGGTGGTAACGTTGGGGGTATTGGCGTAACATCAGGTACATGAACTGGAAGTTGATCAACTGAAGCGCCCCCTCGTAGCAGTTGCACAGCACTAACGTACTTTTTTAATTGACGCTTCAGTAAATTATTTTCTTCTTTTAGTACTTTCATTTCCTGTTCGAATTTTCCTTTAACTGTGTTCAATTCATCCTTTAAAGAACACACTTTGGCCTGTTCCTCACTTAGGGATTCTTTTAGACCGTTAACTTTTTGTTCTGCTTCATCTTTTCTTTCCATCATGTCAACTACAGCTTGTCTTAAATCTTGGTTGTTTAGTTTGCCTGGATTTTCTATGCTTTCTTCATTTGAGCAAGTGGGATAGTTTAAAACATTTGATAAAGCCGTTGCAGCTTCTTCAACTTGCTGCATGACTGGCACAAGAGACGGTGACTCTCCATTTTGAGAAACAGGAGTTATAACATTCTCTCCCTCCAAACTATCATAATTATTGCCATAAGAATTAAAAAATTCTTCATAGCTTTCATGATGTTTCAGTTTGTTTGAAGTATTTTTCGTGGCTAACCGATTCAAATCGAGACTAGAAGAGCGATTATGATTACTTTTTTTGCAGGCTTGACTGCTTATAACAAGTGAAAGAGTAGATGATGGGGAGCTTCTGCCAGAGCTTGAGAAAGAACTACCGTCCATTTCTTCGTTGAGAGGAACGACGTTTACCTTCTTCTTTTTCTTTACTTTAACGACCTGAGAAGATTTTGAAAGATCAATGTGTTGTTCTTCAACGTTTAATATTTGTTTGGGTGGTATTTCATCCCACATACTATTGTCGACAGACAAAGCAAATAGAATTGATTTTAAGCCGGCAGCACAATTTGGCATCATCGCCGATTTTTCTGCATCTCGAATCAGGGCCCATGATTCGTATAACTGAATTAATGAAGGTTCATTCTCGAGTAACAAAAGAATATACTTTTCTAAGGAATGTTCATTTAGACAAGCTCGAATCCAAGCTTTTACTCGCCCGTAGTCAGTAGAAATATTTCTCAATAAAGTAAATCTTTGATGCTCATGTTTATTCAGCAGGTGTTTTTTAATATAACACCATAATACGGAATGTGGTAGAGTAGGTGATGGTGACAATAAAGATGAGAACTTAGTCGTCTGAGCATTACGTTTTAAGCCATGTAAAAATATACTTTCCCATACACAACAGAGATGATTTACTCTGAAATGGTTTTTATGGAAATATGATAAATGAAGAAAAAAATGACATACTCTTTATTTGATTCTGTGGCCAATTCTGCTTTGCCCCCAAATCGAGTCTGGCACTGTTGAAATGAACTTAGATGTTGTTGATGTAAACAAGTTACGTATCTTACCTGTTTAATAGATGTTAATAAGGTCTCTAACAAAGAATCTTTACTTTTCTCATCATTTAAAACTGTTTTCGTACCCTCATCTGAAAATATATTATTGTCAAGTCGTCAGAGATAATTAACTGCTTGCTTATTATGAATTGCGCACAGAATGTACGCCCCTTTGGAGTAAGACTTAAATAAAAGAAGTTGGTGTGGTAAAATAATATTTACCGTTCATAAAAGATGTTAGCATCACAGCACACATAGCTTTAACAATCTATCCATAAAGGTAGTTCCTTACAAATGTATAATGATAATAAACGTTTTCATTGAAAAGGCCATCATCTGATAATATGGCCTTGACACTGATACAACTTCCGCTTCCTCAAAATTACCGCCATTTTCAATCTTGCAATGCAATAAGATTCGTTTTCAAACCTTTTCTTACAATACTTAGCATTTTTAATTTTATCTAATTCTGATTTTAATCAATTCCTACACATTTTTATTTCTGAGACGGGCTAAGAGATTAAAGTCTCCTTTTTCCAGAGAGTTATGAATTTTTTATTGGATTTGAAATTGTAATCAAAACAACAAATTGAAAGTTAGAAAGCACCAGTCATGATATAAACTTATCGACAACTATATTTCCATCTTTATCTTTTACTCGTAAACGACCATTAGAATATTGAGTTTCTTGCCGACCATCTGCGTAGACCGTTTTTATTGTTCCGTCCGGATAGACCCGACGCTGTTTGAACACTTGCTTAATAGGATAAAATATTGTATTTAATAAGAGCATACTTTATATTCCGCGGAGTGAACTTCCCTCTGACCGTTCGGCAAAAGTAATAATTTTTGAGCTGTTTCTGGTTCCTCGCGTACAACTGTCCCATTTGGATAAATACATTCCTGGATACCACTCGGTAGAAGCAGTTTATATGTACTATCGTCAAAGGTAACTTCCTTCGTTCCGTCGGGGTAGTGCTTCTCTACTTGGCCGTCTTTAAACTCTAAAACTCTTACTCCATTTTGATGAGTTGTGACAAGAGTTTCGTCAACTTTGTAAAAATATACAGATTTATCCTTATCGTCCAATTTCCAATCTCCATTAAAAAAAGATATAAGTGTTTTAAATCCATCAGAGGATATCGTTTTCTTGCTTCCATTAGGAAAAATAATTTCCCTCGCTCCATTTTCAAATATACGTTCAAGCTAAGAAATGATAAAAATCATTAAGAAAGTCGATTAGATGCATTCTAACTATAACCTTTCCATCTGTATGTTTTGCTTCTTCAAATTTTCCTTCTAGACTAGGAAACACCATTGATGTGCTTTAAAGAAAGATTTATAATCAATTAGAATATATAGTGTATATAATAATTAATTTAATTTACCTAATATAGGTTTTTCGACTGGAACCAGGTGTTGGCTGAGTTTTAACATCTCTATTTAGAGGCGATCTACAAAAGGTAACTAAATGTATTTTAAACATAATACATTAGAAAAAATTTCTTACGGAAGAGGCCCATTTGACTTCAAAACGTCAGATGAAATTGGACTACTTGATCTCATCCGAGTCCTTTCTAGAGTCGGCTTTGAAATTTTATCTGGTTTAGAATTGGGAATGTCATTATTTGCAGAATTGATTGAATTTCGATCTATATTTGTTCCATTTTTCCAAGATCCTAATCGTTGAGACTCCCTCTGCTTCAAAGCTTCTGAGAGTTCCTTGTTTTCATTTTCAAGGAGTAAAATACGGTTTTCAAGCCGTTTTTCTTTATTTCGAGTTCTAGTTTTTTCAGCATCTCTTTTTTCTTCTACATCTTTAAGTTGTTTGCGTAAATTTTCGATTTCTTGCCTAAATTGTTTGGTCTGGGCTGATCCTAGAGAATTCCGTTGTAGTTCGAGGAGACGTCTTTCATTGATTAACTATAAACAAATTATTTATACCAGTTTCTTTGACCTTTAATAGAATTATAATTCCTTACTTTTTTATTTTCATCAGCCCATTTATTCTTTAAATTTGCTAGTTCTTCTTCTTTTTCTTTAAAAATTTGACTTTTTGCTTTTGCCAGAGAATCTTTCTCCTAATAAATATCATCTAAACTGTTTTAATCTTACAACATTTTTGCTTACAATCTTACCTGCTCAACATTTTTTAAATTATCTTTTAGGGTTGAGTTGAGTAACTTAAAGCGAGAGATTTCAGCGTCTAAAGATTTCATTTTTTCAACTAAAGTTTGAACCATTGCATGATCTACTTGGCTATCAGGTTCAGGATTATTTACCTAGAAGACATAAATTTTTGTACTTTAGAATTCAAAATAAAAGAAGTTATAATTAAAACTAACAATATTGGACGGTGCAGCTGGACAATTTTCTGTAATAGCAGCAGTTTTAGATGTTTCAAATTTAACATCTTTCTCGCTGACTGTAGACTCATTAAAATCGTCTATCTCGTCTTCAACAATTGTATCTAGAAATAATCTTATTCAGTTTCATAGAACTAAACAAAAAATAACGCTTATTTACCATCAAGTATAGCGACTTGAGTTTCAATGTCAGCTTCGTTTTCCCATATACTTTCTTGATCTCCAAAATCAGAGACTTTTGTTTCAGCCGTATTGCTTACAAAAGAACCATTCTCGTTTGCAAACTCTTCCAGTTGCTCGAACCGTCTTAACTCACTCTCATTATGCTGAATTTATACAGAAATATATGTTAATTCTTATTTAAAGCTTAAAATACTCAACCTCCTCCTCAACTGCTATATCTTGCATTCTTTGGTTAAAAGACACATCACCAATACTGAAAGCTTTGGGCTGTTTCTGTATTAATAATTAATAAAAAGTGATTAAAATGAATATTTAAACTGTATTATATAATACCTCTAGTAATTTCAATTTCTCTTCTAAGATTTCCTCAAAAGTTTTTTTCTCTCCACAAACTGGTTTCTCATCCCAGTCAGCTTTATTATTTTGTTGACTAGATTTATTTTCTACCTTCAGAGATTCCTGATCAGTTCTACTTTCAATACTCGTGGATGAGTCCTCCTATAATTATTACATTTATTATATAACTATATCAGGCTAAAAGTTCATTGTTTTATATATCGAATTCTAACACACATATTTCTTTAATAGCTAATATCTCATAATTGATATAAACCTAACCGAATCTGTTTCAGAAAAGTTAAGAGGGATCGGTCCTTTATCATCATCTGTTAAATCATTGTCGCTTGATAACATTGCAGCAATAGTTGCATCTGGACTCGCTCCGCTTGTTCCTTTGAGAGAAGATTTCAGCGCTTTGAGAGCCAGAGAAATCTTAGAATCGCCTGAATAAATTAATATTTAGCGATCATGCGCAAGAGATAATAGACAACCAACCTCGTATTGCATCTGAATTAAGAGAACTATTCAATTTCAAGTTTTGGGTACTGGAATTAATTTTAGTGCCATTATCATCCATGTTAAGAAAGAGCTTAATGATATTTATATTAAAACACTGAATCCCGTATTTGAGAATTAGTGAATTTGATTTAGTGAAAAACTTGTGCGATGTTGTGAGTTCGTAAGCTGCATGTAGTAAATAATGCCAGCTCCGCACTTATTTTATATTCTTTCTTTACCTTTGAAAACCAGTAAAACATTCGTATTTATTCAAATTTGCCGCGTTTCACAATATACTTAAGGCAGAAGGCGTCAAATATTCAAAGCTATGTCTCAATATCGTTAGTATTTTCATATTTTTGTAAAAGAGTAAATTTTTATTATCGATTTGTATATTGAATTGTTTTTTATGTAATTATAAGACTTTTGAGCGATAATGAATGAGATTAGTAAACGGTTTCAGCCGTTATTCTAAATAAATTGATTAAATATTTCCTTTGAGTTACCTTTAAAGACAACTATTTAAGAATTTTTTCCTACAGATGGGAGGCAAAGTAGTAATCACCGACGCTCACGAAGTAAGGATTCTACTTTTAGGCACAGTACGGTTCGTCCTCCAAGAGCCTTAGAAACACTTAATATTGATACAAATCAGATGTAAGAAAAACAACATTTCATTTCCTGGTCTAACCTAAATATATTATTATTCACTTGACATTCAAAACTAAACTTGTAATTCAAACATCAATTTAAAAAACATTGGGATATTGCTATTTATTTAAAAATACCTTAATGAAATTAGGGGAAAAAACATGGAGAGGTTTAGTACAAGCCGAAGAAGCAGCGTAAGTATAAACAAAAGAGGAGGATACGAAACTATTAAAGATCCACGACCGCTTAATGACAAAGCTTTTCGAGATAGAGCTTTGCAAGATTTGATGAGGGTAAGATGAAAAGTTTATAATTTCGTGATATTTATCTTTTCTATACTTTTCAGTATCTAAGAGATGTAGGATTTGTTGAAAGCTATACATTACAACAGTTGAGAGCACCATCAAAGAAAATATTTTTGGACTTATTTCAAGTGATACAAAACCTTTTTAATTAGTTAAATATAATTATTCTATTGATTCTTTTTTAGTTTATGTACTCTCAACTTAATATGGCCTTCAAATTTGGATCGAAATCAGACGAAGAAGTAATCCAAATTATAAAATCATTGGGTTACAAAGCGAATATAACCAAATCAACGTTATATTCTGTCGGTAATCAATTCAGTTGGCCTCAATTGCTTGGTTTCTTCGACTGGTTCCGCCGAATTCTTGTTAATGAAAATGAAATGGATATGACATCGACCAATGAAATGATGGTTCCTGACGATCAAAATTGGGTTAGTTAAACTTATAAGATTCATCTGCAATCTTTTTTAAATATATTTTATATTAAGCTTCTTCGAGATTACTTTCAAAAAACTTACGCCTTGTATCTGCAAGGAGCAGATGATTTTTCAGACGAGAGGGAAAAGTTCGAAAAAGAATTATGTATGTATCAAAAAAAAGATATTTACATAATGTTTAAATAGCATTAAATAAACACTGTAAATAGGGACAATTGCTCGTTAACTAATGCTTTTAAACATTAAGTATTTAACAATAGGTTGAATGGCTAAATTATATTAAAATCTTTTTTTAAAAATAAGTGGCAGACTATGATTGTTCGGAAGAAATAAGTGATTTAGAATCTGTGCAAAATGAAATATTACAAATGACGGAGGAAGCCGAGAATGATTGCACAAAAGAACTTGAAATGGAGCTTCGACAATCTGCTGCAGAAGTAAAAGTGCTAGAGAATGACCTTTCAGAAATCCGTTCAGAGATTGAATCGCTTGAAACTTTACTTCAAACTGCCTTAGATTACGAGAAAGAATTAGGTTTATTTCGTTTAAATATCTAAATCAATTTCTTAACACATTCTAAATATAGATAATGAAATGGCTCACGCACAAGCTGATGCTGCTGCTTGTAAACAAATTTTGAAAGAAAAAAATCTAACTGTACAAAAATGGAAGGCTATGGAAGAGCATACAGAGAGAGTAAGGGAAGAATTTCAAGCTATTGTTGAAGCTGTGGAAAATGAACGATATGATGCCCAAGAAGTTCTCTCTTTGCAGTTTAGCCGAAAATTGGAAGTATTAAAAAAGAGTGTAATACGCTACAATAATAAGATAGCTGATAGAAATCTGTTGGATCCTTCCTTGCCCGATGCTTTTCCTGGCATAGCTTCTCATGTAAAAACAAGTTTAATTATTACAAATTTGTACGCCAAACTAGTTCAACAGAATGAATTAGAGATGCGAGAGTTTTTCGATAAGATCTGGGTATATATCTTGTTCCCTATCAAGAATAATTGTAATTTTAATTTTAATCTGTAATCAGAATCAATTAAAGGGAAAAAGAGATGAAATTCAGCGAGGATTTAAGAAAACTCAAGATAGAATTGGAGAATGTGAACAAGCTTTATATAAAGTAGGTGTACTTTTTGCACAAGTATTGTATAAAATGGTACTAAAAACATTTATTTCTAGACTGGATTAGAGCATCTGAAAATTAAAAACGGCCTTGAAAGCATAGATAGAAAATTAACAAACATTCTGAAAAAAGATCAAAGTTTAAAAGAGGTAAGAAATTCATTAAATTTTGTTATTTACTAAAAATTATCTTCCATTATGACAGCAATATTCTGACGCTTTAAATGAGCTCAGAGAAGTGGAGGAGAATAATAATTCTATAAAATCTGATATGACTCAAATCGTAAAATTACTAACTACCCATAATGCTGATATAAAAGAGTTTAATTTCTCTTTGAAATGTAAGTTGGAAGAGCATACGAAAGTGAAGGATATGTTGGAAAAAGAATATATGTTGGAAATATCAGAAATTAAAACGGAGAAGGAGCTTTTTATTCAATTAACCAAGGTTTTTGTATAAAAATTTTGCAAATAAAAGTAGAGAGTTTCCTAAATTGTTTTTTTTTTCATAGGATAAATTAGCGGAGGCAGAAGAATTGGGCCGGAAAAGAAGTTCATACTTTGTTGAACAAGCTCATAAGCTGACAAATTTTATCGAGGAGAAGAAACGCTTTATCGAAGACAATAGAAATGAATTTTATCGTGTGTTAGACCAACTAGAAAAACTCAAAGATGATTTAAAATGAGATTATCATTTTTCTCAATTGTATATGTTTCATTCGTTGTTTTTTCTTTTCTTTTTTACTTAAACAACCTCCTTCTATATTTTTCAATTACATTTTCTTTGATGTAAGATAAAAAACGGTTTTTCAACAGTCTTTATTTGAAATTAAAGCGTAAAATAGTCACACAAATTGAAAACAGTATAAAAAGTCGGTAAGTAACAAATTTTCTATTTCTAATACAAAATGAAATCGAAATGTAGAAATAGAATTGCTTTTTTTATCGAAAGAAAACGAAATTACGAAAAATCGAAACAAATCACGAAAAAAACAAATAAACTACAAGGTTTGTAATATAAACGAAATAAATTGTTTGTAATGTTTTTCTTAGGCTAAGAAAAATCTCGAAAAGAAATCTTAAAGCATTGATTTTTAAAAAATCAATACAAAGAGCAACTTAATACTGCTGAAAACGCAAATAGTAAATCAGAAAATCTTTAGATTGCTTAAAAAAAAACAGTAAAGTCCACACAGTGAATCAAAACCAAACTTTAAACTGCAGAATGAGTATTTTAGACAAAAATGCACTTTTTATTTTCCCGCTATAGGCGGTAAAAATTTTTGTTCTTCACTCTCCATTGAACCCGATTTTAGGGAATTTCTTTCAACCTTTGCTAGAGATGACTTTTTCCCCTGAGCTGTTAATTAGATTAAAGTAAATATCTATTAAAAAATGAATATAATCTTACTTGTGGGTCTACTTTCGTCAAATTTATGCTCTGCTGATGCGCCTATAGGCTGAAGTCTTTCTTGAGTATGCGTATTCGTTTTAATCGTTTTGTCTTTATTCCATTTATCATCAATATTCGTTCGATCTGTCGAATTTAAAAGTATGACTCTCTTCATGTGTAAAATTTGTTGACTTTACCTCTCAATACGAGTTGTTTGTGCTCTGCTTTCCTGATAAGACGAGATTGTTGAATACGCGACTGAGCTGGAGGCGGTGCATTGTTAGATCTCATTTTATTTTGGATTCCTTCTCGTATCCAATCGTGATCCATAGCTTCATCAGGAGTCATTCTTTTCACAGGATCCCATTCGAGACATCGCCTTAAAAAATCGAGAAAGTTTGCATCATTCGTTTTAAGAACAGAAGCCAAGTCTTTTGTAGACGGTCTCCTCTTTTTACCCTTACTGTTTGTTATTGTTCTTGGGCAACCTTTCGAATCTGTTCGAGAGAAAGTTAGAGGCCATTTTTAGTTATTAAATTATATACTATATAACAGAACCAACCGAAAAATAATCTGCGTCTTGAGGCTTGATCCAAAACATTTTGAGGTGGAAGACCGAATATTTCCATTATACAGGCCAGCTGTTCAACCTCATTTTCTCCCGGGAACAAAGGGTAACCTGTGTATAATTCAGCTAAAATACAACCCAATGACCACATATCAATAGGCATAGAATAAGGAAGACCAAGTATAACTTCTGGTGAACGATAAAATCGAGATTGAATGTATGTGTACACTCGCTGATGTTCGTAACAAGATGAACCAAAATCTATTACTTTTATTGAACTTTGACCTCGTTGCCTCAATAGGATATTTTCCTGAAAATGAAAATATGAGCTATTACATATATATCGTCTTACATGCGGGATATATCTTACAGGTTTTAAATCGCAATGTATAATCTTTTCTGCGTGTAGATGGCGCATACATATCAACAAACTAATTGCAAATCTTCGGATTAAAGACAAGCTAAACCCTTGAAAATTATTTTTCTTAATTAATTCATATAAGTTGATTCTGCAAAAGTATTGATGGTGAAATCATGTATAGATAAATGAATCAATTTACCCCATAAGCTCAAAAGTTATGCAGAGATGATTCCTAAAATAGAAATATTCTCCCATATGTATTACGTTATGACCATTATCTTTGTCTTTTCTTCTTAATGCGTCTAATATCTTAACTTCTACTAGCGCTTGGTGATGAAATCGCTTTTTATTACGGATTATCTTCACAGCTACTATACCTCCTGTTTTATGATCAATACATTTAACAACTTGGCCAAACGATCCTTTTCCAAGAACTTCCAACATTTCATATCTATAGGCTAAGTGGTCATGCATAACTTTCAAGTATGATCCATTTTCGTCGTCGTATCCGTTATTTTGTCCTTGTCCTTGGACACCGTCGATTTTTTTAGCATCTAAACCAAGGAAGAATACATCAGGATAATCAAGTATTTCTGATTGTTCAAACACAGTCAATCGATGTCTGAACTGTTTTAAGCATTCAGCAGGCGTCATAGATTGTTGGGGACTATTTGACGTATTATGATCAGTCTTATTCCATTCTTTATGAGATTTATTAATGTTAAATGACGGTTGACTGGCGTTCTGTTTTTGCAGATGAGGAAGCCCTTCGGATTTACTGTGATGAGAACCATGAAGATGAGGAAGTTGCATATTAGCGATATTCGCTTTTTGCTGTTTGAAAGGATGGAATTTAATTATAAATAATAGAAAATGCAAGTTTTTTTTTTTATTAAAAAAACTTACTTCTGGAGGATGAACATGATGATATGTGCTTTTACTTAGTTTATTGGTATTTTTACTTAAGGGTAATGCTGAGAGTTGAGATGTGTCTGAGGCGTTAATCCGATGGTGAGTTTTATAAGTTGGATTATGCTGAGTATTCTGAAAGAAATATGATAATCTTAGCGTTAATAGTCTTTAAAAATAATCACCTTTTGATATTGATAGGAAAAATGAATCTTCCTCTCCATCTTGAAATATTCACTAGAGTTTTCTAACCTTCTCTAGCGGCAATAAAAGCGACAAGCCGTCGCGTGCTAGTGATTTCATTTATTATTTACTTTTAATTTCAATCGAAACGCACCTCAAACTTATTTCATACTACCTTTATTTCTCTATCTAAACTGTATATGACTAGCAACTCGAACTACTGGGAGCAAGAAGGATTAGTAGATTTAAATCCATTCTATTTTAATCCCTGGTAAACATAATAATTTTGCGATCGCGCCTGAGGGTTGTTTTAACTTACCTGGTTGGATTTTGTTAACGCAACCTTAAAGGAAAGTTTACGAGAGGTCGCATCCCCGCTGGCCACTCGAAATCTCCAATCCAAAGACATTAATGATTACTTTTAGGATGCTTTAGCTAAGAGACGACAACCTCCAGTTACTAAGCGTGCTCGGCATCAATAATAATAATAATGAAATGCGAATAATATATCGTATATCTATGGAAACAACGGAGCAATCGCACAACAGCCATATGCATGGACAATTGCTTCCGAAATGAGATATAGAATCTGGTCCATTTTGATAATCTCGTAATACGTAAAACGAATTTAATTTTTTTTTTGTTTCGGTTGAGCGAACATATAAAGGCTTTATAAAAATTAATAAAGAATACTTGTTCGATATAAAATTGTCCCTCTAAATTCAGTCGAACAGCAAATGACCTACTTAAAAATTTAAAGTTATTGTGTTTGTCATTTCATGGCGGAGAAAAAAAAGAGAAATTAGTTCTAGCTGGACTTTCTTAGCTATTATCTACTAAATGCCCTTTAATTTTCTCTTCCCAAACCATATTACATTATAAGAACAGTATTTTTGGATTAACCTTTCGGATTAAAGTATTAAATCAATCCGATTATTTTTTGAAAAGATCTTAAAATGTGTTTAATAACGGTTCATTAAGTCAAATTATAGATGGCGTTAATTTTAAAAGATTTACTAACAAACAAACAAACCTCAAACAATTGTTTAGATGTATACTTAGCAGCCCTAGGTCTTTTAATTATGGTTGCCGCCGGAAATTCATTTTCGTTTCTTATTTGCATCTGATACCATAAAATAGAGACCCATGATTTCGGTGGCATTCTAACACTTATCAAACTAACTGTATATTATGGACTTACCGTTGAATTGATTAATTGAAACACTATATTGTTAGACGATATGTATTTCTTTTAAGATATACAATCTTATTAAACCAGTAAGGAAGTGGTGAAAAGAAAAAAACAGGCCAAAACTAATAACATAATTACGTAAAGCTCGCTCTGACAGGTTTTCTTTGTAACTTTTACATCTATTTAAATTATAGTATATGAAACGGAGCCGTAATGTATGGCTTTATTGATTATCGTAAATTGATAGGTAGGCATGGTAAAATAACAAGTATATATTACATGAAAAACTAGCATACCTCCTTAGATCTTGATATGTATTCAAGCTTTACGGGTGGTATAGGAACATAACCTAAAGGTCTAGGAGCGGAATTTGGAACCTTCATGTTCTATAAACCATAAATGACACAAATGTATAGAATAACCGAGTCGTAATATTACCTACAATAGAGTATATAATCCAACCGTAAATAGGATTAGTGTGATATTATAGAATTAATCTCCAAATAAAAATTAAAATGTTCAACAACCAATACCAACCTTATTAAGTTTTTCTAAACTGGTGCACGTTATATATGGCAAGTTAACAGTTTCATCAGGCGTTTTTATTATTCTGCAATATCGTTAATCTTACGTTGTTTATAATAGCAATTACTAACAGCAATCTCAATTAAATTAAAGGTTTATTTAATGTAAAGAAGCTCTTTTATTACCCATTAGTATCCATAATACTAACAAGCCGACGTTTTCTTAAACTCATTTCGATGTTTACATAGCGTCTACGACCACTTCATGATTATTATCCTAACATAAACACTGAACGTTCCGTTCGTCAACTGGCAGAACGATAAGTGGTTGCTAATGGATGCAGAATGATTACGATTTGAAACGGCTCAATAACTGATTGACAAACAAAGTATTGTTTGGCTCTGGTATTCAATAGTTATCAGGTCTTTTTTGTAGCACAAGTATTCGTCAATATTACTTGACTTTGCGAGCGTATTAATACCAAAGATTTTCGTGTTTACCCCTACTTAAAAATTTATTTTCCGACTTTCTGTTTGTAATTACCCTATAGAATATCAATCTTTTGACCATACGTGAATTTTCAATGAACACTCACTAAATAATTCACACTTGAAAACTCCCTTATCCCTTTTCTAAAATAAGAACATTAAATCATATTGTTTTATTCGATAAAAAAGAAAATAATAATGATAATCTCCGAAGGTAACAATTCCTAGAATTTACAATTTCGGTATAAAATCAATTCTGCTTAAAGGTTCAAGTGTTTATAAAAATTTGATTGTTTTTCTTTTTTCAACAGCACTGCTAGGATAACTAAGCATTTTTAAAGATTAAATAAGTTAAATTAAATTAGCTAGTGGCAATAGATGAGAAGATGTTTTAAAAAAAAATAATAAGCTGCAGGTGGCAGTAGCATAAATGAGCGAAAATACATTATATTCATTGAGACCTTCCGATTGATAGAGCTTTTCATCAAAACTCTCTTTAGTCTCTTTTGTAGAATAAGGGGATGGCTATAAATTGTCACAGGTTCCATTTAGTCGTCTACAATCTAATTTATTAAAGCATGCTTTTTAAGTGGTATTTGTGGAATCTTTTTCAGAATTGTTCACTTGGATTTGAAAGGTGCTCCTCCAAAGATTTCTTATATAGTTCAGGTAATCCAAAATAGAGAATCTATACGTTGATTAAACACTTCCAAATCGCTTTTAAAAGATTTTACCTCTACTAAAAGAATGGGGTTGTACCGGTTTACTAATGGAATACGAGGATACATTTCCCTATTTTGATAATTTGAAGTTTTTATCAAATAGTGAGGCATATACAAAAGAAAATGTTGAACAAATCTTAGCAGAAGCTAAAAAATTGCATTTAGAAGTGATACCCCTTATTCAAACTTTTGGACATTTAGAGGTTAATATTGTGTTTTGTTGTTTGTTTATTGTTCTCTTCAATCAAGTTTTCATATAAAATAACAGTTTGCTTTGAAGCACGACAATCTGAAATGTTTAAGAGAGGTACCAAACTATCCTATGTCACTATGCCCTTCAAACTCAGGTAGCTCTTTAATCAATAATTTAAATTTTTATTACGTAATGAGTTATGTGTTTTTAGAGAGTTGCGAATTTTTATATGAAATTATCAATCAAATCCTTTCCTTACATCCAAATGCTAAATGGTTGCATATCGGAGCCGACGAGGTAGCTTAATTAGTCGATAATTAGCTTTTGTTTAAATTTATCTTATAGGTTTCCAATATTGGCTATTGTGGCAAATGTCGAAAGCGACGTATTCCGAAGGAAGAATTGTTTTTGGGTCATGTTGAAAATATCGCTAAATTCGTTAAAAAAAAAAATATTCAGCCAATAATTTGGGATGATATACTTAGAAATGTTCCACAAGAAACATTACTAACTTTTAACTTGAGTAAGATGGTTGATATTATGGTTTGGGATTATAGAAAAGTTAGATAAATACTTTATATAAATTAATATTAAATAAACTCTCTGTAGGAGTTGAAATTTCCAGATGAAATGTGGGAAAAATATTCCAAAGCGTTTGAAAATTTGTGGATAGCGACAGCTTTTAAAGGTGCTACTGGACCTTGTAAATATGCTACAGATATAAAATATCATATTGCTAATCATAGAGCATGGTTAAAATTACTACCGATGCTGAAAGAAAAGTTTAAAAATGTCCAGGGCGTAGTAACTACTGGCTGGAGCAGGTTTAATATTACTATAAGATTTTAATAGTAATTTTCTTCTTATACGTATAAAATTTTTAGATATGATCATTATGCTATTTTATGTGAACTTCTTCCAGTCGGCTTTCCATCTTTAGCAATATCGTTGAATTTATTAAATACTGGTAATGCTTTATTTAAGAAAACAAATATACTGTCTATATATACTTTATTATACTATTACAGGATCATTCTCCGAAAATCTTCATACAAAGGTATCGAATGATTTGAAATTTAAAAGTACTCTACCGCTCGTGCCTTTCACCCTGAAAGATTTGGATGTAGAGTGCAGCTTTCCCGGAAGCAATATTTATCGTGGTACACTAAAGTATTTAAAGCTTAGAGAGGAGATAAAAAAGCTTGAAAAACATGAAAGGATTCGCGGTTGGATGAGTACTTATCACATTAAAAGAAAGTAATTGATTAATTTCTAACCTCAATATCTAAACTTATTCTATATAACACTAATAACAGATTTGCAAATCCCGCTCATCTCTCTTCCTTTCTGCCAAATGTAAAGTATACTCTAAATGAGGTGGAGAATTTTCGCTGCGAAATGCAAAATCATCTGATCGAAGTTTTCGGAAATGAGACAGTTTCTGAATTTTTAGAGACTTTATTGGATGACAAAATAATGTTTTTAAAACGATTAGTCAATGATTGTGAAAGCTTAATGCAAATTGGTGCTGGATTGAAATCTAACAGCGAATAATTAACATATTGAACGAAATATGACATTATGACCAAAAATTGGATTTAAAAAGATATTTTTAACTTTAATCTACTAATTATTATTATTTCCAAATAATAAAAATAGTATCAGTAAAAAATTCAAATTGTAAATTTAACTATAGAGACCAATTTGGAGTGTTTTTTTGTACAAGTTTTCTTCAAGATTCTTGTTTTTTTGAATCACTCCTGAAATAATTTTCAGTATAACTACAATTCATCCTTCAATCCGTTTCTATAGCAGCAATCCTTCTTTCTAGCGCTTTTCAATTCGGCTTGTGTAACAAGTTCCATATCGTCGTCTATTTCAACTTTATCCATTTTTTCCGATAGTTTCTGAATTGGAAAGGTTGATAACTGATAGACTTATTGTTTAATTTAATAAATAACAATCACCTTGAATAAGATTACGTGGTAGCAATAGAGATTTTGAGATAATAAATTATCATTTACATATAGAGAACCATTTTTAGCTATCTCTTTACTTTTTTCATCGTTTTCTTTTGCCCATTTAAGTTTTTCCAAAAGATCAGACAAGTCCTTCTTGATAGGAATATAGTGGACAAAAGGTTTCAAATCTTAAAAAACAGACTTTATATTAATAATATGAATGCAGCCAATCTATTTTACCTCTATAAAAATGTTCATAGTAGCCAGAATCCTGTTTAAATATCAATCCATCACCTGCCATCAAATAAGGTAATCGATAAGCAGCAACCGTTCCGTCAAGAGTCACTTGGTATTTATACTTAAAGAAGTCATAGAATGGAACATGCTTAGCTAATTCCCCTAATTCTTTTTTATTATGCTTAAAAAAAAACATATTTGTCAGTTTAGCGTCCAAATCTTTTGGATGCTTTCTTGAAAGTTTAACCAGATCCAATCGCTCTTGGCGACTATCTCTTCCCCTCCAAAAAGCTTTGCTTTCTTTTTCATCCCAAGGAACTCTAGTATTACCTTGAACAGCCATTACGTCCAAGGATACTCTTTAACAATAAAATAGTAGTTAATTTTTGATAGTATTGAATTGAAATAATTTACAAAGTACCTGCTCATAGATTCTATTGTTGAATCCATTAGATCGTATGTTGGTAATACTATATCAGACGTTGAAGCAGAACCACACCAAGAAACTATCGGTAATCTGTTCTGTTTTCTATTTTCCAAGGGCCAGTCTCCCAAGTTCATGATAAATTCAAAATCCGGAAGCGTTACCTATGGAAGAACGTTCAGGGTTAAGTAAACGTCAATAAGTCAAGAAATGAAATATACTTTTCCTAAGATTGATAAAAGTGTCGAATCCATAAACATTTTAAAGCCGACGTGTTGTCCAAACGTACGACGATAGATTTTTCCATCTTTTATTGCGTAATGAACGTAACTTTGAGCACCTGGTTGGTTAAATCTTTGCTTCATTTCCTGATATGCCTTTTTTATATTAATAGTATTAAACAGTTTCAAATCGTCCTCTATTTGATTAAACGTTGACTTGCACTGCATATCTTTCATCCATTTTTCAAAATCAGGCTCTGGACAGTCGCACTCTTCTGGATAAATCCAACCTGAGTATAAATGTAATTTCCTTTTATTTTCTTCATTTAGAAAAAAGACTGGTTAATTAGAAAAAACTATCTGTACCTTTCAATAGATAAGGAGACTGCGCCAACTCCGATCCTCTATACGATATGTCAACCTTGAGGTTTTTTAACGGCCTATATAATCTAAATCTCACTATGAAAGATCCATCATTTTTTTGTAAAATTTCGGAATGTAATCTAATAGAATTTGCTTCATGATCAGAAAAATGAATTGCCAATTCTTCTTTTGGGAAGTTTGTAATGCTGCAGTTCAGAGTTAATAATATAGAAGGAATTAATGAAGATATAAATCTTACTTTTTTCCTGAGCTATCAACTAGTTGAATAAAAAAGTATCTAACTGGTAAATTTATCTCCGTCTTTAAACCTGGGCCCCAAATTTTACTGAGTTTTTCATCAACTGAATAACTTTCTTGAGAAAACGAAAATAAAGCACTCAATGAAATGCACTTTAATATCAAAAGAAAATAAAACAAGATTGCCATATCCGAATATCAGTATTTTCTGTTAAAGCGATAGAAATTTATTGATTGATCAGTACCAGTTGAATAGACTAACGCTAGAACGACTGCCAGGCAGAGTTTGCCAAGAGTCGGGAAGCTATTCTGTTTGAATAGGCCTAAACGCGATGGTATTCAAGATTCATATATAGTATCCTTTTATATGGACGATATTATCAACCGATTCGAAAAGACTGTAAAACTTGTAAAAGTTTAACGTAGAACATTGAATTTTAATGTTAAAAAAAACTAATAATTCTTATTAACTTTTATTTTTCTAAAACAATTTATAAATAAAAGAATTAAAACTTGACATTCGATTACTAAAACCCGTAATAAATCGTTAAATAATAGATTTTTAAATAAAATTCTTTTATATATTTATGAATGTTATATACTATTAATAATTTACAATCGAAAATCTTGACAAAGTTTTAATAACATCTGGATATAGACAATCATAAAAATATGAATAATATTGACATATAATCCGTAAATAAAGATTACATATCAGCTTTAAGCTCATCGTTTCCTCGTAGATACTAACAAAAATCAATGATTGGCCAGTTATACATTCTTCTTTATCGATAAAATAGGCAGTGGAATATAAATAGAATCTATTTTGGTTTATCCTTTAAAATAACCTTCTTAAAATTCAATTTTGCAGTTGAAACGCAATTTCTCATTCAATATCTATTTTGTAGCAAAGCTGTAACAAATTAAACTCTTTAACATCTACAGTATATATGAGAATTATTAAATTTACTTTTTGAAAGTTTACAGCTAAGTTTTCCTTACACCTTTCAGAAGTTAATTCGGCTGGAATTAGATCAGAATATACATTTCCAACTGGTAAACCAGAGGGTAATAGGGTGGTAGATAAGTAATCGTTGGCTGAACTCTCAGGTATAAAAGACGTATTTACGTATTGTATCCCGTTAGATGACTAAATGTTAATAAATCATTTCATTATATACTTCAATAATAAGCTATACAGTATAATTTACATTTAAAAGATTTTGAATGGTAGACCGTTCCCTAACTTCTTCAAATCTTCTTCCATCACATATCCGAACAAAAACAGATGCTCTATCTAGATACTTTACCTACATGACACATTTAAAGAGTATTTTAAATTGAAAGATAAAGTACACTTACACTTTCGGAATCTAGAGATTGTTTTAGCCAATCTGCATATGGTTGCTTAGCTATTTGAGCCAATGCTTCAAGTGACGGTGGTCCATAAAAAAGAGGTAATTGAAAAGCTCCAGTGTAACAAAATTTGTCAGTAAAAATTGGTAGGACTGTCCATGCTTGCTCATTTAAACCATATTTATACCTATCTTTAAGTGTTCTAATGTATATTTCTTGAAGATGGATGATCATTACTAGATGACGGTTATAATGCCTCATTGGAAAATGCTAAGAATACAAAAGAATTTCTTATTATAAATAAGAAATAAAATTAGGACAATAATTACCCGAAGGCCATCATGCCAATCAGGTTGATTTGAAGATCCTGCCATATCCAAGTTTTCAGTGAACAGTGGCCTATCGAAATTAACTTCCTGTAGTCCCTGTTAGATATTGCTTGTAAGAATTTTTATTATTATTGCAAATTATTATTAACTTTATAATATGATCCTGGTGGGCTTAAGCAAAATTGAACGTGAGTAAAGTTTTTCCAAGGAATATTCATTGCAGCATCAACCGCAAAGCTAAGGCCTATCTTGGGATCATATTGTGATACATATGTGATATCTAAGGTTTTTGGAATGGTATCCATTAAGTTCAAAAATAGTTTCTATAGGAAGAAAAGTTCATTATGAAAGAAGAGTATAAATTTTATTTGTGAGTATTTACCCTTAATTTATTCTGCAGTTCATGATCACTCAGCCTTTGTTTTCCTACTTCCTGGAGCAAAATTCTTGCCGTTTCCCTTATTGAGACTTTTGTTCTCTTCACCATGCCAGGGAAAAGTAAAGCTTCACCTCTTGTAGGAGAGCATGATTCTGATAAATACACCCGTTGAGAATATTTAGGCCTTGACTCTGCTAAACCAACACGTTGCCAATGATCTTCAGGTACTTCCGATCTCTTTAAGAGTTAAATAATTCAGTTTATTACAAGTAAAAAGCTTATCTTACCTGTAAAGTCTTATTGTTTGGCCCTTTTGGAGCTGGAACGATTCTTATTAAAATTGAACTACAAGGGACAATTCTTCCCGAGTTAAGACAGTCTTGAGAAAATTTTTCTGTTTTGGGTCCATCTAAAAATATTCTCCTTTGATGTGCTCCTGCATTTAGAGAAATTTGATAACCTCCGCTATTAGCGACAGGTTGCATCTCACTTCCTGAGGTAACAAACATTGCTAAAGTGGCAAATCCAACTACAGTCATTTCTTTTGTAAATTTATCAATTGTGTAGATCTGTAGACAAAACATTTATATCATACTTGACTAAATAGTTGAGTTTTGCTACCTTAATAAGAAGAGTTGTGGTTGGTGGTAAATTTGGTACTCGAACTTCCATTCGATGGTCATATATAGGATTCCAGACATCACTATCTAGTTGACCTAAGCAATTGATATCAGCGCAATGCTTGTTGTAGGTACTGTCAAGAAATCTACCAGCAATCTGTAAAATTTTAAAAAATTAGCATTATATTTCGATGAATATCTGGATCGACTCACTCTTGTAATTGTGCAAACTTCTGGAAGATTCATACAACCATCAATATAGATATCGAATCCATCTTCTCCTTCATATGGCTGCATACTCGGCTCCATCCTTTGTTTCAGAAGCCACGTCGTCTGAAAATTTATTATATTTACAAGACATTATTTTTTAATTATATAAAAAGAGTATCATTCATACTGATGGTAGCTCCTCCGGTTCACTATAAGCATCCGATTCATCTGAACTTTCTCCTTCTAATTTATTAACAAAGATTCGCAACTTTAAAACAGCTCTACCAAAACGCTTCCAATTTTTAGGGGCATAATGATAATCAGTGGGAAGATTTGAAATATTTGCAACGGGTAATTGATATAAAAGTAATGTATGCGATCCAATATTGGGTTCGTTTGTGTCTGGTATTGTCAATGGTAATGATGACCAAGCGATCAATTCTAAATCATACAATTCTGCATTAAAATCTTCAAATGTATCTCTAATTTCGGGTACGGCCCTAGTTGATTGGTACACTCTGACAACAAGAATGCAGCCTTTTTTTAGAGATAAATTTTCAAACAACATTTCTTCTTTGCCAAAAATATGCATGCAATATCTATAATAATCTGTCTGAACTGTTGTTGAACTCTGGACTGGTCTTGTAAAAGTTTTCAAAACCTGGGAGAAAAAAAGTCAGTTTTCACTCTTATAAACATTTTGTTTGTCTTCTTTATGATAGTGTTTATACTTTTCCTGTAGTTGCATTATAAGCCGTAAAATCAATTTTTGTTGGTCCAGGTTCAGCATACTTTAATCTAATTACTTGTAAACCCAATGAGAGATTGTCTATGTCATAGTCATTTGCTCTGAAAATTTTGAAAAATCTTCAAGTTCTTACTTGATTGTTACAAACTATAGACTTTGTTTTTTGAAAAATAAAAGCAGAAACTAAGCTAAAGAGAAACACTCTTGCAACTTTACTTGCCAAGATTTAATTGGTGTGATAGTTATTTGTGAGAGGGGTGATTAAAAGTAATGTGAATGGTCATGTTTCTGGAATATCTTTGTTAGTATCTCTCTAATAAAAATTATAAGTACCTGTACTGATGCGAAAAAGGGCGGATTGATCTTTGAGGTTCCAAAATAGGACTTTCAGGTGGTGGATCAGAAGGAGGAGGTGGTGGAATTGTTATCGAAGGAGCTGTCCACTGAGGTGAAGATGGCTGAAATACTCTGGATCATATTCTGATACGTTTGGTATATATGAGACAAACCGGAGGCATAAAATTGTATGAGAAAGACTCATGAGTGTCAACAATGCGTTTCATTTGATTTTCCACATCTCTATGGTTTACTAATCTAAAATACAGCTCGGCAGCTCCATACTAAAAGAAATCACGAGCAATTTATCATAATTTACAAATAAGTCTATTGTGATATTACTTGCGATATGTAATTGATATCTCTTGAAGCTAACTCCTGTCTAACAGGTACTATTCTAAGAGGGACTTTCCAGCGACCACTCTGCAGCCTCTGGCTACTATCAAATAATAATACTTTGCACCAGGCTCGATTTACTAGACCACCCCCGCCTTCAGATACTTGAACCTCGACAATTAACGATAAATCCGTTGAAGCCTTACAACTAGAAACAAAAAATTTAGATTAGTAACGTATTTCCAACTATAATGAGGCTACTTTGGCACAGGCTGAGTAGCAGCTATCAAGGCAACATTTGCTATTCGATCGAATCCTGCCGGAATTAAGGGAAGTGTAGTAGGAGTACTATATAAATGCTGTGTTAGATATAATGCAGATAGCAATCGAACTTGAACGACGATAGATGGAAGGCCACTTATAAAATCATAAAAAATTGTAAAACCAGAGCTGAAGAAGAGATAATAGATTTAATCTAAAACTTTGAAATGGAATACTATTACTTAGGATCATAAAGAGATGGCTGTAAATCAGGAACATTGTGACTAGTATAGCGATGTGACTCAATAGGTAGATCAACTGGCTTTGGAGGAATATTATTAAATTCTCTTATATGAGTGTGCTCTCTTCTCTTTTGCCTTTCTCTTTCAAGGTCATATTGTAGTTGATCAATTTGCTTTTGTAAGATCTCTAACTGGTTTTTTTGCTTTCCCTGACCTCTCTCTATTTCATTTCTCAACCAATCTTTGAAGTTAAAATTCTAATATTATTAGCCTATATAAATCATATAAAACTTAGTAGATACCTTTGTTATCAATATCATCATCCATATATTGCAACTTTTTGTTATTAGAATTCACGAGGGCAGCTAATTGTTCTTGTAATCGCTTATTTTCTTCTTGTAAAGCTGTAGTTTGAGCTTCTATTGCAGCATTTCCTTCTGAAATGAAAAAGATACTTTAAAGTTATTAATTATTGTTTTGACTCTGAAACATACTATCAGTTTTTTTAATTCTTTCCAGAGCTTCACTTTCCATAATTGCCATTTGTTCTAAAATCTTACGATCATTGCCGCCCCGGCGTAGATATGACTGTCTCATTTGCCTATTATGATACTTAATTTTATTGTTAAGTTTCGGAAAACGAATGAAAAACTAACTGAACTTCTCTCATAAGTTCATTGTTATTTTGTCTATCAGTCTGCTTATCTCTTAAATCTTCTAGCATTTTTTCGTTAAATCTCTGATTTTCTTGCAGCTTTTGAATCCACTCATCAGCTGGATCACCTTTCTCTTCAAGAAGTTGAATTTGTTGCTCTAAATCTATGAAATACTAACGTCAACTATGAACGATTATTTGCCATCTTTATACAAACTGGTCTTTTGTTTTCTTAGCTTTTCTGTTTCTAAGTATCTTGTTCGTCGAGCTTTCTGATGCTCATGCTGAAGTCTTTTGGAGGGCTTATAACTGAGGGGTCCGTCTTGAGGCTCCGGGGTAGGATCCTTATCGGTTAGCATAAAAAATTACAAAGAGTACTATAAATAAATAAGAACTTTTTCACCTCATCACTACTATCCATAGGTAAATTGATACTAATTGTTGATTTGCTTGATACTGAATTTCTTCTCTATTTAATAAAAAAATAGTATAAGTATTATGACACCGTATCGTTATTTATTATAATTAACTGCTCTGCTCAATCTATCCAATTCTGTTGCCCTTCGATCCCAAAGATTTTCTATAGGAGTACTAGGCTCACTCATCTGTTTAGCTTTCCTTAAACCTTTCATTCTATCTTCTCTTAGCTGCATTAGCTTTTGATCTGCGGCCTGAAAGGATACTTTATTAAAATTTCTAAACAACAATAAAATCTTAGACAACGAAAAGAAGAAAATATATTTTAGAGTACACAAGTTTATAACTAAAAGAAAGTAAACAGTTCCGTATATTTCCATAATCACCTTCTTTATGTATAGCCATTCTTTAAAATTATCTTTAGATTTCGATGGATGTAACTTCGTATAAAAATGTTAGCATATATTAAATTATATAGGTTAAATTTTGAAAGTTTTAGTACCATCATGTATATATATACAGTATATATATATATATAAATCGAAACTTACTATGGGTATGGGATAAGTTTCTTGAAATATATTTGGCAACTGTTGCTTTGACTTAGAACCATCTCCTATACAATATTTCGTTTTGTGAGATTGTAGACGACTGTATGAATGCATTTATCGGTCTTTAATTGAAGTCTATTATTAAAACAAGCACGTTACCTTGGAGTGTTGAAGACCATGTCGCAAGCATCACATCGCAGTACAGAATTTTGCGCGCCAAGAGCAGACGATGACATTTTTGTTGCTCTTTACTAAATTAGCAATTAGTGGCTGAATTATCAATGATACTGGTGAAAGCAAAATGGAATATCAAAGACTAAGCTCGCATTTTAATCAAACGTCAATAAATATATATTCTTCGACCGCTCATGAACGATATTGCTGAGTTATTGTATTCTATGAATTTGCTTCCGTTGCTTAGGAGCAATGGGAACTGGTATGAAAGTAATATTTTACCAAAAAATCAGCCTACTTCATTTCATGCCGTTTAATGCAAGCAGAGGCTTTTCTCTGTAACCAAATTTCTATTATCAAGAAATGTGTGGCATTTGCTTAGTAATCTTTTATGGAGGGGGTGATGTTTGCAGATCCGATATTGTAACTAATTGTAAAAAGAACAATAAAGATACTTAATTTAATCTAAATTTTTACAGCCCAAATTAAATTTCGATTGTCTGAAGAAGAGAGGGCCAGACAGTTGGTTAGAAAAATCAATTCATAATTCAGCTTACTGCCTACATTTTTTTGGGAGTGTCTTACAAATGCAGGGAAATTTAACAAAACAGCCATTAGAAGATAATCTAGGAAATATATTATTGTGGAATGGGGAAATTTTTGGAGGAATCAATGTAATTTCTATCCTAAACATTCTTATATTAATTTCAATATTTTATTTGCAATTTACCATAAAATAGATAGAAAAAGGGGAGAATGACTCTAAGAAACTATTAGATATCCTATCAAAAGCAATTACCAATGATGAAATATTACATATATTTTCAATGATAAAAGGCCCATGGTCATTTCTATATTGGCAGGTATCTAAACAGTTTTTATTGATTTAAAAAACTATATATATACTGTATATACATGCACATTTATAGCATTCAAAGTCTCAGCTCTGGTTTGGTAGAGATTCATTAGGGAGAAGAAGCCTTTTATATTCATTTCAAGATAAATCGATATGCTTTTCGTCAGTTGCTGTTAATCCAGTTAATACTAATAACTCTTTTCTAAAGATTAGTAAATCTAATTAAATAAATTTTATTGTTAATCTTTTAGGATGTAGATTATACCGAAGTTGCTTCTCTGGGTCTGTATTGTCTATCGGTAAACTCTTCAAACAAGCCGAAATTATTTCCTTGGTCACATATCAATGAAGAGAGATTGTTTGCTGAAGATTCACTATACGAAAAAAATAAACATTTTTGTGATATACAAACAGAAAAGCTCATTCCTCCTTTTGATAAATTCAATTTTGATCTGCCGACTGAATTAGATGATATAAACTTAAAACAATGTGCTAAACGAGATATTTCCACAATCGATGATCTAACATCAATCATTTCAGAAGATTATTGGACAATGTCCAACAGCCTTCTTCAAAAGTTATCGGATTCTGTTCGAATAAGGATTTCTAATCATCAGAATCTCTGTGGGAATTGTATAAAGGAAAATAATAGGAACTGTGAACACGCAAAAATTGCCGTATTGTTTTCCGGTGGTATTGACTCCCTTATAATAGCCGCACTATGCCATTCACATTTAGTTGAAAATGAAGCAATCGACTTAATAAACGTTGCCTTCTCAGCTGACAACAGTTATTCAGTTCCAGATAGATTAACTGGTTTAAAAAGCTTTAAACAACTGCAGAAAATGTATCCAAATAGAAAATTTAATTTTATTACGGTAACAGCAATCTTTTAGTGTACTAATCCTGCAATAAGTATCATATTTTCCAGGTTGACGTCTCACTTTCAGATCTAAGAGAAGCAAGACAATCCACTATTGCTAACTTAATAAAACCTTTACGTACTGTTTTAGACGATTCAATAGCATGTGCCATCTGGTTTGCAGCAAATGGGATAGGTTGTGTTGGCGAAAAATTGTATAAGTCATCTGCTCGTGTCATTCTAACTGGAATGGGTTCGGATGAACAGTTGGCCGGCTATTCCCGTCATAGAATGAAGTTTAAGTTGTTTGAGTGCCATATGAAGAGATATCATTATACATAATGTTTTTCTATAACAGTAATGGAAATTGGGATAACTTAGCGAAAGAGGTAGATATGGATATTAGAAGAATATCAGCGAGAAACCTTGGTAGAGATGATAGGTATAGACTATTTTTACTGAACACACCATACCCATCAATCATTGATTTGCTTTATATATTTTAACAGAATAATAACTGATCATGGAAAGGAAGCTAGATTTCCGTTCCTTGACGAGGGAGTAGTTAGCTTTCTAAACTCATTACCTATATGGAAAAAGGTAATAATTACAAAGATATTTGTGTAAAAGTACCATATTATAATTATACCTTTTGTTAAGACCAATTTATATCAAGAAAAAGGAATCGGGGATAAACTACTTTTACGTTTAGCAGCTATTCAACTGGGTTTACAAGAGTGTTCCTTGTTCGTTAAGAGAGCGATACAAGTAAGTCTTTTGTTTTTTTTTCTCAATTCATCGGTAATTTTTTATGTAATTAAATAATTAGAATATATATAAATATATTTAGAATATGACTTTGAATGTGCAAATTATTAACATCTGATACAGTTTATTAATGTTGTCTTTACTTATTCATTCAGTTCGGTTCCCGTATAGCAAAGCTTGAATCGAGAAACGAAAAAGCATCGGATATATGCGAAAGATTGAACTAAAAATAATAAAAGAAATAAAAGAAAATAAGCTTAAACTGCCAAGTGTAAAATCTTTTTTATTTAGTTCATAGATGGCGCTTTAGATATTCTATGTGAAATGCAATTTGTACTGGAAATATGACGTTTTCAAGTTACTTTGTTAAAATTTTTAAGCAAATCCTATAAAAATGTTGATTTACCTTTTTTTGTTTTTTAATCCACCTTATTAATAATTAATACTATAATACTTTGTTAGAAAATACAGGTGTTCGAGAATTATTGCTAAATAAATCTAAAGTACTTTATTCTCTTATTTTATCTCCATGTAGAAATTACAATCTAATGCTTTTTTAAAAGATAAATAGTTAAAAATGTCATGAAATATCTTAAATAAATAAATCTATTTATTACAAACATTCGTAGTTTTAGGTCCGTTGTTGTCTTTTTATGGAGAAAAAATTTTAATAAAAACCGTACAAGGTAATTAAACATTCTTGAGTGAAATAAAATATAAAAACAAAAATTATAAAAAGGCTTTTAATGATATTGAAAATTTGTAAGAGAGGTGTATTGCTTGTCTACAAGCAGCTTATGTCGGCGCCATGCTTTAATCAGCTCTCATTATCTCATCAAGTGTTCTTTTTACCGATAGCAGAAATGGCAGATTGTATAACGCTTGATATAAGCGATATCTCCATCATATTGAAAATTTCACTCTCATTTTTAATTGAAATGCTTTTTAAATAGCTTCACTCTTGTGTTACGATCTTACTTTTATTCGTTTACTCAGTTCTTTTAATTCAGATCGTAGTGAATCTGCAAAATTTATTTTACTTAGTCACCGAATTTATTTAGGAAGTGTACGAATGAAACTTATTAATACCTAAAAGGAAATGAGTAATTCTTCCGTCATCAAATAGACATTTTTGTAAGCGTTGCTTTGACCTTTGTTTTACTTATTGCGTGCGTACTCTTTGTCTATTAATTATCGCTCAAATCATATTAAATATTCCAATCTCATGGAATGGAAGTGTTTGCTTTAAATGCTCGTCTCATCTTATAAATTGGTAAAAATAGTAAGGCACAACTTGGAGAAAAGTGTCATGATAATTTAAGAAAACTATATTATGATTACTATTCATTCGCAAAAGGCATCACCCTTCACTGTTTAAATATTAATACGCGTAGTTAAATTGTAGTAAAGACTATAAAGATTACATTAGAATAGGATTTATTTTCTACAGTATTTACATATTTAACTTTCGATATACTGTAAATTTTAGCAATTTATAACAGAAGACTATGAGCAAGTATATAATGCTCTATGTTCGCGGAAGATTACTAAGGTTACGAGGCTGCTTCCGGTAAATCAGCGCTACCTAGTTGTTAGTGTCTAAGGAATCAGCAGGAGCACCATGCGTCGTATATAGAAAGAGGCAAATATTAAGGAAATACCTTCGAATCAGATCGGGAACATTCCATAAGGAATCGCTGCTCAAAGTGCCATAAAAATCGTTCGTCCGTCTGATCCCATCTACTCGCAGCGAAACGAAAATCGAAGGCGGCAAGCGGAAGTATAAAAAGAGATGTTAGAACAGTTTCTATGCCACCAATAATAGTGCTAATCTATTAAAAAAAAACTGTGCATTTATTTGAAGACGAAGACTTTAAGGATTAAAAACGGCGTGCTTTCGTTGTCTCAATATGAATTTTGTGCGGGGTAAAGTGAGCAGACAAAAAAAGAGATACCAGGAAGATGGGTTCGATCTAGATCTATCATGTATCCTTTTTCTACCAAAAAAAAAAAACTGTGCTTTTTCCATTATTTTTCCTTAATAACACTGCAGATATCGATAGGCAGATTATCGCCATGGGGTATCCGGCTACTAAAGTCGAAGGCCTATACAGGAATCCAATGGATGAAGTATCTAGGTAAAATTGATTTGTATTTAAAAGTAATTTTCTACACTAACGTATTTTGTTTGTTCTTGTTGAAAGCTGCTTAATTGTCCTAAATGCATAACTTTCTCTTTAGGTTTTTAAATTCAAAGCACAAGGATAAGTACAAAGTGTACAACTTGTAAGTAATATTTTTCTATAAGATATTACAACCACCTAAACTAACGCTTTCATTCAGGTGTAGCGAAAGTAGACGACAGTACTGTGAAAGTAATTTTGAAAATCGAGTAGAAAATAAATATAGGTTTAATGATCATAATCCACCTCCTTTTAAAATAATTGAAGAATTTTGCGCGGACGTCTCTTCATGGTTAAATGATGACGAAGAAAGAATTGTTGCTGTGCATTGCAAAGCTGGAAAGGTAGTTTCAATTGATTTAAACAATTCGGTTACTAGGTCATATTGGAAAAACCGATTATGTATCAAAGTGCCATTTCCTGTTTAACAATCCGTAATAGAATGGTAACCTTCATCGATTGAAAAAGATCTTAAGGTTACAGCGCAACTCTAAAAGATATAAGCGCTCGCCACTAATAGAAAGCTCATTACCCCTTATATAGGATTACAATCTCTCCTGATTAGATACACAATGAATAACTAATGGAATGTTATAGGTTTTGTTAATTTTTTACAGGGAAGGACTGGAACAATGATATGCTGCTATTTGTTGTATAAAATGTATGAAATGTTATTGAAAGATATAGATGGTGATTTAGAAGGCATTGATGCCCAGAAAGCTATGAAAGAATATGACGAAGCTAGAACGGAAGATAAAAAAGGAGTAACCATACCCTCACAACGTCGATATATAACCTATTTTTCCCAATATTTGCGGAATCATCTGTATTCAATAAGACAGTTAAGCCTTGTGAACAGTACATATAAATATGAAAAGATTATATACCATTTGAAAGCTATTCGTTTTAATGCGATACCTAACTGTGGCAAAGTAACGCAAGCAGGCGGTGCATTTGGTAAGTTGTTCTATTCATTTGATCAATTAGCAAAAATATCATGTGCACAAAGTCAATTAATTTGTAACAATTATAAGCACCTACCCGCAAACGAATTTTAACAGATCTTATTTTTCGCTGAACTCGTATTTGGACTGCTTATACGTCTAACTAGTTGTTTACGCAGAGTGTTAATTAAGAATATACTATATACTCGTCCTTCTCAGTTAGCTCTAAACGTAGTGGTTATCGTATTATGATAATGGCTAACATATTATAGTATCTTTTTCAGTTCCACAAATTGCAGTCAAGAGAGTTTCAGAAAGCAGTCCTGATCAGTTTATAGGAATAGTAGAAAAATTTCCTGACAGTAACGTAAAGAGAACGGATTGTGGAGTTTATTTGACATTTAATAAAGAAATACTCGTACATGACGATGTTTTAATTGAGGTTGTGAATAAAACATCTTTTGGTAAAGAAAAACTATTCCATTTCTGGTTTAACACATTTTTTGTTGGACAAGAAACTTGTGCAGTTAGTGATCGTTTTAATAGTTCAATTGAAGAAGAAAGAAATGGGATATCCACACCCAAGAGGACTTTTACGGATCCTCATAATAAGCATAAGTGTAGTGCCTGTGAATGTGATTCTACTGAAAAATATCCTTTCCTGGATATACCTCTCTCAGAATTGGATAGAGCCTACAAAGATATACAACATAAGATATACCCTGCCTACTTCAAGGTTTTTATCATTTCCTTACCCCTTTTAACAATTTTCGTGATTTCCTCTAATTTGTAGGTACGACTCTTCTTGGAAAAATGTAATACCAATAGTTCTGACCATCAACCTGACAGGGCTTCTGCGGCTCAAATCGAAGAAGTAACAGATGACACAGCTACAGCCAGCGATTTAAGCGATGACTAGCAGTGTAACATACAGTTAGAAATTTAAAACAATTTTTATGACCGGTTATTGCTCGTTAATAGAACAGTAAATTACGTGTTTTATACAGTCTTCTACTCGTAGCAAGCGTAGGTATAGCCAGTTTTTGGACGACCTGCTGCTCAAAGTTTATGAATTCTTGTGTTATATATATACTCAAAATTTTTGTCTTGAACACGATGTACGGCAGATGGTGTGATTTTGTGCCTTGTACATATTTATGTAATTTTGAGATTTACTTGCCTGTAAATAGACTAAATCGACGTAAAATAACTGTGGTCCACGTATTTTCCACTGTTTGTCTCTTTCGACCCAAAACATTATATGAATTTTATCGGTTGTTGTAGATGATTTTTAAAGATTTATTTTTCACTTATACACAGTAATATGAAATATACATAAATATATATGTATATATGTATGTATATATACATATTTATTTATATATACTGTATATATAAAGTATATATTTATCAATCGTTCCATTTAGGTTACGACTGCTTGTTAAGACGGGCTGCACTTTTCATTTCAACATCATCAAACATGAAATTTTACGTTATAAAAGTTTGTTGCGGTTGACAGATGTATAATTGACTTCAATTAGTGTGATATGTATGACAAAAAATAAACCAATGTTTGTAACATGGCCTGTTTGCCATGGATTCCAAACAAAAGACGAGTTCCAAGATGTCATTTAGAGCATTAGCTAAAATAACAGCATTAGGAATCTATTTTGTTATCGTATTATTAATATGCACTTAAATTTTATCAATTGCTTTTTTACATGACCTATGAAAGATATAAAATACTCTGCTGTGAGTCCCGTTTTGTTACAATTAATCTTTTATTTGCTATTGTGTATTGTAAAGCACCGAATATACATTTAATATAAATATATATGTATAATATATTAATATTAATATATATATATATATATATATATTTTGTATAGATAATTTGCATAGTATGCATAATGATTTTCTTAAATGTTGAGTATACCCTATAAGGTACAATCAGCGACCGTTAACGATAATCATTTGTAAACAGCACTAGCCACCATTCCAGGTTGAGGGGGAGTTGCAACTTGCTGAGCATCAGCTTCACAGTATAATTCATCTTCCACGACAAAGTAGCCAGCATTCTTTAAATTTTTGCCACAGCGCCTACACTTGAAACACTCAGCATGCATAGGATTGCCACGCACCTTTACAAAAACACCAATTATAAGGCGGCCACAAGCTTTGCAGATCGAAGCGTCTTGTTGCGGTGGGGCCGATTGACGGGGTTGTGTTGTTGGAGCTTGAACGCGTCGAAAACCTGGCTCGCTTTGAACAGAACCTATATCAAGAGAATTCATGGACATTTTTCTTGCAAGTCTACTTGAACAGCATAAAAACACATCAAACTAACCGGGGTTTTCCAACTCACGTTCTAATAAAGAAAATGTTAAACTTTGTCGGGGTTTTCGATCACTAGGTGGGGTTACTTCAGAATCATTCCCATCTATTTCACGTAATGCATCAAGAACGTGACTATTTTTGAAGCATTTCGCTTCTTGACTGTTACCATTTGGGTTTGTACTGTTGATATTAATATGAATATTTACATTCGGTAAAAGAAAAAAAACACTGTGTCTAGCTAGTATTGTTAGTTATTTCATGCAGGTAGTTGTAATTCCATACAACATCTTACCAAAAGCTGAGCCTAGATCCTGGGACGATTGGCCAAAACTCGGTAAAGGCCTAGTGGATAAAGATTCGAAAGCGCGTTAAATAAATATTCGCCGAAAGGTCGCTTGACAATGTTTTAGTCTAGTATATGCGGTAATAAAACCCGATAGTAATCGATTGATCAAACATACCTCACAAGATTATTCGCGTGAGCATCGGCCGTCGCATCCAAAACATCGTCAACGTTCGAATTTGAATACAAGCCAAGAGGTGAATTGTACTGATTGTTCACTAATCCCATATTGCTGGGAAAAGGTTTTGCACTGCGATTATGACCAGATCCAATATTATTATTTACTTGAGGGGCATCTCTAGCAAGAGATGTCTTTTGAACCATTTGATTATTATCCAGAAAATCTTTTCCAGCGTGAAGTATTTCAACTTGGGGCTTCCAAGTTGTCACAACAGAACGTTCCACTCTAAAGAGACAATTTAATCCCCCATTCAATATTTCTCTTTTTGCCATTTCATGTGTCATGTTATCTGTTGAAAGTCCGTTAATAGCCAATACAACATCTCCTTCCTTTAGCCCATATTGCTCAGCAACACTATTCGAATTGATCTAAAAACAGAAACATATTTTGCTGATTCAACTAAATTCTTTTAGAAGTTGGTACTTACTCTTTGAACGGATAGAGGGTTAGGAAAATCGTATCCCCCTTGTAGCCGAAATCCCCATGGATCCGAAGGTGAGCCTTTATGTAGTTCTACATCAATAACTTGACGAGAAGGATTCATATTTCTTTTTATTTTTGACTGTAAAACGAAATGCACCGAAAACGCGCTTTAGTCAGTCTACGCTTGTAGCCTCGTACTAACTAAACATTCCATAAGCATTCTTCCGGCTGACGAGTGGTGCCAGCGGGTTTCAAACACCAGAGGAGAAATAGAAAAGTAATGCCATCTTACGGATTTAACTTAAAACATACAATTTCTTTACAGCAGCAAATTATCTATTGTAATTTACGCAATGGATAAATACAAAAGAATGGGAAAACACATAAAACGAATAGTCCGAGAATTGATCTTTCACAAAGTTTAATTGCCTTCAATTTTCTTCGGTCCGGCATTCGGGTGGGTCAAGGGACGACGAAAAAGTAGAATATGGGGCTCTGGATTATGAACTGCATAATGTTCCCAACCCTGACTCTGCTGTACCCCTAGTTTTCTCCATTCAGCTTCCGTTAAAAGCTTGGCTTTCGTTATCATTTTTCCAATGTTTTTCGGTCCCACAACATGCCTGAAATGGCGGTAAATATTCTGTAGATTTCTAGTTATGTATTCAGAACACAATACAAACCTGTACTCATAAAGGTCGTCGCAGTACTTTTCTGAATAATAAAAGCCGTTGTGAGACATGATAAGGTAAAGGAATTAAGTTTCTGTCTTGTTTTAGTGATACTTTCTCCCTCTTGAGCGCAAAACGTCTTGAAAATAACTACGGTTTAAGCTCATTGGCTGATTACTTTCGACTTCCGGATATTGTGTTTACTACTCTTTTTCGTATATATTTTAAACTATTTTCTGAATTCTTCAAGTAAACGTCTTTTCAAAGCTTTATTTAAAAAAATAATTTTTTGGAAAAATATTATTAGTGTTTAAACTTCTTGCAGTCAGTAATCAACTACCTATGTCACGACATATTCCCTTTTCCTTCTTGAGAAGGCACTAAAACTTGATTTACTCATACAACGATACAAAACTTCTTAATTTGTTTTATTCATTCTTTATGTAAATCTTCTTTGTTGGAAATTATTTTTTTCATTTGGGACCGAAGATAAAATGTCAAATCAGTGGAACGATGATGGTAGTTTTAGAAATAAGCCAATAGGAGGTTGGCTACATCAAGATCATCAGCTCTTACCTGGCAATGGAGTGTCATATCCAGTTAGAGTAAGTGAAATTGGTGTAAATATTGAAATAAATATTGAATTTAACTATTTTTAAGTACATGGGGTGTTTGGAAATTACTCAGAGCATGCGATCAATGTCATTTGAGACTCGAAAAGCTGTGACAAAGTAAGCATAGGGAATAGTTTTTCTCTTAATCAAAGCTAAGCATTCACTAAAACTTTAGACAGTGCACAATCATAGTAACTTCTGCGGCCGGTATGAGATCATCAAGTACGAAAAAAATTGACAAAAGTTTAACTGATATAATCAAAGATACCCCTGATATGACAAATGCAGGAAGTAATTGTCAAGTAATAATAGATACTGAAACTATCCAACTAATATCTTTGGATAATCAGAGATCTATAGGTTTATACCCTTTAAATTCTGTATCATTTACATCAAGTGGAGATAATGATTTAGACTTTGTGACAATTGTATCCAAAGACGTTATTCGGGGGCGATTCTGTCACATTTTAGAATGTGGAAACAAATCATCTCATGATATATTAAATACCCTTGGTCAGGCTTTCGAATTACGATACAAACAGTTTCTAGGTTTAGCTATGATCGATTCTAGGGCTGTCGGTAATTGCTACGTTGCTGAACCAAGTGCACCGCCTCTCACTAACGAAGTTGACGAAGATAAAGGAAACGATAATAACGATCATAAGCCAACTGAAACACCAACTGAGGTAGTTCATAATTCAACAGATGACTTTGGGATGGAGCCTTTTACACTCGAAGGCTGCATTGGTGCCGGGGATCCTACAAATGAAGAGTGGTTTCATGGAAACATTTCAAGAAGTCAAGCAGAGGAGCTTTTAAAAGAAGATGGGGATTTTCTCGTTAGATTAACTTCAAATTGCATTGGTCAGTACGTATTAAGCGGAAAACATAATCACACAGTACGCCACCTTCTTCTCGTAGACCCGAATGGAATAGTTCGCACAAAAACACAGGCATTCAATTCCATCAGTCATTTAATTAGGCATTATGTTACTTCAGGGAATCCCATCCATACAAAAGATGGTTTATTTGTTTTAAAAAGACCAGTAGCCCTAGCAAATTGTTAATTTATATTAGCAGAAAACTTTCGAATCTTTTTTACTTCATTTAGTTTAAAAAAAAAATTAATTATCTGTCCAGAACATATTATCAAAATAATATACTCCAAACGCTCTAACAACATATATCAACACTTTTATCGTTCTATAAAACCTTTGAAATTTTACTTTACTGAGTTTTATCATGTTCTTTACCAATGAATGAGTAGTTTTCTAAAATGCAATGTTTTTTTTTAAAGTGTAGTTACACACATAAAAACCATTCAGACTTTTTACATTCCCAGTCTTTTTTTTTGTCTTTATTACTGCTTTTACTAGTTTGGAGGAGGATAAACAAAACCAATTTTTTTGTGAAGTTTGTTTACAATGCAAATGTTTTATTTTTAAATATGTTACACAATAAAATTTAAGGGAAGTATAATTTATGAAATTTTGAAATGTGTCTTTATGAAGCACTATCAGGTAAAAAGCTTCTTATGCTTTCACTTTAAACCGTCATAAATTCAAAAAGACAGTTTTCAAAGTTCATTTAATTAAACTAGCTTACTTGCCCTCGAGCAATGTTTTAATTTCATTTAGAACTATTTCGGGTTCAGGAAACTTTAGCTTTCTGGGAGGTCCTTTCTTCAACCCAGTCCAAACATTATGGGTATTTCCTTCCGAGTCTTGAATAGAAATTTCAAAAGCTCCTCGTTTGGGTTTTTCCTGATTTATTAATACCTCATCAATACTTAAGTCTTCATCAGCTCTTAAAAACTCTATAATGGCGGCCGCTTTGCGACCATACACCCGTCAAGATTTGCAATGCTCTATTAACACTGTTATTGTACCGTCGACTTTTTTCTTCTTTGCTAAAGAGTCATCTCTTTCTACTGACTGGTTATTATGAGCGAGATCTTCGACTTCTTCAGTTGATTTTGTCTTGAGACCTCTTTTCCTCTTTGGCGCCATAACCAAATTTGCACAAAAAACTGGTAAGAGTTCAGGAAATTACCTAAAATCGCGAAATTCTTGTTCGCCTTCCGATTTAGAAAAACTCATCTCAAACGCATTTTTTACAAATCTATGAGGAATATTGTGTAATTTTCCAGAAAAATCTAAATTTCATCACTTTTAGGTAGTATAATAAGTCGACTCTGCGGCAATTTAGCAAAAGACAAAATGGAGACTAGCTTTGTTGATATGGTGAAAGAGGTTAGCATTTGATATAAAACTTATAAAAGTATAAAGTAGCCTTTATTATGAAGCTATTTCAACACTAGGTTTTATCGGAGGAACTGAAGAGAAATGATAAATTCCTGCCCACTGAAGATATTAACGAGTTATTATCTGAAGAATTTTCCGAAGAAACTACCAGATCAGGAATTTTCGGCTATCCAACAAGACCTCTTTATAAGACAATAGGTGTAATGCTTGATAGATGGATTCAAAATAAGTAAATATACTGTACTCTTAGTTTGCTAGTTTATATTTGCATTGGCAAATTTTACTTAAAATCTGTTAAAGTTTGATTTATATAAATATATTTTTTTAAAGAGTTGAAAAATTAATTGTTTTAATTTTTAAAAAAGAGAGTCTCCAGTTATGGAGCTGCCGAATTATGATTTATTGGATGAGAAAGAATACTTGGAAGAAAGATCATTCAACTTCAAAAAAATTACTGATTTGCTAGATGGAATTCAAACACTTTGGGATCATTCATCCAAAGCTGAACAAAATTTTTCTGTTAGGAAAATGCTAATGGTATTTTTTGAGAAATATTCCTATTTCCTTTGTAATTTCTTTTATTAGATATTAGGAAAACGTGGAATTTTGGATCTATTAGGTGTGAGAAAGACAGTGGGGAGTAAAGACATTTTTCCACCACCAAGGAAACTCCTAGAAGATACTTTCCAACAACTCAATAAGTAATTAGAAAAATATTTTTTAATTTTACTTTCATCAGCTTGATTTTCAGCCCAGGGTCTATTCTGACTGTAGGAGCAAGGGCTTTAGCAAAACATTGCCATAGAGATGAAACTGATGGCTGGTGGGGTAAATGCAAAGGAAGTAAGTGTCCTAAAATTCTTATCATTTTGTACTCATTCAGTCAATTTTTTCAGGAGAGATTGATAAAAACGAACATGCCTTTAAAATACTTGGAAAAATACTAGACAATTCAACATGGATAAATATTCACTGGCTTCCGGTAACTTTTAATTGTATTCTGACGAATTGAAATTACTCTTTCTATTAACATTATTAGCATGATGTTATCATCTGTGAAGTACGACAAGAAAATGGATATGGAGCTCGATGGACCCATGATGGAAAATCCTTCAGAGGATTTCTAGAACCTCAAATGGCTGGAGGGCACGATGTCGGCTGGAAGCATTAATCAAGAATAGTTACTGTAGATGTCACGAAAATTTGCAACTTTTGAACTTGTTAAGTGAAGTGCTTATTAATGTTGATAATACACTATCAAAAACACTTCAACAATGTTTTAAATAGCTGCAGTGTATAATACGAAAATATTAAAAGTAATCGTGAGATCAATAACCATTTACTTGACGACAATCAATATGGCCATATGAACATACAGTAGACTATATTTAATCAACTTAAGAGCGATATCAAATATGGTTTGTATTTAAATTTTAAGGTATATTTTTGATTTCATCATTTCAATAGCCAAAGAAATCAGCAAAAACTAAAAGAGCTCATAGTACAAAATCGGGTAAAAAGAGTGGCAAGAAATCAGCCAAGAAAAGAGCTGCCCCAAAATCAGCTCCTGCCAAATTACCTTCGGCGGAAATGAATGAGCATGCCTTAACGCAGATTTATTATTGTGCTCACAACGCTGTAGACGCTCTTGAGTATCGGGGATTTGCCTGGCCTGAAGCTCCAAAGAAGGGGAAAAAGAAGAAAAAAAAGTAATGTGCCAAAGATAAAATATGTTCGAAATATTAAGTGCCATATTAAATATACTACCACGAGTACTTGGTATATGCCTTTATTGAAGTGTTTGTATAATATTTAACAACTGATTTTAGTCAGAAAACGTATTGATAGTTATCAATGAGGTGTATTTTCATAAAATTAAGATTTTAGAGGTATTTACAAACCTTATGGTTGGTCTCCTAATATTTCATTCTGCTAGATTTCTTGAATGTAGTCAAGAAAAAAATATGTCTGTAAATAGCCAGACAAGCCTAATGAACTCTTCGTTTGATGTCTATTTCGTTCATTCATCTGAAAAGTTTTGTTATATAAAATCAATTCTCCGCAAAAGCGTCCTTGCATGAGATTTCTTCAAGGCTAGCTGATTATAAATACAGCTGAATAAGTAAAGGCATATGATAGTAACAAGCGTCTCTAACAATTTGCTTCGAACAAATTTAAATCTTAGTCAGGATTAATATAGAGTATTCCAGTTTTTGTCCGTTTGGAAACAGGAAGAATATATGAATTGGACAAAATATATGATACACATACTATACATCATAAATCTATCTTTCATGATAATTATACAGTAAAATCTCGATAACATTGGATGAAATAATTACTAAGGTTTCTTTTTTTAACTTGTTAGTAACAAGCATGTTTTCTGAATTATTGAGATTTTACTATATATTTAGGGAGAGTTATACAATATGCCGCTTGTTGCATTACAAAATTTAGGAAACCATTGCAACAAATCGCTGAAATCATATCATGCAAAGTCAGGTGTTCCGTCGATTCCAGTCTTAAAATTACAGAAGATAATTTTATTATTTATACTTACGCTAAATAAAGATATGATTTTTGATGTTCATGTAAATGTGAGAACAAATATGTGTTTGCGAAACGAAAGAAATATACATACTAAGTTCTCAGTAGCGCACCATATCCTAGTTCCTATAATTCCCTAGCAGAAATCCTACAGATAGAGAGGTCATCCTAATCCTGTTAGACTAGAGACAAGATCTTTCCCTCCCACTTCAGTCCCTCCTTAGACTCCTCACGTTCACTCCCCTCATACAGTCAAATCAGGGACAACATTATCCAGTTATTTAAATTCCAATGTTCTTTAAATGCAACATCATCTTTTATGGAATGTTGTCCCGTTTATCGTCTAGCAATCCTCTCTTAGAATTTTATTTACCTTGTTCCTGCAGGAATTAAAATAGCCATTTAAAATATGAATCCGTTTATTACCCAAGCGCCGAGTTAAAGTTACTACGTAAAATATCAACAAAAGCAAACTTTTTTATCAGAAAAGAGAGAATAACTAAGGCTACATATGTAGAAAAACATACACATTTGCCATTCGTCTCAGTAATTCGGCGATCGAGAACGACGCATTGGTGAATAACTTGGGCTTTCCCTACCACGGCGATCAGGGGTTTGACTGCGCGATCTACGATAGTCTTTTCCAGAGCGGCTACTATCTTCCTTTACTTGAATATATGCTGTTTCGCCTTCATGGGATCTAAATTTGGAATCATCCAATTTTTTAACAGCATATTTCATATCATCATGTCGTAGGAATTCTACGATTCCTGTGCAATCTTTGAAGACATCAGCAAAACAAATATCTCCTGCTTCCCGCATATGATCTTTTAAATCTTGCCATGAGCCTGTTGGTGGAAGACCTGTAACGACGACGCGGTAATCTGATCGTCGAGGTCCACCTCGACCACCACCACCACCACCGCCTCCGCCGCCGCCGCCGCCGCCGCCTCCACCACCGCCTCCGCTTCCTCCTCCTGGTCTCCTTCCTCCACCCCCTCTTCCATACCCTCGACCACCACCTGACCGATAGCCGCCTCCCCCACCGCGTGAGTCTCTTGAACCTCGTGAGAATTCAACTCGGATCGCATATCCATCAAAGTCATATCCATCTCTTCCCCGAACTGCGTCCTTGGCATCCCTAAATGATTAAATGCAAGAACAATCTTAAAACATAAAAGAAAACATACCGGGAGTCATCAAATTCTACAAATGCAAATGGCGGACCACGCTGATTCTTCAAGTCAATATAGTTTATTTTGCCATATTTATAAAAGAGATCATCAATATCTCGGCTTCTTATATCTGGTGGTAAATTACCGACATAAATTCGACAATCATTCATAGCATCAGACTTGTAAGACATGATGTGGAAAATACGTTTCGTAAACCACGTGACGCAAGCAAGCGACGAAAGTTACAGAAGTTGTTTTCGTATTTTTAAATATATTTATATATCTGCATATATATCTAATTTCTAATAAAAATATTAGATTTAAAGGATCGCAGTCTAATTTTAATTTTTATAAAATAAACTAGATTATTTTTTTGCGCACGACGGAAGTTTATCATTGTCACATGATTCGAGTTTTGATCGCGAAGAACTTCTGATACGAGAGTATATGGTTAGACGATTATAGTTATTTCGACGCAAATACTGCGAACAAGTTCCTAAACCGCTTCACCGTCTCAATCAAGTTCTTGAAATTTTATTTACCGATCAGAAAACATTGAAACAGAAAAATGGCAGAAAACAGACCATTGATAAACGATAAGCCACCTTCATATGCCACTGCAACTGGTAAAATTAGATTTGACATTTTTTAAAATGTTTAAATGATTCTTGAAATAGGACCATACTCCGGGCCCCCAGGATTCAATGGAACAGCTCAACAGCAGCCCTCTTACATGTATCCTCCCACCACAACCACTGTAATCCAACAACCTGCTCCAAACATAGTTATTGTTGGAGGATGTCCTGCTTGCAGAGTAAGTTTTTGAAATTATGTTAAACATAATAAAGAATATTTTTTAATAGGTTGGGGTCCTAAGTGACGAATTTACTTGTCTTGGGATATTATGTGCACTTTTTTTATTTCCGATTGGATTGCTTTGCTGCATCTTATGCAGGGAAAAGAGATGCGAAAATTGCGGCGCAACCTTCAGCTGATTTGATTTATAATTTTTGACACTAATATATTCTCTGAATGTTACATAATTTTTGGAATAAATGTTTATCAGTTTATCTTAAAAGATCATGAACTATATGCTCCAATTGATTTGAGTATGCTTCAAACGAAAATTTTCTCTTAACTCGCCTTTCGCCAGCTTCTCCCATGGTTTTTTCCAGTTTAGGGTTTTCTGCAAATTTTTTCATATACTTAGCAAATTCATTGGGTTCTTCCTTCGATAAGTATCCCGTTTCATTGTGAGAAATAGTTTCCAAAGGTCCCCCAGAAGCAACAGCTATAACTGGTGTCTGACAGAGCATTGCTTCCAAAGGAGTAATCCCAAAATGTTCATTCGACGGTGTATATATTAAGCAAGTTGCCTTTCGCAGTAGAGCAGATTTTTGTTCAAATGATATTGAACGCAAAAAAGTGACATGGTCTTTTAAAGACAGTTTTTCTCTCAATCTCCACAATTCTTCATAATACTCGACATTTTCTCTTACTCGATCATCATAACCACCAGCCATGACTAAGTGAACCCCATCTAGATTTTCTAATTTGGACATGGCATGTAATGCCAGTGATAGATTTTTCTTTCTTTCGTAGCGATTGATGGAGAGAAACAAAATGCGTATATTTTGTGGAATATCCTCTATTTGTACATTACTGACATCTGTAGCAAAAGCCTCAAAGGAGGGAATAGGATAGACAACTTCAGGAGATACATCATTTAATGAAGTAAATGTCTTTTTAAAAACTTCTGCTGTAAATTGAGAATTGACTAGGATAACATGAGCTTTCCCAGTTCCGTATTCTTCTAAATAATCAAGAGGCTTACGATAAATACGTTTCAGAGTAGTCTTTCTTTCTGTTAACAAAAGATCTGGGAAGTGACAATAAAATATAATTTTGGCTCTTGTAAACCATCTTAAAAGTGGAACACAGGTAGCAACTTGGTCACAAATGACAACATCAAATTTTATACCAGATATAATTAAATAAAGAGCAGCCCACATCATTCGCAAGTAAGCACACAAAGCATAGCAGAGTCCGCAAATAGACCTTGGTAACCAATTTCCTGAAACAGTAACTTTTAGAGTACCGTCTCTAGTTTCCTCAAAACAATGTGTTGTACTGTGATGAGACGTTAAGAATTGAACATTGTGTCCTCGTCCTTTCAAAGCCAAAGCAGCATCAATCATAGCTCTTTCAGCTCCACCAATACCCAGGTCAGGGTGCAGAAATACTACATTAGCCATATCTGATATGAATTAGATTCCACTATTCTGAATCGTGTAACCGTTGTCGTCAGCTCTCTAACACACAGGAAGTGCTAGCGGTGAAAACAGGTAGCTTCTTCATATATCAATAAACGCTAGTTTTTATATAACGTTTTTTCGGTTAAACTCAATGTATTTTATGTTGAGTGTTAATGATACAATTAAAAATAAATGCCACACTAATATTTAATTCACTGATTTAGATATTGTTAGTGAAATCTATATTTTAATTTATTATAAAATACTGCAGAAATGGCCAAAAATTATAGTTCATTTAAATCCTTTACATGATTTGCAACTGAAATAAGAAAATTATTTGTATAATATTTGTTTTATAGAATCAAAATAGCAATTAAAAGAGTTTATAATCAAGTTTCGTAATTTTCTTAACTCAACAATTATAAATGTCTAATACAATATTAATAGTTGTTCAATAACAGAGTGAAGCAACAAAAATAAGTGAAAAATACGAACATATAACGTTGTTTCTTCGGTGGCGGCCATGTTGATCTAGCCGGAGCCTTCACTGTAAGAGGAAAAATCATCTTTGTTTCTTATCTGAAAGGGATCATATACGTCAGGTACGTTTTATTATAATTAATAGTCAGAATTTTTTGCAGAGTTAGTAGGATAACTGCTCTTTTCTTTTCATAAGTTATTTTTTTTTTTAGTTAAAATGACTTCCAATTTATTCTGTGAAGAATATTTATGCTAAACTTTTTATTCTGAAAACAGTATTGGTTTCTTTTTTATTAAATTACTAATCGAAATTTTCTGTTCGATAGACTCGATCGAATGTCGTCGATGTAAATCTTAACAAGTTTTGAGAGATCGCTACAGTAGCGTTCAACTCGTCCTCTACACTGCTTTTTTAAATTGCACAATTCAGCAGACATTGGGCGAATTGCAAGCAAACACAAAGTGACAGTGTCACAACAGAAATCTAATAAACACCCATCTTCTGTTGTCGCACTGTCCAATTCGAACATGAATAATAACAATGATAAAGTCGAGCCAATGGATACAGGTTTTTTTCAAAAATTTAAATACCTATTAATTTATAAAAACTGATGTGTTTTCTTTTTGAATAGATCCTCTTGTAACAAAAGGTTGTGGAGATATTACCATGGCAAAAACGGATGAAGATAAACCTGACTCACTCTCCGACAAGGTATCTTCAAGTGCTGTAGTTCCTATTTTGGAAGATGAAAAAATGGAAGATGATGAAGTTCGTGCAGAAGCAACATTCCGGTTCAAGCTAATCGGAGTAAGTAAAATGAAGGAACGTGATAGCCATTTGAGTGAACCTTGTATGGTACGAGGTCTTCCCTGGAAAATTTTGGCTATGCAAAGAGTTTCTGCACATGCTGTAGAAAAACATAAATCATTAGGGTTTTTCCTACAATGTAATGCTGATTCTGAATCAACAATGTGGTCTTGTCATGCTAGTGCAGAACTTCGATTATTAGCACAAAGAGATAGTATTGAGCCTGTTAAACGTCAAATACATCATTTGTTTTATAGTAAAGAAAATGATTGGGGATTCAGCCATTTTATAGCGTGGGATGAATTAATAGATCCTCATAAAGGTTTCATAAAAGATGATGCCATTGTTTTGGAAGTATGGGTCAGGGCAGACGCTCCTCATGGTGTTTGTTGGGACAGCAAAAAACACACAGGTTTCGTTGGTTTGAAGAATCAAGGTGCAACATGTTACATGAATTCCTTACTTCAAACTCTATTTTTTACAAATCAATTGCGGAAGGCTGTTTATATGATGCCAACAGACTCTGACGATCCTTCAAAAAGTGTTCCACTAGCCCTACAACGTGTTTTCTATGAACTGCAAACATCAGATAAAGCGGTAGGTACTAAAAAATTGACCAAATCCTTTGGATGGGAAACCTTAGACTCTTTCATGCAACACGATGTTCAAGAGCTATCCAGAGTTCTATTGGATAATATGGAAAGCAAAATGAAAGGAACCTGTGTAGAGGGTACAATACCTCGCCTTTTCGAGGGTAAAATGTTGTCATATATCAAATGCAAACACATAGATTACGTGTCAGAGAGACAAGAAGCGTTTTATGATATTCAGTTGAGAGTTAAAGGACAGAAAGACTTGCATCTGTCTTTTAAAAATTATATAGCGGTTGAGACTCTTGATGGCGATAATAAGTATGATGCAGGGGAACACGGCATGCAAGAGGCTGAAAAAGGTGTATCTTTTATTTCTCTACCACCTGTACTACACCTTCAGTTATTACGATTTCATTATGATCCTGCCGCTGAATGTATGGTGAAAGATAACGATCGATTCGAATTTTTTGAACAGATAAATCTGGATAGTTATCTAAAGCGATCTGATGACGATGATCCCGCTACTTATGTTTTACATGCGGTACTAGTTCACTCCGGAGATATTCATGGTGGCCATTATGTGGTTTATATAAATTCGTCTGGAGACGGACAAAGATGGTGCAAGTTTGATGATGACGTAGTATCTACTTGCACAAAGCAGGAAGCAATCGACCACAATTTTGGTGGGTCACCTGGTGAAGACGATGATTCTTCTCCCCCCGTTCGTAATTGCACGAATGCTTATATGCTAGTCTATATGCGTCGCTCAAAAATACTTTCCTTACTGAAAAATGTTCGAGAAGAGGATATACCCGACGTTCTTGTTGAACGACTGACCGAGGAAAAGAGAGTTGACACTCAAAAGCGACGTGAAAGAAATGAGGCTCATTTATATTTAACAGTACGTGTTCTAACAGATCATCATTTAGGTTTACATCATGGAGCAGATCTTATTGATACCAGCACTGTCAAGCCAATCGTTATGAGAGTAAAAAAGAACGATACTTTTGCTGAAATGCTAACGCAGCTGTCTCAAACTCTAAAATATCGAAAGGATGAAATGCGAATTTGGCCTCTTGCAACGCGAACTAATGGATCCTTACGTCCTATGCTGCTAGATTGGGATGACACTAAAAACAAGACCATCCTAAACGTATACCACGAGCAGGCATATCAATCTGGACCTAGTTCCAGTCCATTTCTTATTTGGGTTGAATTACCCCCGCCACACCTTCGTTGCTTGCCCGCTTATAACAAAGAACGGGATGTTTTATTTATGCTCAAGTACTATGATCGAACCACTCGCACATTATCTTACGTGGGCCATGCGCATTTAAATATCGCCAAGTCGTTAGAAAACATTTTGCCTGTGATGAGAACTGCAGCTGGTTTGCCTGCAAATTGCGATTTGTTAGTGTACGAGGAAGTCAGTATGCCAAGATTAGAACAGATTCATGATGTCAGGTTGCCTGTTGATAAAGTTTTTGATGAACTTATCGACGGCGATATCTTGGTTTTTGAAAAGGCTGTTAGCAAACCTGTTCGAACTCAACAGTCTAGAAGATCTGTTAATGCCAATGGTGTTTACATAATCAGTGGTTTGGATCTTCCAAATGCACCAGCATATTTTCGATATTTAGCTGAAAAGATTGATGTTCACTTTCGATATAGACATAGGCCAAATGAGGATGGATTTATTCTCGAATTGACTGTTAGCATGAAATATCATGATATAGTAAAAGCAGTAGCCGAACACCTGAATGTTGAAGATTCATTAACTGTTCAATTAATCAGAGCTCACAATTGTACACTTTCCCCAGCAAATCCAGTTAAAGGAAATTTTGACGGAATTTTAAAAGATTTAATTAGTCCGCAGAAAACACACCACCTCTTTTATGACATTTTAGCTATACAAGTAACAGAATTGGAAGTTCGCCGCCAATTACAAATTTTATGGACGCCAATACCGACGTCTTCTGGTGTCACACTAACGATTTATCCTCTTAGATCAGGTACAGTTAAAGATATTTTAGATGAAGTGCGACGAGCAGTACCCGAAAGTGATAGACAAATTGCTCAACAACAACTTCGTTTGCTCGAGATATTTGCTTATCGGATCACTACAGTACATGAACTAACTGCAGCAGTTGAATCTGTCGGAACGACTGGAGCTTCGACAAATAAAATACTTCGAGTAGAACCGATACCTAAAGATGAAATGGAGTTAACTGCTAGCGAAGCTTTCGTTTACTGTGCGCACTTCCATAAAGATACATTTTCAACTCATTCCTCACCTTTTGTCGTTAAGCTTACTGATGGTGAACTTTGGTCGAAAATTCGTTCTAAGGTTTTAGAGAAAGCAGATGTTATTTCTGACTCTGATAATGTTCGTTTGGCACTCATTCAGTCAAACAAACCTGTATACATTCAAACAGAATCTACTAATAAGATTGACATTGATAATTTTCGAGCCGTATCTGGAAACTCAAAACCATGGATTGGTATTGATCATCCTAATAGGTCAAGTAGTGCGAAAAGAACCAAGTATAGTTCATACATGGAGAAGGCGATCAAGATACATAATTAATGTTTATCAAAATCTTATGAATTCGTATTTATTTCATCGCGATTGTAAAATTGTGTCGAGATGTGAATATAATAAATTGCAAAATTATAAAATCTAATAATTTTCAGCTGTAGTAGGTTAGATACTGTAAAATTTTTATTTGATAAAAAAGCTTACGTAATTGAAGTCAACGAAGGTATATATTTATGCTAATTATGTTTAAATGTGCAGAAAGTAAATAAAAAATCGAACAGGATTTATCCTGTACCAGCAGCCATTTGACATTTAGAGTAAAAGACACGGTTTTTTCGGTTTTACCTTCGGAATTGGACAAAGCACAGCTCTTATCGCCTCATCAAACACATTTTTCAATCCTAAAAGGTAAAATATTGTCATCATTGTTGTATGTAATGAGATAAACTTAACTTACCTTTTTGGGTTAATGCAGAACATTCTAAGTACTTAACTGCCCTTATTTCTTTAGCCATGGCCAGGCCCTAAAAATATTAATTTGTAATAACATATCTTATGATATTTTAGTATAGCAGACGTACATTTTCATGTTTATAATTTCTGAGTCATTTTTGATTAATTACAGCTCTAATTATCTTATAATTAGTATGTTTATGGCGGAAAGTTACTTTTGTCAGGTAATTGTACAATTATCAGTTTTTAATTGCTGTCATATGAGTTACGAAATATTTAAAAATAACAATTTTCAGTATGTAATTTTGTAATAATCATTTGATGTTTCATGACAATCTGTAGGATTCCATTATTAAGGAGTTAAAAGACTTTGAAAACTACTACTTTTACAAGATCTCATTACCGATGGTTAAATACAATTGAGAGTGACTTACTTGTGGATAGGAGATTGGTGACAATCGTCTTTCTCTTAGTTTGTCGATTGTTTCTCTGTCTTCTCTTAAATCTAATTTAGTACCAACAAGAATAATTGGAGTATGTGGACAGTGATGGGAAACTTCTGGGTACCACTTAGCTCTAACATTTTCGAAGGAAGCTGGACTGATTAAGGAGAAGCATATAAGGAAGACATCAGTCTGAGGATAAGACAAAGGTCGCAATCGGTCGTAATCTTCTTGGCCGGCTGTATCCCACAAACCTAAGTTTATAGGCTTTCCATCAACCATAACGTTTGCGGAATAGTTATCGAATCTGACGAGATGTAATTAATGTGATTAGTCATAGAAAATGATTTTAGGGCGTTGTCAAGTTTCCTCTACTTACACCGTCGGAATGTATTCTCCAGGAAAAGCATTCGTTGTGTAACTGATCAATAAGCATGTCTTTCCAACGGCACTAGAAAGAAAACAAATATCAGTAACTGAAAGGAGGGTAAAATTGTGTCACAATCTATTTTCTTTGATCAAGAGGCTATATATCAAATCTATTTTAGAGGAAAAATAGACTTTCCACCGCAAATACCTTAGATTTTATAATAACCTGTATGTATTAGAATGATTCAATAAGAAAAAACTTTGTACACCTAGTCAAAACCCGGTAGAAGAACTAATTTGACGATACAGTAATAATGAAAAAATTATTTGTAGAACTTACCCATCTCCGACAACGACACACTTTATAGCTTGCATGATTCAATGTTAAATGCTCGCGATACACTAAGATAACACTTTTGAATTAAAAAAATTTAGTTCAATGCCGATACATAAAATGGCGGAGTTATTGGCACAGAAATGCCGCCTATTGGCAGATATTTTTATTAGCAGACAGCTTTTGTAATGGGTGATGAGAATGAAGTCGAATATTTTATATTTCCTCAGATTCCAGCTGAGGTACGTGAGGATGAATATGAAAAATACTTTAAAGAAATAAAAGACCGAATTTTGGCTCAAGTTTTTCCTATAGTTTCCACATATATTTGGCAAAATGACTCTTTTCTAGTAGACGTCCCTAAAGGTTTGCGGAAATCCATCTTGAACTACCTTCAAATGTAATTTATTTTAGATAACGATAAAGATTATTTTGCGGGAAACACAAAATTCGGCGATAACATAGAAGATGAATGGCTTATTGTTTACCTACTATTTGAGCTTTCTCGTCAAAACGAAGGTTTAGTAGCCAAGTAAGCTTTTTCGAGGATTTAAGATTTTTGAATTTAATGGTACATTTATGCAGAGTATGGGACAATGATGGGGAGTTTCTACTAATCGAAGCATCGAATAATCTTCCAGAGTGGCTTCAATCAGATGATAAAGCCAAGAACAGAGTGAGAAAGAAACTTTTGTGATTGGCTTTAGAATACTAAATTACTTCTTTCAGGTTTATATTTTTAAAGGAAATTTACATATAATTTCAAAATCTGAATATCCTGTTGTCAATTCACCTTCGGAAGGTGTTTTTATTGTTCGACAAAATCCTTTGAAAACACGAGCTTCCGAGGAGATACAAAAAGATATCTTGCATCGGATACAGGCTTTTCCTAAAAAAATTTCGACTTTATTGCACACTTGTCATTGTTATGTTCCTGCATTTCTAGGAAAGTTACTGGATTATAAACCTCAGTTAATATCTTCAATTGTCGATTCTTTTTGGAATAGAGATGCAATTGATATGAAAGTATGTTTTATAAAATTACGCGCAACGGCTCAGACTAACCTAGTTGTTCCATTTTGTAGAAATGTGCAACACTCAAGTACTTTCGACCGGGCACACGTGTGAAAAGGGCTATCAAAATGAATAAATGCATGTATGCTCAGTTATTGCATCAAAATTTCAGACCTGATAAGCGATCAGGATGGGATCTACCAGATCCATCATCTAAAACTTATAAAAGCTGCGACCTGGGTGTGAAACTGGTATAATATTCACTAAAAATATACCAAATACTAATACTTGTAATTAAATATATGAAATTTTTATAGGCCTACGGAGCAGAGATACTTTGTTCTAAAGCTAAAACAAGTAACACCACCAAAGTTATGACTGTCACTGAAGGCGACAAGAGATGGGAAAAATTTAAAGATTCTCTAAGAAAGTTTGGCTATTTTAAAGTATGAGTTAATAATTCATTTCATGTAATTTTTATGAAGCTTTGATTTGTAGGATGAAGATACAAGTACTGAGACAAAGTTGAATTTAGAAAGGCAGGCCCAAAATTTTTATCTGGATATGGTCAGGCAAGAGGATAATCAGAATAGAAATAAGTAAGATTTTATGTAAAGAGAGATAAGTTTCTCAATTTAAGATTTTAGCATGGCTACTATTGGAGAGGAGATCATTGGTTTATATGATTGCTTAAACTTCGACATCGAGTCTATGAGAAAAGAGGAGACAAACATCTTACCCGAGGATGGTGGGTGTCATTTTACTTCAAATTAAATAAATAAATAAAAACAGCATGAGGAGTTTTATAATATAGTGTATTGTTCTCAGACGACACTTGGCTTAATTTAACTCCAAATAAACTCGATGAAATGCTAGCTGAAACATCAGGGACAAAGAAAGCGGAAGATTTCAAAATAAACAATTTACCATTCGCACTCAAACAGTTTCTGGACAAAAAGGGTGACATTGACGGTGCTGAAATCCCAGAGTAAGTTGTACTTTTAGGGTTTTTTGTTAATTAAATACTTTGTTTCAGTGGAGACATCGATTTTCAACCTACAGAGTTTATGAAATCTCTAAAAGATATGGATGCTATAGGTAATAAATGAAATGAGAATTCAGATATAATTTAATGTTTAACAACAGGAAAGCAAGATGATAACTTTCTAAGTGATTCATCCAATTCAATGGATGAGTACGGAGAGTTTTCAAGCGAAGATGAAATGGAAACACAGGCTGCAAAGTCCAAGAAAAAAAGTCAAACAAAAACCGATAAACGTTTAGAAGAAATAATGGCAATGATGGATGAAGAGCTAGCTCCAACGAATGTTGGAAAAAGTTTTGTCAAAGTAGGCGAAGAAGATGAAATCACTGGTGGGCAAAAAGAAGGTAAAGAAAGCAAACGTTCAGATAATTTGCCAGAAGTCGATATTGATCTAAATGTTGTTAAAAACCTACTGGAGTCCTATGTCAGCCAAGATGGAGGAGCAGGTCCTACTTCCAATATTTTGGGCTCCATGAACATTAGATTGCCAGATCCTCAGAAAGAATAATTCTTCAAAGCAAGAATTAGCATAGTTTGTAGATTAGATCCTATCTATTTTTCCACTCGCTTAAACTTTTAATCATGTTTGGTATAAAATTCATTTTTACTAATAATGATTAAAGTATCCGGTAGAATTTTTAGGTCTTGCCATTATTGGCTTAAAAGACAGATTTCGTTTTGAACCTTTAATTTTTATAAGCGTGCCATTTTATACGAAATGCAACCAAGATTCTATAAGTAATTTTACTTTTCTGTATTTTGATGAAGCTTTATACCTTGAAACCTATTCTGTACGTTTGGTGCTTTATTATGCTAAATACACTTTGAAACCCTGTTTATGCAAACAAAATTTGACTGGACGCAATATTTCATAATTTAATGAAAATATTTGTTGTTTTTTTGGATGTTTTTATTCACTAAATAGTGTAAGCTGCAAAAGTGGTATTACTTTCAGTCCAGTGAGATCGTTCATAACTGCTTCAGCTGCTTGAAATGATTGAATCTGGAGTAAATTTGTTTTTCTAAAAGAAAAAATAGCAACAGCCAATACTGCTAAAATTTCTAATGAATCATAAGCTAAAATTCTGTCCCAAAGCAGTAAAACTTGTTCTGAACATAAATACCCAGAAAAGGCTCTTATAATCCATTTGAAAGATATTTTTAATGGTTGAACACCAATGGAGCATAAATGGTAGAATAATTGTGGTTCAATTTGTTGGAGAAGACGCTCGAATAATAGGCTCAATGAAAGTATTCCTTGCTGGTGAGAAGATACACAATGGAGATGATGAAAAAATCTTGCATAAAATGCTCGAAACACGTAGTAAAGCATTATCGGATCGTCATAGCAATAGCATAGCGGTGCCACTGGAAAAATGTGATTTCAATACTTACGATACACATTGCTATATTATTTTCTTACCATACATAGAGAATCCATGGAAAGGAATTACTCCATTTGGAGGATAAAATACAGCATATTCTTCATTACCTAATTTTCCTCTAATATAACTTTTTGCCGGCGTTGCTGTACTTTTTTTTATCGTTTCCAAGATAACTAAATCTCGAAAAAATGGTAGAAGTACCTTGAAGAACAAAATTAAATATACCTTAGATAAAGTCTTAAACTTTGAAATAAATAGAATAAGACAAACTTGATAAAGATAATCCTCGAACACAAAATACTGGTCGTCATTAGTTGCTGTTAATTTAATGTCCTAAAAAACATTCAATAATACTTTAAAAAGTGGGAATATAAAGTACTTTACTTACTTTATAGATTAAATTATCTACTAATAAGTCATGTACTAATACGCTATTTTTCAATTGATCGTAATACAACTTCTCTTCATCTCCAATTTCGATTCCTAAAATGCTATTCCAAATTTGATTTCTGCATCCTGTTGGAGATCCTTTCTTGAGAAATTCCTGTACTGCTCCAGCCATGCAACTTTTTATCACCTTTTTTGCAAGTTTATTTCTTTCTCCTTGGAATATATCTGTTGGTGTCCTGGTTAAATCGTCCACTCCACTCTGAGCTTGGTTTATGGACATGTGACTATATTGTAGCCGCTGAAACGTAAAAATAATTTGTTTAAAAATTGTACATTATTTAAAAAAGTCAAATAGTATCAACAGACCAGTTCGTGTAATGATTTTACTTTTAAGGTAGCTTGAATTAAACCCCAATTGTTATATAAGGGAAAATCATTGCAGTTGGGATTCTTTACTCCTGATACAACTTCTAAGAAATCCTTAGGCGCATAAACAGGACGGATTTGCGATAGATCTGAAAAACAGTGACTTGAAACAAAATAAAAGAAGAAGGGTACTAACTAGGCTCATCACTGCCTAACTCGGACCATTTTCTATTCATATCTTTAAAATCTTTATCAGGACGCTACGGAAGGTTAGAATTAATTAGTAGAAATAAATTATAAATATAAACAAATTTATAAATACCTTTCTGGCTAATGGTAAACTAAGCTCTGTGCACATGCTATTTAGGCTCTTCCATATCCTTTTTTCCCAAGCCAACTATATATTAATAAAGGCTTGACTTCTTTCAATTAAATACAATTATTAACTCACTTGACTCTTTCGAATGTATGTAATAGGCTCTTTTTTGTGTTCCTCAGGAGTTAAATGATGATGCAATTGTTTAATATGAGGTAGTCTTCTTAAAACAAAATTTGCTAATTTTTGTTCATGACCTGATTGTTTTAAGCCAGATATTACATAATCTTTTAAATCAGCCAATCCTGATTCGAGTCTAGATGCTTCATTTTCAGCGGCTTTGAGAAATTCAAAATTTAATTTATCCGTAAGAACCTCTTCTGATAGTGAATTTACAATGTGCTTCATATTTTCATCCGAGAGAGACATGGTCGAAGGTATTTATTCAATAAGAACATTAATTCGCCTATAATTTTAAAATATTGTTTCTAGATATGGAAAATCTGGTAATATTGGGAAATTCTTTCTCCTAGTCATTAACAGTGTTATTCAGCCGCCATATGAAAATTTCATAGCAACCGTTTGAACGCCATCTGTCGAATAAAAGAAAATGACATTGTTTACTGACAAATCATATTTTGGGGAAGATATTAGTTAGTGCACTAAGGCAAACAGGGTTATACTTGATGTATTTCTTGCATTAATTATAACCTTATAAATGCTATCTATCCTATTTTGCGTTAGCAATGGTTAAAACCAAATGTTAATTGTATCTTAAAAAATCCTGTTACAATATAGTAAAGCACAAATATAATATATAAAAAAACCAGTAACTTTAAGGCAATAACCCAAATTACAATATAAGAGATAACGCCATCTGTTGATCTTTAAATAAAGAACTTAAAAAAGTCAGTTCGAAATTTCACAACTATTGAATTTTGGTGAAATTTTTCTAGAGAAAAAGCTAAATAAAGCTTGGATTGAAAACAGTTGATTGAAAGCAATATTCTTCCATTCTATCTTGTAAGACGATGTCGCCAGATCTATGCATAATTCGAAGATACTCGAAAAGCCTTCAATACAGCACCCTTGTTCCCTTATAAGTATTCGAAAAACTTCGTTAGTGGTGTTTTCTAAAAGACTTTTGATCAAGCTGTCAATTTAATGAATTAAGTTTAAGGTTTATAGTAAAGACAACTAACGGAAACTAAAAATAAAATCTTGCAGGTTTTGTACTCGAAATCGAACAATCTCTAAATGTTCTATAATCTTTCATAAACAGGCATATCGGGACAAAAACAAACCATTTTTTTCGCTCAGTATCATTTGGAGAAGCTTAGAAGTGATTGATAGGCCTATTTTGCTCAATTAGGCCGTAATCAGATTAGAAGAAACCGCGTGCTGAGCGATAAATACTATATAATGACGTTTACGGAAAGATTGTAGAAGAAAACGACTGAAACAATATTAGGAGATGAGTAAAAATGTCTAAAATAGAAGGAATGTTGCATCATTTATCTTTTTCATTCTGCTCAATTGACAGCCTCCTAGTCACGTCTATACAGCGTCACTTGAGCGTCACACTTTGACATACCTAAGTCGACTATTTGTCACCGGTTATTACGTGATTGAAGATACGAAAATATGAATTGAACATGTGTTTTCTTCCAAGTTTAGGGACAAAAAAGAAATGAAATAGAAATGGCGTCGAGGATTTTCGAGTGTTAGATTGGGATAACTGAAGCAGGTTATATAACCTTGAGGAAGGCGCTCAAGGTCAGTGTTCGTGACAAATTGAAAGGTTGATTGGAGAGAGGTAGCAGTGTATAGGGCATAATTAGAGCCAAAAGCTTTGACAAACAGCCAAAGCGTTTGTGCAACTGATCAAATTGGACAGTCAGGCGAGAACTGAGCTCATCAGACAAACTCTTTTGTCTAAAAACTTCGCTGACAAACGTATTTTAGTTGCAAGTAGATTATTTATTCATAAATAATCGTAAAGCCTTATGACATATCGAGAGACAACTAGCCCTTGGCAAACTGAGAGTGATTTCGGTCTGACCTTTATATAGATGGGAATATACAAACGTAGTTTGTATTCTAACTCAAATACCCAGTTCTTACTCAGAACAAAATTATTTGTCTTTGACAAACAAAATGGTGCAATCTTCTCAAGAAAGTCTGACTAAAAGAAAGTTGCGCACATTTAAGCTACTTTATCTAGTTCGGTAAAATAAGAAAAGACAATTATATATTTTACCAGTTTGTCACGACTTGTTTGCCCTTTCTTTTTGAGAGTATATATATATAGTTAACTGTTCTTGTTTGCTAGCCGCTATAATCCCAGCTGGTTTCGTCAATTGGCTGGGAGAGTTTGCCTTATAGCCTCCGTCAGTCAAGTCGTTTTGAGAGGGCCTAGAGAGATTAATAAGAATCGCTTGTGATCATACGCTAATCCGTAGTTTATTGAACGGAATATTTGCCACATTTTTCGGATGCTTTTTTTGCAATTAAGTATAAGGATTTTCTCCCTTCGAGTTGACGGTGCTAAAGGGGAGCTATTTAAGCGCCTATTAGTTTTATCTTCACTCACAGCTTCAGGGCTTTCTATTACAAACCCAGTTTGGCCAATATAAATTGACAAGATAAAGGCGTTTGTCTTTCTTCTTTGCGAAATGTCAAAGCTCAACAAATAACGCCTCGCCCTTAATTACACCCACGGTTAAAGAATTGCAAATTTGAAGTAAACATATAGACAGGAAGACAGGATAATTGCCGAGGTAAAGAGTTGGTTGATCTTAACAATGGCAAATTCTCCAGGCTTATAAGATAATTCTACCTTTTGTTTAACTAAATGATATATCATTTACAAAGTGATTAAGATGTACCACAAAATAATGAATTTCATATAGATTCTATCTTTTATTAGTATGTTGAAAAAAGTGAAAAGAACCTTTAGTTACCTTAAACTATTGCCTAATTAAGAAATGACTTTTGATCTTATTTCATCAGCTAAAGGCTAGTTTTCTCTTTCGCTTTCATAAATGCAAGTTTTCTTTAAAACCAACCTTTTTCAAGTACAATTAACCAACCTATTATGACAATTAAGATTAATAAAAATATTGCAGGGTGTTTTTTATTAAACCCTACTGTTTTTTCTTTTTTTTATATATAAATATAAAGAAAATAGTCTTTTTTTAAACATTTGACAGACTCGTTAAGACTAAATAATTGTTTAAGCACTCTGTAAGTACTTGTTTTAATGGAGGCTTAATTATTCGTATAAGCTGCAATAAAGCTACAATAAGCTTCTCAAAAGTTCAAGAAGAATTATTTAATGTATTAGTTTGTATTTGTTTTTTTTATTTATAAGTCTTTTTTATTGTCATCATTATTTGGAAATATTAATATTTTTTGTCAATATATCAATAGTATCAAAACTTTAAAAAACAATTCTTTATTAACAGGAAAGCAGGTATACTGAATTATAGCGAAATGAATAAGGAAACGCTCGATTTAATCGATCAATTATATATTAATATTATGTCCAATGCACCATAACAATTTAAGTAACAGGAAAATAAACCAACCATAACGATGGATGACCCTTTTGTAAAAAGGTCAAGGTCGAAGTCCACAGAAATTGATGCAAAAGTAGAGAATTCGGCTATTCGATCGGCATACTCACTCATTTCCTTCAAATTGATCAGAGTCATTAGTCTAAGGCAGCTTTGACAGATTAGTTTCAATACATTTCGCAACTTCAAAGCGATAACTAAAAATATACACATACTTACACTTCTATCGCCCCTTTTCTCTACTGTAGCGTAAAATTTACTGCAGCGACAGATTGTTTCAGGAGACTGATCACTGACTAAGCAATTACTGAAATTTATTGATACTTTACCCCGATCGAAAAAATTAACTTATTCATCTTTAAGAGTTCAAGTTCATCAATTGTCTTAAATTCTGCAAAGTATTTCACCGGGAAAGTAACGAATCCAATCTTTACGATCATTTTTCCGTAGCGGAATCTTTAGAAGTGATGGATTGTTTTATGAGGCTGTACTGTTGGTAACAATAAATTATATATTTATGTTACAAGCTTTCTTATTTACAATGATTTAAAGGTTCTTGTATTTTTCGTAAAGATTGCACTCTTACGAAATAATATCCTTATTAGTAATAGGAGTAGAAATTTCAATTAATCTTTTACTCATATTACCTTAATTATAAACCCAACTCTTATGAAATCATAAGGGGCGAATAGGTTTTATAAACTGTAAGAAACTCCTGAAAAGAACATCTTCACCTAAATATTTATCTTTAATTCTTTCTCAATCGTTCATTTACGCTGTGTAAATAAGATTATTGTAAAAAAACAGTTATGACAAGTTAATAGATGTTGACGTCGATTTATACAACTATTACTATAGAATATCTAGTATGAATCTCAGCAAAAAATTCCAGCTTTCTACACTTTCTCTCCTCTCTATTCGTAAGTATAGGGAAATTTTCAGGAAGGATTATGAATAAAGTCCTCTCAAATTGCCTTGCTATATTTTACAAACTGTAAATAGTGGAGTATAATTGATTGAAGCCATTATGACAAATATCTGACAATATTTTAAGGACATTAAGAATAAGAAAGTATCAAAGTTTACACATGTAGTCTCTTGAACCTGACAGTATTCGCTCTTTTAGGAATATTTCTTACAAAAATTGTAAATTATTACAGAAAACCATAGCGTGAGATGTGAGGAGGGAAAATTGTGTTTTTTTTGTTCCGTTTTAATCTGGTTTTTTAGTCACGCTATGACGGATGGAATTTTATGCAAATTAAATGGCTGGATGAACTGAAGCTGATTGATGTTGTCTGTTGCTTGAAAGAGGGGGTTAATTACATATTGAAGTCGGTTAATAAAACGGTAAAAGTGGATTTTTTCAGGAAACTAATTATTATAACAGATTTCTCTTGGGATTAGTGCATCTAACAATAATCCAATATTTTAATTAATTTCATGTAATGTAATTTTTGAAAAGATATTAATTAAAAATTAGTACTTGAAAACATAATGAAAAAATCATAATTTTTCAATGCTATTAAGGCTACTGTGTATATAATAATAATAATATTTATATATTGAATATATTTGAAAACTATCAATTTCGAGAATACTACTGTTTACAGTTTATACGGCGAGACTAATAAGTAGCGGATCGACCGCAAAGCCGTTCATGTTTTCTCTCAGTTGATGTAGCGTGACTTTGCCACCAATTTTGCTTTTTTTGTTTTTTTTTACAATCAGAGAGTTCGCTTACAAGCTTGATAATTTCCTATTCTACTAAAATTATAGATAAATGTTGGCAAAGTAGTACAAGTTTATCGAAAATCAGCTATTTATTGATTGAATCTTCAGAGCAAAGATTTTCAGATTAATAGTATTAGGCGTTTAAGAGTTTAAGGTGTTATCCCTTACAAATTACAGTATTATAAAACAACCTCTTATAATTTATAGTTTCTATTGATATAATGACTAAATAAATGATATTAATGTCTATATGCGTAAGAAAGCGTTAACTATAGTTCAAAGACTTCTTTACAATCTTCAAGCAGCTCAATTACTCTTCAATGAGCATAAAGAATGAAAGTTCGTTTTTATAAAGGATTAATTAGACAATATGTGACAGAATGGCTTTTATTCAGAATTCTCTGCCTGTCTTACATACGAGAAACGAAATAATTAGGCCAGTAGATGGCGAGGAAACGAAAGGATTTTTGTTTGATTTATATATATATATATACCGTATTTATATATATATAAACCTTCCATCTAACTTTCTTTGCAGAAGTTTATTCCATAAGTTAGTTTATAATACAAAGCAAATATATAAAAAAGCGCCGAAAGGAAGAAGATGCAGATTAAGTGCGCGGACGGTAGAGTGTAATCACTTGTCACGACTAGGGTTAGAGTCGGATTAGGGATAGGAAGTTTTCTAAATTCCTCAATCCATTCTTCGTAGATTCGTAACTCACTATAAGACATCATAGCGTCAGCTAGACTTTGAATTATGCCATGTTTTTACCTAGGGAGATGTCATTTATCATATATTTCGTATATAAATGTATTGGAAATGTAGAGACCCAATTCCCAAGCGTAGATATTTAGGATGCTACTGAGAAATTGAAAGGCAATTAACGCTATTAAAGACGAAGAATTTAGTCTGGATGTCGAGTTGGTAGCGAAAGCTACGTGTTCGCAGGATAAATTTCAACACAGTTCGCACTATTTCTCGTCAAAGGATCGCTTTCCGACAAATAATCAACCCTATAATCAATTGGTCGAAAATCCTTATTGATTATAACTCGACTCGACTTCTTAACCGTCGGTAGAATTCTCGTTCGGCTTGGCTAATCGTTAATACCACCTTTACAGTACTTCAAAAGCTTTACTATCAATAATTTCGCACATCACTAACATCTACTGCAATATCGGATTTTCCCATTTATTAAGACTCCTCTATATTTTCTCGTCAAAATACTTCAAACAATGATTTAAGTGTAAAATTAACAATAATTAATAAAATAATTCGGCTATTAATTTAATAAAAATGCTATTGTCACATGCAATTTCTCTACTCTTTGAAAAACCAGAGTTTTATTATGAATAATTTACCTACAAGCGCTGTACTTTCACGCAATTTTTTTCTTTTATAGTGTAACTGAATGTTTCCAAGGGAAAGATTGTTATTTTCCTGAATGTTTTATCATCTTTAAGATGATAAAATCGACTATAAGGAAACGTTTCGTCTTGTTAAAAAAGAAGCGCTTGTAGAGTATTCTCTTGGATATCTTTTCAAATTTTAGACGTGTTGTAGTTAAAACATACCGGTCTTTTTCTAGCTTAATGGCCGCATTGGATTTACTCTATTCTTTTTCATTTTCTGCTTCGTTATATTTTTTTTAAAAAAAAAACGCTACAGAGTCTTTTGTTTCTTTATTCATATAGATATATACAGAATATATATATAATATATAGATATATAGTAAATACGGATAGTATTTCCTTACTTTGGAGTTAGTAAAATTCTTAAATCTTAAGTCTAATTAGAAGAATATTAATCGGTAATTCCTTATTGTTTTAATCTATTTCAAGGTTATTAAATCGTATCCAATGGGTTGTTAATTAATCACATACCCAGCTATTTGTAGGTATCTCCCGCTGTGCAAACGAATTAATTGCACGAAAATTCCACCATCTGACAATTTTGAATTATTTACGCCCTCTTTACGCCCTTCGAATGCAAAGGAAGCCGATGCAACAAGTCCCTGCCCTTCCCTCGCTGCGATCCCGACAATATACTCGTTAATACGGGAAAATCGTCTATTATCCTCTCCTAGATTCCTTCTAAAAAGATTATCTTACGATAAAATTACCGTTTCATTCAAAATCTGAAATGAAAAGATCTTTGGAAAAGAATATTCAAAAGATATGAATGTAGTAGTGGACATGGATTAAAAAGTTTAGAGAGACAAACTATTCATTGAATTATAAAACGAGTATTTAATTTCTCTTTCAAACTGTTGCTCTTATATGTTGAAAGCCATAAATATATATATATATATATATATATATATATAAAAGGGTAATCCTAATAAATACCGTTAAATGTTCCATAATTCCATTCAGCTGACGAATTTTATTATTGAAAGAAGTTAATTAATTTTTAAGGGGTCCTTATCGAACAGCTTTATCGACGAAACGCTAACATTAAGCGGGTGTCATTTTAGACGGTTGCTTATTGATAAATATTTTTTGAAATGCAACACTCGGCTCGTCAATCGATTCGGTCAATGCATCGACATGTAATAAGGTATTGAACCGTGTAAAAGTAAGATGACCTATAGATCGATGTAAGGTCAATGGTTTCCTTTTAATTGGGCTATGACGCTATAAATATTTGGTATAACATCTAGACGACTAGTTTAATATTTTCTCAAATAAGAAGAATGAATGAAAAGAAGGGGAAAACAATAGTAAAGTCTTGTTAAAACTTTATTCAAATACTTCTGTTTAGCACAAGTTTCTATATATAAATATATATATTAGTATATATACAGTATATATATATATATGTATTTATTTATATATTAATTATAATAGTATTAATAAACAAATATAGAATAATTTTGAGTATAGAAAATTATTGTTTTTTTTCTATTTTGTATTCATTCCAGAGTTTAAATAGTCAAAAAAAGAAAAGAAAAGAAAAGAAGATAAGATAAATTTTTTGGAATGAAGCAAACGGAGGATAAAAAAAAAGCCAGCGATTTTACAGTGCGATTAATTATTAAAGTAGAATTCGTATTAAAAATACATAACAAAGACTTTTTACAGTAAAATTTTCTTGTAAAGAATTCTCAAGCAAAAAAGCATAGTAAATGTAAATTATTTGTTTTTTTTTAAAAAGAAAATTGAATATTCATGAGCAATAAACATATACTCACAGTATATTATGTATATATCTTTATTTAATTTTATGAACACAGTTGTGCATTAATTGGTTAAACATCAGATTCGTTGACATTGCAAACTCTAAAGACAGGTAAGGTGTTATAGTTTTCATAAAATCTGCAATCTTTTATTTGAGTATTGCGGATATCCAGTGTGGCAGCTGAAAGGAAGAATTAGGTTTAATAGGCAAATTAATGTAAATTTATTCGAGTAGTGTCGTACCTTTTATGCTATTGTCGTCCGTTGGCTGTATGGGAGGTACACGTTAGTTAATATCCCTTTTATGAAACTTTTAAATAATATCTTAAAGACATTGGTGAAAATAAGTTAAACTGGTATCTTTAAAATTCTATATACAAGAGAAACAAGTAACAAAATATTAGTGTCATTATCACAGCTGCTTCCATTTAAATATTAGAGTTAATGTATATTACTGTGCTGTTTCATCACCTAGTGACTTTTACAATATCTTATTATAATGTGTTTCATAACATTTAACCACATGTGTGAGAAATGGACTACTCGACAGAGGCCTAAATGTCTTATCAATAATTTGAAGTCTTCTTTGTTTAGACACTTAAAGTGTACTGAGGCTTGCAAATATGATAAAGTTATTTGATGAAGGAAGTTTTGGGTTAAGTGTTGTTTAAGACTCTGCCTCACCACTTTGTGGATTAGGCACCAACAATATTGAATCTTTCTAGTCAGGACTCCGAACCATGCTAACAGTTTGAATAAATTATAATTAATTTCTATTGGTAGGAGGGAAGAAGATCTCTCTAAGAAAAATATATAATCAGACAAAAATCAACAATCAAAAGTTACCTGATTGTAAGTTATTGCAGTTCCCGTACGCGCTTTCTGCAAAAAAAGAAAAACAGAAAAATAAATAAAACAGAAGATAGTTTCGTACTTTTCTTTTTTTTTTCTTTTCTTTTTTTTTTATATATACACACGCCGAATTTTGTGCCTCTGGCTATTTCGTAAAAGTTATTTTTCGCTAGGTTGCGGTTTTCCACCAAATTCAACCCCAATCTTCACCCTGTGCCTCTCTCTACTTTATTCGTTCTAGTCAAGTGCCTATTATAAAGCTATACATTCCTTGACTCGATTAGTCGAATCATCTACCAAGTCATTAGACGGCCGATAAATGGCGTTAATTTGATTATTAGCGCTTTATGATAGTTCTTTGGGAAACAAATTGCCAGTACTAATTTGCTGTTTTTCTAGTATGAATAAATTAATGTTTGAAAGTTTTATGTGATGGCTGAGAAAGGAAGAGGGTGAAGAGGGGGGTGGGGGTGATTTCTTTTTATGGTATGATCTAAATATAACACTTTCATGAAAACGATTGGCTTATGAATGAAGGCCCTCGGCGACGTTATTGATTTTTAAAAAACTGTGGAAACACAGAAAATATTATAGATTGCTGTTAATTGAACTGCTAGAGGAGGGAAAATTTAATTGGACCGTCCTGTGTGAATTTTATTACCTTCCAACTTAGTGTAAGTGTACTCGATAAACACTTTTACTGCAAATATTTTATCAATTCTGCAAATTCTTCGAATCATTCAATAAACTTTATGAAACGTGCCTAGAAAGAATCTCTAATCTCCTTGAAATTCTTTTAGGCCAAATGAAGGGATATGCTTCAGTCAGGAAATATGTTTTGTTTGCTTTCCTAAGGCGAATTTGACCGCAAAAAAAATTAAGAAAAGTAGCCCCCAATCCCAATATATAGAATTAAATAAATCCAATGAAAAAATTGTCCCGTAAAAACATTCGCTGCCGGGAGGAACAATGTGATTAGTGAAACGCTTGTCTATCTCATTTACGGACATTATCCGAATGAAGATGAATCTTTGACAAACACTCGTTTGTAACGGAACAAGCAGAAGAACCATTTTGGGGCGACACTGTTTCACCTCTTCTTTTTATCTTGGCAAAGAGGCGTCTGGCAAATTGAGTGACATTTTGCAGTGGAGGCAATAAATTGATGTTTGTAAAGCAGATGCAAACTTGATTGAATGTTGTACGGAGCGAATCGAGAGCGGATTGTGAAAAAAAGTCGGCCTAAATTCGTTTTTGTTGTGTCCTATCACACTCTATTTTGTTTTATTTTGCCTCCTCAACAATGGAAAGAGTGTCTGTCAGAGAAGGAGTCATTGAATACTTTAGAGATGCTCTGATCTTTTAATTTAGCTGTTACCGCATTTCTTACTTTGATTAAGGGATCTATTAACTTAAATTATCTGCTTCCATTCACTTGTCTATCATAAATAACGGGGTTTTTATAGTTTCCTCTTACATGCTTTGAGAGGATGCTTTCAGTTTCTTTTCGCTTAACTTAAACAATTATTTTTTTTAGCAATGAAGCTAATAAAGAGAGTATCATTTGTCGGCCTAAAATATATAGGATGCTTATTAACTTGAAATTGTGGTTTTGTCACCGTAAAATGCAATGTTAAGCCGTAAATAAATTTTGTGCAATGACGGAAAAAACCATGACTGGGTTAGTTTGCTTCTAGTACCTTTTAAAACAAGCAGAAATATTATGGTACTGGCACAGATTTATAACGACGTAGGAGTCTTAAAATTGCAGTCTTTGTAGCCTTACTTCAAACATAACTCAAGTCAATAATCGCCCATACAATTTAACGGCTCGATAAATTATGTAATGACTGTAAAAAGCCGCCTATTAAGCATAAATATCCATTGCAGATAGCCGTCTCAGAGCATTTTTTTTTCTAGTTAACAATTTCCTATAATATCTGTTTTCTGTCTTTTTGTCGATCTATAATTGTATAGTCTTGTACTCAACTATACAAATCAATAACAATCGTCACATTTTTCATAATCTAAGCGTTTCTCTCTTTGGCTTCCGTAATTAGGGAATGAATAGACGCCTTCTAAGAATTACACCTAATTCGCTTCCTTATACGAATATGAATAATTAATGATGGAAGGGGAGACGATGCTAGTTTAATAGGATATAAAAACCATCTGCAAGCCGTGACTATTCACATTTTTATGTAACTTCATTTGCATATCATTTGCATGTCAAATATTTATACTATACTGAAGTTTTAATGAAAGTAAAAGGGGTTTAAGGCGGAACTGTATGTTATATAACTTTTTTCTACATCTAAGCATCCAAAAAACGGGCAATAAAGCTTTGTTCTAGAAAATTTATAAAAATAATTCTTTAATAAAGGAGATAAAAGAAAAGTTATTTTTAGGTGCGTAAAAAACTAGACGAGCGCTATCTAAGTAAGATCAGTTGCCGAGATACAAACAGCTCCTCCTACTCTCACTCGATTCCATTGATTCTTGCCCACTATCAATCGTTCAGTCGATAGATTTCCTATAGACAACTATCAACGAATTTGTCACGAAAAACTTGGGTCCCACCTGACAACTATATTGTCTAATTATCGTCATTGTTATTTATTATCATTGTTTAGCTTGTTTATCGTTAAAACGCGCACAAGAGGAGGATAGTGGCAGTATTTCGTCTGACAATGAAAATATTTGTATTTATCGCCCACTTTTTTAGCAAATATTAAGGAGAATTGACATACTTGATATGTTTTTTGTCGTATCGACCCTTGAAGCAACTTTGTTACATCGGTAACGATGATAGAAGAATGTTTAAGAGTTAAACAGACAGAAGCCCTGTTATTTCTAATTCTTTAAATCGATCAAATGTATTGCCTTATTTGAGGCCAGTAATTTTAAATTAAGTGCCATCTTAGCTGTCGACAGTCTTTATATAATTCATTGTTAGACTAAAGAATACCAATACAAGAACAAATAGGCAAACATCTTTTTAAACTCTTATTTAAATAAAGTAAGATATTCTTTTATATACTTACGTCTTTAGGAACGTAATGAACATCTTTAACGGCTAACATTCTCTCTTTAACTGGAGATCCTTCGTCTACTTCATCACTTCTTTTCCTTCCTCTCCTGATTAACGCAAAACAAGCAACAAGAAGAATAGCGCCAAGGATTCCTAGTCCAATAATAACCCAGAGGACATATGTATTCCATATTTCACCGAAAAATTCTCCGGACGACGTCCTATTTACCATAAAGTTTAAAGTTCTCTCTTCTGAAGATAAAGACTTTTCTCCCATGTCTGAAGCTTTGACAATAAACTTGATAACTGCTCCGTTCTCGAACGTTTCTAAGCTTTTGGCTAGTTTTACAACGCCTGTGAATGGATTTAACTGGAAAAATCCTGCTGGTTTATCGGACAAAAGCTCATACTGAATTTTTGAATTTAATCCAGTATCCTTGTCGGAAGCAACTAGGCTAGCTACCACCTTATTAACCCTCGAATCGGGATTAACTGATATTGTATAAGAGGATGAGGCAGGCCATTTAAACTCTGGAGAATGATCGTTCTCGTCTAAGATCCAGATCTCCACAATTGCCTTGCGGACTCCCGGAGCCGTAGGCAAAAAATTGCATGTGTCAGGAAGAGCATAAACAGATAAATGATATACTGAAATTTTTTCCCGATCAAGCTTTCTTGCTGTTCGAATGGTTCCATTTTTATCAATTTTAAAATGATAATCCTTTTCTCCTTTCAACTTAAGGCAGAATTCATTTAGGCTTTTAGAATCTCGGTCGAAAGCGTTGACTTTTCCGACAAAAAGTGAAGATTTTTGGTTTTCTAAAACTGAGAAATTGTAAAAATTTTCTCGAAATTCTGGATAATTATCATTTAAATCTTGTATCTGAATATGTATAGTGCATACGTCGCATTTTCCACCTTGATCACAAGCTTCTACTTTCACATGCAATTCCGGAGTCTCCTCATGGTCCAAGCTAACTTTAGTGTAAATTTTAGCACGATTTCCGTCTTCTTTCAACTCTAAGTATTTCTCGAATCGCTTATTTTTGAAACGAAAACTTAAATTACGATCATTTCCATCTGGATCGTTTGCTTCTATTTCTACCAGCAGTTTTCCTTTACCTTGATTCTCTTGAATAGCTTTAAATACTTCACTGTCTTTGAAGACTGGTGGGGATTCGTTTTGATCGAGCACTTTCAGCAGGACAAAACTACTTCCAATATTTGGATTCTTACCTAAATCCTTGCATAGAATAACGATACCTATTTCTCCTTTATCATCAAATCTTGGATCTTCTCTGTTTAAAGGTGATTTATTAACAAGCTTGTACTCTTTCGGAATTATTTTCTTCAATAAGAAATGACTTTTATTATCTTTTAAGTCGCATTCTACTTCTCCTCCTTTGCCAGAGTCGGGATCTTCAACTGTAACGAAAGCAATAAAATTCTTCTCGGGCCGATTTTCTTCCATTGTTGCAAAGGAATTGTCAACTTGTAAGGTCTATAAAGAAAGAGAAAATAGTGTTTTAATAATTTATCAGATTAACTAATAATCGATGTAATATTTGCTAGAAAATGATTTATTAACAAGATAGAAACTTGAATAATAAGTTAATTCAAGTTATTTTAGTTACAAATTTCTTGGCAGCTTTCATCTCAAAATACATTTATACTATATACGTAATTATTCTCTTCGCCTAATTCTTTAATTCGCCCTCTATACTATATTTATCTTATTCATACCTTCTTCCCTAAATAATTAATTATTAATGTGTCAACCAATCAACTCCGAAGAGGAATTTTACACTTACTTTAACATGAATCTTCGGTGTGCAATCGTTTTCGTCTAGAACTTTAATTTTAACGGAAGCGATACTCGATAGCGGATCTGGTCCCCTATCTCGAGCTCGTACTGAGAATTCATAAGAATGATTTTCCTCGTAATCAATGGATCCCTTTACTTTTATCACTCCCGACTCATCTATTTCAAAAGGCAGATAGTCGGAAGAAACAATGAAATAATCAATTTCTGCGTTCGGTCCCAAATCTTCGTCCCTGGCAATAACCTGAAGGACGCTTGTACCTTTAGGGCTGTTTTCTAAGACTTCCCCTTCGTAATGCTGGTCCTCAAAAACAGCTATGTTATCGTTAGCATCGGTCACTATTATAAGAATTTTCAAGCTGTCACTTTTACCTGAACCATCAATTGCCTTTAGAACCATATTATACTTCTCTTTTCTCTCTCTATCTAATTTTCTCTTTAATAACAATTTTAGGTCATCCGTTCCATCCTCTAGCCTTCTCCATGTAAATTCAAAGTATTTCTTACGGAGATCAGGAATCTCATACTTCTTTATACCGTATTTCGGGCTATCATTATCTTGAGCGGCGGGTAATGATATTGAAAATCCGGGTCCAGTTGCCTCTGACACAAAAAATGTAGTTGAGTTTTCAGTAAATTTTGGCTTATTATCATTCTTATCCTTTATTTCAACAATGACTTTATAGAAGACTGTTCTGTCGAATATATCCATTTCTATATCACACTTTTCCTGTCGAGGGCATATTTCATCTCGGTCTATTCTTGATCTTGTTCTTAGGTCACCGTTCTCATGTATCCGGAATAATAGTCCTGCATTACTTTTTGGTTTTGGAATTATGCGAAGCGCGAAATTTCTTGTGGAATTTTTCAAAATATTCCCCACGACCGAGTTTCGGGGTAGTTCCTCTTTGATGCTGAAGAGAAGCTGAATAGGCCCAGCAAGGGAAAAGGGAAGAAAGGGAAAGAAGAAGAGGAAGATCGATTTCATCCGTGACGTAACTGTCAATCCTCTTTCAGATTGCGATGAAGCTAATTTTCTATCTTTTTCTTCTCATTCTATTCAGTATGACGTCCCATGCGAATTTTTCCTTTTGTGTTAGTTTCTAAAAAAGGAAGATGCTTCTTTTTAATCTCACCTAGGTAAATAAAAAATTAGAGTTTCCACTCCGGATTTGATCAATAAAGCTTTCTAATTAACACTTAGTTAACGATCCGCTCCGTTTGAACTACAGCGATCATCTGATTGACGAAAGAATACTTCGCGACGAAAGCGCCAACTGTTGGATGAAGTTTGTCGCGTTGCCCGTAAAGAATTTCTCAACAGTTTAAATTATAAAGCTAAAAAGCTATAAACAGTTTATTAATTAAAAATATGGAAAGCTGTTATATAACATGTTCAGTTGAGACAAGGGAATTTAATTGTAACACGATAATTGGTACATTACGTAAATAAAACAGGTACAGCAATATTATAAAAGAGGAGATGAGCAGTCATAAAAACTCAATAATGTAAAATATTCAAATGATCAGTGATGAAATATTAAAAATCTTCACCGTTGAAAAGTGCCTATAGTCTTTTAAGGGATAAAACTGAAATAATTACGTAAAATCACGCAAATTTTATATTGTTTATTACGATATCGTTACGCTTAATGAAATGTTATAACGAAAAAAATTGACGATATAAGACATTTTACAATTGAAACATTTCGATTTCTTATCTTAAACTTTGGGGAAGAATAACGTTAATCACGATTGAAAAATTATTCTAGAGTGCAAAATGCTGAGTTTACTTACGCTTAAAAAGATTACGAGATGAGGAGCTAGTAAAAAATAATAACCTTACCAGCTTGTACTTCAAGCTGCTATACAGGTACAAGAAAAAAGAAGGATACAATCGTAAAATTATGAATTACACTTGTATATATGCTACAGTTGTCACGCAATCCTAGGAAATCTTCAAACAAATCCTAAAGAAAACATTTTTTTAGGCAGTCTATTTCACATGCAAAGTGTTAGATGCATTCTTCTTTTAGTGTTGAAAGCTTCGATGGGGAACTTACATAACACATCAGAAGAAAAGTCGTCTAATTAACAAATGTCTTAGTCTATCTTTCAAAGTAAGCAGCATCTTATAGATTACGGGCGGCCAAATGACCTAATTATCAGCCTCTTACAAATTACATAATCATGGAAAGGTAAAAGGTTAGGGTCATTTCCTGCTGAATTTCCACCAGATTACGATGGGCGCTCCTGAACGACTGTAACTTATCACGCAACTCTGATAGCTAATTTCTCCGCATAAGATACGTGATATATCGTAAAAAATCTGTATGCTTTTTGTCTTGTTTCATTCACGCTAATTTATTTGGGGCGTTTTCGAAGTTAAAACTGTTTTCATTGCTAAATTATCTGAATAGCTGAAACTAGTGCAGTACTTGATTACTTCATAGCTTGTTGAAAATTTGATAGTCGACAAATGCTAATCTTCCCATTTTATAATTCAACGTCTCAGGAAATTGGACAGTTTTCTCTCGGTAAATTTAAGCCTACCTCTATTAAATTTTATGGCATCCAAATTTGTAATTATTAATTTAATTAAATTAAAAGTTCGACGCTACGGAATGTTTCCAACATTTCTCCATTTTAATCTCATCTTTTAACTATAGCCCATTATCTTTCAAGTAATTCCTTCAGTTAATTAAAGGCTTAATTATAGAAAGTATTTTGCATATTTTGACTATCCCATAAAAATCATGTATAACCCCACCTATTGGTTGAATAGAAAACTCAAGTCATAACGTCTTCCTTTAAAAATTCCATTGGATAAATTCTAAAATATAAGTATATTTAACTTTGAAAATATAGATAACCTACTTATAGACGATAAAGTAATAGAATAAGTAACAATTACTAATAGAAAAAAAGCGGTAAAGCACTGTATTAATAACAAAAAAGGGATCATTTAAAAACTTGAATTTATTACTTCCGGATTGTTCGTTATGAATTCTGTTCTATTAAAAAAATTTATTCAACAAGTGAAAGGGGTTGGTGCAATTATTTCAAGTAACGAATCTCTAAGATAATTAAAGTCTCATCACTAATATTGATGTAATTATAAAAGAGCAGGTATATATAGCATAAAATATAGCTGTAATTCACCTAGCTAATAGTATGATAGTCTGTGAGTAGTCTGTCAATTAGAGAATGCCTGCTGAAAAGATACTTTTATATTTTCAAAGGGTTTTGTCGAATTATTTCTATACTTTCGAACAACAAAAAACACAAGGTTTGTTTCTTTTTTCCCAGGTAGAGTTGATACATAAAACTGTAGAGAGTAGAAGATTGATAATCAAAGGATTTAAATGATGGATGTGCTATTAGGAATGTAACTAGAAACAGAAGGCTTTTCAAATCAGTAAATTGTAAGAACGATCATAAAATTATGTCTGTTATATTTATTAGCCCTTTCTAAATGGGAAATGATGATATACCTTTTTTATTAGAGTAGAATAAATAAAGAAGGAGAAAAGACTGTTGCCCGAAATGCTTTTAGATCAAAAATATCTTTTAATTGCATAGATGCAAACCTTTTATAAAAACAATAAGAAAAAGATTAAACTCTTCAAAACAGAAAAAATAGGTTACCAAGAAAATAAAGGCCTTAAGAAAAGAAAATACGTTAGTTCTTTCACGAGAAGTAGCAAAAGCGTTTTTTTTTACATATATAAAAATTAGGTGAAGAAGCAAATTGAGCGAATACAAGTGGAGAATCTTTTATAAGGGCATTTTAGCACATTGTGACAATGGCGAATATGAGAACTCTGCAGATGTCGTTGCTACATAAGGATTCCTGCATGCGTCTAAAAATTTATCCTCTAAAAATGAAAGAGATGGAAGAGGGGTGGACGACAATTCAGACGTCTTATATATTTACTTAAAGACATTGGACTGAAATGTTATACGAAACGAAGTCATTGGTTTACGAAGACAATAAAACTCGACGAAATTTCTCAATCGCTTTAATTTGGTAGTCCTAACATACTGTATTCCAAATCTGTCGAATAGTCTTAAGCAATCTTGAAAATTAGTCCAATAAATAAATTATTATTATATATTATATGTAATACATCAAGTTGGAGGCGATAATTGGCTGTAAATCCTTAATCCGCTTAGATTGTAAAGTCATATTGCGTGCGTCTTGCCTTTGAGCGATAAGCGACTGAGTCAGTTATATAGGAAAAAGAAGAAAAGAGAAAGTAGAATATCTATTATATATTTTCTAACTAAATAAATCGCGTTAACGCACGGAATTCTTCAGTGGATATTCGGCCACGATACTCCTGGGAAAAATGTGTGAAAATAGTCGATAATTAATCAATACTTTATACGCATTTTATTTACGTTTCGACGTTGACTTCTCTTAACCTCTAGCCATACTCGAATCCGTCTTAATCCCCTACACGCATTTTTTCGACCTCTTCAGTACGAGATGCTCTTCCAATTCTCGGATATAAATTGCTGGTGAGCCGTCATTTCTTTCTAATCTATCAACTTATAGATTCTTTGTTTAGATACAGGATATTCTAGTATGACATTTTAAATTCCAAAAATAAAGTAATAGATAGAAAGTGGAAGAATGTTAAATTTAATATTTTTTCAATTATATAGAATATTGAAATAAGGGGATTTTTTTTTATACATCATACCTTCCAGGGACTAAAGTGTCTATTCAAAGTTCTAACATTCCACCCGTAGAGAAGCTTGTATGCAAATTTTAAGTTCATTATGTATTCTCCTTTCAATTCAGTGACTGAAGGTCGACGTAATTAAACAATAACGATTTACGAGATATGTTACCACAGATTCAAGTATATCTGAAAATTGACACATAGAAGAGAGTAAAATATATATTTTACAGGACAACAGTGATATCCCATAGTCATTAAATAATTAAAAAAATGTATTTATATATATATATATATAAATTTTATACAGTAAATGTATTATAAGAATCTTGTTCTACGTATAAAACAAAGTCATATCCTGTTCATTAGACACTTATTCCTAGTAACAATATGTTAATTGGCCTGTTTTTTCAATAATAAATAGTTTAACATACGAGTATTCGACGAAAGAAGATTTTCTGAAACCATTTACTGTAAAATTTTAAGGCATATATATTTCAATCCGTTTTTTCTGTTATTTCTTTCAATTACTAGAGCTTCAGAGTGTAGAATAAGCCATCTTCTATACTTTGCAGATGCGGAGTAATAATATTTCTTTCTATCTCAACATTGGCCAATGCTTAGAGTCATTTCATAGCCAAAGACTATCCCAACGAAGTACTAGTGATTTTCCATGTTCTTTCCGTAATGACTCATCGCGGATTTAACGTTTACTGAAGAGGATGGTTACTTTTAGCTTTAAGCTGAAGGATGGGGGATTTTCAACACATTTTTTTACTGTTTATTAATCTGATTTTGTAAGGATAAGCCTCTATTTTTTCCTAAGTAAACAGCTGACATTGCAATTGCATTTTATTACCTTTCATTTATTCATATTGATGAATTTAGTATTGAATTATTTTGCCGTAAATTTTCCAGTATGATTTTTCAACGTTTTCATTTAGAAAAAGGACAATACTGTCGCAATTGATTAGCATACATTTTTAAAAGTATAATATATCGCAAAAGTATATTCTATGTGATGAAAGCATCTACTTATTCAAATTTATAAATATAATAATTAATCGTTGTCCTTTTCGTCCTCTATTCGTTTTGTGTATATGTTATAAGATTTTGATTATGTATTCTACTCCTTAATTAAGCTTTATATATTTGTCGAGTTTCATCAATTACTGTACAGAAATATCATAAAAAGATCTTTCTTTAGTCGCAGCAGTGTAGATTTTAATTTTCTTTATGGAAACTCCCTATGTATGTAATGTACAATGTTACTCTATTGTATCTTTATACAGTGAAATGACTTGCAGCTCCGAGATGCATTCTCCATGTATAAGCGTGATTTTATCATAAAGAATCTGGATATTTGCCTTTTCAATATAAATATTAGTGTTATTCAAAAGTTATATGTGTACATTTTACATAAATTGTTTAAAACATTTAACCCGACACCATTTGTAATCCGTTTTAATCTAGATGATATTTCGTATATCTCTATGGTATTTTACCAATTTTACACTATTAAATATATAATATTTTTCAAATTCCTGCCTTTTAGTATAAAAACAAAGTCAAATAAATATATAGAAAAAACTCCCAGAGGACGCGTGCAAAGTTTTCAAGTCATTGCAATCAGATTTCGACGGTTTAATTATTTCCCAAGCAGTGATATCGTAATCTTTTCCATACTATTCCCATAGTAACTGTATAACATTAATTCATTTTTTCAAGAAAAACTTTAATTATCCTATTATTGGCTTTGTTTACATTACGCAGTAGTAATATTGTATATCGAAAATCCCTCGACTCTTATTCTTTTCGAAAGGAATCAGAATACAATTAATATTAGCAATTCACTTTGACGAGTTTTTTTATGAAATACCAAAGATAGACGTAACATTATGCATCGTGAAGGGTATCCTTTTTTATCTTTTAGGAATTCCTATTGATTCGACGCTCTTATCACTTCGTGGATAGGTACCTAGTCAGATTGCCTTTTAAGCGAATAGAAGCTCTGTGTGGATTCAGAAACCAGACTATAGGCGTAGACAGTTAGTTCCCGCCAGAAAGCATTTGTCGTCGATGTCGACCGCTTCTCGCCTGCACTGTAATCGCTAAGGAAAATTGGCATCCGAGTTATTAAGATTAATTTACTACCATATAATGAACGCTTTCACGAGAATATCACTCTTAGCTTTCGCTATTTGTATTTCAACTTTTTGCCTAGCAGAAGGTAAGTTACGCAATTATTTTATTCGTAGAATAGAATATATCTTACAAGTTCCATTATAAAGAATATTTTGAAAATTTTATTAAGAGAGTGACATGCACGCGATTATAGGATAATGTCGTAATGTCATTTGCAGCTGCTGGCATTTTTTCCTTCAGTATAATCGTTGTTAGGAAAATGTCAATTACAAAAGAACTATAGCACGCATGAAAATTTCTCTCTGTGTTTATTGTCTATTCTAATTAATCTTACGTTTCATAATACAAATTTTTAAAAGCGATTTTATACAAGCTCATAAACTGTTATCATGCCAACTTAATTTGATGGAAAGCAAGGCGTGTCCAATGTTTTTCGCCTGCTTTAATTAGGTTGTTTAACTATTCTCTTTTTATTAGATCATATTTTTGAAGTGTGAGTTTTATCTTTAAATATGAATTATTAAATATGTACCCTTATTTTGCAGTAGAGAGTATACTGTATATACCAGCAATACGGTTTAGAAGAAAATATAATTTATATCCAGCTGTTTACGTGTTATTCAGCTTCAAAGTAATGGGTTTACTACGATATAAGATATATATATATCTAGTATATGTATCTCTATGATTAATATATAATAGTTAACTATCATTATAGTAGTTATTACTAAAGACAATAAATGAGAGTTCATAGAAAATATTAAAAATTGCTGTTAAAGTTATTACTGGTCAAGGTCTTTTTCGAAAGCTGCATATCGACTTTAAGAACAAAGAATAACAAATGATCCATGTTTATCAAATGTAGTATACGAGTTTTAAATATACTGTTTCCCTAGAGAAGGAATCAGATCAAAGTTTGATTTTGATTTTGAATTTGAATATATTGTTGTATTGTCTTTTATTATTCAGTCATATTTATGTTGGATACCCCAACAATTAAGTTGTGATTAATTAAGTAACTTAAATGAAAAGTAACATTCTGGATTATTCATTATTTCGGTTGATTCCTTAATTTATGATTATTCTTTCATGACACTGAATAAAATTTCATTATAATTAACATTTTCGATAATCCTTATGTATATTTCTTCAATATTTAATGGTAATCCTTAACAATTCTTTTACAAAGAGAAAAAAACAAACAAGTAAACTTCTGCCAAAGGTTATTCATTTATAAATGATGCTTCTTTTATAGACAATGAAATATTTAAACAAAGTTCCCTTGATTAGCCGTGGTCTGTAACATAGACAAGATTGGCTTAGAATACTTAATTAACCTATTTAAATATACAGGATTTTTAATAGAGTATAGATGAATCTCAAAAAGTTGAGCATAAATAATGAGAAAAGAGGCCGAGTGCATTTTAGGCAACAAATATATTTGAGTTGTATGCGTTACTGATCACATAATACAGCAAATTTTAGCTTTTCATCTGTCGAATGCAATGAAATGACATATTTAATCATTTAAGCAAACACATAAAAATGCAAAATAATTTCATTTGTTATTTTTAAATCCTTGGATATGCATAAATTTCCTTGTGCTAAATTAACATATATAATTATCTTTTCTTTCGTGTCTCTTATCGATTCGTTTGCAAAAGGGGAAGACGGTAAACTTATTTACATAATTAATGTATCAACTTGTGAGGTTATATGACAACAGTCAACACTTTTAAAAATATTAATGGATATAAATGGAAAACACATACTTAAATGATCAGATAAAACAGATGGCATCATGAAAGTTGGTAAATATCCAACTGATCGATATTTATCTAATTCTATATGTAAAAAATTTTCATGCCAAAGAGTCGGTAAGACGAAAGGTTGAGGGGGCGTCAAATTTTCTCAGTTATAGACAATCGATTCGCTTATTAAGGAAGCGACAAAAATAAAGGCTCCAAGGGCTTGTAAGAATTTTCTTACAAGTTCTAATAAAACGAGCCTTGTCTGTTTCTTTCTGCCAAGAAGAAGTAAAGTGATGGTGAAAAAGCAAATGAGCGTCTTCTGAATGTGATGTATGGGAACCTATCAAGCCAACTGGTCATTTATTTTCGATTTGCTTGCTTTCTTGGTATAATCGGAGGCAGATCCATTCAAATGAAGCATATTTAAATAGATATTAATCTATCTTTATGACATTTTTCACCTTGTTAAGATGATAACATCTTTTCGCGTATTTACCAAATTAGTGCAAAGAGTAAGATATTATTCATAATTGATGAAGTATAATGTGTTTATTTTTTTTTCAATTATATATGGAAGAATGAATAGGCTAACTTAATCTTGTTCAAAAATAGTAATAAAAGTTTGTTTTGCAGCTTTGGTAAACGAGGAATTGTGTACAGCAATCAACGGTGAAAAGCGTAGTATCTCGTGCTCTCGCGGCCATATCATCATTGTAAAAAGAGCTTTCTATGGTCGAGAACGAGTGGGAAAGTTAGTACTTTCATATCTATTCTCTGCTAAGTGAAAATGCAAACGTTAAAATTCGAGATTTCATTTACGAAATGATAAATTTAAAATATTAATCTGCTGGGAGCTATTAATTTTCTTAGGCATTTACTTGGGCTTTTCAAATTAATGAAAAAACTGTTCTGGATGTTAGAATAATATAAAAATATTTAATTCTCCAAAAATAGTCTATAGAAAAATTCTTATAGAACTGAAATAAATGGCTAATTTAATTAAGGTTGAAATAAAAATTAATGATTTGATTAAGAGTGATCAAACAGATAACAACGTCATACGTTTAGATCTTTTATTCTATTTGATAGTTGGGAATATTTTAAAAAGATCGTGAAAATATTCCTATTAGTCATAATTTTTTTCACGGGAATTCTGTTTGCTCCATCGAGATAAATTCTTAAGAATATCCAGTGATGAGAAATTACACACATTTTTATTACGCCAATGGAAGGGAAATGATTTCCATAATTTTTCTTTTTCCTTCATTTTTTCCCTATCATATATCGCTTTTGTACTAAAATTTTCAGTTTTTCAAAGGCCTATAGTAGTATAGTTGGGTCTCTTTTCTTGAAAGCTTTAGAAAAATCTAATCGTGCTCTTTAACAAAGAAGCATGAACTACTTTCATCTTTATCGAATTTACGAGGGAAAATTCAACACACGCCAATAGTAAAAAAATAAACTAACTAATTACATCAATGAAATTATTATAATTAAATTAGTATATTTAATAGGATTTGATTGATCAAATCTTTATATTGCCTAGTTAAATGTAGCAGAATATTTAAATATAATAACATATCCGTATTTTGTTTAATCATTATAAAAATACTCATTCAAAATAGGAAATGATGAAGTACACCTTTTAATTAAAAGAATTATCTATCTCTTTTTTTGTAAAAAAAAGTGAAAAAATGTAATGTAAAAAGTCATAATTCGCCTTTAACTGTAATTACTTTTCAGTAACTGAAGACAGGTGCAACAAAATCAATGATATTGTAAAATGAAACTTATTCTAGTCATTGATGCATCATGATTTTTCTTTCTTTTAGGTATTTTAGTCTGAAATAGAATGCTCCAAATCAATTAAAAAGCTATAGTACATTTTAAAACATATTTTACATATCTAACTGTTGTACTACAAAAAAAAATAATGATTTGGCTTTACTCACCAAAAGCTTGGGGATTGAGCAGATGCCTTTTCGGTTACTAATTATTTAGTACAGGACTTATCTATAGCAGAGTTAGTCTAAACAAGTTAGAAACACGACATCGTGTTTACATCTAATATAAGCACGCCAACCTAACAGATCTTGAAAACATAGTTACAATACGGAGAGAACTTGGTATTATTCAAGAAACAAAAAACGCTACAAAAAAGAACAAAGAGATAAAGTGTTCTGCATAGATTTTTCAGTTGATCTAATAGAGAAATTGAACCGGTCTAAGAATTACGTCTACCAGCTCAATATGTGCTACTTTTATAATATCAATTAACGCTAAAAAGGGGATATCCCATTATAAATAGATAATAAATACGCTTTTGCTACCAAATTACGTTTCCGCTTTGAATTATGGACAAAAAAATAAAAGAATATTATAATAAAACTTAACGTTTGATCTCTGTTTCACTAGGGATTACTTTCTCTCAAGAGATTAAAATGTGCTACCTATTTTCTACATAGGCCCAGAAATGTCGGAAAAACGATAGAGAACTTTTCCAGATGACATAATTATTTATACAGTAGTATTGCAGAATATTCTGCATGGTGGAATACGAACTTTTCCACGTATTCAGAATTTAGTAAATGGCATAAAACGTCTATATAAATAAGAAAATATGACCCAGGCGACCCGTTATCAGTTCCCATTAGTAAGTGCAAACATTGAATGGGCATTTGGGGACATAAAAGAGACAAGAGAAAATCGTATAATTTTCACTTTGGATTGTTCAATACTTAGTAAATTATAAGCAATTTTTAATCTCTCTGCTCAATAAAAGACAAAGTACAGAATAAAATACAGTAGTGCTTTTACTCTTTGAAAATTCGAACATTAAAGTGTTTCTTTATATCATTGCAGTTGCGTGGAAGAGACGATGGGTCATATTGGCTGTAGTGTCAATGCTTTGGAATACTATCAGAAAAAATGCAACGGGAACGCTACCTGTAAATTTCTAATTCCTGACGGTCACTTGGAAGGAAGGAAACCTTGCAAGAATAACGAACTGAAAAATTACCTGGATATTGGTTACGATTGTGTAAAAGGTAAAACTTCTTATAATCCTATCCTATATTTGTTGTATACTGAGAAAGTCATGAAAATTAACGTCTGGTAGCTGTTAATTGAGCGTTGAATAATTCATAAACTATATGGATATGGAAACATTGGTACTTACAGTAACAAGTGTGTAGCTTTTTACTTCTATAGTCGAAGTCGAATTAAATATAAGACAAAAATCATTTAATGATATAAATACGGTTTGAAATACCTGAATAAAGTACATTAAGTCTTTAACAATAAATAGAGTAAAGGATTTATATCAAGCGAAGGAAAGTGCCTTGGGGTATTTTTTATCATATCTTCATTTACGAATATTAAACTATTGCCCATACCTGAGCCAGACATTCTATTTGCTTTGCATATAAACTTATACAGTATATATACTGTATATATGCTATGCACATAGAGTATATTGCATATCTTTATCAAACTAAAACTGACGTACCAGGTCTCTCATGGGATATGAAACATCATTTTACTAGTATAAAATTACTGTTATTTTTCGACCTTCATATTTGTTTGCATTTAGTAATTGCGATGAGCAAATGCGGTATTTTGTTATACTACAAACAGAACGTTTTCTCTTTTGTGGAAGAAGAGCGTATCATGACGTTTTAGGTTGCTGAAAATTTAGCTTTTCGTAATGGGTTGTTTTAACCCCGTAAATTTCCTTAGTATTTAGATTTATCTTATTCTTTAGGTAGTATTGTTTAAACATATACACAGATGGTTTGGCGTAATTATTTCGCTAAAATATATACCTTCAAGACTGTTTCTTTTTTACTATATTTATTTATTTCTTAAAAGAGCATACTCATTATTCTTGACGTTTATGTTTTTCAGCAATTCACAGGAATATTTGCCATGGTTGCAAAAGAAACCCTTATTATCTCGAGCCGACTGGTGTACAAACAGCAATACTTTCACCAAAAAAAAATGAAGAAACATGCTGCCCTATAATCTTCAATACGAAAATTGGTTTTCGATTTGAGTTATCTGTTGTGTCTAGAGCCAAACCATGCAATTTTAGAGTATTAGAAGACAATTGGCAGAATGAAAAGGACGTCTGTGCCACTAGCTTTCTATCTGTATCTCATAAAATCACAGTAGTTAAGGATTGGAACGTTACCATCTTATATAGAGGTATTTATTCATAGACAAAACTGATTTATTGTTTTATCAAATTTTCTATTTCGATTGAATCTTTGAGCTAAATAGTTAATTTACTTTTGGATTATTTTTAACAATGGCACTTTTTCCAATACTTAAAGTTATAAATCTCGTGGGAGATCATTTAAACTTTCTCAGATACTTTATTCAACTTGGGATAAAAGGATAAGTAATCTTCAAAAGCTGCTTTAGATTAGAGAGCATATAGTAAAATTCTGGCAACTGGAAAGACAATACGTGTATGAATTAGCTTACAATAAAAGACAAAAGTTGTGATCTATTTTAGCTTATTTCTAATATATTCCATGTCCTCTTTTTAATATTAGAAAAGTCTCCATTTTCTTCATTTTCAAATGTACTGTATATATTATTATTAGTAATAGTTTATTATAAATTGCAGTAATAATGGCTTGTCCTATATCTCAATTAACATCATTCAAGACTTATAATTATGGTAACGGCTCTATAAGACTGACTTGTAATTCCAATTCTCATCAAACAACTGTCCACACTTGCTTTGCGACTGGCTGGAAACCCTCTCTTCCTAATTGCTATAAAGGTAAAGAGAAGTAGATTACATGCTTTGATATAAATACAACTCTCTTATTCAGCAGCTAGATCTACCGAGTGGGAGAAGGCGTTCGACAGAGATTTACCAGTGACACTGTCGCTAATAGCAGGTGTCTTAATAGCCTTCGTTATTCCTCTAATTGTTCTCTTTATTGTCAAGAAAAGGATGGAAAAGAAAGTAAGAAACACGGCTCCACCTACAGCCTATTGTAGCCATTACAGTCACGTTAGAACTCTGCCTCTCCCATGTAAAGGAGAAGACGGGAGAATTTATTACGATTTAGACATAGAAAATAGGCCGAAAAATTGTCAATATGAGAAATGTACAAATCGAGACTTATAGAACGTAATTATCTAATTGAGAGTATCAAATTAAAACATTTTTTTACATTGAGACAATTAAAAACCTAAGATTGGTAAATCATACCAATTTTAGAATCATTGGTTAATGAATAATTTATTGATTTTAAAAAGGAATTAATCGAAGCTAACAACATCTCAAGTGCTTTAGTATTATCTCTAATATCAAATTTTAACTCATTTCCTTAAAAAGAAAAGTAAATAATAATCTTCTCAATCATTCTTTTCTAGCTCATAGATAATGATTAAAAAAATGTTCATTCCATTTAAAGAAATGAGTAACCTAATGCTCAAGATAAAGATTTTCGTTTAACTATAATGCAGTATATACTGTATAAATATTGTATATTGTAAATAGTATGTGAAATATACAGAATGTATATTTAATAACTTAATAAAGTAATTAATAAATTTTAGCTTATTAAACGTTAATTAAAAAGAAAATATATAGATGATCTATTTTTAAAAATCCTATTTTTGAACAATTTTTGATTCAAATTTTTAATAAACATTTGCAATTTACATTTGATTAAAAAAAATAAAGTCTAAACAAGAATACTGTACAATTTAAAAGAGAGAGATAATCATAGATTATAATAATCCGTATGTTGGTTTAATATCAAGCTTTAAAATTTGATTCATCTAAAAGTTTTCCCTCTTTCACGCACTCGTCGATCCAATCTTTTCTTACTATGCGAAATTTCTGCCTTCTAGATCGATTTACAATATTCAAATCATTAAAATGATCATCGTTTTCTACTATCACGTGTGTAACCGATTTGTCTAGGCGACTCGATATATTTGCTCCATATACTGATGCTAAATACAAGTAGGCTGGAAGAGAACTTTCGCTTCGAGCAGTGTTTTCATCCGATAAAACTTCGTACGAGTCGCCGTAAATAGTACACAGACGAAAAAGTCCGTAACGGCAGTCATGAGGAAAATATTCTTCTTCGACTTCAGCAATTTCCTTATAATTCAGGCGGCAAGTCGACTTGACTTGTCGAAAAATATCTTTTAGACAATCAATATCATTGATGTCACTTGTGAAACTGTCGCCATGTTCATCAAATCTTTCTGCTAATTGATTGGTGGTTATTGATTTTGCAAAAATCATATCTTTAGGAGACCATGAAAGAAGTTTTTGTTGTTCGAAACAACTAAAAATAATGAAATATTTTAGAGATAATAATCATAAATTTTTTAGCTATTACTTACCTTAATAACCATTCCACTTTGACTATATCATGTTGCTTACTAGCTATCATATTTTTCACCCTGACGCTAGTTTTTGCAGCTAGACAACACCATGTATTCTCACCAGGATGTTGAACGGCTGTTCCTCCATGAGCAACAATATCACTTTCCAATTGAATCTTGCTTTGATTCCTTTCAGCGTTCACCACACAAAATTCTTTTCCCAGGAGAAGCTCATCCAACTTTTCCACGGTATCAACGTCAACACCTCTCAGATGCGCGGCTACTGTAGGCTTAACAATTCGTTTTGTACCACCTCCTCGTCTTCGTTTAGTTTTAGGTTCATCTTCGAAGTTTAAGCCGTCGTCTTCTTCCATATGTTTCTTACCGTACAACTTTCCTTGTTTTTGTAGTTGTTTTAACTCTTCAACCGTCATACTATCTGTCCAACTTTTATCGTCCCTTATTTTCATCACTCGCGGGAATCTTAGAGTACACCCAGTCCTATATTGATCCGATTCCACTATTTCTGCTGCCTTTATTTGTAAAATTGCAGATTTGGATGGTTCTATTATGCAATCAGGCTTTTGTCGACCAGAAGCTAACTCTAACCAGCTGGGAATTCCTTTCTTGGCATCTTTGACGTGATCTTTAATTTTTCTATTAAATTCTAACAACTCCTTTTGAGAGTAGCCACTTCCTACTTTACAAAAAGAATGAAAAACTGTGTTTTCATTTATCACTCCTTCAGTATCGGCGACGGCGCATAGAAAATGTGACAAGATTCCAGATCTATGTCCACTTCCGAATGAACCTCCGACAACTAAAACGTCTAATTCATCCATTAATCCTCCGACGTACTCAGGCTTGATTTTAAACCACCCAGCTTTTCTTGAGTGGGGCTTGTAAACAGATTCTGGTGACTTGATCATTATCCCTTCGTAGCGATTATCTATAGCATCATTCAGCGCCTTTATACATTCATTATTCGAGGTCGCCTCAGCTGTAACTGTCAACACTATACGTCCGTCTATTGGACAGAAGGCTCCTTCTAATTCCTTTTTTCTCTCTCTCAAAGGAAGATTCGTTAGAACCTTTTTATTTTTCAAAAGAATATCAAATACTACAAAGCAAGGATATAAGTCGCCTTCACCAGATGCTGATTTCACATCAAAACTATCCGCTTTTGATCCAATTGTTTTTGTCGTGGAGTCGTAGCCTACCATTTCTCCATCAAGAATAACAGTCTCAATATCATCAGGCCAACAGTGAGATATATATGGAGTCAATGATCCATCGTAGGGAGTTTTACCAAAGCTTAGAGTGTAATCGTGCCCATTACGTGAAAAGTATCGATATTCATCTCCGTCTTTATGCAACTGAATTCGTTCTCCGTCGTATTTTGTTTCAATATAGTACAAGGGTGTATTTAAAGATTCTAAAGCATTTTGCGGCTGAGCACGATCTGCCAACATAGGTCTGAAAGCAGCAAAAAGTGATACTTCAATTTCATGAAGATGTTTCGACGGTTCACGTAGCAATTCACAAACTTCTCGAAGGTTCATTTTAACATTAAATAGATCATCGGCGTCTTTATGATAAGCGTTAAGAATAGTTGTCTGACTCATTCCAATTTTCATATCTTTCAAAAGCATCCTTATTAACCATTTGTGTTGTAAAGGCGATGTGTGAGTTAATAGGAATGTTAAAGCATTTTTAATTTGTGATTTTTCTTTATTGGCATGGCCATGTGATATTTTGTCCAACTGATCGTTCACTTCGCTAATGCTTAAGTCTCCCTTTTCGGGTAATCTACTTTTTAATATAAAGTAGGCAACTGCGGCAAAGTCTCCAGATGAATCCTGAGTACCCTTTTTATTCGTCGGAGCTCGATAATTCAGTAATTTTTTAGCAGAACTTCCCCCCAAACCGAGAATGTCGATGTAGTATTTCCCTAAAGTGTGCTCCTTCATACCATATGCATCTCTTTCTCGTTCTAATTGGGGTAGCATCAGACGCATAGCTGGGTATACTGAATCCTTCTATATTTGATAAATTTGAACTTATAGACTAGAAATAGAAAAAAATTAAATCTATAACCGAATCTTTATCATCTTCATGAATTTTTTGGTGAGACGCTCTCCATTTCTCAAAAAACAATCTTAATAAGTCCTTCTTTGTTTCTGTACCCGATTTACGGCTGATCTTCTCTAATAAGCCGGCTAATTCTTCAAATGGCACTTTTTCAGAGACGGACATTCTTGTATACACAAACTCACAATAAAGAGGGCGTTACTCTAGAAATCACGTGACTCGTAGATTGACTACGCGCTCTTTTTTTGTTTATTTATAAAATATTATGGAATACACTGAAAATTCTATGAGAAATAAGAGAAATTCCCGATCAATACAATATTATTAGAATGATTTATATCCTGTATTAACATGTAGCAAATAAAAAACAAGACTTAATTGAATAAAAGTAAATGTTACAGCAACCTAAAATTGAGCAGGATTAGTTAAAAATAAGCTCTGAAAAATTGAGTATACTTGATGTAAAGTCAAATAAATTTTTGAAAAGAAACATAAAAATGAAAGTTTAAAAAGTTTAGACATTAACAACAGTTTCATTGCTTAGAATTTGATTTTTACAGAAGGTGCTTGTAAATGGAATGCAGTTGAAATAATGACAATATTTGCAATCGTATATAGGTATAACATAGAAAAGTATGATTAAAAGAACAAATAAACCTATCGCTATAAGTAAAGATACGATTATTGTTATTAACTTTCTCGTTTTATCAAATTTTCCAAATTTAAGATATGGCAATAGAGCAAACGCTAATAACAGCCCAAAAAAGAAACCAGCTATGTGGGCATAGTTATCAATCATAGGGAGAAGGCCAACAATGAAGAGTACTAATAAAATCAACCCCAGTTTTAGCAACGATTTCCAGGGACTTGCCAAAATCTGCCAAGATTGGAAAACTTCAACAAAAAGGCAAGCTAAAAGGCCAAATTGGGAGCCGGAAGGTCCAGCCTGACAAGAGAAATAAGTAATATGTAATATATTCTTTTTATATTAATATATTAGGTAACAAACCTCAACATAATAGGGTAAGAATATTGCAGACATTAAAGATCCTGCAATACCAGATCCTATGTAAATTATACCAATTCTTAACCAACCAGCGAGTTTTTCTAAATCTCTCATAATAAAAAATTGAAACAAAAGAGTAATGATAAGCTGAACCACTCTGAGCGAAAAAAAATCAACTTAGCTTTTTAAGTAAAAAATGTAAATTCTACCAACCCTCCATGCAGAAAGAGAGATGTAAACAATCGATAAAACTGATCCGGTCTGTTAGGATCCCAAAAATCTATCATACCACATATTTCATTCATGCAAGACACTTGAGAACAAAGAGTAGCTTCTTCATGAAAGTATCCTCTCTTAAAATCACAATACTCTCTTGTTGTTATCATACATTTTCCTTTAACTCCTAAACAACAAGGACGACCAACAAGTCCGCAAGTCATATGTCGTTTTGTTGCATCCGATTTGGATGCGTTTCGAGTACTTTTGCAAATCTATATAAATATGATAAAATTATTATTATTATTATTCATATCTAGAGTCAATCAATTTACAGGCCAGGTAGTGATATCATCTTTCCATTTAAATGATCCACTGGAGGCTGGGTCGTCACAAAGTCTGTCGCAAATAGATAAGAAAGTTATTAAGGAGTGGATTATAATTATGATATAAATACTCTGGATCTTGGCCACACACGGAACCAGAAGTAAGCCCTTGACTTCCAGGCTTATCCTTAGTCCATTTTTGCCAAGATGATAGAATATTGGAGCAAGACTCTTCATCGGTTTGGACGCATCCAGAATCTAATTGTCATGTGAAATTCAGTATTTGAACTGATTAAGCTGAAAATATATCTTGTTAGATACCGTCATTTCTGATACAACAGGCCGTGTTCTTCTCTATCTCTCTAGCTTTATTTATCCCACTTTCAATACTCTCATCTTTCCTCATGCAGGGTGAATATTTCGATCCCAAATGAATCAGATCAGCCTATTTGAAACAAAACATGTAAGATATCTGCACTGAAATTTAAAATAATTTTCTTACCGTTCTAGGACCAATCCATAAGTTTTCTTTTTCGAAATAGGAAACTTGATGATACGCTAAGCTTACTGTTATAACCTGGTAAAGGAACTAGATGAATAGCTATATGAAGCTTATAGATACATACTTCTCCTTTAATTTCTTTTTCTGAAAAACCAATTGGTGCAAATCCATACACAGATACAGCAACAATGCTGAATAAAAAGCTTTTATTAGTATTCGCTACTTGAAATCAATTTATATAGCCTACAATACTAATATCTGCACGGTGCACACCCAATACGTAAAATAAGGTCTGTATAAATCCATTTCATCAATTTGCTTTCTAATATCTTCATTTCGATCAACTCCTTTTTTATACTCTCGGCCAAAACATCTTCCAACAAAGCCAACACCTACAGACCTTTTTTCGTTTGATTTTAAGGCGCTATCCATCATGTTGCTTGTAATTTTTTTCATTTCGGCAAAAGGACTATCCACAAAGTCAAAAGGGGTATCAGGCACGTCTGCAGGTTTTGATCTTCCTATTTGCCATCCCGCTTTAACTGGGCGAGCTCTAAAAAAAAAGTTATATTTGCAATTTTATCTTGAAAATTTTCCGATCTCTCACTCTTCGGGAGCTATCAGCCGAGATCCTCCACTGTCGACGACGTCTCCTTCTCCCCTCCTTGGAATGGTCTTTGGTTGAAAAGAAATTTTTTGATTTAAAGTATTTGTAGGTAGGGGGGACGTTGGTGTGGCAACCCTGAAAAACCCATCCTCAAAAAGGGCATCGGTAATTGATAATCGACTTTTTTCAGAGTCCTAAATAAGAAGATGTTAGTATAATACAGTTTTGCTAAGATAAAACAATTTACCACTAGATAATCTTCATGAAATGATGATAAGCTAGCAGGTGTAAAGCTCCTGCTATGCATACGCGGTTTCCTCTCAGACTTTTTTACGGGAGTCTGAAAAATGATAAATTAAAAATAATAAATTGTAAATTATTTTAATTACCGTCAAATTCCGTATACCATTTACAGTCATTTTAAGAACTGACTCTTTTGTGCGTCCACGACGTTGTTTTTGGGAAGATAAGCATCTTTTATAAGTGCCTGATGCTGTGGAAATTCCTCTATAAACTTTATGCTCTTCAGATTTTCTGCTAATATCTCTATTATATGTAGGAGAAGATAAAAATACGTTGTCCGTAGTATCATAATATCCCTGGGGGAATAAATACAATATGGGAGAATCATCGCAATTTGAAATAAAATTATACTTTGTTTAGGTAATCTTCTCCCTTTCCTGAGTCAAGTTTACCATGAGATGACGCCAATCGAATTTTTCTATTTTTCCACGATTCATTTTCCGCGGGATCGGTATCAACTACTCCAAAAAACTCTGATATACCATTAATAACCCGTCTGAAATTGGTCCGAAAAAATTTTTAAGAATACTAATACGACGCTTAACTCACTTGCCAATCGGAGGCTTTGTTTCACTGGATCTTGAAGTTTTTGTACTCATTCGACTTGCTTGTCTACTCCAGCTCGGATGATAATCCATTTCAATCTCATTCCGCGACATATCTTAAGTTTCCTCGTTTCGCAGTTGTGAAAGATTTACAAAGTTTGGTGTTGCCACAGGAAACGGAAATAAACTGAATCTCTTGTGCTATAACAACTGGTATGGACCAATCACCATCGTATAATAGCAATAATAACCAGCTAATTTGATTACCATTTAAATATAAAATATTTTACTGTCACAAAACCATCATGTAATAGATAAATCATTATTTATTTTAAAAACAAGCAATTTTGTTTTAACAGCTATAACCAGGTTTTTTTTGAAGTATCACAATCTTTTACACAACTTTCTCCAACAGAAACAAAATGGAGTCTAGATATCGTGCAAGGCCGAACCGCAAGCGTTTTTACTGTCATAAATGCTCTCGATATATTACACCACAGTCATCTAGTCAAGTTAGATTATATTTTTTAGTTTCTATCTTAATTTTACGGCAACTTGACTGATGAACGATATTTTCACTTGTTACACGATAGCATATCAAACCCTTTAATTCTTTTTGACCAGGATCTCCAATGTCCCGTTTGTAATTTCGGCTTTATAGAAGAAATCGAAAATCCTGAAACGTAAGATTGTATATAGTTTTTATTTACTTATGTAAAATTTACTTGAAAACAGAACGAGTGCTACGTTGGATGGACCTTCAACTTTTAATGTAAGAAAAGAGTATGTTTCCTTATAAAATCTAACATTTCTCTATTTCAGATATTTGATCAAGGTGTGATGGAGATATCTAATGAAGGTAGTGACGATGAGGATGAGATAGAGCACTTTGTTATTGGTCATCCTCTCAACAGACATGGACCCCGCACAACGAATGGGCCTATTGAAACGTTGTATAAGTTCCATTCGTAATCATCTATGTGCTAAACGACATTTACTTTACAGCATTTTAGATCAGTTGCTACGGGACGTTTTAGGCGGTAGATTATTTGGAAATGCTGGAACTTAGTAAGTTTTCTTTTATATAACTTGTTCATATAGTAGACTAATTCACTGAAGTAATATATTTTCTATGAAAAAATAACGATTATTACTATTAACATATGCTATGTACTTTTCAGTACCCTTCATGGTGATCCTGGTGACTACGCTTGGGGGCCGGGAGGGATAGACTCAGTCGTTACCCAATTATTAAATCAATTAGAAAGTTCGGGAGCTCCACCAGCAACCGAAGATGAAATGAAGTCCTTAGTAGATGTTAAAATTAGTTCAGAAGAGGTTTCTCATTCCCTCCAATGTTCAGTATGTTGGGAAACCTTTAAATTGGAAGAGAAAGCAAAAGCAATGCCTTGCAAACATCGATATCATGAAGAATGTATTATGCCGTGGTTAAAATTGGTTTGTTGATAGTTCATTTTTTAAATAACGATACTGACTATATATATGTCTATATATATATATATAGCACGGCACATGCCCAATATGCAGAAAAGATATGAATCTTACGGATACTTCAACGCAGGAACCAGAAATCCCTTTATCTTCTGCTAACAGCTATTTGACGTTACCGAGTGGAAGTAATCGTTCGAGGGGAAATGATGGAACTATGGCTGATGAAGCACCTGAATAACCAATTCAGAATTGCTTTTAGATAATTTCTTAGGAAGAAAAGCTTTGACAGTTTTAATTAATGAAAAAATTGTTACCTTTCGTTGAGATTTTATATTACAATGTACTTTAAACATAATAGAATATCGATTTAAATAAAATATACTATTTCTTATTAAAAAATTTATTTATGTTTCTTTTTTCTTTTTTATAAATTCTTCACAAAAAAATAGTCGTCAAGGCATTCTTTAAAATTCCCATTAGTTATATGATTTGCCACCAGATGGCAGTAGTCCAATGTTTTGAAATATTTAAACCAATCGTGAAATCGTTTTTAAACTCTTAGCTGGCCGTTGATTGGTCAACCATTGAACGAAAATTTGGACGTTAGCTGGCTACATGAAGTTTGAATTCCGTCAATCTTTTACTGATTAAATTTTAAAGAAGAGCAAAAATTAAATATTTAAACGAAGAAAATTCTAATATTGTTATCACAAAAAAAATCGTTTTTTTCTCGGAACTGTGACTTATTTTTCAGAGGTAACCATATCTTTTGTCTGATCTTGAGAATCTAGTCAGAAAGAAAGACTTCATGACAAAGTTATGAATCGATTGACCGTGGAGCTGTACGAGTCATATTTGGACCCCTCATTTCGGAAGGGTTCAATAAGTACGGATATTCCAAAAATTGGATTATTAAAACGAGATTTGGACAATGATTTCAAAGCGTGTGAGGGGGAAAATGTAAACGATGAACATATGAAAGTATATCTTAGAGTCAAACCTCAAGATGAAAATGGCAAACGGGAATCGGAGGGACCTAGGGTAAGTTGATATTAGTGTTATACTTACTTTCCAAATGAAGTATTAATTCTTTTTTAGGATATGGTAGATATAACATCCAATCGAACCCTATTGATGCATGCTCCAAAGGATAGCCATCGTTATAAAAATCAAATTCATACCCAAGGGAAAGTTCAGGCATCAAAATTTACTTTTTCAAGAATATTTGAAGAAAATACATCTCAGAAAGTATTTTTTGATAACACAATGTTACCTGCAGTTAAGACGTTTTTATCAGGACAAAATTCTCTACTTTTTACATATGGGGTGACAAACAGTGGCAAAACATATACTATGCAAGGAGAACCTAAAAACCCGGGTGTCATGCCACGTTCTTTAGATGTTATTTTTAACAGTATAGGAACTAGACAATGGTTGGCAACAACTGTAAAACCTTTTGGATTTTGCTCCCTGGTTGATTTATCGAAAAGCGAGATTGAACAAGAGCAAAAGTTAAAAGAAGATATTTTAAAAATGGCAGATATACCTCCTCCTCTTGAAGATGATTCCGGTAGTTTACCAAATGCATCAAGTGTTCCTGATTCATCCTCGGAAATGAATTCGTTGTCATCGTTTAATTCAAAGTCTTCAATTGTTAGTAGTAATGCAGATGACGAGGAAGGAATAAGGAAATTTCTTGAAGAAGAAATTGCTCGCGAAAGAGAAAGTAGTAGTGTGGAGCTAGATAACGAAGATTATTATTTTGCAGTCTACGCTAGTTACGCAGAAATTTACAATGAATTTATTTACGATTTACTTTCTCCTGTTCCCAAGAAGCGTAGAAGAACGGTTTGTAATTTTCTTTTAATGGATAATACTTAAAAAAGAACTTTTACGTACAGGCCTTGCGTTTAACTGAAGATAAAAAAAAGTTACCATATATTAGAGGTTTAAGAGAAGTACAAATTACCAATGCGGAAGAAGCGGCAAAGTTATTGATTGTTGGAAAGAAAAATCTAAAATTCGCCTGTACCAAATTGAATCAACATTCAAGCAGATCTCATGGCATTTTCACAATAAGACTTGTTCGAATTCCTAAAAGTATAATTAACAAACAACAGTTAGCTAGTAGTCGAAGCATTAAAGTCAATATGCTGGCATTCTGCGACTTGGCAGGAGCTGAACGTTCGTCGAAAACAGAAGCTGTGGGAGTTCAATTGAAAGAATCAGGGAATATTAATACTTCGTTACTCGCATTAGGGCGATGTATAACACAATTAAAAATTAATCAAAAAGATACAAGGAAGAAAAATATTGTTCCATTTCGTGATTCAAAATTAACAAGACTCTTTCAAAACTTTTTCTGCGGAAACGGATCCGTTACAATGATTGTTAATATTAATCAATCAGAAAGTGTATTTGATGAAACATTGCATGCTCTAAAGTTTTCTGCAATCGCTCAGGAGGTAGTCCTCGTTCAGAATCAAGAGCCTAAACCACTTTTAGAAAGATTGGCTAGAACTAAATCTGCTGATATTACCGTCCCCTGGGGATCACCTGCAACTATTGCTGCTCATATGGATCCAAAGAATTTTGGTATTTACGATGAAACAGATGAAACAGATATAGAAAGTGAAAATTCTTCATTAAATCACTATCGTGTCTCTCTAGACGAAGCTGAAGCAACTCCAAAATGCCATGCAAACAATACATTAAATACGCTTGACTGCGACGGTAATTCAACTCTCACAGTGGACGAGATGCTGATTTTGTTTGAAAAATTGGAAAAAGACAAAGAGAAGAAAGAGGAAGAATTTTTGCTTGATAGAGAAAAACTGTGCAAAAATTATGATAATCTTATCAAAGAGATAGAAGAGAGACACGAGCAGGATCTTATTGATTTAGAATTGAGGTAGGTTAATTAAATTTTAAAAATGAAATATATAATTAAAAAAAAACATTAATTTTCCAGATTAGAAACGAAATATGAGCAAAAAATTGAAAATGTTGTGGATACGGTTAAAAAGCCTAAAAAACGAAGATGTCTCTTAAATGACTCACTGTCTGATACAAGTTCACACGACTATGAAACACAAGTAAATCTCCAGATTATTATGTTTTATAAATAGTTATAATACATTTAAATTAACAGATTGATGATCTCAAGAATAAAATAAATGATTTGGAATTGCAACTGGACAATACGAAAACATCTTATAAAAATACTGTATCCGAAAATGAAAATTTAAATGCTGCTCTAACGAAATTCGAGCTTCAGTTCGGTTTACAAAGGAAAGAGGTAATTTTTGATAAAAAAAAATTTCAACTGCTTCATTATGATAAAAACTCTTTAAATACTTTAAGAATGAAGATATGAAGAAACAGATCAAGTTTTACGAAGAGAAGTTAATTGCTGAAAGAAATTCGAACACAGAAACGGAAAAGAATTGCAAGATATTAAATAAGAATAACTTGGAACTTTCAGAAGAGATAAAGTCATTAGTCTTAGAGGTAACATTATACATACTGATATATATTACTTCATTAGTAATAATTAATTGTAGAAAGAAGAGTTATTAGAAAAAATTAAAGTAGTGCGAAAGGAAATTGAAAATTCAATGGTACATGGTGATGATAAGAATAAAAAAATTACTTCTTTAGAGTCGATCATTTCCGAGAAGGAAATCGCTGATGCAAAGAAATGTGAAGAGGTTTGATTTTATATCATCACTTTTCATATTCTATTCTTACAAAATCTATGTTATAAATTTTAGAATCGGCAACTGCAAAACCAGATTTCAGTTTTAAAAGAAGAGCTGCTCAATGTTCAACAGTTGTATGACAGTAAAAGTGAAGAAACTATTAATTTGAAGAAAGATTTAGCAGCTTTTGAAAGTGTCGCTGATCGCAAAGCATCTGAGGTAATTAAAAGTATTATAATAAATAGATTTATAGTATTTGTTTTAAATGCAGAGTGGTTGCTACAAGGAGAAGGTTGAACAACTAGAAGCCTTAATATCTGAGAATCAATTAAAGTTTGATGAGAAAATTAAAAGTATGGAAACTGATTTTTCTACAAATCAACTGGATTATAAAACTCAAATTAAAGAATTAGAAAATACTCTTTCTGATAGTCGAACAATTTCCAAGCAAAAGTTTGAAAGCTTAGAGAGTGAATTTTCCGAAAAACAAGAGAATTTAAAACAAAAAATTGAGTCTTTACAAAAGCAGCTTTCCGAAGAGCAGGAAAGTTCTAATCAAATAATTGAAAATTTGAAGAAGCAGCTTGCCGAAAAGCAAGATTATTCTGAAAGGAAGACTGAGGATTTTGAAAGACAATTTTCTGAAAAAGAAGAACTCTATCATAAAAAAATTGAATATATTGAGAATCAACTCACAGAGAAAGAAGAATTTTCCGAATTAGCAATTCAAAATCTAAAAATCGAATTATCGGATAAAGAAGAAAGTTCTGATAAAAAAATAAAGGATCTAGAGTGCCAATTGTCTGAAAGTCAGGAAAATCTTGCACGAGCCACTGAAGATTTAAAGAGACAGATCACTAAAAATAAAGAAGATTCAAAACAAGAAATTAAAGTTTTGGAAAATCAACTCTTAGAAAATCAAGAAACTGCGAAGCAGCGGATTGAATATTTGGAAGGTGAATTATCACAAAAACAAACCGAATATGAGGAGAAAATTACAAATATGGAAAACTCCATGAAGGAAGCACAGAAGATTTATGAGAATCAATTGAAAGATTTAGAAAATAAACTTGTTGAAAAAGAAGCTGAAAGTCAGAAAAGTTCTCAAATTGAAATTAAAAATTTACACGATAGATTAGAAGAAACTCAACAAGATAATGATCGAAAAATAAAAGAATTGGAAAATACTTTTTCTCAAAAAGAGACGAATCTTAAAGAAAAGATTTGCTCACTGGAAAGTAAATTATTTGATAGTGAAGATTGTTGTAAAGATTTTTCGGACGAGAATGAAATTCTTAAAAATCAATTAAATAAATTTGAAAAAGATGGCGGAGAAAGAAACGTTGAGGTAACAATATGAATTTTCATATTTTCTACTTATAAACATTAAATTATTGCAGAACGAAGAACTTAAAAAAACTATTGCTGATTTGAAGGAAAAGCTTCTTAATAGTCGTGCGTTGTGTAAGAGTAGCGATGTAGATAAAGAGGTTCTTACAGAACGAGTTGAAGAACTCAAAACTACCCTTAAACAGAAAACTGATCAAGTATATAATATGTTTTAATTCATATCAAACAGTCGACTTTATAAATATTATTACAGAACGATCAACTTACTAAAACTGTTGCAAAATTGGAGGCCGATTTCAATGAATTGAACGCAATAAATCATGATAGTATTGAAAAAATTGATGGGTTAAAGAGAGGAATTACTAAACTTGAGAGTGAACTTGATAATTCTGAAAAAGAGGTTTAAAAATCTGAATATTGTTAATTGTTAATTAATTTCTAAATAATCTTTCTAATTAGAATGACGAGTTATCGCGAAAATTAAAAGATACGGAAGAAGAACTTAATTCTTCGAAATCTTTATACGTTAAAACAATTGAAGAGAATAAAAGCCTTATTGAAGATATGAAAAGCAGAGAATTAGAATATAACGAGAAATTGAAAACGGTAGGCTATTGAATGGTTATCTATTGATAAGAAACTGATTTGTTTTTTATTAATTAGACGTTAGATAATCACTACGATATAGAGAAACTACTAGATGAGTTGAGAAACGAACAAGAGGAAAATCATAGATTAGAGGAGACAATTAAATGTAAGTCATTTTAAACTGTATTTCAAAGATTAATTAATTTAATTGTTAAATCTATATTTCAGCTCGAGATGAAGAATTGAAAAAACTTGAATCTGGTCTAAAAGATCAAGATATGGTTATAGAAGATCTCGATTTGATTATAGATCAAAAGACCGAAGACATAAAGTCGCTTAACGAAAGAATAGATTCTTTGTCGGAAGGTTTGTTTTTTCAAAAGGCTTTTTCTAATATTATAGTTTATTTTTTCGTTCTTTCAGAATTGAATTCCTTTAAAAATTCTCATGAATTTAAAAATGCCGAAGTCTTAGAAACAAAAACAAGATTACAAAATGAAATTGACGAAATGAATAATAAAATTATAAACGATAGAAAAAAATATAACGATCTATGCGAAAAATTGAAAAATGAACGTGATAAATTCTTAATGGACTCTAAAGTTTTCGAAGCTGAAAGTAGTCGATTAGAGAGCGAAAATCAAGGTATATATAATTGGATCAGATAAGATTTATTAATTTTCTTTTGTAGTTAAATATAGCTTGATTGTTTTTTCAAAATAGATTTGAAAACGAAACTCTCTAATATGGAGGTCAGCGAAACGAAAGTACACAATAGCGAAGAGACTGTTCTGGCTTTAAAAAAGAAGTTTAAGGTTTAAATGATAGTACAATTTTTTTTAAAAGTATATTGAAAGAGTAATAAAATATTATAGGCTCTCGAAGAGAAATGCACAGTGCTGAAAGAGAGAAATGAACAATTAAAAGAAGAGAATAAGAGTCTAGACGAAAATACAACCGTTAGTTTCTTTCTTTGTTGTTATTGTATATTAAAAGTAATTACATTAAAAATTGCTTAATATAGAAATTTCGAAGTGAAAAAGATCTTTTAGTTCGGCAAATTGAAACAATTATGAAGGAAAAAGATGAAAAGATTAATCTACTTACTGAAGAATTAGAGCAGTTAAATAACATGAAAATGAAAGATTATCAAGCTAAGGATGACACACCCGAAAAGCCGAAACCGAAAACAAGGAAAAAACGAATTACAGTTGCTGATGAAAATGAAAAGAAAGAAAAAGCTGTAAGAAAGGGGAAAAAAAAGAAACCGGCCACTGAGCCTATAACACTTGATTTGAATGATTCATCTTGCGTAATCGACCTTAGTAGTTCTGAATCATCGAAAAATGAGTTTCCGAAACTTCGACCCAGACGGGGTGGTAGAGCTAAAATATCGCACGAAGGTAATATAAGAATAAATGCTCTTTTTTTTCTTTTACTAAAATTAGACCTATTGCTTTTAAACAGATGGAGTTCTTACTCCAGCAACGGAGAATCTTTTAAGCACACCTAGCGCAGATTCAAAGTCTTTAACCGCTCCACGATCGTCTAGACGAGTAAAAAAGACGAGTTGTTTATTAGTTACATCACCAGATGATGTTCGTATAATGAAATAATTTATAAATATCTTTTAAAATATGAATGTTATTGACAACAGATCAATGATTTGCCATATATGCCACCTGCCAGGCAAAGAAGGAGAGGGAAAGAATCCGCTATTTGATGCTGCTATCTGATGCTTAAATTATTATCACTGTTGAAAATGCATTTTATCCTATATAGCTGTCAATATGTCAATATTGTACGATAGTGTCAATATCTTTCTAAAATATTATATTCCTCAAACTGTAACATAAAATGTTCTTTTTTTGAATGTTCATTTATTCAAACAATGCTAAGATCCTCCTTCATACTTGTATACTACTTACATCAATTTAGACTATATTTACATCTTATATCAAAAAAAAATGATTAGAAATTTAATAGTTGTAAATATTGATCATTTTACAGTATTCTAACATTTGGAAATAAAATGCTCAGCTAATGAGTACACTCAAATTATTCAGTTTTATTTATAGGAAAATTCAATATTGTCCTGTTCTATTTTTAGTTTTTTAGAATAAGTATAATAAACAGGTACGACTTAATATCGAAACTTAACGATTTGGGACGCCATATTTTTTAAGCGCCATCTATAGTCTAAACATTGATTTCGGGGAAACGAAACTATCATTAGGTTACAAAACTGTAGATTTTGCGAAAATTTTCATTTGGTCCCTAACAATGTATAGTACATGCAAAAGGTTGAAGAGGAGGTTGTTAATTCGTGTGAATTTCATATAATAAACATTAATTTTTTTAGAAGACGAAGCTCTAACGAAATGTATGAAGAGTGTCGGAAGGAAATGAAGCATGATATCTTAAAATCGAATTGGCTTGTATATTTATAATTGACTGATAATTTACCTTTTTCTATGTGCACTTTTCTTCTGAACTAGGAGTATAAAAGATATATAAAAGATGCGAAAAAAGCTGATTTTGTAAGTTTAATAGAATTTTTTAGAATAATTTATTGATTTTAAATATTTATATACATATTTTTAACTTAAAGATCAGACCCGAAGCTCTGGTTAATATACTAATTCCTTTCAAAGATATACGAACTACCTGTTCGATTCTTAAGGAGAAGATAATCCATTTCTCCGCTTGTCAAAAACAATTTCAGCCGGTTAATGACACAACTCTGGAGGTCATTGATTCGATGTAAATATCTTACGTCTGATTAATTGCAATTAATTGACTGTATTATCTTAATTCAAACAATTCAGAGTAAAGGAAGTTCTAGATATTATGGAGGAATTGATTAAGATTATAGAGATAAATGACTTAGAGTCATCTGATTTATATTCAACAGCCTGTTATGATTTTAGGACAAATGTAAAAGACTTTATTAACGAGTTGCTTATAGTCAAGAAGAATCCAAATCCAATTTTATCTACTAGAGCAAAAGCGGATATTGATAGCACGGAAATTTGGTAAATATTATTCATTCTATTATTTACATTGTTTGATATTTAGATAAAATCCAAAAGGCTACTGGGTTCGAAATTCTTTTCACGTGTAAATTACGAAGCATTTATCATAGAACAAGAACGTCTTATACAGGGTAATTGGGAAAATGGGATATATTATCAACTTGAATGCAAACAAAATCATCCTGGAGCGGTTTCAGCTACCTTCAATATTAAGGTTTATTAATAGTTTTATTTTAAATTAATAACAATTATACACAATAATCTTTATTCAGTTTGAAAGAGATAGAAGAGGTCAAACTAACCAACAAAGAGATAGATCAAGAGAAAATAACTTACCTGTTGCTGGAAAAGTTTATTATGTATTATATAGGGCCAATTTTTCTGAAAAAGATTTAATATTTTGGGGATTAAATAATTGTATAGCGCTATCAAGCCCATTAGTTATCATTACACAAACATCTCAGGAAGTTGAAGCAAAAGCTGCTCTGTTTTGGTGCAAATATTTCTCAGAAGTCAGTTTCAAAGTCTCAATATATCCCTTCATAGTTTTAATTGTGTAATTAATTACGTTAGGCCAAGATGGATTTGAAATTAAGAATAATCAAACCTCTTATGAAAGTCGAATGGTCAGTATTCGCTAATGCTCTAAAGCAAGAATGGAATAAACATTTAAAAATGTCACTGGCCGATGAGCATTTCAGTTATTTAAAAGAGTTGTTTGGTTAGTTTATTGTTCATAAAGAGTTCTTATAAATATGATAACTTCTTTACAAACCAATTTAAACAGAGTTAGAGGATGATGTTCTCACAAAGGGTTCATTTGAAAAAGTAGAATTATAAATATACTGCTTCTTGTTTATCTTTACTTATATATAACTTTCTAACAGCACTTTTTATCGAAAAACGCTAAAGGAGTAACTGTTTGGAGATGGTGGCAATGTTGTATGAACTTGGCAATTGATGAATTGCAAAACTATTGGGAAAAGGGGAAAGTATTTTCTGTGTTTTCATCTCTTCCATTTGAAGTAGGCCAATTAAATAAACTTTGTTCATCATCTCTACAGGATAATTTATGGATTTGTGAGCAAAAGCAAAGCTGCTAAAATTCTTAATGATCAAGAAACTGGTACATTTCTACTAAGATTCTCTGAAAATACAAGCGAAATAGCACAATCTCAAAAGGCATCTCCGACTGCCCAATTAGCTCTCGCAGTTAAGATAAATACAAGTTGTATTGTTAATTGTATAGAATAAGGACATTAAAATTAATATTAAAAAATATTCTTTATTCGTAGGTTGTGGTGTCATAATTCATCAATTACGATTGGAAGATATCCTAAAACCAGATAAGAAGAAAAATAGTCTCTCATTACTGCTTAGAAATTTATATTTTGAAAATTCGCCTCTTGTAGCCAATGGTTTTATTTTACTACATCCTAACGCGCGCCAAGAGTCTACTACCGTGCCATTTCATACAATCTTCGAAGATGTTCCAGAAGGGATACATGGTACAATTATTTTATAAATACTTTAAATTTAACATATACTTATTTCCATTTAGATGATGAACAATCGGGATATACTTTGCAACCGGCTGCTTGTCAAATAAATTTAAAACAAGTCACTACAAAGTAATTAATTATGGATTCATTATGAAAAATTTTTCATATGATTTATGTTTATATAGGCTTAAAAAAGTGGAGATTGCTGAGCCTCTACTTCCAGATTTTGGTCATTTATTCGAAGATCTAAATTGAAAAACCTTATTCTCTACTGGAATAAAATTGATTCGCAAACCAATTTGTCTCACTGTCAGACCTTTAAAAGGCAACTTTAAGCTTTGTTATACATATATTCAATACGTAAATAAACTTAACAATTGGAATTATTGTGATTGCAAAAATGAACGAATCCGCTGGCCCAATCTTGAAGGTTGATTATGAGCTGCACCAGCACTTGCCAGCAATCTGACACAATCTTCTTTAGATTCAATAGCTGCTAAGGAGATGGCTGTCAAGCGATTTTCGTCATTTGTTGGTTTGTCAACTTCAATTTCAGGTGAAGATAACAGTGAATCAATAACACTAATGTAGCCAAACGACGAAGCAAGGTGTAAAGGTGTCCAGCCGCCACAACCATAAGAATTAACATCAGCCTTATTTGAAGCTAACATTTTGACAACATCTTCGTGATTATTCCTTACAGCTAAGTGAAGGGGTGAATCTCCGTCATCATCCTTTTTCTCTATATTAACTTTGCTCTGTATCAATCGCTGTACACATAATACATGGCCATATCGAGAGGCCAAAGCAACAGCAGTCAACCCAACTGAGTTTGCGGCATCGTAATCTATTTCTATATTAGGCCTATTCAAAATTTCGTTTACAATTTTGTCGAAACCCCATCTGCAAGCTGTGTGCAACGATGTATCTCCTGTTCTGCTCCAAAGGCTAGGTAAAGCGCCATAGTCAAGAAGTATTTTTGAACACTCATGATAACCTTTCTCAGAAACGATATGTAAAGATGTCCAACGACCTTTTTGAGAAATCTTATTAACGGCTGCACCTTTCTCCAAAAATAATGTTAAGATATCTACTTGACCTTGAAATGCACTTAAATGAAGTGGTGTAATATTATCTGCTGCTAAAGAATCGACTCCCGCACCTGCCTCCAACAATAGTTCGCAAACTTCAGCTAAACCTTTGTAGGCTGCAAAATGAATTGGCATCCAAGATTCACAATCACAACTGGCACTTACTGTAGCATCATGCTCCAAAAGTAACTTGCAGACCTCTTCATTGGCTACCATATGTAAAGGAGTTAGATTTTCGTATGTACGACTGTCTACTACACTTCCGGATTTTAGTAAAATTTTCATGCATTGACTAAAACCTCTAGCACTTGTTATATGTAAAGGCGTTTTGCCGTTCTCATCCTGGAGCCAACCTGCTGCTCCATTTTTTATTAAACTTCTTATCATTTGGGAGTTTCCCTTATTAGCAGCATGATGAAGGGGAGTTCGTTTTTTTGAATCGCGAATATTACAGTCAATTCGCCCTTTCTCTGATATTAATAAATCTGCGATATCTGGAAGACAGTAGATGGCACAACTAGTGAGTGGCGCGAAGCCATCTACATTTCTACTATTTATCTCTGAGAGTGGGATAATATGACGAGCAACCGATCTATTTCCTTTCTCAATTGCGATGTGAAGCGGAATATTCCCTTTTATATCAGGAGTATTCAGGTAGGCGCGATGACTTAACAGAACCTGCATTAGCTTAGCATCCCCATATTCAGCCGCATAGTGTGTAGACATTCGCCCTTCAACATCTTTTAAGTTTGGGTCGGCTCCTTTACCGAGCAGTAAGCGAACCATGTCTACATCATTTCTTTGACAACTTATATGAAGACCTGTCATTCCCTTACCATCTTCTGACATAGTATTTAAATCATATCCTTCTGTTTCTATATAAGCTTTAAAGGCATCTATTCTGGAGTAAAGACAAATAAGATGAATAGGGTATAGACCATCTTTTAGTATATTTGATCCTTTGATAGCTATAAGCTGCCTGAAAGCCTCAGTTCTTTGTTGAGCTAAAGACAAAGATATAGCTGTGCTACCCCCATCGGTTTTCGCTGATAAATCAATTCTCTTTTCAGCAAAATAAATAATTTTACTTAGTATTTGATCAAAACCGCCATGGGCTGCAATATGGATTGGTGTCCAGTTATTGGGGCCTGGAGCGTTTACATTTGCTCTATGTCTTATTAGAAGCTCGGCTACAGAGTCGTGATCTTTTAGAATGGCAAGATGAAGAGCTGTCCAACCGCTTCGAGTTTTATAATCAAGGTTTACTTTTACTTCCTCTATAAGAAATTTTACGGCTTCAACTCTCCCACTTCTAGAAGCAACATGTAGAGGCATCCAGCCATGTCCATCTGACCAATGTAAGGGGACATTTTTCTCAAATAACTCAGAGAGGAGAGACGTATTACCAAGATCAGCTGCTGCGGTAGTCGCACAATATAGGTCTGGTCCTGGGGTATTACAGATCTGAGCTGCTTGTTGTTGATATTTATTTATCAGACGTCTAAATCTTGGAGGATTATTTAAGCGAATAGCCTCAACGAGTTTCTCAGATATTTTAATAGCCGTCAAGTTCTCCGAATCAACGTCACCTGAGCCTAATTCTTCAACTTCTTCGTCATCACTCATATTTAAAAGAGAATATATCAGCTCCTTCCCTTTTTAGATATTTAAAGAACGTTGAAGACTGAAAGGTCAATAAAGGATCGGTACTAAACATACGCAAACACTCTCTACCTTAATATTTATGTTTTATATTAATTTGACTTTGTAAACTTAGTTTTCTGAGGTTGTATTTTCTTTGGGACGGAAACCTCGACAGGCACACAAAATAAATAAGACTGACATATAAGCAAGAACAATAGATAGTAGGGAGCCAAAGACGAAATTGAAGAACACTGAATTACAGTAACGTTCATCGTTTGCATCTGATGAAACTCTTGAAAACAAAACAAACATCCAAATGTTCATTGTTATAAACCACGGAAATAGACAGATACTTAAAAACGTGTGAGTTCTGGATACGCATGCTGATGAGTTTCCATACTCATTCTCATTCTCCTCCCTGTCCTTTCGACACGTAAAATATATACTCTCGCCTATATACAATAAATTTTTAATCATCCACATACAACCTCCAAAAATCATAAATATGGGTATTCGTCTATCTAGCTGACATTGGTTTCTGTACTTAATCCCCATAACGATGAACGATAATGATAAAGCAAGGGAAATACAAAAGAACAATATATAACCCAATGAAACCTTTAAAATATTTAAAAGTTTATTAATAAAATCGATTGAGCTAGATGATTGGTTTCTAGCTTCCATTACTTGACCGTATAAGCTGTTGTAGGTTGGAGGAGGCTCATGGGGATAAACGTTATCATTATATGGAGGCGGTTCAGTTGACTCACTAGGATTTACATTTGTCGTTAATTGTACAGTTGAATACGGCGGGGGACTTTCATAGTTGTTCTGTTAGTATTTTTGATTAAATTACATTATACGACTATAAAGACGAAAATTACTTACAAAAATTATAGATATAGCTGGTGGATCATTGTTGTTTTGACCTGAAGCCATATTTAATATGACTCCAGCAAAATTGAACGTTATCTCGTTGTTAACTTATCAGTTTAAGCCTATTTAAGATTTAGCTACAAGTGTATTGTTTTTTTACATGTAAGAATTTTCAACAGATATATTTATTAAACTTTAAATGGTGGGGAAAAACTCTAAGATCGATTGCTTTCATAAAGTTTCATTGTGATATTCAACCGAAATCGCTTAATTTCCTGTGGCACTCGACAGTCGAATATAAATCTTATATTTACACTGCATAGTCATTCGTATAAAATCCATTCATATAGACCTATACTTGTTGGCAACGGTAACGCTAACGACTTTAGAACAGGGTCTATACAATTTCCCTTTTTTTCTTATATTCATTTTAATCAGATTGAAAAAAGTGTATAATCTTGAATTATACAACATTTCAGATATCGAATCGGATAGTTTCTTTCTCTGAACGTATCATACAAGCTTTAACTACGTAGAAACAATGTAAGTAAGAATTTATGTATAAAGTGAAAAGAGAAAGTAATTATAAATAGTTAACGTTACTTTCTAAACTTTTCGAAATGTAGTCTCTTTTATTTAATGAATAAATAAATCCTTAAATCTTGTAATTACATAGTTTCTTATATAATTGATCAGTTCTTTCGTATTCGTTGCAAAACTGTTCGTTCAATAAGAGTTTGTTTGTCGTAATATAACCGTTCAAAGCAGACGTTTCCTTCACCTTATATTTTCAATATGTTTTTAGTTGTCGCTATGAAAACGACTTAATTTATTGTAGAATTTAGCCTTTTGGACGGGGTGGAAGAACACAGGAAAAACTATGCCGAAGGTATCCGGCTTTACTTTTCCGGCTGGCAGTAAACTTTTACAGAAGAAATGGGAGGAGAGAAAGCAAAGAATTCATAATCAGAAGGTTCGAAACCCATTGTATATTTTGCTAACATTCGATAAGATTGTATAATTTGTTAATTTCAATAAATGTGTTTAATTTAGATAAATGCTATGAAATCTGGCGTCAACAATTCAACACCAAAGAGATATCCCCATTTGGATTTGAGATTGAAAAAGATACAAGTATGTTGATAATGAACAAAGTACCTTTTCTTTAAGTTTACACTTGAATAGATACAAGAAGAGAAACAAGCTGAAATTGATCACAATAACGAACTATTGTTGAGAAGACTTACAAACATTATGAAACATAGAGGATTGGTTGATAACTGGAATGAATATCAACAAAAAAGGCAAATATTTACTTTAATTAAAAGATATATCTTCCAATATTTCCCTTTTTTTATTGAATTATTTTATTGCAGTTTGAATCATGGTCATAGAGAAAAACAGCAAGAAAGGATTGCCGACGAAAATATGAAGATTGCCAAATATTTAGATTCGGTTCAACCTTTATATAATGTTAATAATTGGGTCAGTTAATTAACTTTTATTAAAGATTTTATACATTCATTAAATTCATTTGAATAGGAACAAGACTTTCATAAACATGAATATTTTTTGGACATGTGGAGGGAAACAACAAAAGAATATGACATTTTTACACCTAGAAACAAACGGTCAAGCAGTAATGTAAGTTACGATTTAACAGTATTCCTCTTTTCGTGACATTCAAATCTTTAAGTTTATTATTATTATTAAATCAACAAATTTCATTTTTATTGTAATGTTACACATATGCATGTTTTTTTTTTGACTTCTTTCTTTTGATGTTATGACTGAAAGCCTTGCTTTATGTTGTGAAATGTGCAGAGATACGATTACGAAAGTGACTTCGAAGATGATACTACCTCTAGGCCTAGCCGGAGTGCAGTTGTAAGTTCTATTTATAAGGCTGTCTCAATCTCTGTTAATCCATACGCTTTCAAGCTTCTTAAATTACTAAGATTAAAAAAACTTCTGCTTATATCGATCTATTTGAACAGGATTCAAAAGAAGGAGGGCGGGAATCACAAGGAAAGAAATTAAACAAAGTTAAAACTCAACAAAAGGTATTAGTTTTTTTATATATTTAATAAGATTTCGAATGATTTGAGTTCACGTTAACAAGTTTTAACTATCACACTTGATAACTTTCACAAATATCAATGTTTAAGCAACAACTATTTATAGTTATACATATACATTATTGAAATAGATCAATTCTCGCAATAATTTGTATCATAGATACTTGAATCAGTTAAAAATTGTCTCTTTTTAATATTGATCATTTGCAAGAGGATATTGAAGACGAGTTGAAAAATCATTATGATCATTACGCCAATTGTATTAGGAAAAAAAATTCACTAAACAAGATCATGAAATAACATATATAACGCAAAAGAAAAAGCATTGATTAGACACTTTAATATCTTGAAATTAATCTGTTTGTGTTTTATAACTTATTAAAGAATAACAAAGAAGCCACTCCAAGAGAATATGATCACAAGGTCAGTAAGGATTATTTGCTAACATATTCACTCGGTTGAATTTAAATTATAAATCTATAGATTTTTATAGTTAATAGAAAATATTTTATTTATAGGAGTCTATCGTGGAAAATGACACAAAACAACTGTTCAAAGCTTGTAAAAAATTAGGTGAGCTAAAACTACGCTGTATTAGGCCTACTTAGTATAGAAAATATTATTATGTATTTTAGCAAGGGCGGAGGAAGTTATTGTCCGGTGTTTAATAAGACGAACACATGCCCATAGAATGCAAATTAAGCAGAAATTCTTTGAAAAATTCGACTTGGTAAATATTTGCTCATATTAAAACTATTTTATACACTCTAGTTTCTTTAGGACTTAGAAACTGAATTAAAAGATGGTACACATGCAGATCTACACTTTATGGTTGATTGTCTACTGTCAAATAGAGACTCTAAAGATGCAGAAATTTTGTCAAGAGCTATCGAAGTGAGATAATAACCTTTCGAACTACTTTTAATGACTTTTATAAACAAAATGTTTTTATATCAATTATAGAATAATGATTCGGCAACCGCAGTTGAATATTGCTGTTCTAGACCACCTGCTTCAATTGCTGGAACAAAGAAAGCCCTTGTTAAAAGTTAGAGTTTATAATTAAGTATATACCTGTAATTATCTCTATTGTTTTCTATAGTTAATAAAAAGCCTCTGGAAGATTTAATTGATGAGCATATTAAGGATGAGGATAGTCGATCTTTTCTGAAAGCATTATTTCAGGTTTGCAGTCATAACATTAAACAATAATCATAGATTAATAACGTTTTGCAAATAGACAGAAAAATATGAAGAGATTGATAAAACTCAAGCAAATAACGATGCCTTAGAATTATTTGAAGGTGATGAGAGGCGATTTACAACTGGTGGGATCTTTCATAAAAAGGTTTCTGTAAGCTGCCTGCATCAATTGAGTTACATTATAACTTTGTATAGAAACGTAAGATTTGATAGATATTAATTGAAAACTGCTAGAATCTAACTTTACAAAGGTATCCGGTGGAGAAGATTTAACAGAGACAATGGCTAAGGATGCATGCTCTCAAGATTACATTAAAACAGTTAAAGTATTAGGTAAGATAACTTGAATATTCTTTCATAAGTTTTTAAGCGAATGTACGTAAATCAGTGTCCTGTTTGTCTTCGAGCGAAAAATATTTCGCTGAAAGTCTTCATAAAATGTTAAAACCGAATAACCCAGAACTCGTGCACTTGCTACTTATTCGTTCAGAGGTATCAAGTAAATTTATCATTATTTAGTGAAAAATAACATTAGCAATTGGTCTCGTAATGCAGATAGATACGCCTTCCATACGTAAGGCTTACAGAAAGATTTATGGTCAAGATTTGATTGAATCTATTCTAAAAAAATGCGGTGACAAGGCTGGCCCTTTAATCGCGCAGATCGCTGCGAAAGTGCCTCAGTTACCTCAAAAATATCCTCCAAGTAAACCTCAAAAAGATAAGGTGAGTAGTAACATAACTCCTTTTGATATTTATTAATTCAAATTATGTGAATTAGTCTCCCGGAAGAAGAGTTAATGGCGTTCCAATTCCTCCTCCTCCAAGAAAGGCTCCACTCAAACGGCCAGATGTCAGCAAAGGATCAACGGAAGATAATCTAGAAAATAATCCCTTAAGAAAGAAGGGACCAATGATATCTCCCAGACGTGACGTCGCTTCGCCCACAAAGCAAGGTAGTGTTACTCCACGGAAGAAAGATAGCAAGTCACCAAACAAGGAAATTGATAGAATACAAGATGCTATTAAAGGCTGGGGTACAAATGAAGATGATTTAATAGAAATTTTTGCCCGACGTAATAATAAACAAAGGCAAGAACTAAAGAAGCAATATTCAGAAAAGTATAAAAAAGATTTAAGCGATGTTCTAAAATCCGAATTAAGCGGAGATTTTGAAGAATTGATATTAGCTCTCCTAATGACGCCATCCGAGTATGATGCGTATTGTTTAAATAAGGCTGTTAAAGGATTGGGCACTGATGAAAATGTATTAATAACAATCCTATCAACGAGGAATTCTAAAGTTTGTGAATAGAATACTCTCTGTTATCTAATATCTAATATTCTATCTATGCAGGAAATTAGAGCTATATCTAGTGACTACAATAAGATATATAAATCGGATCTTTCTGAAGATATCGCCGATGATACTAGCGGAGGTTTTAAAACACTTCTTAACACTTTGTTGGTTTACGATGGTCCAAAAGATGGAGAAATTGATATAAACGAAGCCAAAGCTAATGCCGAAATGCTAATTGAGGTAAGTCCACCCTTGAAGAATATTGTCCTCTTATTTATTATCTCTAAAAACAGGCTGGATTAAGTGACGCATCACTCATTGAGGCTTTAGCAAAGAACAGTAAAAATCAGGCTAAAGAAATAATCAATCAGTATAAAATAGTAAGTGTCCGAAGAGTAACGAAGCTTCTTGAAGGAAATACTAACAGTTTTAATTGTATTGTTAACAGCTTGCCTCCAATGACCTTCTGGATGATATCAAAACAAACCAAGAAGGTGACGATGAATTGAGCTTTTGTATTTTAGGTAAATGGTGTATTTAGGCTAGTATTAAAAAAATATTGAAAGATCTTTACTTTGTAAATAGTTCGAGCCATTCAAGATCCAGTTTTATTGTTTACACAAAAAATTCGTAAATCTTTAACAACGAACGATGACGACATGCTTATTCGCTTGATAGTATCCAGGCAAGAGGTAAAAATATTATAATAATATATAAAGGCAATACAATTTGTTAACTCATTAATAATCTTCTGTGTAGATTGACCTACCAGAGATCAAGAAATGTTATCAGAAAACCTATAGTGAAACGTTGGAGACAACAATTGATAAAGAATGTAAGAAGGATTTCAAAAACATGCTACTGGCAATAATTAAATAGCCAAAAAAATGTATTCTTAAATAACTGTCAAGATGAAGATCATAGAGTGATACCGGCCGATGCGGCCAATATAAACATATAATTTACTTAATGAATGCAAATACAATAAACATATATATACACAGTATATATTAATATTGATTATATATACATATTTACTAATATATATATAAATTTATATATATATGTGTTTTAAATAATTAACAAGTATACATACATTGCTATACTAAAAGTTATGATACTGAAATTAAGCATTATAGATGACATTATGCAGTAGAATTAAAATGAGTATAGCATTATATATTAAAAATAACCTTTAAAAAGTTTAATGTCAATTAAAATCCTTTCTTGTCTTGTAGCAGTCTACAAGTGAACGGTGGATTCTTCATCATCTTCAATAAGATCTATATGTGATATTTCAGGAACAGCTGATAGACCTCCGGATTTAACATATTGAGGAGAATGCCCCAAATATGAATTGTAGGCGCTTTGTCTAAGAGAATCTGCTTTCTTTTTACCACCCTGTTCAACAAGTTTATAGAATAGTCCAGCTTCATTCTGAAGCAGATTATAAGGATGATCATTCTCAGCTATTCTACCAGCATCAACAACAAATACTCTGTCAGAATCTATAATTGTCTCCAATCTGTGGGCAATAGTCAAAACCGTGCAATTTTCAAATCTTTCCCTTACAACCTCTTGTATTAAAGAATCAGTATTCGAGTCAACGTTTGCAGTTGCCTCATCGATAATCAAAATTTTATTTTTCCTCAACATTGCTCTTGCTAGGCACAGCAATTGACGTTCACCGGCCGAAAAGTTGCTTCCAGAGGCCTCCACAGGACTCAATAGTTGTCCAACGATTCCGAATATTTTATTTTTCATTTGCACATTCCGGAGTACATTCCAGATCTCTTCGTCACTAAATTCAGAGAAAGGATCCATATTTTCCCTAAGAGTTCCAGTGAAAAGAATAGGATCTTGAGGAATAATGCTTATAACCATTCGCAGTTCATGTAAGCCAATTTGACTGACATCAATACCATCAATTATTACTTTTCCCTCTGGCTCCGCAAGACGTAATATAGCTGTCATTATTGTACTCTTTCCAGCTCCTGATCTACCAACAATTCCAACTTTATCACCTCCTTTTACATCGAATGAGACATTACATAATTGATACACCTCATTCTGGTCATAGGAAAGCGAAACGCAATCAAATTTTATAGATCCATTTTCAGGCCACGCTGGTCCTGGAGTGTTGTCAGATTCAAATCTAGCTTCCATAGGTAGACTTCCATATTGACTAACTCTTTGAACTGATGTTAACTATGAATGAAATAAAATATTTTACAATGAAACTTTTTTAAAAAAAACAAACATCTTTATCGAGACTTACGGTACTTTCAAGTTCAACTGTACGGCGAACAATATATTGGAATATACTCAACATTCCTAGAGTATAGATAATAGATAATCCAAAAGATGTTTGATCCAAACCTTTAAGGAAAATGAATAGATTAAATTTATGAAAGAGATGATAGAATGCTATTTACTTGTTGAAGTTGCAATAGAAACGAATACAAGTCCCGTGATATATGACCCGACGATTATTTCAAGTTTGTTAGTAAACCATCTATCACACATTACATAATGAAACCACGCAGCCGAATGCGCATCTTGTTGAGTCATGAATGTCTTTTCATGAAATTTCTCGCTTTTTAACGCTCTTATTGTGTTAATACCTTTGAGCATTGAATCGAATTGTGTGTAGACCGGATTTCTTGCTAGTGCCTCTAATTTTTTCATTTCCCGGATTGCTGGAACAGCGAAATATCGTACTATGAAAACAATAAATAGAACGGGAGCGACCATCAGACCCATCCAAGGGTTGGAAATAACTGTGTAAACTAACACACCCAAATAATGAATAGAGAACTAAAAATAGAAAAAAGTTAATTAGACATAAAATCATTGATTTTAAGAAAAACTTACATAGAGAACATCGAAGGAGATATACGGAAGATATTCGTCAATAAATCCAAGATCTCTCGAAAATCTGTTTAAAATCCGTCCTACAGGGTTTGTGTTGAAAAATTGCGTGGGGCTTCTTAAAACGGATTTCAACATTGTTGCGTGAAGTACTCGACTTGCACATGCAGTCATGGAATAGAACAATAAACATCTGGCTATACCCCCAACAATCATTGCTCCTGTAAGTCCCGAAGATAGGGGGAGATAAGTATCTTTATCTAGAAAGTTACTATGATTGTCTCCTTTCCTTTCAGTTTCAAACATATCCTCAGCCCACTTTGTTAATAAAACATCAATGAAAATATACAAGACTTGTGCGGATACAGATATTACTAAAAGAAAGGGTAAGAAAATACCCCCCTTTCCAGCCTTGATATAATCGAGAAGAGAAATGAAAGTCTGCTTAGCCGAACTTTTTGTTTCAAAGCTAGAGCCTTCGTTATCTTCGAGGCCTTCGTATTCTTCCATTACGGTACCAATCTGTACTCCAGTTGGGCTGACTGCGTCGATTGAAGTCACACTAAGAACTCTCTGTCGCGTTTCCTCTTCACCAAAGCTCATCGTTCTAGTACGAACTCTGTGGGTAGTAAAAGAGTGCAAGGAAACATCATCCAGTGACTGATTATCTTCATTATTCTGAATCATAGATAATACAGGGAAATATTGCGTCTGTTTATTCAGAAATTCCTCGTATGGGCCATCCATAATTGTTTTTCCATCTTGTAAAACTAAAATTCTATCAACTTTTTTCAAGAATTGTACTTGATGAGTGACTAAGATTCTTGTTTTGTCACCTAAAAACTCCTCAATGCAATCATTGAAAATTCGTTTACAGACTTTAGTATCTACTGCACTGAGAGGATCGTCCAAAAGGTAAACATCAGCTTCTTTGTAAACAGCTCTAGCCAGGTTGATTCTTGCCTTTTGTCCTCCACTCAAAGCTGATCCATTTTCTCCAACAAAGTTCCGGTCACCATTTTGAAAGCCTTTTATATCATCTTCTAAACAACATGCTCTAATAACAGCTTTATAACGAGTTTCCTCATAAGGTTGATTATATAAAATATTATCTCGCACAGAACCAGAAAATATCCATGCTTCCTGACTGGCGTAGGATAAAACTCCATTTATTTTCCTACTACCCGATTCAATACGCATTTCATTTAATAAAGTATATAGGAATGAACTTTTCCCAGAACCAACTTGGCCTACTACTGAAATTAGTTCCCCTCTCTTAGCGGTAAAGTCCAGCTTTTTCATTTTAAATCCTGACTCTTGCTCTTTTGTTGGCCAAACAGTTACCAAGTTTAATAGCTTAATTACAGTGTCTTCATCTTCCCAAACTTCTACAGGAGCGTCATCGGCACACTTTTCCTCAAGTAAGAGAAAAACTTGTATTCTCCTTAGAGATTCTTTAATTTCGGTTACTGTCTCAATACTAGTGGGTAAGAACCAAAATACTACAGGTCTCAATACTTCAATCCATGCTATCGTCACATATATTGTTTTAGGTTTTAGCGTATTACCAGTTAACACATATGGAATTATTATGGCCAAAAGCGATAGTTTTCCAATAGCGAAGTATCCGACCCAATTTAAGCCTCTTATAAAATACGATTTTCGAATGTAATTCACTTCATTATCTCTCAATCTAGTCAGAATTTTTTCAAATGGTTTCTCCCAACAGTACATCTTGATAACTCTCATACCAGAAAGAACTTGTTCCATCATATTCAAGCGAGCATCAGTTCCATCAGCTATGTTAACTCTGTATAAAAGAAATGATGTTTTCTAATTACATATTGTTCAATTAACTCACTAATTGATCGATAGCTACCTTAGTTTACCATAAAGACGTGCCACAAAATGTTGGATTGGAACCAAAAAAACTAAAATACCAATAGCTGCTAGACCATAGTAGTCGAATTCTCTGTAAAGCATATAGCCAATAACAGCTGCTAGACCTGGAGAGATAATTACGTAACTCGAGTAGAGAAAAAACTGAAATACGTAATAAATCATTAAACAAGAACATAAAATTATTTACTGAAAATATACCCAATAAAACTTTTCAAGATCTGTCGAGAGGAATGTCATGATTTGGCCAGTTGATGTTTTCGATCGTCCAGTTGAGCTTAACAGCAGTGTCTAGATCAAACGATAATTAATTGAATTTTACTTTTTGTTAAGAATATTACCTTTTTAAAAATAAGAGCACTAAAAGATGCTCGTAAACAAGTTGGACATATGGCTACTGCATGGGCGATGATGACTCCTGGTAGCCACGATGAAAGAGAGACTATAGCCAATCCAAGGCCGTAGAGCCAAGCACTTTTCTCACTAATATTTGGAGGGCTATCGAAATAATCCAATAGGTATCCGGTCAATAAAGGGGGAGCCAGTTGCAGGTAGTACTATATTTAGCAAAATTTAATTAGTTTCACATCAAAATTATTCTATATTGTATACGACGTACCAGAGCAGTAAAGCCAGTTGCTGCAAAAATAAAGTGCCATTTGAAACATGCCAACACGGCAAGAAGCAGCGACGGTTCTTTACCTCTCTTCATCTTCATACATTCTTTGTCCCAGTATCTAAAGTTAATGAACGAAAGTTTATTTCTATTCATACAGACAGAGAACGACTTAAGTGCATGTAATAATTCTTCTGTTGATTTTCGTATTTCTCACATTATGTGAATTAACCACTCTCTCTGAGGAGCGAGTGCCTATTAATGAAGATTTGTCGTATATATAGTTTACTATATTTAAAAAATCTCTATGGGGCTTACTGTTTCAAATTTTTCGCAGTTCTTTCAGTTGAACATATCATTGGAACGTCATAAACATCTTTTGGTGTTAAACTTTGTTTGTGACATTTTCTAAAAAGTGGATTCAACCACCTAAAAACGAAAGAAAGATATTAGATTGACATTAAAGCTTTCAAACAAACAAAATAGATGATAGTACCAAAAGAAAAGTTTTGAAATAAAACTTGATTGAGCGAATGGATCTCTTCTCACTTTTTCTCCAGTTGATTTCATACTTCGCCTCTTTGCTTTACCAAACCGTTGTGACTTCTCCGTCGAAATTCAAGCATTTTTATTTTACATTAAACCGGCTGGAACTAGAAATTTAATTTATTACACTTTGGAGTGTCATTTTTTTTAAGATTTGGGGGGCACTTGAACATCTTAATGGTCAAAATAGATATTTTGAATGTATTTTTAAATTTAATTTGTCCTGAATTTCGCGTTTTTCATCAACTTATTCTAATATTTTCAAGAAGAGAATGACTGAAAACAATACTAGTTGAATTCAAGTACATAAGTTGGTTCAATATCAATTTCATTCGATGGTCTTATCATACAATAACGAAATTCAACGCTGAAGGTCGCGATTACCTAGGGTTGATAAGCAGGCTATAAAAGAAAGTAAATAATGCTCTTGTGTTCTAATCATTTATTTACGAGAGATTTCGTTATATCAAATTCTACTCTTTCAGCTGTAAAATATTAAAAATAATAATTTAAGAGATGATAAAGTAACTTTAAGGAGATTTAAGTTGGGGCAAATATAAGTAGATAATAAAACTCTTGTTAAGTACAACGTTAAAATAATTAGTACAAAAGCTATTTCAAAATAGGTGGCGCTGCTGTTGTTATGGCCTTTTCGTACCAAAAATTACGAAATACTCAGACCTCGGCCCGTCACGATGGGGGTGGCGTCTCGCGGCCCTCTTTTCTAACCCTGACTTAGAATTCTCTCCCTGCACACGTAGTCTGTTTTCATCCACTGTTCAGTCTACATGGAGATGAATTGAATAAAATAATTAAAAAAAAGTGGCTAACGTGACGCGTTGAAGTCAACCTGTTCGGAATCAAAATGGCGCTTATGTACAGTAAAGAGTCCCAGTGATTGCGATTGTTGGACGAGGACCTCACTCACATCACTGACTCAATAATAAAGTGCATTAGTCTAAACCGAATTCGTTAAAATAAACATGCCGGGGGGAAAGATGACTGTACGAAGATGTACTTTCTCCATTCCTCAAAGGCAGACAGCTAAAATTCTAAAAACAACCTTTCTCTTTCAGTTTAAATTTATTTTTATTTAACAGGATTATGATTATGACCTCCAGAGTTAGGTAAAATATCGACGAACACAAATCCTTCACTCTGATAAGCCAACTTCAGCTTCTCTCTGCTATCTTCATCGGTGCACAGGCCAACAACAGCACCTCCTGAGCCTGGAAATTTAGCTGACGCGTTATGAGATCGCGCTATTTCAATTAAACGTAGATTACTCTCTCCTAAGGCTGGGTCAGTGTAAATCTCTCTTGAAAAATTATTACGATAGTCAGTCATGTTTCGATTAAAAGTATTTAATTTAACCTCCTCAAATTGAAGTTCTCACTCATTAGAAGTTTCAAGGTTTCCCAATCTTTCGCCTCAATAGCTTCACTGAAAATATGAATTATTAATTACATAAATTATAGTCTGTTTCTCAATAATTTACCGAGCCTGATCAGTGAGAAGAGAGAATTTTTTCATAGCCTTAACAACTTGTTCGTCGCCTCGGCGCCACCTTGCGCCAACGTCGCTATGTATTCTTCCAGAATCAGACGGATCTCTTAAATAAGCAAGAAAAAATTGTGGTAATTCAACGTTATCAAGTCGTTCGTAATGCCCATAATTCTGTTGCTGAAACAGTTCTTTACTGAAATCCATATAAACAAGACCTTCGTAGGTCTGGACCACTCTGTCCTGTAATCCTGCCTGTATAAAAAGTTCCTCTGTTTCAACATCCAAAACGAACTGGGGTTGAGTATGTAATGGCATATCGTTAGAGTTTAGCTCATAAAAACTTAACAGACACTGTAAAGTGGCAGTTACAATAGCACTAGATCCAGCTAGACCGACTTGACGAGGAATGTTTGTGTCGTATTTAAGAGTAAAGTTTCGTTTTCCTATGGCTATCCTGCGTGCAGTTTAGATTAATCAAGGAATTACAAAAAATATATATAAAGTGGACGACAGGTATGTTGGAACACCTGAAATTTTTATAGGCCAAATATTAAAAATCTTTTTCGTGATGAAAAAAGATTATTATTTTTTTTTTTTAGTGTTTAATAATAGGTTAAACTTGCAATTTTATATAAATTTCTTTAAAACAGCAGTTAGGTACGTTTTTACATATTTTTTTTTTTATAGAAATTACCATAGTTTTCTGATTTTTTTTTCTTATTTGGCCGCGCGACATGTTTATTGGAACAATGTTAAATAGTTAAATTTTTGGTCAGAGGTTATCAACCCCCACACCAATACTCCACCTCTCCCCATATTTTTTGTGACCCTGAAGTCCTTTTCGCTGTTACTGGTCCAAGTCCTAAAATCGTCAGGTCCACTTAGCGAAAACCTAGCCTCATCAGTAAAAATAACCCTAGACCAGTCTAGATTTTCGCTAATAACTTTGAGGCAGTACGCTTTTCTGCGTTTACAGTCTTTGGAGGTGAGATCAGTTCTTTGTCTGACTCTTTTATATTTGAAATTTTGTCTTTTCAGCTCCCTCTGTATTGTTCTTATGCTTACATCTACTTCTAATTCTTTTAATATCTTTGCTGCTGTCACTCTTTGCTAGTTATCTTTCAGTTTCTTTAAAATTCTTTTCATCCTCGCTATCTCTCTGTCGGAAAGCTTCTTCGGACCTCCCCTATTGTCTTGTTCTGGCTTCTTATACTTTAGTATGTTGCTAATTGATGATGGTGCCATTCCTAAAACTCTTGCTGTTGCCCTTAATTTGCCTATTTCACTATATTTCTTGATTACCAAATCCCTTATATCTTGACTCCAAACCATAATTAAAAAAATACAATATAAATTATGTACAGTAATTTTTAATATTCAATAACAAATTAACTTAACTTAAAACAGGAAAAAAGTTGAAAATTTTTTTGTTTGAGACGTCTATTTGAATGTCAAACCAGATGTCAACTCAATGTTCCAATAAACATGTCGCGCGGCCAAATAAAGAAAAAACTTATGAAAATTATTAAAAATTTTTGCTAATAATCTTCACAAAATATTATCATTTTTTTCAATATTATGTCAATTTAACTCTTTTTCTATATAAATTTAGACAAAAAATACTAATTTGCAGAGGACAAACAATTTTAACCGTTAATTAAAAATTGGCCTATCAAAATTTACGGTGTCCATATATACATGTCGTCCACTTTATATACCCTTTATCAGAACAATACTGATAAAATTTCTTGCAAGTTGCCTGAACCAATCTTAATCCGCCTAAATATCCTTCCCTACGAGATATAGCGTGTAAATCCCAAAGGGATCCGAATTCAGTCGGATCATTTAATGGATGGGGACATAACACTAATTTATCAGATTCTGTTATCGTAACATCAGCCCAAAAATTTTTTATTGAAAGAGCAATAGTTTTCCCATTAAATCCATCAGATGGATTGCCCATTAGACCTACCCTTGCGAATACCCGTTTCGTTATGGATCTTACTTCCTTAGAGGCCAAGTCAGAAAAATATTCTATTGCTAATTCGTATTGTTCCAAAGTAACATTTGATCCTATTAATTTGAAAGCTGTTGGTAACTTTAGGCCGTATATAGGTGTATCTCTTTCTATTAACCATGACATGAAATGTCCTAAACTACGAGGACTTTCTTTATGAAGAATATTAAACTCTGACAATGTTTGAATAGTGCGAAAGTTTAAGCAATAAAATACAACACTCGCCAATTTAGAATTAGTCACAGAGGCGATTGGCTTCTCATACAAAGCCTTTATCCTCCCACTAGCCGGTTCTATTTCAACAATTCCCCTTGTTTCAGGAGACTCATTTTCTCCTAGTTCATAATACACAGCCAAATTATCGAATTTTTGAGATTGTTGAATAACAGTCACCATATCTAGCTTACTCTCTTCAAATAACATTTCACCAGCTACCACCAGAATTGAGTCAAACTGTTTTTTGTTCACAGCCAAAGCTAATTGTAAATCCAAGCATGCACCCAATCTCGATGATTCAGTAGTTGTTCCGTCATTTATAATATTGTGTATGGGGAATTCGGATGCTGTTGCCCATCGCTCGTAGTGTTTATATTTTGCGGCATTTGTTACTAGGAGTACATCGGAAAAAAGTTGTCTGCTTCTCACTGCAGACCACCATGCATCAAGAATTGTTTTACCTTTATGTGTGGGAAGGAGGGCTTTAGGGACTCCTGCTAGGGACGAGTACTTTTGCGAAGCCTGTCGTGAATATGACTATGAGCGATAATATAATATTAGATCAAGCTTCACCTGAATTTCTTCTTCTAAAAGGGTACCATGTCCCGCTACTAGTATTACGCATAACATACTTTATGAGGAAAAGTTCCTTTGAATTTAAAGATATTTATAGCAGAAAGGCAAATAGAGTTGACTGTTTAGCAAAACGAAAAAATGTCTCAATATATCAAATGAGTAGTCCCGTACAAACGACATATGGCGCAAATGTTTGAAATAGATATTAAATTAACCAATTTACAATGTTTGTTAATTATATGTTTTGTTTATGACAAGAATAAGCCTATATATCTTATCGAATTTTTAAGATTCTTCAATTTGACTTTCACAAAAACGAACTAAAGTAATTTACTAATACAATATGTCGGAATAACAATTGAATTGGAATTTTAGACTTATTAGCATTTTAGAGATTAGTCCTACACAACTGATACTGACTATCCATTGTAAAAAGTTCCTTTAGTTAAAGAATAATTTCTAAAGATGTCGTTAGTATCTGCATAGAGTTTAATGGAAAAATAATTTGAACTTTATTATTTTTTGAATTGTGATTGAATTTTATATTACGCTTGTTTAAACACAAGAGATATGCTTTTAAAGGAAGCGGATAAACAGAACATTTAACTGTGTATTATGCAAAGCACTTAATGCTACTTTATCAGTGAATGCAGATTCAGTGATAGTAAACTAGGTGAGCGAACAGACTTTATCTATACTCAAACTACTCGCTTATCGTTAGTATCATTAATAACAGACAAGTATATGAAGTATAGTCACGGACTATTTCTACAGTTTACCTATCACAAATATCCCTTTAGTTTACAAACATGTCTGTATCGGTAAAGAGAACGTCGAGTGGAGTTGCCTCAACCCTTGCCAGCCTGCCAAAACCCAAAAATGGACATAGTGCATATGAAGCTTTTTCAGACTTTTTAGACCTCGATGACCACTGCATAGATAAGGAAGATGGTATTACAATAACTTCTTAAATTTTAACCATCGTTTAGTCCTCTAAATGAATTGATCAGCGTAAATATAATTGCAGAACATACGCCCCCTTCTTTGTCATCGAAGAATTCTAATCGGAGGCACAGTATGAAAAAAACACATGCACCTGAACCGCCTGAAGAGAAAATAGATCCATCTACATTACCCTCTGAAAACCAAATAAAAGAGAGATTAAATGACTGGTTTGATGCCCTAGCTCCTGTTTCCGAATCCGAAAAAAATCACATTAATAAATTAGATAAAACGGATCAATGGCGTTACATCTTGAAACAAATTAGATTGACCAAAAAGTGTTCGAGTTCTCTTTATCTAATTAATTTGAAACAAAAACGGGAAATATTATCAACTTTACGAAACCTTAAAAGGCATTTACTTGTGAATGATGAAAGTCTTCTCAATGAATTGGAGAAAGGTAACATCATCGTACATGTGGTCTCGGTTTTGTCAGATGGAGTCAAATCTTTGGTTAACAAACCTTTATCACTTTTTCAAAGGGATTCATACCATTTCATTATACATGATTCTCTCGTCTGCATAAATTTCTTTTGCAGAAAGGTAAGTTATAAATTGACTACAATTAAATATTGCAAATTATAACTGAACAGAATTTATCATTTACACTCTCTGACTCGACGGAATTTTATGAATCAGTGATATATTGTCTTAATGATTCTTTCGGGAGAAAAATTACAACGATCGCCTTAGAAGTTTTACAATTGGCAATACGAAACCATCAAGGTTTCGGGAATTTGATCTCTTCTCTGTCTAAGAGAAAAAAAACTTCAGAGCGATATAGCTTATTTGGTCCCATAGTTAACATTCAACGTTGGGAATATATAACGGAAAGAACAGCCCTTGCCCTAATTAGGCTTGTAAATACAATGATAAAACACACTAGGGACAACGAAGAGCAGGTTTCTTAATTTATTTCGACAAGACACAGTATAGCTTTTACAACAATATTTATCTTTTCCATATCTAGATATGGTTTCAATATGAGTTAGTTTCTGCTGGTTTTCACGCTAATAAGCTTGATCTATTGGAGTCCTCAGACGACCTGAGAGATTCACTTAACGAGTATCATAAAAACTTAATTGATGTTGACTCATTTAAAAGTGATTCATCACACGAATTACAATTACTTCGAGAGGAGAATAAGAAACTCTTAAAGCAGTTAGCAGAATCAGCAAAATTTAAAACCGAAGAAAAACACACGACAGCATGTCTTTTAAAAGTAGAGAAAGAAGTTAAAACGGAAAAAAAAAACAATAGAACAGATTCTATTCCAATAGCTCCTCCCATAAACCTTGGAATTATAAATCAATCATCTGAAAAGCGTGAGTTATGCATCGACACATTAAAAATAAAGCCAAAGGAAAGAATGCCATTATATAATTGGACTCCAATTAGGGACTTGGAAGGAACCATTTTCGAGAATTTAAACCATAATGATAAATCAATATTAGACAATATAGATTTTGAGGATTTCGAACGTCAATTCTGTACTTCATCACCTGTCGGCAGCCAACGTTTCAAGCGTATGATTGACAAGTCCTCGTCAACGTTTTTCTTTGTTGAGACTAATAGGTCCAAAAATATTATTATCACAAGGAAAAGAATAAATTTAACAGCAGTAGAAATTAGGGACGCAATTGAGAATTTAAAGATTGACCTAATTCTATCTGACGTTGCGGAGATTCTTATTAAATTTATCCCTACGGATCAAGAACTTGAGGACTTAGCGAAAAGTGTTAGTAAGCGAAGCCATTATGGTGAAGCTGAAGAGTTTATATATCAGGTCTGTTATTCGTACTTTATATTGGTATATAAGTATTTTATGATATTTTATTGCTTTAGTTGTCTCAAATTGAGCGGTTAGCAAATAAATTAGAAACCATCTACTTCCTGAATCAATTCGATGACAGTATTGGCAGGCTATCACCTGTTATAGGTTCAATTACAAAAGCAAGTCTCTCCTTGATTGATAACAGAAGATTTTTTGCATTCTTAAAAGTAGGTTAGACTTTAAAGGATGCTCTGTTTTGTTTATTTTGTTTATTTAAATTCAGATCGTTCTCTATATTGGCAATTTTACAAACTATGGAAAAAAACAATACACATTCGGCTATAGAATTAACTCTCTTAGTAAGGTAAACAACAATAGTTATCACTTTTTCCTGAATATCATATTCCAAAACTATTAGCTAGCAGAGGTCAAATCGAATGATAAGAAACAGAACTTATTACAATACGTACTTGGAGTGATACATGATAAGTTTCCCGAACTAGTTACATTTCACGAAACTTTAACGTTTAAAGTTGAAAAAGGAGGTATTAATATAATTGCGCATTAACATTTAATCTGAAATTTTAATACTTGATATTCTTTAAGTTTCGTACAAATCCATCAAACTCGAAATAGATAATCTTGAAAAGAAACACAGCATTGCATGCGAAGAAACGAAAAGTTGCGTTAATAAAAAAAATTTAGAGGTTTCTTTAGTTATCTTAATACTTTTTACTAAAGACAATTCGGTTATAAACTGCAATTTTTAATTATAGAAACTTTTACAACAAAGCAACAGTTCTTTGGAGGAAATACAGAAAAGTTTTCGAACGATGACAGAAAAATGGAATCTTGTCTGTAGTCTATATGGAGAAACACCAGACGTGACTGAACCATACGATTTCTTTAAAACTATATCAGAATTCATTCAGTTATATAAAGTATAGAATATTAATTTCAAGTTGGATCAATATGAAACTAATGTCCCATTTTTTTTTATTGTCCTAACAGGAAACAGAACGTAAATTATTCCAAAAACCTTTTATTGTTTCAGATAAATCCTTAAAGACGACAAGTTCAATTGAAATTAGATCTTCTAAGTCTAGTTTCACTCAACAAGCTAAGGATTTACACGATGCATTTGTGGAACAAATGAAAAAGCGTAAGAATTCAGTTAAAAATGATAAATCAGTGGAAGAAGCATTAAATGTCTTAGACGACGCTATCGATTCTCATTCTCAATTGACACGTATGTGGGAATGAACATTTGTTGTCATAAACATTTAAAGCTATTTGTATTTTGCAGTAAGAACATCGTCAGAAATATTGGACGAGTCCCACTTATAAACCACCTGTCGTTATTTTTGTTTTTATCTCCTGATATTTATATTCATTTCAGAATGACATGCTTTGTTATATATAATATTAATACATGTTTAAATATGTACCTACTTTTATACATTAAAATAAAATATAATTCTTTGTATGGTTAAGGTTGACTTTCGAACTTAAGAGTTTGAAATTACGTGCTTAAAGAAACAACGATAAAAAGATAAAATTGATCGATTTGTATTGGTTAGTTGTCATAAAGGTTACATTTCAGCCAACTAAAGTCACCTTTTCGGAGGTCAGATTCAGAGATATCCATTCATCGCTGATTGGCTATCAGAAGATATATAACAAACTGTCAAAAAGAAACGGATTTACTTGCCTGTTAAACAACTTCTATGCACAAAAGGTAGCAATATGATTGGAATTAGAATTGCCAAAGGAGGATGCAGAGGGAGAGAGGCTTATCGCTTCCCTCTCGCTCAAGTTTCGAAAAAACTTGGAAGATATTTTTCGATCTCGAGTCAAAAAAGCCAGCGCCCAGATTTGAAACATGAAAGTTTTGAGCATACAGAAATGAAATACTCTAACTCCCCAGTATGGGCATGGAATGAGTGGGATCCACTAGAAGAGGTTATTGTCGGCAGAGTTGAAGGTGCTACCGTCCCTCCTTTGACTATCGAAGTTAAGGTATGGAAATAGTTTTGATGATAAGCAGATGGCAAATTTGACTTACATGTCTATATATAACAATCTAATAGATATATCTAGCTACTTCTGAGTTAAGAAAGTTTATGACCTCGTTCTTTAAATAGTTTTAAAAAAAGGATAAAAAAATTCAGAGTTGTATATCAATTTGTTAACTTTGTGTTTTTCTTGAAATATGTAGGCAAATACCAATGAAAAGCATTGGAACTTTTTCAATCAAAATGGAGGTTCTCACTTCCCTGCTGAGCATATGGAAAAAGCCAGAAAGGAGATCGAAAATATGTGTGATATTTTAAGAAAGGAAGGTGTAGTTGTTAGACGTCCAGATCCAATTGACTTTGTGGAAAAGTTTCAAACGCCCGATTTTACCAGCTCTGGTAAGTAATTATAGTCCAGTTAAATTATCACTTTCTCCCTTTTAACGAATAAATTTTCACAGGATTATATTCGGCAATGCCTCGAGATATTCTCATGGTAGTTGGTGATGAAATTATAGAAGCACCAATGGCATGGCGTTCAAGATTTTTTGAATATAGAGCATATAGATCTTTGATCAAAGATTATTTCAGACAAGGTGCTTCTTGGACTACGGCCCCCAAGCCGCAAATGTCAGATGACCTGTATGATCAAGACTATCCTATGAAATCTGTCCAAGATAGACATCGTTTGGCTGCGGATGGAAAATTTGTCACCACTGAATTTGAGCCATGCTTCGATGCTGCTGATTTCATTCGTGCTGGTCGAGACGTTTTCGCTCAAAGATCTCAAGTGACAAATTACATGGGTATAGAATGGATGCGTAGACATCTTGAGGGTAAAGGAATTAGAGTTCACACTCTAAGCTTCAAGGATCCCAACCCAATGCATATTGATGCAACATTCAATATCATTGGGCCGGGACTAGTGTTATCAAATCCCGACCGACCATGTTTACAAATTGACATGTTCCGAAAGGCCGGTTGGAAAATCGTTCACCCACCAACACCATTGGTACCAGACGAACATCCTCTATGGATGTCATCTAAATGGCTATCAATGAATGTATTGATGTTAGATCCTAAAAGAGTGCTAGTTGAGGAGGAAGAAAAAACTACGATTGCTATGTTTGAAAGTTTGGGTATTGAGTGTATTCGTGTGCCGCTTCGATACGCGAATTCTTTGGGAGGTGGGTTCCATTGCTGGACATGCGATGTTAGAAGAAAAGGAACTCTAGAATCATATTTTTAAAAATAATGTTTTGTTTCATTGATGATTTATTGCTTTTTATTTTATGCCTTTGACTTAATACACATACGAGCTCGTTTTAGCTTCACAAGATTTACAGCACGCTTTAGTACGGCGATTCGGAGGAACGCAGATAGGTTGTTTAACGCAATATCCGCCGTTCGGATAGCTGTAATAGGTAGCATTTCTAGAACGGTCGGTGAATTGCCGGTCAATCGAAGTTTTATCTGTAATTCCACAAGTTTCACCGTATCGATGGCGCGAGAACATCGGCCACTTCGAATCAACAAAACTGTAAAAATCTTTGTAAGCCGTCTGATAACCAAAATCCGAATAAGGACGCGGGCAGCAGCCGTTTATTGGGGGATGAGAATGAGGGCCGACTCCACTGTATTAAATGAAAGGTAGAAGCTAAGATAAACTAGCGCTTAAATAATTAAGATTTAATTTCTATGCGTTTTCCGGTATGAATAGGCTTCTTATGTCGGGGACTGCAAGAGCACGAGTGAGCATGGGGACAGTCCTTTTGTTCAGAATGTGTTTCGAAAGAGAAAAGAGGACAGCGTTGATCCTCTGAACCATGGAAACAACCGTGAAGTGGACAATACACGCGTGCCCAATGCTGATCGACGTGTCGAGCAGCTCTGGGGGGATCTGGCCAATCCCAAGGAAAGGCTCTATCCTGATCGAGGGGAGCGTGCCGAGTATATCCATGCAACCGTGCAACTTGAGAACGAGGAGATGGCGCTTGCCAGCCGAAATCACGGCCATAGGTCGTCACATCTTCTTGTTTCGTAAATCTATATGTATATTAATTAAATAATTGGTACATGACTTGTAGACATAGGCAGACGAAAGAGGAAAAGAAGACGGGGATGATTAGCAGCAACAAGGCATCGAATCGTGCAATCTCGTACACACGTGTCCCAAGTAGTTTCTACAGGAACAATGGGCTGTTTGATGGTAACAAGCTCCTTGTGGTGCCGATCCCAAAGAGGGATCAGGAGTATGATCGGCAAAATGGCGAGAAAATCGTAGATTACAACCTTTCTCGCAGTGATTAGCCGGAGTTACATAGGAACTTTCATTTCTAGGATGAGCTACTGAGGCATAGCCAAAAGCTGCCATATCCTGTAGTGGAATTCTCCCCATAGATGGATATAAAAGACCGTAGTCAGATTGGTAGACCGATCTGTATCTGTCGTCCATCGGATTCGAATATGTGACGTTAACATGTTGCTTTGGAGGAGCCTTATCGTGATCTTTGTTCTTGTTTGACCTGCAAACAGGACGCTCAAATGTGCAGGTGCAGTCCTCGAGCTATAAACCTCACCTACATATACTGTATATACTGTATTTATTCATTAACTACGCTCAATTTTCTTATACGTATATACAGGATATTGTCTATTAAATAGCATTATCAAGCCTATTATTTTGATTTATATTATGAAGCTTTAAAGCAGAGGACATTCCGAAAATTCGAAAAATGCAGATAAACAAGCTTTCGAGATAGTTAGTTAATTGTTTTAAAACAAAACTTACGGAGTATTATGCCAATTTCCAAATCTACCTTCGGTGTAGTCTTTGGGAAACCAATGGCTGCCGACACGATCCCCATAAAGAAGCGTGGTTCGAGGACTTCCACTGGAGCCACAAAAATCATTCTTATATGTGGTATCGTATACAGCTGGTGTACAGCTGGAAATAGATAAATTTCAATTCACTTTGCAAATTCGTAATACTATGAAAACTTACTGAGCCATAATTAGCTGTTAAGAGGTTGAACAACGAATGAATTGTTCTGAGATATATTTTATTGACAATGAAGTCGCCGTTGCACTGAAAAAGTGCGTAATCTCCGACTTCTTCGACACGGACAGACTCGATGGGGATAAACAAATAGTAATATTCAAATTCCAATTTATTTAAATTTAAAATCGATTGCTGGCATGTCAACGCACTTTTATTACTCTAATTTTTAATAAAATAATAAGATTATAAAATATTAGAACCAAATTTCAATGGAGAATTTTCTCTCATTATTAATTTAGCGAATTGAGTTATTTTCTCTATCTTTTTTAGTAAATAAATAATTAAAAAAGAGAGATAATGGTTATTGTCTTATCAAATATATTTTATCTACTTTATCCGAAATATTTTAGGCTTTTAATCTGGATCCAATCTATAGATTAATTCTTCTTTAGTTAAGGAACTGATCTGAGGATAATTTAATTTTGGAGCACTGTTTCAAATAGGCTGAATATTTATTTAGCGAACGAAAGGAGGATTATATATCCCATTTTCTAATATCCTATGGCTTTTACTACGCGTTTTGTCATGTTAATATTATTGTTTATTTACGAAATAAACGGTATTTACGTCAGAGAAAAGTTTTTTTTAACCCTCTAAAAAATAATAAATATTTAGAAAAGATTTCCGGTAATAACTTTTTGTTTTTGAGCTAAAATCCTTTCTCCTTGATTAATCGGATAAACTAATAGCATAGATTCTTTCTCTTCACAACTAGTTATATATTTGCCAGCTTTTTCAAATATACCAATCTAAAAAACTTTCACATTCTTGTTTATTTAACATAAAACGGCCCTAATCCGGTAAGCACTTGACAGCGACACATTCGTAAAAGGTCTCTCTCTCCCTCTCTTTCTCTCGATAGAAGAAGAAATTTAAACTTCAAAGATATTTGTGAAAAATGGAACGCGAAATAAACATGTTCTATCGGCCAAACGCGCAAAGAGAGAAGATACTAAACAAAGAAATTACTCGCCAAAATGGGACTTTATTCCGTAACGATGGAAAGATTCTACCGAAATTTAGAATAAGAAGAGGAGATAGAAACTTGCATATAAATGAACGATTCTTTCATTCAAAGTTTGCTGAACCGTGGAAATAAAATGATTATCAATTATTATATAGATTTTTCAGATTTGAAATAGATAAAGATAATTGTATTTTTCTTATGTAACTCATTAATTATAGATAATTGATATGACAATAATACTTATATTAGATATATTTATATATCTACACTAAAAACAAAATAATACATTTTTCTTATGACTTTGAAAAAAACATCTGTCTATTGATCTTCTAAGTTCTGTGCGCCATCTAGTTTATGTGAACAGAATAAACTGCAACTGGAGTAGAAATCAATAAATATTCCATTATTTGCTATTTTTTCGCTCTATTTGATTATTCTTTTGGGAACAAGCATAAAAATGGCTAAACGAAAACTGAAAACCAGTCCGTCACGAGCTCTCCGTTTATGACGTCATAGAAGGGTATACTGCAATAGCAGACGACAAGCTACCATCTACAGATGGGAATTTACAAGATCTTTTTCATAATCTCTCGGCTTTCTTTCGTTTTTCTAAAAGAAACGTGGGATTACTCACACCAGGAGAAATGGTCCGAAAAATACCCTCTCTGTGAAAGCGGACAATCTCCTATACGAATCAATACTACTTCTTCCGTCCAATATTTTCCTCATCTCACTTTCTTTCAATTAAGAGGACACGAGAGTGTCCCACCAGGAGCTGAATGGAACTTGGTAGTCAAAGAAAACACCGTTCACTTAGAATTGAAAGGAGATTATTTGGTTTGGGATGGTGGTTTAGAAGGAGAATATAAGACTAGTCATGTCGTCTTCCATTGGGGAGGAGTGGAGCATGTTATAGATAATAGAGAAATGAGAATGGAAGTACAAGTCTATCATTTTTCTAAAACTTATAAATCTTACGAGGATGCTATTGGTAAAGAAGACGGTATTGCAGTTTGGGCTTTTCATATCGAAGATTCTAAAAAACACAATCCTGGCTATACTCAAATTATATCTTCACTTTCCAAAGCAATAGGCCTTGGTGCGAAACTTCGTCCAGTTGCATTACTCTCACTTCTTCCAACTAATTTAGGAAGCTACTTTTTTTATAGAGGATCTCTAACAACGCCCCCATGTTCAAAGGGTGTCCGCTGGTATATTTTGGATGGTCATGTGCCTCTTTCAACTCAACAAATTAACTCTTTCCAAAAGTCTGTTAAAAACGCTTCGGGGAATTTTGTTACAAAAAACATTAGAAAGCGCAAAGTAGATGACGTCATCGTTTACTCTGGAGACTCAAAATACGCAAACTGGTGGAATGTACAAACTCCTTTCTCGTTGACAGTAACAATTTTAGCGGGCATGGTTGGGGTTTTGTTTGTTATCTTCAGGTAGAACGTTTTGTGTAGAAATTTGTCTCCCATTTGTTCGACATTTATCAATGTTGGTTTTATAAATAAACGGCACGGAGTAACCGGGTCACGATTAATTTTTTGGTGTTTGCACAACTTAGCGCCAAAACGAATTTACTATTGGCCATTAAAGAAAGAGCGTATAGTCGCCTTTGACTAATAATGAGAAATTCCGAGGTGGCGCTCAGGTATACGCGAGAATAGCAGCACCTGGATGAGTCAGAGAATGGCGTGTTGTTTATGTTTTATGGCGGGCGTAGGAGAAAACTGTTAATCAAATTATACAATTTATTAATCTATAAATCTTATTAGAAAACAATATGGAAGATTTTACAACTTTAATAGCTAATTAAGGATGATTCGTAAGAAGCGATATACGTAAGATATCTATTTAAATTGATAACGACGATGCTGACAACATTACACAGATCGAATTTTTATTGATCGACTAATAAATTCTTTCTCTTAAATTTTTCAGGTTTGATAAAAAGGTGCCGGCTAACAAGGACTGTTGGTTATACGATTTCGACGATGGGCTGATACTGGTTAGTAAGCATTTAATAGGCCTACCAATTTTAAAAAAAAAACACACACAGTATCAGTAGTAAAAGAGATATTTGCTCTTTCCCCGTTTAAAAATAGACGGAATATAGGAACGCCGATCGCGATATCATGCCGAAACAGAATTTCACGAACGATTACAGCGGAACTAAACTGACTCGTTACCAATATCATTCGTCAGATGGATTTCTAAATCGGGTAAATTTACTCACTAATACGATTTTTTTTATAAAAAAAAAATATTCCATTCACGTATTGTGTGAAAAATACAACCTTCAATTAAGTTTTTTTTTAAAATTTGTACAAATTAAAACTATTTCTTGATTTATATATAAATATATTAATATATACATTCATACTATCTGTTTTTCAGACTACGAGTGATGACGTCAACCTGTCCAGATCCCATATGACTTTTACGACGTTTGGTAAACGAAATTCACACGCCTCCGATACATCTAGTGCTTACAGTGGTTCAGACGTTATGCAAAGTTCAATAAGTGGAGAAATAAATGCAGATCTATCGGGATTAAGCGAAACATTAGTCGATTCGGATGAAGAAGAGAGTTACTTAGATTTCGGCGAAACTGTAAGTAATAATTGACTATAGATGGCGCTTTTAGGTTTATTGAATTCTTTTTTAAGGACAATCAATTTTTCGAGAGTTTTTTTTTACGTTTTGCTGGCGCCTTACTTTCCTTTCCTGCAGTTCCCCTCCCCCCCCCATAGTCTCTCAATTAGTAGTAGTAGCTTGACAGAATTATTACAAACTACGTCAAAGGAAAGAATTTTTCGCTGAGTTTGGCGTCGCTTATTTCCTGTCACGCAAACGCATAATTTTTGAATAATCTTTTACTTCGTATTTTTCCTTATTCGTTTAAAGTGGTTTGGGAATAAGAAGTTGCAATTTGAAAAATTATATCCTATTAGTGTATTCGTTGGCGTTAACGACATTATAGCCGCCAGTAGAATTCTTAGCAATGAATGGGCAAGTAGGCCATATTTGGAAATGAATAATAAAAACGGCGTTGTCGAATCGATGAGATCGGCTATAGAGATGCCGGCAAGCGAACGCTAGGTTTTTTTTTTTTTTTGCAGTTCGCCTAGAGCTCGCTACCGGAACGTTTGATCATTTGTACATATTCGACGTTCTACCTAGTCGTTTATTTTCATTATTTGGATATCGTAGTGTTCTACTAGCAATTTTCAGCAATCAATATAGGACATATATGTAAAGAAGCGCCTAATTGAACCGACAAACTTTTATTATTCTGATTGGATTAGCGAGGAATTAATTAGCAAACATGTCGAAATTGTTTGAAAATTTTCTATTTTCTTATAATATGCAATTTATTCGTTTAACGCAGGTGTGCTATTTATTCGTGCAGCGTACTGATGAATCTAAAACTTCAATAACGTTTGTAATTTTTTCATTTTTCTCCCTCCCCCTATTCAGTCTCTTATGCGGGATAATGTTAGAGAAATTTTGGAAAAAGAGAGAAAGGAACGAACTGAAGAAGATATTGACGTTTTACTCGAAAACTTTCAGCACCTTCCGGCCTTTGCCAACATGACTCTAGCCACAAGGCGGGAGCTTTGCAAGGTTATGGTCTTTGCAGTTGTAGAAAAGTCAAATACTATTGTTCTGCAAAATGGGGAACAGTTAGATTCCTGGTCTGTGATTCTCAATGGGCACGTCGAAGTTGAAAAAATGGATAAGACCATATCTCACTTGCATATGGGAGATAGGTAAAATGCGTTTTACTTTATCTTATTAAGCCATTTGCAATCCATTTCTAGTAGTTATATATGTGGAATTTTATTCTATGCTTTATCGTTTACCATTGATATGCGCATTTTCCGAGATTGTTATTTCGCAAAAAAACAACATTTATAGTAGCAATTGCTTTAGATGCTAATTCGTTTATACAATGCAGTTTTGGCATCACACCAAGTCGCAACGTTCAAAAACACATTGGTATCATGAAGACAAAAGTCGATAACTGCCAATTCCTTTGTATAGATCAGGAAAATTATTATCGGATACTCACTCAGGTATGTAAGCTCACTTACAAGTCTTAATTAATTCCGAGACTATTCTATCTCTACAAAGGGAGAACAAAATACAGTTAGACACGAAGAGAATGACAAAGTCGTTTTAGTGACGGAATATCGAGTATTAGACGCAGGATCAAAGAGCGGTTATATAGTAATAAGGGTTCGTAATAGATAGGTTCTTATCTAAATGAGCCAACGTTATCTGCTATACTGCAGGGAACGAATGAAAAATTGATGTGGCAACTAGTCCAAGAGCACTCAACAGTCGATCCAACATACGTTGAAGATTTTCTACTCACGTGCCGCACGTTTCTGAAATCACCTACGGAATTGACGTGCAAGTTACTAGACTGGTTTGACGATAAGAGGTTGAGGGATCGTGTAAGTACTTTCTCTTCAAACTGCTTTTACGCTTGGGTGATAATAACGCCATTTCCAGGTAACACGGGTCGTTCTACTGTGGGTCAACAATCACTTCAATGACTTCGAAAATGAGGCTTGTATGAGCGAGTTCCTAGAAAAATTTGAAAATTTGTTGCGACATGAAGGAATGAATGGGCAATTACGACTATTAAATATTGCGTGTTCGACTAAAGCTAGGACTAGGATTATTAAAATATGCAAATGCGAAAAATACGAGGATTTAAAGTTTAAAATCATTGGAGGCTACGACAAAGCTGCACCGATTTTCGTCGCAAGCGTTCAAAAAAATAGTAAGGCTTACGAGGCTGGTTTAAAGAGAGCCGATCAAATTTTAGAAGTAAACAATACGGATTTCGAAAACATTAGTGAAAAAGGAGCGGAAGACATATTACGGGGTTCGATGCACTTATCGATTACCGTTAAATCGAATTTAATGTGTGGGTGTGAAATTTCACTCTCGATTTATTTACTTCAATATAAGAAATTCGATTTTCAGCGTTTAATGAACTATTGCAAGAAACTACCGAAACCTTCGCTGCACGGCGCTTATCTTCAGGCAGTCGGTCGAGTTCCAGTAGCTGCGATTCTTTAGCTCAAAGAACGAAACCAGTCGTGAGAACACCATCTGCAGGTAAGGAAGTAGTGAAAAAGAAGGGATTTATTAGCAGCGGACCGAAAGCTCTGAGACTACGTAAAGCGCTGATGAAATTGTATACCAAACCAAAATCCGAGATAATCGATGATAGAGCATCTGATGATGGTCGTCTCAGAAGAAGTTTAAGTTCATCAAGTTCAAGTCGTCTCAATTTGTCTGCCTCAAATCCAGACTTATCCTCTCTATGCCTTGACGATAGTGATATACGAACCGTACATGATTCCGTTATAAAAGTGTTCAAATCAGATCAAACATTCAAACTAATATGCCTCAATAAGGTAAAGTAGGCACTTGTTGTCTATTATAGATTTCATTAAATAACACCAGCTGTAACATTTACAGCAAACTACAGCACATCAAACCGTTTTGGCTAGCTTAAAGCAGTTTGGAATCACGGAAAACTGTTCGAATTATTCTCTATGTGAAGTAACTGTCGAAAGCGAAGACGTTGTTAAGCAGCGGCGTCTACCCGATCAGCTTACTAATTTGGCGGAAAGGAGCTCGTTAAACGGCAGGTTCGTGCTTAAATGAAAGACCAGTTAATTACTCTATACCTTGCAATAAACCCGTGATTATAGGTACTATATTAAAGAAAATTCAGAAACTCAGCCTCTCATTCCGGATGAACAAAAATACGAGCTTTTGGCCGAAAGTCGTTCGCCACTCCTGCAGTTACAGGCGGCTGAAGTAGCGGCACAATTGACGCTTAACGACTTTCATTTGTTCCATCAAATTCAATCGACGGAGTATATTGACGAATTATTCGATCGGTCTAGCCGCTTTGGGACGCCGAATTTAACACCGTTCGTTCGTCTCGTAAATAAGGAAACATACTGGGTAGTTACTGAAGTGTTGAACGAATCAAATCTCATAAGAAGAGTTAAACTTCTAAAACACTTCATTAAAATTGCACGACACTGTAGGGAATTAAAGAACTTTAATTCAATGTTTGCTATTGTTAGTGGACTAGATCATACTCATGTAACTAGACTTCATTCAACTTGGGAGAAAGTAAATCACAAACATATGCAATGGTTAGAAGAAATGAAAGACATTTTAAATCCGATAAGGAACTTTGCTAACTACCGCAATATAGTAAGTAGCGAGAGGGTTCAACCGCCTATGATTCCGTTCTTCCCTCTACTGAAAAAGGATTTGTCTTTTATCCATTTGGGAAACGACGATAAAGTGGATGGTTTGATCAATTTTGAGAAGATGCGTATGCTAGCTAAGGAAATCCGCAATGCTTGTAACATGGCAACAGTTCATAGCTCATTGCAACCGTTATTCTTCAAAGGTCAGCCAGCCTCAACAGCACATTCTGACAAAATTTTTAGCGCCTTTGGTTGCCGGGATCAATCTACAAATTCTACTCCAACTGTGGCAACCCTAAGACGAAAACGAAGGTCATCATCAACAATTAACTTGAAGAAGATGTACGACGATACGTTAATGGTTAGGAAATCAAGAGATTACTTAAGCAAGATAAAAGTGATAGAGAATACAGATGTATTACGAGACTTGTCTTTTCAATGTGAAAACAATCAAGGTAAAAATAACCTTTTAATATTTTTGTACCAATAATATATTTCCAAACGTGCTTTTTATACAAAACGAAAGGTGTCAACTTCAAAGTCACCTAATTATAAAAACGAGTGAGTGATTTGAAAGAAAATAAGCCCGTTTATTCTTCCTTTAGCATGTCTTCGTTAGCCGAAAAAAAAAGGATATAAAAAGATTTAAATCAAACAGTATCTTCCAGACCAGTAGCTTATTTGTATACTGTAGATATGTACAGCATATAAACATTCAAGATACGATATATATGCTGTAAATACGTTTCTATCCATCTATATATCTATCTCTAAGTATATAGATATATACTATATATAGTATAGTATATATATATATATATATATTTATTTATTTATTTATTTATTTATTACATATATTTGTTTTTATATAACGTTATTTTTTATTCTAGTTTGTATTCATGCGGAAATCTTTGATGCATGACCCCTAGAAAATCTAATGCATATTGTGTACATGACATTTTTTTCTTATTATTATTATCTTAAATTAGACCTAGAACGATATATAATTTTTTTATACACAGTTTGTTTTTAGATAATCTAGAAAATTCTGTCAAAAACATTCTTTTTTTTTTGTAAACCGTCAGATTGGTGTATTTTTTTTTCTTATTATGACGTATTTTAACAGGATCCTCACAGAGTCTAAAACGAGATCAAGCATCCTCACCAAATCTGGCTCCTCATGCTTTCGGTAAGCCGTAGAAACAATTTAGCATCTCATATCTAATTTACTACTATATTCTGCGTGTACATTTGTTAAATGTAACTTTTTTTTCGATATCTATGATTGCCTCTAAAAAGCAATAGACCTTGGTCTTAGCGCCATAAGAAAGCGTAGCTGGACCTTTGGAGAAAAGATAAAAAGAACTCAATCAGTTTATGTTCATGGTAGGGAGGGTTCATATGTTGTTTTACGTAAATTAGAGCATGGAAGTCAACGAACCATCAACACTTATTTTTAGATATTGAAAGAGATTTTTTGCACACTTTATTTTATATTTTTGCTTGCTTTCGTTTCTCTATCAATGAAATGTTTGTAACTACGTTTAACTATTAGTCAACTCTTTTTCCCATTTCATTTATTCGTTTCTGAATCTGTAGAATTCTTAAAGCTTTATTATTATTCAAGTAATTTCAATCTTAATTTCAGGAGTGGATAATGTGGATAACGTAAACAAATTAATTAGCCTCCGTTCCAAGACGAGACCTCATAATGATAAACACAATCCAATACCGAGGCATGCTTTATCGCCCCAGGCTAATCATCGTCCTCCTCCTCGTCCGCCTAAAACGACATCGAATGATTCCGATTCGGGTAATAACAGCGTGTCGAGTGTAGAAAGTCACTTTTCAGAAAGTAGGTTAAAGTATTTTCTAGTATAGCTCTTGCTGTTTATTAATGGGTATATATATAGCACGACAAGAAATCAGACCTCCCCTACCTTCCTACGACGATGCTGTCAAGCAACTTTCGACTAATAGTCGTTTATCAGGTACACATCGACACTTTTTCTACGCTCTGCTAACGACGACAAGTTTTTTGTCTTTTTTTAATATGCAGAAAATTGTATATTGTAAGATACATACAAATATATTGTATGTTGTATATACACCGCTGTTTAATTTAATATAAAGAACTTGCGCAAGGCTTCTCATAGATTTTTTTTAATCAGGTACTAAGCGCTGCACTTCAAGACCCCCTCTACCTCGTTATGAAGATGCCATCCATCAACAGCGGATAGCGAAAAATATAGGGTCGCATGGGTCGCAAGCATCCTCAACTACTAACTCAAAATCACCAAGTATGTATAATTTTGTCCGATAATCTATCTAGTTTTTAGTATACAAGGTACAAACAAAACAAACAGTGCGAACACCAATTATGGAACGGTTGAAAGCGTCTAGACTCTCAAAACCTTAGTCGTAGGTAAAGTTTTTGCCGATAGATGTCGTTATCATACAAAATTTTCTCCCCTCCTTCTCTCATCCCCCCCCATACCCTCAGTTCGTCCTTCTCTCTACGACCTTGTCAATTATTTATTCGCACTTTCAAAATTGAAAACGGCTATTGCACAAAACACATACTATTTATTTATCTATTTATTTATATATCAATTATATTACATTTCTAATTATACCTTTTATTTCGTTACAGTTTATGAAGAAAGAATAGCATTCGTTTAGTAGGAAGTTGTTTTTTTTTTTATAAAGTTTAAATGAAAAAGAAAAAAAGGCCTGCAGTTGTGTTGAACTTCAGTATTACAAGGAAAGCAAAAAAAACAAAGCATATCATTTTAAATAACAAAATCAAAGTGATTTTGCTTAGCCGACAAGCGAAATTCTACTGTTGAGAATTTATCTAATTATAATTTTTTTCTGAATATTTTACCTTTGAAAGTTAACAGTTTATTTTTTTTTTTACTACAAAAACATTAAATTTTATGATAAAAAGAAAAAAAAACAAACAAACAAAAATGTTTGAATGAATTTTAACTTTTAGTTTTGTTGAATTGTCTCTTTTTATTGAGATATTAACGGTTTAATCGTTAAGAATTTTGACGACAAATTGTCGCCATGTGACATTTCTATATATCGGTTTAAGTCACGCACAAATTTCATTTCTTCTTCCGTCAGAATACAGTCCTATAGGACATGTATCTTCTAATTCCGATAAAGCAGTGAGTCGGAATAAGATCACGCTTCATTTCCAATCTGCTTATTTACGTTGAGCTTGCGTTATAAGTTCCTTTGTTTTTTTCGCGAAAGAGAGCGCCATCTATTATAATTATACTTCAAAACGATTGTATTGAATTACATAATGACACATTCTATCGACGAAAATGCAACACGCAAAAATAATCAATTGGTAAAAGCGAAAAAACATACTCGTTTTCTTTTGATGCATTTATCAAGCGTAGGAGGAGGTGGACCTTCTTAACCTCCAACTCTTCTTCTTCCCTACTTGACGTCTTGTCCGATCAGCTTTGACCTACCTCTTTAATGGATTGTCCCGCAAGCAATTATAACAAACTTTTTTTGTAATAGGACGCTAAATTACATCTCTTTGAAGAATGCAAAGAGTAAAAGACGCCTTTGTTCATTGCTATTTATTTCATTTGTATAAATGTGCCTCTGAAAATGATGAGAATTTTTAAAGAATCTACAAGTGATCATCAATGTGGCGTCATGCTGGCTTGACATGCGTCTTACCTGTCGCAATTCGATTTGAGTTATGTCATTAATTAAGGTAGTTCGTGGAAGAGAAGCATGTTATTTACACACGCATACGCAATAGCTTCTGTTGTATTAATTTTCCTCAAAGAAGAAATTTAAAAAACGTATGAAAAATACAAAAATTAAGCGAAATGACAAATAAAGAAAGAAATTTTTTAAATGTTCGTAACAAAAAGAATCTATGCAGTCGATAAAAGTAAAATCATGGTGAACTTCCGTCCGCATTTTGTAGTAATTTCTCTAATGCGGCAATATAACTTTGAGCCATTTGCAGCGTTTCATATTTACTCAGCTTCCTCTCCGAACTTATGGATGGGACAACTTCTCGCAATTTATCAAACGCTACATTTAAGCTAGTCATTCTTTTTCGTTCTCTGGCGTTTGCTGCTAACCTTCTTTTCTTTACCACTTCTTTTGTTGTTGTTTGTTTCGGAGGGCCACGTTTCTTTTTCGTTGACATTATTGAAAACTGAGGATTCGCTTGAAATTGACACCAACATTCGCCTTCCATCGTTCGGGAAATATCAATGCGGAAACGAGCGTCTAGTCGATAGGGGTCGCCCATACAAGCCCCGCCTTTTATTCAAGCTCCGCCTCTGTTCGAGTGTTTAATTAAGCTTGGATTTCTCACAAATTCCTTGTAAATGAGCATCCATTATAGTCCTATGGCGCGCGTATTCATAAGGAACGTCAATTAGCTTTATAAATTTTGGTAGGAATGATAATGGATGAAATCAACGGGATACACGTACGGTTCATGTAAAGGACCTTAGAATCAGATAACGGCGTCGCGTGCCGTAGGCCTTGAGGGCACGAGCCTCCATTGGCAATTTCAACGCCAGTAAATAAACACTCGAGGCTAATAGATAATTGATTAGGAAAAAGCTTTAGCAGCAGACCAGCTGACAACGTTTCTATTATTCATAAATGTCGGTAGGTTTCTTTTGAATATTTCGTGAGAAATTTTTTGGGTACGGATTCTAACGCGAGACGTCAAGCCCGCACAGATCAATTACGTTCAGTCGTTTCCTGCATCTGTTGCGCTTCTTCACGACATTGGCCGCTTGAGAAGGAAGGAGGTAGGTTTGAATTAGTGAGCGGCCACCACACATATTATGCAATAATCTTCTACACAACGAGCGCGTCTCACCCTGGGAGATTTTCGGCGGTGCTTTACTGGTCTTAGGTGTTACATATACATGTATTTCTTTTTAGTATTGCAACAAAGCGACATTGAACATTAAAGTCCTTTATTTTGAAACAATTACGAACTCATTTCTCTATGAATTAAACGTATATCCCTCGGGTTGACACGACAGCAACCTCCAATCCAGTTTACGCCTAACGATTTCCACCCTTTTATGAACGTATGTATGGGCGTTTCCTTCTCCTCGCCACTTCCCCAACGGCAATCTTTGGCCAGCCATTCTTCACCGCTGTTAGGATAAGCTAATAAATAACGGTCTTTGGGTACGATATCAATAACACTCTTCATTAAAGGTTCAACGATTCGTGGAGAACAGCAATTTACACCGAAGCCAACTATATTTTTGAATGGTAATAATTCTTGAACGCATGTCTTAAAAGAGTTTCCATCGGCAATGTTTATTTCATCCTTAGAAGAGAACGAGATCCAAGCTGATACGTCTTTAAATTCACTATTCAAAAGAGTAGCGACACACAATGCTTCTTTTAAAGAGGGAAACGTGTCGAAGCCTAGAATGTCAACGTTTGCGGCTACCAACTGGGTAATTTGTTTCCGGTGCCAATCTTTTAACTGACTATCAGTTATTTTATGAACATAATCGCCCGTATATTCAGAACCATCAAGCAGATGGGCTCCATAAGGCCCCAAAGAACCTGCAATTTTCGGTTCGAACTTTGCCGCTTTGTCATCAATGCCTGACCAAAAGTCTCGTTTCGCTCTCTGTGCTAAATTTACGCCTTCTCTAAGTAGTTCTTCAGCTCTTCGATCACTGACGTTTAAATGCTGTTTAAAGCCTTTAATACTGCCTTGATAAGTGGCTGTTTCAATAATATTTGAACCAGCTTCTAAAAAGTCTAAATGAAGTCGGTAAATGGCATCAGGATTTGTTTCTATTAAATGTGCACCAAACAGCGGATTACTTTCGGCATCTGTGATACCATAAGACGAAAGGGTTGTTGTTAAACCACCATCTAGTATTAAATTTTTTGGCCATGTAATCATATTTCTAACAGCGATTGAATAAAGGTAAAATATAACTAAACGATATGAAAACTCATACAGAACGGGTAATTAGATACGCCATCTGGAAGATTTAAGTGATAACTTAATTTTGAATATTCATAATATTTACGAAATATTATATATGTACTTATTTGAAGATATACAACTAATGTGAGGGAGAAAAAGGCGATTAATTCATAAAAGCGGCCGCCTACGGTCGATTTCGTGACTTTTCAATCGAATAAGCGAATCAATGTTGACTGTACAGTAATGGAATTTATTGAAATCGATGAAAATTATAGCTGCGTTATGTTCTCTTTTTGTCTATCTTCCCCATTCCTTCACTTCATGAAACGTCTAAATATCGATTAGAAAAATAAAGAATAATACAGAGTCAATGTAAATTGACAAACGTTAACGAGCAAATCCAGTTAATGCTTGAATACACTCTTTCTTATTAGTTATATCGATCAGACAATTAATACTGCATAGTGTATTTATAATATAGTTATATATAAATGTATATAAAGTATACAGAATATAAATACTGGTCTTTATGTTAAGCGATTGCTAGAACAGGCTGTAAAGGGAGTTCAATTATAGACGCTTTGGACTTAAATACATAAATCGCTTAATCACTACTCACTTTTTCGCAGGTTACAAATTTCCCTAGCTTCGTTCAAAGAGCGTCGCCCTAGGTGATCACGTGACGCAAGTCACCAAGCAACGCCGAATCTTTGAATTCGAGACGGACTCAGAGAGCGCGAATATATTTACATAGAACACTCGAAGTAAGGTTAGTGATCATATATTTGCCTTTCAATAAGACGAAGCGGTCGTAATTCAAGTTATTTACCAACAAAAGGAATGAACGACTCCGAAGTGTTTCGGCCTACAAATGGGCCATTAATAGTACGAGGAAATTTGAGACAAAACCTTGTCGATGAAGCATTTAAGAAACAAGGAATGGAAAGATTGTCTAGGCCGGGAAGTCAAGCCCGATTCGGAAACTTGAGCTTTAATTCTTTCTTCGCGCGTCATAACCCGCATCCAAGCAGAGTGAGGCATATGCCTGGCTTGTTGGATATTCCGATCTGCACGGTTAATGATGATGGTTATTTTGCATCACCAAGATATAAATTATCTTTCCCGCCCAATAACTTTCAACAACAGAAAATGAAAATTCCCGTAAATGCAGATAGATTTCAAGATCCGTATAAGTATACGGTTGATACTATCAGTGGATTACAGCATCATTTAGGAGGAAACTTGAATATGAGAGTATTTAGGGAAAAAGCAGTACCGCATGTTGGATTAGTACCAGTAACGGAAGCCTGGAGAGACGAATTAAGGGCTTTAACTGATGCTGCATACAATGTAGCTCCGAAACAAAATTTACCGCAAATACATCAGACTGGAAGTGGTAAAGCCTCTCCAGCTCGTTCAACGGCTTCAAGACAGAAAACTCCCAATACGTCAAAGCCACAAAGTCATTGTTCTCGTCCGGGAACGAGAGTAAAGACGCAATACTCTACAGAGACAGGTCGCATAATTCCTGCAAGTAGTCGACCTGGCACAAGAAAAGATCGTTTATTCCATAGATTTGATCATATCGTTGAAGAAAACGACAAAGAAAGTGCAATCTTCCAGATGCTCTGCCAAATATTACAAACAGATGATATCAATTCTGTTCAAGCTTGGCTAGTGTCTGCTGGAGACAGAGGTTGTTTTATCATTTTCACTTGAAAAAAATTAATCTAATATATATACTGTATATATATATACTAAAACAGAAAAGGCTCTTGTATTGAATATGATACAAGCTGTCCTGGGGAGTAAAGAGGAATACAACAACCCTTATACCAATTATAAACCGTCTGAAGTGTTTCTTCCTCAGCCTATTGAAGGTAGTATAATCGGAGACGAAAAATCAGATAGGTCAGTATATTTAGTAATGACTATAAACGTCTGGATTTGCTCAGACAATAGACTGATTGTTCAAACAGGTTGAAATTGGACGAAGTAATAGAAAGTAAAAAAACTTCACGTATCCAGACTGCAAATTCTAAAAGACATAGTCCTATAGAAGAGGGTAAGTTTAGAGTATAATCCACAAAACGAAACGAATTGTTGTACTTAACTTTGTACAATAACATTACTGAAAAGATTTATGACAATATTATATAAATTCCATTCTCTCATTATTAGCATATACGTGTATATACTTACTTTAGTTTATTAACGCTTTTATGCCGAAATATTTTGGCTATATAAAAAAAAATTAGTTCGAAAATGTTCATTTCTAAATATAGAAATTGCTAAAGACGATTCGAACGAATGACGCTTGTAATATAGTTGTGAGTATGGGGTGAACAATTTTGAGATTTTAATAATTAAAAGCCCATTCAACGCATGGTTTAACAGTTTTTTTTTATTTTACTTTATTTAAGTTTTTTAATACTGTTTGTTAAAATTATAAAAGATCTTTTAGTACATATTTTTCTTTATGTAATGCTATTTCTCTCCTTAAATGCTTAATAACTCACAGAGTTTTTTTTGAGTACTTTTTCTTTTTCGAAAATATTGCCATTGTACTTTATATCTCATAAATCAGATTAAGGATATTCAATCAATGAGAACTGATCTGTTACGTCAATTCTTTTTTTTTTTCTTTTCACTACAGATTTTCAAGCACAGAGTTCAAAAGATGCGTCAACTAATACCGAAAAAGCTCCTCATTCAGCGCCACCTGTATTACGCTACACCCGATCGCATTATTTGTAATAATTTATATAAAAATAATGTTAGCATTTTTCGAAATCAGTATTACGTCTTGGCCATTTCCGATTGACTGCACAGTGTTTCAGTGATCAGTATAATTTGTTTCGATTGGCACATAATTGATCTATATGCACAGTTCGAAGCTTGGCTTTGAAAATTAAATATAAAATATACAAGTAACGCTACATATCCCATAGATGGCGCTTTTCTTGTGTTTTACTTAACCTTAGTTGTTAAATAGTTTAATTTAACGTAACATTACATTTTGTCTCCCTTTATCACACTTCTCTTTCGTAACAAATTGAAAGGTCAATAAGAATCAATAAACTTTTTGTGAATAATTCTGAAATTTAGAAAAATCTATAGGATAAGGGGCGGATTTCTCTTAGCATAATACGGTTGTGATTTCAATCGCACAAAAAGTTTGATTGGTTTTCAATAGTCTAATAAAGCTGAACGTTCAATAACCGAACGGTTACAAATCAATGGGATATTTAAAGATTAAAGATTACTTTCTAAATCCCAAATATAAAATATATTCCCTAGAAAGTTTGTCTTGAAAACTTAAAGAAATACAACACCTTATTAGATTCGTTTAAGGTTATTGAATGTCTGATTAAATACTTAATAGTTTATAAAGAAGCTAAGAAGGGCCTACACCACGTGATTTTTACTAATATTAAAAGAAGAATAATAAATTCAGACTATATGAAAACATAACCAAAACCTATCTGTAGGCTATGAGAAAATCTATATATCTATTTCTTCAAAAACTGTTCAAATTTAATGAAATAGGGGCAAAAAGAATGCAAAATGTTAATATAATATGTATTTTTTATGCTGCAAATAGTATTTATAATAAATATCATATGTTTTTAATAGAAACCGGACAAAAAGCGATATAAAAGCTGTAGAATAATGTTAATAAATAAATGAATGATGATTTATATACCCCTTAATTTGATATTAAAGAGATATAGATAAAAAGCAATAATATGAATATTAAACTTTTCAAAATAAACACTTCCTTTATGATATAAACTCTCTAGTTATATTTGTAAGATAATTCTATTGATAATCTCGTATTTTGAAAAATTAGACAGCCTAATCAAAAATAGAAGGATTACTAGCTGGAAAATTTTATCTATTAGCTTATTTGGCAAAAAAAGAAAAATACCGACTTTATCATAGCCCATACAGGATATAGGCTCTCGTTTCTCTATTGAATATTGACCTAGTGGGTCTGTTTGATAGAACCAGATGATAATGTCGAAATATTAGAAACAATTGTTTCTTGTTTTGGTTTTTGCATCATAATCTATAAATAAATTAGAAGTATATAATAATAATAATAATAATAATAATGATATTAATATAGTTTCTATGGTCTCATAGTGAAAATATATTTCAAATGTGCTATTTATAAATAATGCAATACTTTATATCTAGGATTTAGGTTAACGTAAACTAAATATAGTTTATCTCGAGGATAACATTCACTTTCATAATTATTGCACTTAAGAAGATAATACTGTAAAACTTATAAATAGATATCTACACATTTAAACACTATATAAATGTATTGCCTAATACACTAATAACTATTTCAATGTTAAAAGATATTTAAAATAGTCAACTCGTCTTTTAGCTTGTCAGGAAACGGTGACATTTCGAATTTTATTTGCTAAATAAATGTTCATCTTTCTCTTTTGAATTGCTTTATAAAAACAAATCCTAGACCTTTTTATGTTTGTAAATTTCCAGAGAAAAGTAGATTTTCTCTTTTCAAGACATGTCGTCTGACTATGAATCATTGTAATAGGGCTAGCTAGACGTTCTAGTAAATCACCTTCTATCACATGATTGCTAGAAAATTAATATTTATTATTATGCCGCCGGTTAGCCAATCATAAGGCGTTTTACAACAGAAAGCTGCCATTCCCAGTCGATAATAATTGCAGAAGCGTATGTCAGAGAACACTATACCATATTATTTACCCAGCTGACAATAGACCAGTTTAAGTATAAATACCTTATTTTCACCAAATTGTCTGGAGAGAACAAATGAAAAATATGAAGCTGTTTCTCTTAGCTATTGCTGTTGCAGCCGTTTCGGCTTTTGACATGGAACAAATGTTGGCATACGTCGACCCAGAGGCCGAAAATGCCCAAATACCCCTTTACAACCCACCTATACCCGATGACGACATAGAAGACGATATCTATTACAAGCCAAAAGCTTGTTGTACCCCTGATCAATGGGAAGGTTATGGAGCTGGACACGGAGCTGCAAAAAAAGGTTCTCACCATGGAAGAAAACGTATTCTCTTCTCTGAATTCTACCACTTTCATTACGATTTCAAAGGAAAAAGACTGGCTTACACTGAGTTCGTTGCAACATCCCACCATAGAAAAATGAATTTTACCATGATCGCTAACTTTAAGTCCAAGAAGGGATACGTTATTTATGCAGGAAACAAATGTAAAACCTTTTCTCTCAAGCAATCTATGCATAAATATTGCGTTCCTCAGAATGCATCATATCTCAGCAGCCCAATCCTTGGAGCCGCAAGTGACAGTTTGAAAGTTAATGCATTCGGTGGTAGTTTCCATTCTAAGAGAATGGCGGGTGCATATATGCTTACTTTCACCTCTAAATTGTGCATCCCAGTAAGCGGAGCTGTTGGAGTCAAGTCGAAGAGAGGATCTGCAGCTAACGGATTTTCCTTCTTCAACATTACTCCAGGAATAAAATCGGCTAGAGTTTTTACTCCTCCATCAAGTTGCTCTAAATATGTGGATGTCTCTGAAGATGAGGTCTTCGATAGCCAATCCGATTTGGGACAAATAGTACACGAGAAACTTATGCATGGATTTTAGACTTCCATGGAAATAATAAAAGGACATTATTTAGATTTTGTAATGTATAACCTCACAATTAACTGATCAGTTTAAAAGTTTTTAATAAAGTCTAATTTTCACCACGAGATGTCGCTTAAATTATTCTTATGTATGTGTCACATACTGCCCCCTATTGGAGAGTTCTGATGAGCTAGGAGCGATTTTTAATCAACGGCGAGCACGAATGCACCTGGGTCGAAATGAAAAAAAACTATGTAAATTACATGCGTTCACCGCCAATGTTATCTGCACAATGATGACGTCACAGCACGACGGCTGACGTCATCCAAGTGGGTGGTAGAGATGACGCGTGTTCTACGCCACAGGCCCCGGTTGACCTCTATTTCAAACTGAACTAAGTACTCGAGAGTTACGTAAACCGCATAGTTCGCTACGGTTTTGAAGCGTTGAGTAATTACGATCAAGCCGTAAATGACGGTCGCAAAATCGGTTTTTTGAAAATAATTCGTAGGATTGCCGTTATTAGACCAAGCAAATTATTCGTTGCAATGATCGGTGAATGAATGGGCCCGCTTATTTTGGATGACACGTTTATTGCTCGCTTAATGGTCTAAAAATCCGGCGACAAAATATAACAGATCCACTCGTAATTATTTCTTTGTGCCAGATTTCGTGTTGACGAGTTTTTTAACGAGGTAGGCTGTGAAAAACATATCTATCGAAACGTTAACTAACGTTTTATTGTATTTAGCAAGTAATAGCATAGGTAAAATATATTGAAGTAGTCCCTTCTAAGGCAAGAAAATGAAGAAAATTCAGCGTATGTCTAACATTGAAAATCGCTCGTAAGTACGATTTATTTGAGTAATGAATACTGTTAAAAGTTTGCAAATATTTACCGACAGCAAGGGGATTGGAAACGGTCCAGAGGGTAAGCCATCGGGAATTAGTACGTATACATTATACTCCGTCTTCCATTTCAAATCCCCTTCTATATGTTTTCTTGAATAAACAGACAAGAGAAGAGCTTTAACAGATTTAACCAACTCAATTTCTCGTGTGAGCTTGACGACACCCTGCGATGAATCGTCATCTACAATCGATTTAGAAGATGATGTTTTCTACAATACCCAAAGGGGAAATCCAGAATTAGTTAATAACTTGTTTAAGCCTGTAAAACGTAAGTGGTCGCGTTCGAATAGCGAAAGGCAGATAATTAGGTGTCTGGTTTCTAATGGGTATGAAGATGCCGATTTGGAATTAGATATCTTTAAATATCTTAAGAAGAAGGAAAAAACGCTAGGCTCCAAAATTTCCTTTTCCGATGCTGATGAATGCAGAGCAGAATTAGCCAAGTATCGGGAGCATGTCTTAAACTCAATGTGTGATTTACAGATGAAACTTCCACCATATGAAGATGAAACATTTTTCATAGCTGTTTCATTGTACGATCGAGTTGTTGAACGTTTGTGGATTCATCCTGAATGGAGAAATGTTCTTTTAGTTGGCACGATTTGCTTGAACATGGCAATTAAGGCGGTTGAACAAGTACATTTATCAATGCGCACAGTTGCTAAACGCTGTAATTTCATTAAAAATGTATCGTTTGTCCGTAAGACAGAAATGGATATTTTAAAAAGCGTCGATTTCGATTTATTTGTACCCACTCCTAATGATTTTACAGAATTTTTACTTAAGTTAACCCTCCCAAAAGGAAGATTAATGAAAATTTATAAACAAATGGCGATTTACATCTGCGAATTAAGTTTGTATGAAGATAAGCTTTCTGACATGGATAATTTACTCCGCTCCTCCTGTGCGGTGTATATAACGAGGAAAATTTTGCCAACTATTGAACCCACTTGGAATAGCAATATGGAGAAATTAAGCGGTTTATCAGAATATGATTTAAAACCAACGGTTATCGTTATTTTGGAGTTGCTTCTTGATGAACAATTCGTGCAAACAAAATTCATCTATACAAAGTACTCTTCGACAAATCACTCGGGAATTTCAACCTATATAATTCAATCATTAGCTCCGTCGTTACGTCGTCTTAGAGATTGCCTGAAAAATGGTTCGACTACTGTTCCTAACAAAAGATTGAGTGCCTAAATGACATTTGTTCCGACTAAAAAAAAAACAAGAAATATGTAAAATAATGATTTATTTTTTATTATTTTGCTTGAAGGTGTTGTTTTAAAAATGTGATTTATATATTTAATATGCTTATACGGTCCTTAATATGTAGTTTTATAGATAAGTTTTCTACTGGAAAATATTTTATTTGTACTTATTTTTTTTTTTTGGCCGTTTTAAGAAAAAGAAAGGAAAAAAAGCGACAATACAATCGATTCGTGTAAGAGTATTGCAAATGACTGTTTGCCTGAGGGCGAAGGACGCGTTACGCAACCTTAGCGCGTTAATTACCCATCTCTTCTAAAAAATGATCAAAGAATATTGACGACTCTATGCCGACTGTGACCGGTTTTGTCAACTTAGGATGGCGATTACTTATCTCGGTAGGCTTCTATTGCGCCTTTAATTGGTGAGAAAGAGGAAAAGATGCCTGAGGGTCAAAAGAGCCGTGACGAATTCTCGTTTAATTAAAAATGATTTATGCTAAAAGAATTAGAAAATGCGGGACTGTTCCGAAGAATATTCGCTTCTTTGTTATTTAGGCGTCTTCATTTAACACCTGGCAGCTATACATATATACATAAACGTACAACGAGATGGATCGTTAGCGAGATTTAATTATAGAAGAGAAGAAATTAATTTAATACTGGTTCTCACAATTATCGCGGAAAAAAGAGCTTAGAAAGGCTTAGCAATCAAACTGTTAAAAACGGTCGTAGGAGAAAATTCAATTGTTCAAATACATTCGAAATCGGCTGTGTCAATAGATCCGGAGAGCGTCAATTTTAAAGAAGATAGTAAAAATAATAAAAATTCATCTCAAGTTCTCATAGAAATTTTACCCACTAAATATAAGACAAATGCTTCTCAGAGTTGGGGCGATTTTCTGCTCTTTATGAACGGGCGGTTGAATAGAGCATAAAGAGGGACAGTTGGCTGGGTTCTGAGGAAAAACAGATTACGTGGATGTTCAGATAGAAGAGTAAATTAGGTGCTCTTAGTTCGTTCTGAAGTTTACCCCTACAAAAGATAATATACGATGATAATCGAACGTGAAAGGTCGTTTTTCTTTCCATTAAAATTAAAAGTTTCTAGTGACCGAGTGATTGATGAGCCGCATAACGCCGATAAACAAACAACCCTTGTTAAGTACAGCATTAAAAGTATATACATAAATTATTGAAAAAGAAACAAGCGGAAAAAAAAGTACTTTTAAACGCTTATAACTTGGAGTTGACGAGTTCGTTCTGAAACGTCTTTTGATCGTGTTTTTACATACGTCGAGGTCAGAAAAAAGTTCAACTTATTGATAATTTGAAGCAGTACGAACTATTTATATTCACTTTAACTAGATTTTATATTCATTTTTTATAAAATACGTCTGTATTAGATATTTTTAAATATATGAATAGATTCGCTGTTCTGAAATCTGTTTCTCAGGCTTCCGCAGTACGAAAGTCTAGTGAAATGTCTGTTTTAATACGAGATAAAAATATATACAGTGTATGTATACGTGCTTAAAGGTATACAGTGTATATCTTAAACAGATGGTCTCTAGTCCATAAAATATTGCCCATGGTCAGTTTTTTATCGGGCGGCGCTCTGTGGTTGGTACTTTTTGAAAACACCAATAATTTAGTTATATTGGGTTAAAAACAGCTTTAATTCGCATTAGCTCATTCTACAACGTCATTGCGAAGCTGAATGCGCAATTTAGAGGTTGGAATTAAACGGACCGTAAAACATAACCTGCTGTTCAATTTCGAGGCGGTGCTATTTTCAATATTGACGTTCTATCACGCCGTGCGTTTCAGATCTTTCGAATTTAAAAAAAACCAGCATTTTCTGTAATTTTTTCCGCCAATTAACGCTGAAAGTGAGAAACAGTAAGAGGCTACAATCGTGATTTGACCGATCAAAGTATTGCTGCTGGTCGACGGCCTTTTGAAGAGAACACGAAAGGGATTTGTTCGGTTGACAATTGGTTTACTTGTGCCTTTTATCCGTCAAAATTACTAACTTATTCGGCCTAGGTCGGTCCTCTTTTTTCTCTTCAGATAACACCGGATAACGTTCGGATGCTACTGTTGTAATTGTAAGCTTATCTGAACAAAGTGACATAACCAGGGTTGCGTGCCCAAATCGGACGGAACTTTTGAAGTGTTTAGACACTCTCATGTTTGTTTTTTACGTTCATTCGTAATCAGTGCATTAGAAGCATTAAAATACTTTTGTAATTTAGTACGCACTTAAACACTCGAAACGTTTTGCAGCTGCTTGTAAATATAATATGTAGACGTCCGAAAACCGATATTCGACGTCAATCAACGCTTATCTATCGTTTATCGTCACTATGCCGTTTAGTTTATTCAGTTTCTATCTTGACAAACATCTGTTTGCCATTGTAATGCAAGTTGGAGGGGTCGATTACGTCAAGGCGATTATAAAGCGTTTCTTCTGTGACCAACTTCAAAAGACAGACTCTTTTTGTATTTGAACAGCTGAAGTTCCATATCGAATGGCCCATTGAAGTTTTTACTTGTATAATAAGTACAAGTATATATTTCGGATTATCGAAAGTTTCCACCTATTACATCTTTTGATGTTAGATCACTCACAACCGATAGTACGAATTGCAGATCGAATCTAAGTGTAATTAGAGACATTGACAAACACTTCATGCTGCTTTTTTGACCAGACGATTAGTTTTGATCCACGTCATTTCAAATTCGGGCGCCAGTCCATGCGGGTGTAAAGTAAGTCGTATAATTTCTTTTTTTTTCCATTTTTCACAAAGACTATACTCTTTTATTCGCAATTTGGAAATTTGATCCTTTAACGCCAATTTAAAGCGCTGGGGTAATGAGCGTCTTATCGACTCATTTGTATCTATCCATCGATAGTGTCGGGCTGAGGTATTTTTTTTGTTTTTTGTTTATACGTCTGCATAAATATAGACGCATTTAAATCAATTACGACATTCGCTACGTTCGTTTACGTTCAGTGCATCGAGGCAAGGTTCGAAAATCTAAACAAAATCGTGTCAAATAAGCGTTTATTTATATAATAATGCCGCCTAATCCCAGTCTATTACACAATTTCGTTCGGCTATATACAATATATATAGGCTATTTGCTAGGTACATAATAATATATCTGTCCAATAATACAGAAAAATATAGATTTAAACCTTGCTTTATAGAATGCAAATACGAGATGAAATGAAAATCATTAATGAAGAATTCACAAAATTCTCATAGTTTATCAGTAAATGAGATGAGTATCTGGGAATATTTGATATATCTACATATCTTCTCCTTATTTATTTATTCAAAGCAATATATATACGACCGAAACAAACAATGTATATTCGCAAAGTATACAATCAAGTGAAGATATTTATACCATTCTCTTGTTTGATCTAATAACTAGTTGTACTAAAGGTTACATGATTGAAATTTCAAATAAATATACGTTAAGTTGTACATGGCTCTTATTTAAATTTCAAGCCATGATGGCATATAAAGGGACGTACAGCAGGTGGCCTATAAAAGGTCTGTATAGATTTAAAAAAAACCACCTAATCCCTTCAATTACAAAGAAGATGACGCGTACGGGTTACGTAAGTTTCGTTATTTTGCAGTATTTCGACTTGAGCCCTGTCACACGTTCGACAGCGGATACGTCCGCTATGTAAATATACATTTGTTCACATATCATAGCAATGCATATAGACTCGTTTATAATAGAAATGAAACTATAAACTCGAATAGCTCGAAACCTTATGGAAAGGGTAAACTAGTGTATACGTATAGTATAACAGCAGTCGTTTGAAGTGTGTCGGCGTCTTATTGACGCCCTCTCTTTAGGTGACTGGTTGAGATGAAGTTTGGCATGTGAATGGGGGTTTTATGAAATTTGAGAACGATGTTCAAGACCTCACGGGCACTCCTTTCAAGCGATGCTTCATCGAGTTTGTTTTGCCTGCGCATTTTTTTTCTTTAAATTCGTAAAAAATATATGAATTGTTCGTCTGTTTCTCACTCTGTCGCTCAGAATTCATTAAACGTGTCACGTGTAATAGAATACGATCCCTATCCAAGAAAATCGACTCCCTTCGTCGCGAAAGCTCTCTAAAAGCTCCCGTGACGTTAAAAAGGAGACATCAATTCCTGTTTACTTGCCGTATTTTTGAAAAACATTCTTACAGCACAGGCAAACCTTTCTCTCAGACTTAAAAACAGATTTGTTCACAAAGATTTTTTTCTTTATTATGTAATCGTTGCAAATTGGCGGCTAAATGTTCAATAATTAATCCGTCTAGCTCGTTGATTACATTTAATTGTAGGTCCATTTTTTACTTGTCTGTTGTTCCTATCTTCTAGATAAGTCGTTGACGCTTCAATTCGGAAATATTCAATTTATTTACTTTAATTAATCGTCTGTAGATTGCTATCTTCCCTTGTAATACTTGGTTGGCCAATCAGCGGCAAGCGCTGCTAGTCACGTGACTAAATCTTTCTTCACAAGTTGTCATTGTGCTCGTGGATGCCGCTCAGTTAGGAAGAGTTTCATCCGCTTGGATCGATCATAAATTTTTTCTGTCAATCACGTCAACAAATAATAAGGTTTGTTACTCATTTGTTAATTTTATTAGGAAGTTTACTTAGATATAAAAAAATATGCTGTTTGACAAATTCAAACTGAACGTTTTCCCGTTTCTCTATACTTAATTGTACGATATTTGATTTTAAGTAAACGGAGAACGTAATAATGTCGTTTGCAAACTATTGCGTGTGCATGAGGTGAAACGGTGTTTATCCACCTATTTCGAAGGAGTTCTGCTGTTCCAGCATCAAGTTACTTTAATCGCAGCGGACGTTTGACACGACCTATTTACAAACAACCATTTCCGAATGACATAAAAAAGGTTCTATTCCTCCCCATAATTAATAGTAACGAAGCGAAAAGCTCCTGGTATGATTAATTCGTAGCCGCATCCTTCAAAGACATTCCTTGGGAGACGTGAAGACTGGTTTAAATTTTCATTTTGCCATTTTTCTTCGCTTTCTCTCCGCGCCGCTAATTTTCGTCGGCTCATTAGCGTCTGACACGTTTTGTCTTGAATCGAACAAATCCGTTTCCCAATTTCACTTTCTAGTTGAATATGACGTAAGAAAAACTAACGGGGAATTATGAGAGGTTGGTAGGCGGGCGGACCGGTGGTGTACTATTTGCACTTCTGTTTTATGTATTCGGTGTTCTATCGCACGTTCCATCAGTAAATCTGCTCTAGATACAATTCCTAAGTGGACTAGAAGCGACGTTTAAATTTCATTTGAACGTGCCAGTTTTTCTATTTGATGTTTAAGTGAGTTGACAATTTTTTTGCTCCGATCTGAAAGCATCGTAATGCGCGTCAGGAATGCGTAAACTTCCGTTTTAATATTCCCCTGCACGAACGCAAACTTACTGGACATTGAAGTCTCCTTCTCTAGTCGCGCGCGCGCGTCTCACTTCAGTTTTCTCTTTCAAATCGTAGTTTTTTGAATCGCGTCGCCGGGAGAAAGTAAAGATCGCGCAACAGCTGACACGTTTTCATTTAGGCGTGAGAGCTCTCCCCTCCCCCGTTATATCAGTTTAACAACTGCATGCGTTCAGGTGACTTTCTGATAAAAAGGTAGTTGGTAAAAAACTTTAAGGATAAAAAACTTTTACCTCGTTAAGAAGACATTTTTTGAAACGTGCATAAAAATGTGGGTGCTTTTTTTTTGTTACAGTTTTTCCCGGCTATGCTAGAAACGTATTATGGAAGGAAAGGAAATTAAATCTAACGACGGATTGAAGAGATCGTATTTTGAAACTAAAACGCGTATGGTAAGTTGAACATTCCGAATATTTTTCTAATTCATTCGACGCAGGAAGTCGTACTAGTCGTCGGGTTATGAATATAGTGCGTCGTTGTTTAGATGAACCGGTCGAGTTTCATATAGATAAATGAGCCGCCAGCTAAGCATTAACGTATTACATCAAAGCCGCGTTGTCTGTAAAAAAAATATTGACGAATAGTAGGGAGTATGATGAAACTCAGATTGTGAGAAAAATTCCGATCACGACTTGTAGTAATTTATTTTCATCATGTCAATCAGCACCGTGTCGATAGGTCGAATTTTACAACTGACTTCTCTGACCAAATCGTTATTAATTACATTTTTCGAACGTTTTCTCTCGTTCACTTCGGTTATAAATATATTGATAGGATAATTGTGGTAAACATTAAGAGTAAAAAGTGAATATATAAAAACTACTCGCAGATGTATAATGCTTTATAATGAGGCGCTAATGATGCTAAGGTCGCTTTTTTTATAATCTAAAATTATGATTCTTTATAACCATCTGCCTCATCATTATTCGAAAGGCACTCGACTGTCTCCCGGGTAATGGCCGGTTGGGTCAGTAGGGTCAGTGTCCATTTTTAATATTCGTAATGTTTTCTGCCATTGTCCCGCATTACTTTAGCCCTGGGGTAAGAAGTTTTCGATTTATTACACAAATTTCAATTAATTGAAAGAGAAATCCTGTTCCAGGTGCGCTCTTGACTCTTTAATTTCTTACGGCCGCCTTATGTAACATTGACTATGACAAAGACATATCTTCCTAGCAAGACGCATAATTACTGTGCGCAATTAAGCGTATCGGTTCCGTGTGCATGAATATTTTAACAAATGAAATACGACTATGTCACGCAACGTTTATAAGCGTATTAAAGTCTCCTCCGCTAACCTTGTCACAAGGCGCATATATAACGGTTCGACGAGCAGTCTTTTGGCACAGAGAGGGGCGTTCTTTCTTCAACGGCCTACTTCAGCTTGTTAGTTTAGCAGGTGTCGACGTCATTAATGAACACTCGACCGACCGTTCACACGTGCTACATCGCTGACGTAACTGTGACGTCGTAAAAATGGCCAATATAAGTCTACCTCGTAACCTTTGCAATTTTCTGCCGCTTACTCGTTATTCCCTAAATAGAATGACATGGGAAATTTGTTTATTTTTAAGGCGATTAAGCGATAAGACAAAACAGATTTTGGGTCGCCGTAAAAAATATCAAGACGTTTGAAAACTGACCCCGGTTTTTTACCGTTTTTTCCCCCATACCATAGTGTTTCACGCCAATGCAGGCGTAGGAAATCGTATAATATACACGCACAACTTCGCCACGTGCGTTCGACCGACGTTATATACCTGCATGTTTCCGAGTGATAAATTAAGTCGTCCTTTCTTCTGTCATTTTTATACGGATCTTATCTGGTGGCAGCATGAGAAAACGCTTGACAAAGCCGTCGAAATGTTTTCATTTCAACACTTTGCAAAGTGTTCGCGTACGACGACGACCTTATTCCCTAATGTATATACAGCCTTAATTTGACGCATTCCTCCCCTTTCAGCTTGAAATTATCCAAGAGAGCCTTAGAGTAAAGCTAGAAGTCAACTTAATTAAAGAAGCTTTCTTGAACGTTCTTCATACTCAAAACAAATTTGAAAAAGAGACAAGACTATCTGGCCATCAATCTGATACGATGGAGATGGAAACCATGTCGCCGTCACGCGCTAAAGTTCGAGCTACCTACGATTCAAGACGAACCCGATTGAGGACAAAGAGAAAATCGCAGAAGTTAGATGAAGCTGAAAAGGAAAACATTTCTCCTCCTTCGAAACTTCATCGAAGTTGCAGGTGTTCTAAAAAGCAATTGACTTCCATTAGCGAAGATTTCTCTTTTATGCCTAAGGCAAAAGAACAATTACGAGAACCAACAGATGGCGCACAAACCTCCGTATGGACAAATTCGTCGAATTTCGACCCGGACACGCCGCCTTCAATTCAAGATATCTCTCTTATCTCAAAAACGTCGGCTAATTTACGACACGAAAGAACGTCAAATTCCAATCTCTTCTTCGACGGAACTTTCAATTATCCGCTTCATTCAACGCTTAATTACCCTCTGCATTCCACCCTGAACTCAGATCAGTTCGATGACATCATCGATACCATAGATAAACCGAAAACGGAAGGAGGTGAAGATGAATTCGTTGATAGCGTCAAAACATTAGATAAGGCTGCAATTCGAAGCGACAGCTTTAAAAGTTCCACGTCAACTTCTAGAAGTTCCAATTCGAGAAGTGGAAGCAAGAAATTGTGTAAAGAGCATGGCCTGCATCCCAAATTTGGAGGACCTTGTATTTTTAACAAAGCGTCTCCTGCTAGTAGTAAGAAAATTGGACTAGTAGCTACTGACTATGACAGTTCTTATCTTAGCGAATGCAGCGATGAAGACGACCTTAATGACGACGATAACATTAATCTTCCACTTCGTATCTACGATCCGCTAAAGGCTCGGATGCGCATTCTGAAAAGACAAACAGGTCAAACGTCACTTGCTAGACCAAAAGAAGCTCTTGGTCTTCAAGAGTCAAATTTATTTGAATCTCCTGACAAGGCTCATTTGTCTACAAACGCCACGTGTGCAAGTGAAGTAAATGGGAATGACCCGACAGCCCCTGATAACTCTCCAAACTCTGACGAGTGTCTGCCGTCTGCCTTCCAACCTGTACCTCATTCTAAAAGGAGAGCCTTACAGGTGGATAGAACTAATAGTAATTTTCACAGGATAAAGCGAGATGAACGGGGTCAATTTCGAGTTCCTGAGATTCCTATACCTATATCAAAGAAGATATCGACAAAGAATGTCAGAGAAGATAATGACTTCATTTATTTCTACGATAAAAAGGGTAGACCAAAAACGGTTTTGAGACAAACCAAGGAATCAAATACTAAATTAACAAAGAGAAGGAGAAGAGAAATTAAGAGAAAGCTCGAACAATTTAGTTCAAATTTTTATGGTTCGCAGGTGCCCGATGGCTGCAGCGATTCCTCATTAAGTGACACTTCGTCCATTAAGATTTTGGGTCAATTATAAAAATGCATAAACTGTTTCTAAGCAGAGTTTATTACAATTTCTTCTTTATGGTTTCTTGAACTTTTTATTTATTCATAATACAATCCTAGTCAATTTTTCAAATAGAACGCCATCTAGTGTTTACATTTTTTCACAAAGAAATCAACTGCTCCTTTCTACCATGTTTTTGGGTCATTCAAAAGAAATGTTTAATTAAATTGATAGGATCGATAAATTGTTCTCGAAAGAACAGCAGATTGTAATTGATAATGATGACCAGGTGAACTCGAGCAGCGCGCATTAAATCATGATCAATTATTGATTCTTTTGTCAGAATCCATTGCTCTCCAAGTAAATCTTATGAGTTACTTTTGAAAAATGAAAGTCATTCAGAATCAAACCTCGATTTATGAAGAATACTTGGTGAACATGAAGCCCTCATCTTCTGCTTACTCAAAACCTTAATTTATTCTTTCTCCCATCCGTTTAACGTTTGAAATATATAATAATTCTTTGGTATATTTTCAACTTTCTTTGTCTGATTCATACGTTAATTGAGTACCATTATAACAGCCAATAGTTAATTAAAAGAATCTTGGCTCTTTTCAAGTATATATTAAGATTATATTATTTTTCAATCTTAACTAGCTGTATGAACGCGAACTATATTCAAAGGTGAACAATTAATACCAAAATAGAATGCCAACTTTGTGGGTATCTAATTTGAATATGCTGCTTAACTTTTGTTCTCTTTGATGGTCCTCTTGCTTAGTCTGCATGAAAAATATCTTTTGTATAGCAGCTTCCGTAGACCGTTATAACCGCGAATTTCTAATGCTTAGATATGCTGGCTGCTGGGACAACTTTCCCTATTGTATATACTTTTTCTTCTATATTTTCTAAACAATTTTAATACTTCTCAGAGCCTTCAATTGGTTTTTGGACGATTAAATAGTGATTATTCCTATTAACTTATAGCCTTTGAAAGAGTAAATGAACATCTGAACTAAATTATTGAGAGTAAGGTTCAGAGAGATAGCGAAAATATTCTGCGTTCTTTTCCCATTCAAGTCCACTCAATAAAAAGCTCTTTTACGTTTTTGAAGTCTTCCTCCTTACATTGAATGTTACATAATATATGCAATAAATTGAATAGCTGAAAATCTACAAAAGGTATGATGTCATGATTAGTTCTATAACGTAAGCAGAAATCATAATTTTGTTAATTTGATTTCTCTTACGTAAATGGGATTATATCAACAATTCAATGTATTATATCATTGGTATAAATTGTGAATTATTTTTCTACCTTAATGTCATTTGTTAATTAGTTATAATGTCTAGAAATTCAAATGAATGGATGCTTTTCTAGTTATAGAAAAAGACAATTATATAAAAGTAATATATATATATATATAATTATATAAATAATTTATGTATGGAAGGTGTTGTAATATAATTATGACACTATATATATGGGTATTAACATGAAAATATACATGATTTTGTCAATGTAAAATTCCAAAAGTTATATAATAAATAAGAGTAAAAGAATAATGTTTACAAAGTTTGCTAAAACTCTTATCTTTAGGCAAATAGGTTATGTAATCAGCTATTTTTTTTATAAGATCTTTAAAGAGAGATGCTCTGTTGAATTTAAAATGGGTATTAAACATTAGCTTAACTCCTTTCGTACACTGAGTTCCAGTTGACTGCCATCGTTATATGAGTATTTTAATAAGAAAACTTTGACTGCTTCATTCAAGATACATATCTGTCATCTGGTTGGAAGTGACGCTAATTTGTTTACATATTTCCTTCAACATGAATATTCTATCCTAAATTATATACCACAGCTTTATACTAGACAAAACATCTTTTTCATCAAAACTGGTCGACACTTTAAACAACAACCATTTTTGTTTTTGTTGTTTTGTTACTTTTGACCTATATATTCGTACAATGTAAGTATAAACTTAATGACGCATTCGGTTATCTAAAATACTTTTACCTTCCCAATATGCTAACACGACATCTTTCGGTCGGGCGCTTAGTCAAATCATACTCTGATAACGGAACCTCAACATCAACTGTATGTTTTTGCGTTATTTTATTGTGACAAAGAAAGGAAGAAGAAGGAACGAGAAATTTTTTTTCTTTTACTTATAAGTAAGTTTATCAAACAAACTCTTTTAGACCTTTAAACCAATTTCGAATGAACTAATTTAAGTAGATTTAATTAAAGAGAATATATCTAAGTGTTTGTATACTTGCATGATATCTAATCATCTAAATCATAATCATGTTATTTTGAATATCTTAAAAGCGTACGTAATTATTAGAAAATGATAGTGAGTTGGCAAAATAGCAATAAGTAAGAAAAAATAAACGTTCTATATAAAGCACGGAAGATGATCATTACCTAAAAGTTATAGCTGCTATGAGAGATGCTTCATCCGAGATGTTTTAAAGTAATTCCTTATGAAAAAGTACTTAAGAACAATGGGCTAAAATTTCGAAAGTTTGTTTTTTCAAAAAAACAAAAACAATACGAAAGCTAAGCGTCTATCGTTATAGATTGAAACTTTATATATATTTTATTCTTTAGATTTAAAATGATGAATATTTAACCAAAATACAACGCTCTATATAAACCCGTATTCTTTAAATATTACTTTTGGCTAATATCTATCTAGCTAATCAATAAGAAATATTTTTAAAGGCCTTTTCATCCTTTTAGTTTATTGTAATATTAGAAATTGAGAGAAGGACAAAGTATCTAGGTAATCCTATAAATGCGTTCATAGAATTAGAGATTTTTTTAATCTAATTATGAGAAATCTTTAAAGTAAAACGCTTTAAGCATTTCTTTGAATATAATAATTAAAAAATTAGAGTTTGCTGTTCATGCCACAAAAAAAATTTCATATTGTACAAAGCTTCCCTTTTATAAATAAATTACTCTATTGCTAACTTTTTGGTCAATTTAATTCTGAAAGAAGATTAGATAGAATAGTTGATTATTTATCATTGTCTTCTTTCAACGATTCTTTATGGAAATTCTAAATTTGTATAATCTAGTCACGTGGGTGAATCGAGCAAATTGTATCTCATTCTACTTAGTTGCTATATGCAAATTTTAGTTGAAAGGTATATAATATCGTTACAACTTTTAATCATATTTATTTACTAGACAAGCACTTACAGGCAACATGACTACTAATATTTGGAATGTTAAATAGCTTTTATGAAAAGAAGTATTACAAAATCTTTTTTTTTAAAAAAAAACAAAGCAAAATATGTTTGTCAAGAATTCTCCATTTGGGAAGATCTTCATGCATCTAATAAAGGCGACGATTTACTGCCAAAATTTTCTCTATAGTTTCTGAAAAATGATGGATTTGTGCTTGTTGACGAGTCCGCATTAGGGTTTCCTGTGTTGTGAAGTAGTGACGCTTGTAGTTCATAGATTCTCGAATTGTTCAACGGTTTCTGTTGCGATTTTAATTCGTTTATAAGAAAAAACGCTACTGGTACTGCCAAGAAAAATGCCAAGCAGGAGAAGAAATAAGACCAATTTAGTGTTTCGCCATTTCCAAAATACTGTTTGGCCGGGAAGAGAATGAGGCTTATTAGATTAAAAATAGCTGTATGGAAAAATCAATAAAAAGTCTGTTAATGTATACTTTATTATCTAATCCAATTATAACTTACTTCCAAGAATGCTTGCACAGAATCCCCAAAATATTAACCGTTTATCTATATAAAATTGTACCTGAAACAAATAGCACAAAATACAGAGGAGGGTGACAAAGTGGAGAGTTATCGTTAGAGTCATGAATATTTGAACGACGTGCAACCAGCCTGAAAGAAATATGATTTAGAATAATCTATTGTGAAAATTCAAAATCTTATGATTTACTTGCTACCCAAACATTGAATCTTTCATAACAAGTCCACTCAGTTTTTAATTTATTACAGGCTTTCCATAGTCCAGCGTAATCAACATCTTTCGTAGCCCAATAAGGAGTCGCATAAGCTATAATTTGTATCCAAAAAGAAAATAATTGTAGTCCCAAAGCTAATTTTAAAGAGGAAGACGCAGCTTTATACCCCAACATGACGGAGATTCATTCAATTTTTTTGATCTCTATGTCATATTAACAGGTAAACGATGATAAGAATTTCTTTTGCCAAATTTTCACCTGGTACTGATAAGATACTAGCGCCCTCTATATTGTCACAAACGAATTAACACAAAAGTAAATTACAGACTATTGACATTTTACAGTCGATATGAAGTTTGAATTTATATTTTTAATACATAAAAATAGAAGATAGCATCAAAATATCTGGAATTACAGTTCTTTTATTTGTTTTCAATATAAAAAGTTAATGAAAAGTTCACCTAATGTTTTTATTCCGATTTCTTCCTCTAGCTTTAATAGTATAGGATTTATCAGTCGATTTATAGGAAAGTGGAGGTTGTTGTTTTTCCTTGTACATATAAAATATTTATTGTGTTAATTAAAAACTTTTATATTATGCAAACCTATCTTTAATTATATCTTTATATTGTTTGTATTTCAATTAAATGTAAATGGTAAAGTAATATTCCATTATTAGAAATTTTAAAAATCTTCCTTCTTTGCCGATATATCAACTTCATCAAATAAAAAAGATGAATTAAACTATTATTCCTTACAAGGGTGTTTTTGTATGGTCTCCGAGACAATTCTATCCTTACGGAAGAATTTGTGTTTATAATTGGGATGTATTAATTTGTATGCCTTATTCTTTAAGGGTTTTTAACTTACCTTTAGATTCATATTTTTATAATGAAAAATTATGTATTATACATAAATTATTTTACTAAATTCTAATTCTAATTTCTCCTTAATTATCCTTAATTATCTCCTGTCTATAGTTCTTCATCAACAGTTCATCAAAATCTAACGACAGCGACACAGGTGACGCCACTAGATCACCATAAAAAATATATATCACAAAAGGCAACATGGTGATTTGTATCCCACTGTCATTGGCAAACTCTAATAATTCCAAAGGATATGGAGCTAATAAGACTATTGATAATATAGCTGAAGAAGTTGTCGAACTTTATGTTAAAAAGTATATTCTATCTTCTATCTGTTGTTTTGGAATCATTGGTAATATATTAAACTTGCTGGTTTTGACTAGAAGAAGTTTACAGAATCGTATGGGTAATTTGGAGAGAAGTGCCAACATTGGACTCTGTTCAATGGCTGTCTCGGATTTATTTTTGTGCTGTATTCTCCTACCGGAAGCTTGGATAGACCAAAAACAATTCAGTTTTGGCTACTACTCTTTCGAATTGTGTTATAAATTATATCATAATACCTTAGTGAACGTGTTTATATTAACAGGAACTCTACTGATTGTTTATATAGCTTTGCAGCGTTACGTTGCAATCTTACAACCTATCCGAGCTCGAATTGTTGTAAGAACGAAAACCAGCATAGTACTCGTATCCTTGATATGGTTTATGGGTATTGTCTTAAATATTCCCCGATTGTTCTATGAGGTTGCTAACAGCATGGAATGTGTTGGAAACTTTAGCGTATTCTATTTGGCTGAAGGTTTCATGAAGAAACACGGTGTTCTATCATTAGCGTACGAGTGGTCATTCAGCCTCTTTGGAATATTTGCTCCTCTGATAATTTTACTTTATTGTAACGTGCATTTGATTCGTGCCCTTCAAACTTCAACGAAAATGAGAGGCCAATTTCGAAATGATAATAATCGTAAGGAGCGTGAGTCTACAAGACGTGTAACTCTTACACTTGTGGTCATAGTTATTTCGTTTATTGTACTTGTAGTTCCAACCGAGATTATGAAACTTCTCAAAGAGATTGGTACCCAAAGAAGAATGACCCCGGGGTACAACATGCTTCTAGCTTTTGCGAATGTCGGTCAGAGTGTCAATTTTGCCTTTAATTTTATATTATATTGCTTCGTCAATCCTAATTTTAGAAATACGCTTAAATTACTGTTATTACCTGCTTGTCTTCGAAAGCCGACTGCTATTTTAGAGGAGAGTGGGGAGACCGTTAAATTAACAACGGTTCATTTCACTAATTCAACGAAATGCGAGGTTAAGGAAGAGAAAGCTGCTTTAAAAGCTAACTTAAAGAATAACATAAAGTATGAGAGATAAACAAAAAAACGTCAAAACAAGGATGTAACATTCAAAGGAAAATGTTGTTATCGTGTGATACGTTGCTGTTTTTCTAAACGTTTTTAAACGTTATTGTAGAATGTTTTCATTTCTTTCACTAAAAAGGTGAAGAATATTTCACCTAGATTTTTAGTTGGTTAGAAACAAAGCTTTAAGTTATCAAGCATCTTTATAAATGTATTCAATTTGCTCTATAACAGAAGTATTAATGCATTTCCTGTAGATTTGTATTAGATGGCGTGTTTTGCGTGTCGATAGATTCAGCTTGACGGTGGACAAATTATCAACGACAATTTATTCACAATTACTTGGCATTTGTCTATTCGTATCGCTGAAGAGTTTTAATGTTAAGTTTTTTCTAAAATCTTTTCTTTAAAACGAAGCGAAGACGAGATAGAAAAAAAGTTGAACAAAGAATAAAAAGTTGGGAATCTTTTTTATGTTGTTTTAATATAATTTGTTTTTGATGAAAGAGCAAAAAGAAACGAAGGATGTTGTACTCAATGGTCTCGTATTTATGTGGTACTCATAAATCTGAAAATTAAAAATTAACACTAATATATAAATGTGTAAATTTAGCCTGCTTTCATTCATACTAAGCCAATAAAATTAAGCTTAATTTAGCTTTAAGATCATATAATATTTTAATTTCAAATAAAACTTCATATAAAGTAATTAAATACAGACTTTGACAGCTTGGCTCTGGTAGAAATATATAAATAGCTTTACACTCGTATCTGTAGTTTACCATAATATAAATATATGTTTATTAATGTAACATTTCATATTTAACTCTAATATTTTTATAATGTAATCAATGAACGATTCTTGAAGTATATCTTGCACAATTCTGTTCAGGTTAAGATGACAAACTTCCACTATCTTATGAAAATAACTCTGCTACAGTATTAAAGTTTTGTGTATTTGAAGCAAACGGTGATCAACAAATAAACAAGATCAACAAGTTTATAATACTTGTCTGTATATTCTACCTTCTCTTTTTTCAGTTTAATAATTTCCTCTATTTTTGTATTCTTCAATATAGTTTTTTCCTGTGTCAAATTTCATTGTATTCCAAATGTCTTCTATTAGATGCAAACTCATCTATCAGAATTATATAAGTATAGATATTACTAAAATTTTTCCTTGTCAACTTATCATAATATAGTTTCGCTTTCTCATCTTTTACCACGACTTCATCAGAACTCATTGATCAATCTCAAAATTCAGCTAAATAAGATATGTTAATATCATTTCTGTCATCTTTTTTTTTTAGATCATTTATATATCCATCTTCAAATTTTGTTGAAAAATCTGATAAAGTTATATAAACTTTATACTCCATTTAATTCCTACTTTATTGTTATTTTATTTGCTAAATTGTATTGACAATTTTTATATTTTTATGAATGGTAAAATCTCTAAAATATAAATAATCTAAAGCTCTGCAATAATCAATAAGAATAGTCGGTTGAATCTAGACGTAAATGCTGAAGTGTATATTTTAGCTAGGGTGAATTATATCTTCTTTATCACCTTTAATAATCCTAGGATCAGGGGTATCGTAATGGAAAAACGGATTAAACAATTGCGTTTTAGTTTTAAATTCTTTTAAATACACAGTTTTATGTATTGTTTTGATGGTAGAAACGAAAATGATCTTGGCGTCTATTTTTCGTTCGATACGAGTAGACTACAGGTAAAGATGTCTAATAAAAATATTAGACGCTATAACTGTTACGAATTATAATATATTAGCGTTGTGATATAATTATAATCAAATAGAAGGAACGTGTTTTAGAAAAAATCAATCAAATGAAATAAGGAAGAAGATGAGCCTAAGGGTTTTTTCTAGCATTAAACATAAAATACTTTAATGTATGCACTAACCATTTCCCCGTAAAAACTTAAATTGAGATTTATACACCTACAAATATACTATAAGTCTCATTAGAATTAATTTGAATATATTATATCTAAGCAATTGTTTACTCGCCATTAGAGAATTTCTTTCACTAGCACTTGCACTTCTAACGTACTTGGCCTATCTGTATTCGCTTTCCATTGGTAAATTCTTTGTTTATTAGTAAACAAAAATAAATAGATGTAAATATTTTGCTATGATAAATGGGAGAAAAGACGCCTTTTTTTTTACCGAAAAAAAAACGCTTGCAAACAACAAAGGAAGGGATTGTATAAATATTCGACTAGTATAAAGAAGTCGCTAGCAGCATGATAATTCTGTTTAGGAGTAATAAAATTGAGCATTTTAGCAAATTGATTCGTGAATAGCCTAATAGAATGATCAATCTGTGTTTTTTTATCTTAATCTCTTAATCCTACATTACATAATAATAAAGTTATAAATTACTGTATCTTTAATATTTTTTTAATCGATAATATTTAGCATTTATTAAAACCTGCTAAAGTATTAGGTTTAACTACCTAAAAACGCGCCTGAAACAGCATCATCATCTAATTACAAACTAATTAAAGGTTTTATAATAGACAGTGTTTTTGTCGGTTTAAACTATCCATAACAGTATAGAGACTAGCTTACAAGCAATTTCTGTTTAACTACTATAAACAAATTATAATAATAAGACGAATATTGAAAGAGAAAAGAAGAAGAAAATCACCAAGAGCAACATTTTATTTTATCTCTTTTTCATCTATCAATAGAATTTTCACTTTGATAACATCTCACCTACTAAAGAAATCTTTCTTTTAATCGCTTGCAGGCGACACTTAAAATATTCTTTTTAGAAGTTCTTACCTCTCCTCTTCCTAAATGTTTTTTGGTATTTAATTACTCAATATGCTTTATGCATTTACACAGTAAATACCCTAACAAAGTATTTTTTTGTAGTTTATTATGCTATAGAATGTACGAATGTATTTAAGGCAGATAAAATTTTTTATCATAATTGTTTAGGCCTTAAGTTATCGTATGATTTTAGCCTAATCGTTGAAAATACTCGATAAACCATCAGCATTGTAAATGGCAAGCTGTTACAGTGGATTGTAGCAGCCGTTCTGCTGGATGCATTTATAATAAATTGTGTATGCTTATACTACTAAGCGATGATGTATATTTCTTTCAAAGGTCGTATAGTTGTATATTTTGTAGCCTTAATAGTACTGTTAACATACTTCTGGTTTCAAACAAAGATAAGTGATAGAGAGTATCTATTTAAAAATGAGATTATTCATCTTTTCATAGAAGATGAACAAATGGACAATGAAAAAGTGATACAAATTTTAAACTGCTGGCTAAGATTACAATCAAATAATTTGGAAATTTGGATATGGAAATATAAAGATATTCTAGCTGTCCTTGATTTAACACTGCAACAATATAGAGGAATATTTAGAGGATTAAATAAACTAAGAGCAATGTATGTTTTACCAATGTATATTATTCAAATTTTTGGAGGATATTTCGGTTTTGTACCATCTGATTTAACAACTATTAATCTACCTATACTTCGTAATCGAAACAAAAATGTTTGTTACCTCTTTCTACCTCCTGCCTACTTTTCTACAGAAAAACATTATCCGGATTATGATTTTAGCTCATTCTCTGTTCATTGCGAAAGCAACCATCCCTTTTTAAGACTTCACAACCGAATGATTGTTCTTACTAGAAATGAAATTAATCTTCACGATGCTGTCGGTTGGAACGTTCTTAAAAAAGCACAAGTTTTAAGTGATGGCCTCAAAGAATACAAAAAATACCCGATCTCGATTAGGCCAAATCACTATTTAGCTATATCGCCTGATGCCATACAAACGGTTTGCCAAAATTCTACCTCTAAAATGTCTGATTCTATAAATTTCGCCGGAGATAAATTAAAGATCGATTGGATAAAAGAATACTTAGAGAACATATAGATAAATTTCAACAGAATAGGGCTTGTTTTGAGAGATATATTAGAGTTATTTAACTAAGCTTAATGTGATGCCTAAGCTGACAGTTTGTCGGCACGTTAAATGACAAAGTGTTCGTGATGGGACTGAAAAGTTTTCTTTTTCGTTTTTTTTTAGGTCCAGCCAAAAATTCCTTTAAATTTCTTAACCATGAATTCTACAAGTTCATAGTCGTTGGATTGCAGTTCCATATTAGCCTTAATTTCGGCTAATGAATCATAAATAATTGTTAGGAATATTGTCATAAGTATAATATAGACTATTGCAACATAGAGGAAAAAGAAGATAGGACCAAGGATTCGATCAACTTCACGCATAGCATCAAGGTCAAAATCTCCTAAAGCAAATGCAAACAGAGCTTCGGCAGATGCTACCATCGACTTATAATTTGTTAAATATTTTGAGAATAAGAGATAGCCAAGTTGACAAAATGCAAAGTAATAGATAATAAATAAAATAGAGAAAGTCTTCAAATCTTTCGTTGCCAATTTTATCGTATCTCCAAGCATTCCCATTCGTTTGTTAAATTTCAGCAGCTGAAAAGATGGAATAATAATTATGTTTGTTTTATAGCCAGTATATAATCAATTTATATAAACATTAATTTATCTAAGAACGAAATTACTTAATAAGGTTTTCTTTACCTTTAGCATTTTTATTGTTGCCAGAAAGACAATAATCGCTACGATAAACACGTACGTTTCATCCCAAATAGATATAGAAATAAAATTCACATAGTCTCCCGATTCACTTTTTTTTAATGTTTTCATAGCTTCAGATGCAAAAATTCGCTTCATAGCATACATTGCAACAGCTGTTATTGACATAGATAATGTTACAAACTCAAGTAAATTCCAGAATTGCTTGAAATATTTCAATTTTTGCTTTCTAATGTCCCTTAGGCATTTAACTATGAAGTAAATCGTAAATAATAAAAATACTATTTCGAACATTAGAACGACAACACCCCATCCGCCGACGTAATTATCTATTCTAAAGACTTTTGATTCAGTCCTTATTGTAGCTCCGCCAGCTGCTTGAAATTCAACAAGCAATATTACAGCCGCAAAGAGATTTTTATTTCCGTTATATAGTGTAAATTCTATAAATACTGATCTCGTCCGAACATCAACCCATTCCTCTTCTTCAAGTTTCTTTAAATATCGCTCTGTTTTAGATCTTGTCCTATGAAATTTGAATACATAGCCACCCCCTTTATACGTAGATCTGGTTCCAACATAGGGGGCATTCACCAACTCTACGCTGCTCCTATATATCCAGGGCGATTTCTTAGAACTTTTAAGGTCAGTATCATTACCAGCCGTCTCAGTCTTTTTCCAACCTGATAAATAATCCTTCGTATCATCTGATGTCCAACCATACTGATCTCTACACGGTTTTTTTATAATAGGAATAAAATAGCTCGAGTATTTGCAAGAACCATCTTTTATTCTATGTTGTCTTAATCTTGCTACTCCAACTCTAATAGTATTTCGATCATCAATAGTTAGAAAACCTCGCCAGTCAACTCTCTTCCCATTATACCATTTTCCAGAATATAGATTTGGTAAGAGAGCAGATTTGATGTAAGTCCAAAATTGATCAGGCTTTGTAATCTAATAAGGAAATATGATAATTGAAAAATAATATATTTTCAAAAGAATTATTTAATACTACCGAGTCAAAGGCCGGTTTAGTCCTAATGAAAGTATTTTTTATATTTTCATTAAAATTATAACTTGCCATATCACGAGTTTGGTAAGATATGAAAAAGAGTACCATAACGAAGAAGAAATAAATTGCACATTCTTTCAATATAGCCTCCATTTGTACTTCTTTTAGTCGAGTTTCTCTGGCTACCTTCAAAGAATCCATATCGGGTGGCTTAATTTGACTTGCTTGTAATTTCCTCTGCGTAATTAATTCTTTTTGGAACAAAAAATATATTTATTTGGACTAAAATGATTGAAATTTTAATATAATTTTCAAACCTTGTATATCTCTTTCTTGTTCAGGACTGAGCATAATTTCATCTGCTGACGGTAAACCGTTATGGTTATCTTCAAACATGTCATCATCGTCATCAACATCTGGTTTCCTCATAATACAAGAAATAAATGCAGCTAATAAGAGAACCTTAACGGGCTGTACCACTATCACCGACTGGAAAAAAGAGAGTAAGAATGTTATAAGCCATTTATTCGACTTGTCCTTTCCCCATTGCATACTATAGAGAATCGTAAAAAAGCCCGAAGCAACTATGGATAGGAAGCAGACTACAAAAAGAAAAAAAAAACACTTTTAATGCTCAGAAACGTAAAAAATTCGAAATCACTAACTAATCCAAGCAAAGTAAATTGTCCATGGTGGTAATGAGCAGCCCTTTTTCTTTCTCTTCTTTATATCTGGATCTTCTGTTTCATACTTTGACTTTTGATGGGAAGTAAGTATGTTATGCATTGCATCTTGGAATTTTTGTAGCCTAGAGACTTTCTGATTAGACCATAGTGAAGACCCTGGATTTATGTTCCTCCATTTCTTTGATTTCGATGATATCTTCTGATTCGATTGGAGAATAGCGTTCTTTTTCGGACGGACTTTTCGAAATATTGTGACTAATAGAAGGTTTGGCGGAAAGACAATAGCTGTGCTTACAACGGATACAAATAGCTGCTGCAGGGTAAAAGTGAAAGGTCCAAGAGTTATCCCTGTGGCTTTTTTTGAGGTGTCTTCCGCCTTGTAAAACATACAATTTGTAATCATTGTTAAAAAGAGCAATGACATGCAGCAGGATATACGCTGAACTCTAGTAAAACTTGACCTTGTTGGGCGTGACACAATGGATACCCACAAATGATCATTTGTCAGCTTTTTTCTCAGGGACGATGAAAATAAATGTTTAAATGCTGTTAAATCGTTCATACAGGCTACTGGTAAAACTCGATCAACTTGTCCATCATCTTCCTCAACAGCAAGCCATCGATCACATAAAAAGAAAAATCTGTCTCCAGTTTGCAAATCCATAACCGCGACCTGATCAAGAAACCAACCTTTCGATTTTCCCTGTCCTTGGTTATCGTGCCATATTCGCAAAAAAGTTAGAGGCCCGAGACAGCTCTCCACACTAAGAATGTAATTTAATACAGAACCCGATGACAACTCCTGAGGAAAGAGAAAAGTTTGTAAATATTAAACAAATAAACAATAAGCTTAACCTTTCTTTTCCCGTCATCCAATCTCCTTACTCCAGTATCACAATTATCTCCCGATAAAATGAAGCTAACTTTAGATTTTGTTCCTGAATTCTTCTTCACGCCTGTGTAAACTGTTACTTGATAATGGTAAACATCAGTGGGTAAATTATCTTCCAAAGGAGTGGCTCCCCACTTTTAATTATCAGAATTATCAGCATGAAATAGTACTTAAATAAGATATGTTACCTTAAGAATGTCTTTTTTGTCTTGGTAGCGACACCACACTAAGAGTATCACATACAACCCAAGCAGAACGATAACCGTCGAGAATACTGCTGCGTTTTCGCTGAGATTGCTAAAGTTACCCCATACGTTTTTAAAATCAATTGTATTTGGAGGAACAACAAAGTCACCGCCAAACGATGTCAGATGTGTGCATAGGCATTGCGTTCTATATTTAGTTGTTAAAGGACCAACTTCACAGCCATTGCTAGACCAATCGTTTTCTATTTCATCCCAAAAGATGCACGCGGACAAGAAAATTTGAAAATTGAATGTAAAGTTACCGCGGAAAGTACCAGACTTAGCTTCTTCCATTTTGACATATGCACCATAAATAGATACTCCCAGCACGTAGGAACCATTTCGCTCAGTTACATTCGCAGGTGGAAAGAATGTGTATTTTAATTGTTCGATTTCGCCTTTGGTAAGTGATTTGTTAGCGATAAGAAGAGAAACATCTCTTGGTACAACTTGAACAAAGTCATAATCTTTTTTAGTTGGTACCAACTGTTTGTCGCCTCCGTATTTTATATACACTTCGAATCTCTCATTAGGATCCTTTGGAAATACAAGTGCATGAATAGACATTCCATTAGACGTAAGATTTATAGGATAATATGACATGTTATGATGAGCCACGTGTTTTTCTGCTGCGGGAGGTATCTTTTTCCCATTACTATCAATCCACATTTGAATTTTTTCCTTAGAATTGTTAACTTTAACTACATTTCCTGTTTCATCTGTTAAAGTTAAGCTTTGTACATTTGATTGCACTCTTGAAGCACTGTCAACAAAAACAAAGGGGTTTGCCATAGTTGTCATCTTTGCTCCTGCAGCTTTATCATTTTCCTCTGATGGAACCTCAAAAGATCCCATTTTTCCATCTCCCCCAGCTTTCTTTTTAATTGCAACAGCCTTTAAATTCGGAGTATCAATTTTGATTCCGTCGTTAGTATCATCTTGATGGTTTATCAAAACAGATAAAACCTTATCCGACCCACCCATGGCTGCATTAGTTGTTTTCGACTGTTGGCTCCTTACAGCTGCTAAGTCTCGCGCAAGACAAGCTTTAAATCGATTTTGTATTAAGATAATATCGTCTGGAAAAATCTCTTCACAGTCTTCATCTGTCCAAATAAACTCTTTTCTATCATCGATATCTTCCAACAAAGGACTGTCTAAAGGTTCTACCCATTGGCATAACCCTTTTGTTACATTTTCACAGCAGGTCGCAGGAGGTAAGATAGGGGGTTCAGTTGTGGTGAGGATGTCAGCGATAGTAGATAACTCAGGAGTTATAGTCGATTCTATCCATAGACTTTCGTCACCACTACCAGAGCTAAATTCCTCACCCGGAATCACCGGCTTATTTAAATCGATATTACTCGCGTTGTTTCTTGGAACGACATTTCCAACGCCACCAATTAAACCTATGAACAATTAATTCATTACTAAACATACCTTATAATCCTAAAAAATAATTTTTACTTGTTGCCATCTCAGTTATTTTGTCAAGAGTTACACCATCAGCCAAACTTTCTACTTTGTCTCCACACGATCCAATAGCCTCTGCTGCAGTTTTCTATCGTAAAACAAACAAAAATCAGTAATTTTTAATACACTTTTATTTTCATTACTTACACGACTCTCTGGTGTTGTCTCGTCTCGAACGTTCGTAACGGCATTTACAGATTTAGTAGTTGATCCTAGCTGATCATAATTATCCATTCTCTTTGAACAACCATCTAAAACGTTGATAATCATTCCCTTCAACTCTTTTCTCGCTTCCTGCGCATTTGTATTATTATCGTCCGAAACAAAATTATTCATATTTCCAATAATGTTATCAATAGCGTACAGAGCTCCGCTTGTATCGTTACTGTTGAGCAGGTTATTTAGGAGATCTTTTATATTGCCAGAGATATTCACTGATAATATCTCCAATTCTTGGACGAATTCTGACTGTCGATTGTCCTTCTCAATGATTATCTTAAAGAAAAATGTTCCATTCGTTCCTAGTGTGAGAACTTCAAAAGTACTCTAAAAAAGAGTTACATTTTAAAAGTCATAAAATTCAAACAGAACTTATTACCCTAAAGCCTTGAACCCATAGTTTACTATTTCCTTGAAAACAGGATCCATATTCATACAAAGCCATATTATTTAGTGTATTATTCATTAATTTAATACTTTCATCCAGTAATTGATTAGGTTTTAGCTTGTCAACAGTGGATGCACTGTATTTATTGTAACAAATCAAATGCATAAATATCCCTGATCTATTTTTTGGAGACACGTCCGGGTCGTGAGAGTTGTCTGCATCCATAGTAACAATAGAATCTTTCATAACCTCCCTGCGAGTCCCATAAGCAATTGTTGCGACTAAAGGGCTAGGAACTACGCTAAGGAATATTTCTATTGAGTCTGAAACAAGAGTAGATTCGTAAGCTTCATCTATATCCGGTTGACTAAAAAAGCCTTGCTCATCCTTAAGAATCTTTTCCACCGAATTAGTATCACTATCGGCTGATGTAGTTGGTTGTGGAGAAGAGGTTTTCTCATCGTTTCCTAAGTCGGCTTGGGTGTAAGTTGCCGGAAAAGAGGTCACAGATGGGGTAGTCATAGGAGAAGTGGAATTGTCAAACTCAGAGGCAACTTCTCTCTTTCTTCTAGACACTTTCTTCTTTTCAATACTCATTTCCACTACTAATTTTATCTCTCCATACCACAGTATATTCTTAGGCAAAACTAAACCTTTGTTCTTTGTTCTAGTCACGCAAAGATTCAATTCAGGTTTCCACTTGCCTTTTACCAGTCGCATTGCTCTCCATGAGTATGAAGCTTTTACCTCGGAATCACAAGACAAATCGTTCGACAGGTCTAAATATATAGGTGATGATCGATACCACTGAATGGGTTGGTCTGGTGATGATTCATTAGCCACTGCTAAATTTGCTGATGAGCATGAAAATCCAGCTGCTTCTTCTCGAATTATAGTAATTCTTGGGCACAGCCAAGTAGACTTTGACCCAAACTCATTTTCAGCAGTGGCAGATATTTCATAGGTTCCAGGCTTTAAATATTGATATTTAAATAAAACTGGATCGTTAAAATGTTCAACTTTCTCCCCCAAATCAATTTCGTAAGGATCATTTAAAGATTTATTTTGTTTATCCTCCGCTGGGATAGTTGGCGCCACTGTCGAATCATAACTTTCCAGCAAATTTGTCGTAGTAAATGGAATAGTTGTTGTAATTTCTGTTTGATTATTTTGTATTGACCTCTTCCTCCTTCCACTTTGTTTTGTTTTTTCAAAAAGGTTATCTAAACGTTTGTGTAAGATTGTCCCATCTCCCATATCCATATGGATATTTACCGGTGAGCCCTTGGGTACTTTGACCTCTATTACTACTTCAGACAGAGACATAGGTGAACTTGTAAGCAAATCAATTTCCGATATATCATCACCGACTTGTACTTGATAATCGATGTATATTCGACTTATATTATTTTTTAGTGTAGCATTGACGTGATATGTACCGTATGCTGGATAGGCATATTTGTGAATAAGACGTTCACTAGGGGACGTTCTAGATGGAAAGTGGACAGTTTCAAAGATACCGTTACCGTAATGAAAGTCGACATCTATGGGCAAAGTCGGACTGTTAGCGACATCTACCAGTAAAGCAAAAGTTGTTTCATCCCCAAGTTTTGAAACGTGGCTAGCTTTTATTGACGCTTTTTCGATAATACGTTCTACCGAAACAACTCTCGATGTCTTCTTAAAGCTAATAGTATTGGCTACTTCTAATTCTACATTATAAACGCCATAATCTTTATACAAGTGGGAAGATTGAATGGTAGTCGGATCCTTTTCTACTTTATTTCCTGGTACATATAACATATGACCGGCATCGTCACCATATTGAATAGAGATGTGTAAACTTTCCCCATCGGATATTTTAAACGTAAAATATATAGCATCGCCCAAGACGACTGCATTAATGTCAACGTCTATATCAATATCTCCAACAGGACGAAAGACTCCAAGTACTTTAGTAAACAAAAGCGTGTTTGTTATCGACGTCACTTGAAGTAAATAATCTCCTGCCTTATCTAAATTGACTCCGTCGAATACTATCGAATCTTGAGAGATTGACGAAAACACTTTTTCATTATTTATTAAAATATTTACTTTCTCCTTCGTTGGATTTTTGAATGGTATTATTTGCGTTGTTCCGACAGCAATGTCTTCGAATTCAGCGTTCTTTTGTTCAACGTAGACTTTTACTTTATCAATTAAATATCCGTATTTGTTAGAGCAGCTGAATACTGCTTCATAAATTCCTACTTCAGGATAGAAATAGATTTCGTCGATTTCGTTGACTAATTTTTCAAATGTAAAATTTTTTTCAACTCCGTCACCGTACTGCAATTTACATGATATCGGAAATTGCGATACAACACTAGTATATAAATTAATTTCCCCTTTATTCTGAGTCATTCCACCATAATATATTTGAACGACTTCTGGCGGTACGCCTTCCTCAACTTGCTTAATAGTAACGTTAATTTTTACAATTTCTGTAGTCAATCTTGTTTCGGCTTTGACCGTTACTGTATAAGTTCCTTCAGTCATCCACGATGCTGAACCTAAACCGATAGCAGATTCGTCGGTCATTCCATCTCCATAATCGAAATAAAAATTAACCATTTCGTCAGCCGTTGTCGTAGCATTGAATAGAACAATTTCGTCAGGTAAAATATATGATTTGTTCCTGGCACTTTTATACGTTACACTCAAATTAATCGGATATTTAAAATCTTTTTTAAAGTGAGTAACCCAATAGACTTTTAATGTATTAGGTGTTTCACAAGGTTTAACCTGAATTTTTTCCCAATCAGTACAAATGCATTTGTCCACTGTAAAAATAGCCTGATTTGTTTTCTTTCCATTACAAGCTGATCTGCATTCTAGAAGGGTTTTAGCTGCGACAGATGGATCTCGGGATGAAATTTTTTCTATGCATCCTCTCAATAAATTTTTTTCAAGGTCTTTTGAAAATATAATACATATTTTAATAAGTTTTAAGGGTTATTACGCTTATAAAATAATAACCTTCAATAGGTATTTCCTCTGCAGACACATTATTGCTGTAAGTTAAATTATACATGACTATATTCAATTGGTTTGTTTCTGCACCATAGGTATTTTCTCTGCCGACGTATATATTGTTGAAAAGATCATATTGAGGATATGTGTAGAGTCTTTTCTTTGGAGAAGTTGCACATGTCTCTTTAAAGTTGTCAATTATTAGCTCCAAGCCAGTTTCATTAGACCAGGTAAAGGTCAAGTAGACTAATCCATCCGTAATGATATAGAAATTACAAACCCATAAATTATCTTCAATAGCCACACCAACTTCGTAATCCTTGCCATAGTTTCTTCGCATGTAAAAACCATTGGACATGGCTGATTGCCCTCCAGTTGAAATCAAGTACTCTTCGTCCAAGTTAGCATTACCCGGTTGTGGCTTGTACCAGAATGAAATTCTAATACCTTTGTTGCAAAGATTCAAGTCACCTAAGCAAACGTAACGGTATTCACCGAGTAAAATGGGTGACGTAATTGGTTGATCGGCGTTAATTAACCATTTCTCTCTCTCTTCTGTTAAAAGCCGCTAATTAATTACATAATACTAATAAACGAACTAACCGAATGTTAAGTAAATACACCCTAATAAGTTATTAACCTTCAAATCCGAAGATTATCGGAAAGGAAAAGAGGAAGAAAAAGAAAGATTTTAAACCTTTCATGCCGAGAATACCGACTGAACAAAACATTTATGATCTTCTATATATATCTATATATATATCTCATATTAAGTAACTCATTTCTATTGGTAATTCTACGGTTAATTTCATCATATATGCACACTTTAATTCGCTACTATCAACTGGGGAATATTAAAAAAGCGAATCAAGAAGAGTTTAATTTATTTGTTTCGTCTTGTTTATTCTCTCGAGCACAATATTTAATTAAGATCGATGAGTAAATTTCTCTTTTATTCGGTTTGCTGGTTGCAATAGACTCATATGAACTTTAATAGTTGCTTTCAAATTTCCGTTTTTATATTCTTATATGAAAAGTACTGTAAAAAGCAAGGGTATTATTAAATAATTGAATATCTGCAAAAATTATTGATCTTACTAACTTTACAAACTCTGGACACCTTTCCATTGCGTGCTCAAATTCGTCAAAGGATAATTGGTTGTCGTTATCCAGATCAGCTTCCTCCATTATCTGTAATTACATCCAAGCCATAATTATACAAAGAGGGAAAACAAATGATACTTTTATAAAAGACGCTTAAACGCTCAATTTCACCTTTTCACAAATAAGCTTAAGTTCATCAGCCTCTGCTTGACCTTTAGTCAAACATAGAATGGTTTTTTTTAGATCATCTTTACTTAGATAACCATCCTCATTAAAATCTGAAATTGCAGATTAGAATTGCGGAACAGTTTTTTTACATAATTATTTCAAATATGACTCTACCGTAAATCTGGAATGCCCAGTAGATCTTTAATTGTAGAGGAGCTGCCTCTGTAAAGACTGAAAACATATTAAGAAATTCATTAAATGACATTCCGTCTTTATTAGTGGCGTCTATAAAAGCACTGCAAATTCTGTGCCGGAAAGGATTTTCCTAGAAGAAAAGAACTTTATAATCAATAACATTCTTATGCACTATAAAAACAAATAGGAAGTTTATAGAGACCTTAAATTCTGGCATTCTTTCAATCAATTTGATTGGTAGTCGAAAATTTTGGGCGTTACCTATAGACATTTGAGATGGAACGCGATTCGGAAACAATTCTTTGTACCGGTTATATATTCTGAAGATAAAAGCTTTTAGGGTCGTCTCAATAATGCTTCTAACATTCATTTATATCCAAATAGTTTATTTAGCTGATAGATACCTCAGGATATCCTTTTTGGTAAAGTAAGTACAATCCTGGTTCGTTAGAAAGTAAAAATCAAAGTAAATGAGACCGATTTCTTTTATATAATTTTTACCTGATAGATATCAAATTGTTCTTTAGTGAAAATGACTTGCTTATTACCCATCACGAAACGAATAGAAAATTGCCCTGACGCTCCTGTGATTGATCATATTTGTATATGCAAATGCCAATCAAATAAAGCCTACAGCATTTGATATTTTGACGTGTGGGTTTTTATACCGTATCAATATAAATATTGTCAAAAAAGAGAATAAGTTTTCACACGATTATTTTAATATTTTTTTTTATCAATTTTCGTAAAAGGAAATTTTTAAATTAAAAACAAGAACAAGGATGAAGAATATAAAAGTTTTTAAAAAAAAAGCCCTTTATAAAAGCAAAAAAATATAAATTGTCGTTATGAATAAGGACCAGGCGTTGAGTTTTTTAAATCACAATTTGCTGAGATTTTTTGTTGATCTCTGCTTCTTCTTAATCGGCTTCTAAATACATTTGTGAAATCTCCTCTTTTGAATTGTTCAATATAACAGGGTGATATATGCCAGAAATTTCCTCTTTTATTTTTAACATGCTCTCCTTTTATAAAGCATGTTTGAACGCTTAACGTATATCTGACTGAACTTCTCCATCCTCTATAAGAACACCTATATTCTGGATGACATTTTTCTATATATGAATATATATCTTCTATTGAACATTTCATATCTTTTGACTGTAAAATACACCTTGCAATCATGCTTATGTAACTATTTCCTGTTCTATTTCGACCGTTTTGCAAGTGACACATTTGCCTATAATCCTTATAATATCTTTTCTTCTCTTCACCAATTTGATTCCTCGAGGGAGGCGTTTCGGCGGTAGGCGTTCCGTAACCCGAATCATTTAACATTGCAGTGGGGGAAGAAGTGCAAGGGCTGTTGCACATACTGGTAACATAATTAAGAGATTCTGCATATTGCCTATTATCCATTTTCAAATACCGGGTCATGTCTTGAAACGTAGATGAGTCATATTCAAGACAACTTTGCAGGTAACTTGGTAAATAGCAGCTTTCCTTATAATCTTGAAGCGGCATCAAGGGTCCATGAACAGTGGGGAGAACAAGATTCATTGCTCGATTTTCCTCAGCCATCATTGAACAGTCGAATGAAAATCCTAAGTCCTCCTCCAGATTACTAAACTCACTGTCTAATTAGCGCGTTTACTAACGAGGAAATAGGATATAAGTCGAAATACCGTTTCATGTAAGGCGGTCAACAGGTTGCTAGAATTGTTCAAATTTTGCTAATTGAACCGTTTAAAACCTGTTGAGTCGCAAGTGTAGGCCCAAGTATTATTGCTTATTCGAAAAGTGAAAGGTGAAACTTCTCACTCTACACTATTGCTACAGATGATGAGAACAAAACCTTAGAACGGTTAATTGAGTTGGCTGTGACAATTAATTAGTAAATTTACGGATTTCTTATAAAATCTATAGATAAATATAACGATAATTCAATCAATCTAAGCCTTAGGTACCTAACTTTAAACAAAAAGTATATTTTAAATATTATGATGCTTTTTTTGTCATATGAAAAGAGGGAGGGAATAAATTCAGATGTATGTCATTTTAGACAAACGTGACTTCGCAAATTTCACCATAGAATAAATGGAATCATGCCATGCGTGAATGAAAACAGCCTTGCAGAGCGGCAGGTAGTCACTAGTCACTACAAACGCATTCGAATAAGCACTCACTTTCGGCCTGTGATAACAGAGTACAAGCTCTCTCTATACCATCAAAACTCGTATTAAATTGCTTGCGGATAGGGACATAAACCAATAGGGCCGAAGTACCTATAGGTAAAAATCTTTGACAATTCAATTGTTTTACATAGATCTTCTTATTGAATTTATTCTTCGTCTCCTATTCGAAAGAAAATGTCTAAAGAATAATCAGTTGTTTTCCTGTATTTATCGATAAACAAGTTACAATGCATTTGTCTTCAAGGAGCTATGTTTTTTAGTTTGGCTCCAACCGTTTAACATGTCAGTTAATCACTGTCTTTGAAACAGGCTGAGTACTTGAGTTAGTATCATCATATTGAGAAACAAGGGTAGAGAGCTGAGTCGTTGATGAATGACTTGTAAACAAAACAATTTTTTGCTGTTATAATCAATTTTCTATGCCGAAGAGCATAGACTTTCATCTCTATTGCTTTGTTATAAAATTATTATCTGTTTGTATTCCGGTAGAAAACAAAAAAAATACCTTTAATTGTACATGAATCATTTTCTTTTCATATATTTCTGAAATGATGCTTTATAATTTGCATAATGTTTTTTTTTTCCGTCTCACATAGGGCTAGACTATCGAGAACACCCATTAAAGTGCAAATCTGTATATATCCTCAAAACTACTTGCTGCTTTTATCCGACTTCAACAAAAACATGTTATTAATTCAGTTTTTCAAAAACGTAGAATTTGTCTAGATTGCGAAGATCTATCAACTCTAAAATAGAATAAGAAGGCTTTTTAGGGAAATGTGCATAGGGAATTAGTCTAAGCTTAAGTTGATCAAATATAAACATAGAATAAATCGTTCATTTTTAAAATTTTGAAAGACTACGTATACTTTTAATTTTTCATAAATTTTAAGAAATATTCATATGATAATCTCAACCGCAAGATGGCATATGGCAAAAAGCTATCTTCGTAAATTTAAAGTTTTTCTTTATTTACTTACATAAATTAAAAAATTATAACTATACATTAAAAAATAATAAATGAGCCCTAAATATTTGATGGATTATCTTCAATTCAAATTTAGAAATAACAAATAACAGGTTTTAATTATTAATCTTTTAATAACATAAACCTATATTCTGAAGCCCTTTAGCAAAAAAAAGCCATCAAACTTTAAAGCCTTTTCCTCCATTTCCAACGTATGGTACTAGCCTTTTCTTTCTCAATATAATGGCAGTAATATGCGTATACTTCATATATTTGTATACAGTATATGTATATTTTAATATACTTTATACTAAGTATACTGTATATATATATTTATTTTATATACATACGGTATATGTATAATTATTTATACAGAATCTATAACAAAAGTGGTTTTGCAGCAGTAGAGTTAATTGAAGATGTTTTACAACGAGAGAGTGTATAATTGTGCAAGGGTAGAAAAATTCCTTCAAGAGAAAGCCGAATCGGGAAGATTAGCTAATTGACTAGCGTCTAGCAATTTTTGAGCTGACGCTTGCTGAATATTAGTATTCTTACACAGAATGCTCCTAACGGGTAATGTCAAAAATCGAACATTATTCTCATCAGTGTCATTTCTTTTCCTTGCCATCTTCAGGGATTGCAAATCAACATCGTCGTGGACGCAACCATATAATTCATGAACATTTAAATCTCCTCTTGGTTTCTTATTTATTGTTGCTGTCCTTTCATAATAAGCCGTCACGTCAGGCTTATTATCTTCTATAGTATTTCCGCCTCCTGGTGGCATAAGAGCATGTAAATAAATATCTGGCTCAGATGCTGTTGAATTTGATGCTTTCCGAAGCCTGTAGCAGGGGAGCATAAATGTTAGAGTCTGCCTAATATTGGTAAACGAAGAGTCTAGCATGACATTTACCTTTCGAGACACATTAAACCGATGACTAGAATGATAACGCCGACTACTAAAGCAGTACCTATGATTATCGCGACAGAGACACCTGCGTAAAGAAGAATAATTATAGACGAAAAGTCTAGGCGATAATACAGTGACTCATTAGCAGCGAATTGCTGTTGTTAATGCACGTCTGATCAAGCAGTTACCTTGCGGTAATGACATTTCATTCCAGTTATCAATGCCTACGCGTTCGTCTTCGTCGCCACTTCGTTCTAGGTAGACAAGTGCACTTTACATAGAGGAGAGAATACATTAAGAATAAGAAGAGTCATAGATCTAATACCTTCAGGGCAAGAATATGCTTTCTTACCACGCCATCTACCGTGGACACATGTGAGCTTCCAATTGCGTTTCGTTGCATTACAGCCTAGCAGCGCATCATCACCTTGACGCCTTAACCATGATTTTCCTGAGGGCATAACTGGATCCCGACATCCAGTAATTGTATACTTTAATAAGAAATCCCCTTGTCCGCTTGTTAAAGTAACCTTTACTTTCTCTGAAGTTGAGTTGAAAATTAGACCCGAGCGTCCAGCACACAACGAGACATTTCGACGCGAATCCGATACGAGTCCGATTGATTGGCATCGATAGTTGGTCGTGCTTAGTGTCCAATCGAACAAACTTACGGCCACTTGCCTCCCTGGCTCTCCATGAATAGTGAAAGATAACGGAGAGCAGGAAAGATGTCGAATTGACCTGCTTGCAACAAAGCCGGTATCGTTCCGAAGCTCGAACGGACCATGCGAATGGCAAATCTCTTCCGGCAAGTCGATGACTGTAGCATTAAGTTTATAAGTAAAATATCACGTGACCTGTATAGGAGAACGGAACTTACTCGGCACGCAAATATACGACGCGTTCAAATACCGTCGTAAATCCCTCGGACAAGACTTTTTCACTTCGAACCGCCCATCCGGAATCCTAACTTGACATCTTTGTAGACCGGAACACATTCGGTTCAGCACAGCTTCTACGTTAGTTGCGCATCCGAGTACGCCATAATTTCCCGTTATACAACGGCCATCGTTCATTCGACCGAATCTTTTTTTTTGGTGGAAAAAAAAAGTATGATTTATTTTGTACAGTCGTAGAAAGCCTATAGAAAATAGGAATTCAAACTTACTCAGCGTAAGTAATGAAGACGTAATAACCCGGTGGACAATTCGGATGAAATGTTTCAGTTGCGCAATATTCCCTCCATTTGGATATAACCCCTGCATTTTTATAAAATAGTGAGTTCATTTTTATAGTGTGCTTTCTATATATATACAGTAATATTGGTAATGTGAGCATTAAATTGAGAATGAGAAAATAAGAAATGGGGGATAGAAAACGTAGGTGCATTTCGTGACTCAATCTCGCCAATTGAACGAGCGACGCCGTTGCATTAGTCGCTTACTTCCTCCCCGCAACCCTACTCGCCGACCAAATGTCAGGCCGTTCGAAAAGCAATTAAGCGAACGAATAATTGCGTGTTGAAGAGGCTTTTGGCCGTTCGGCAATGTCGCGCCTATATAGCTCGTTACTTTTACGACTATTCCCACACTTGACCACGTCCGGCTAACGTATTGTTGCAGTAACAAGTTCGTATTCCAAAAATCAGTACCCTTGTAAAAATATGGGAGGGAGGGGGCGGTTAGTGGCATTATACAAGCACTTTAGTAAATGCGTTTCCTTTGATGTCAGTCTCTAGAAGCCGTTTATGTTCATGCATTTGTGTAAAAAAAAGGTGAAAAAAGGGGGGGCTAAGAACATTCCATTTATAATATCTATGCATAAAGTGATCTATCCACATATACATATTGTATATATATATAAAAAAATTTTATATTTATTGCTTATTATAGTGCTGAGCATAATCATTTTAGGACTTTGCTTTTTATCCTCAATGAAATATAGCATGATACAAATTGTATATACTGCATATGCAAATATCCATTTATATACTGTATAGTATGTGCATCATATACAATTTATAAACATTTAAATTTATACGCTTATAAATATGCATAAGATTACATGGAAAGGATTTTTTTAGCAATACTCTTTTAAAAAGTAATATATATTATATTTACCTGACACACAGCAGACTATGAAGACCGAAAAATAGTAGGAGTCGATCAGGCTCTATGAAGGGAAAAAGGGATATAAAAAAATAGTTGCAAGATGAGTCGTTCGAATTTCAAAAGGCGGGTTATTTATAATCAATCGTTTTCCGCTTTTTACCAACGCCGCAATTCCGGCAAATCGATTGGAAAAGGTTTTTTATTTTGGACAAAATCATATATATGCATATGTAAATAGCCCTGTCTATAAATAGGTTCAGCGAGCCTTTGACGCTAATTGAATAGGAAAGCTGAAAGGTGCGATGTGCGCTTGACCGAATCAGCTTCATGAATAGACATCGGGACGGCAAAGTTGAATAAGTTCGTATGTTTTTTTTTCTTTTCCACTGTTACTTTTCACTCATCGCCCAATCGATCACCGTTGGCACGAATTTTGTATACTTTGAAAATGCTTCGAAGAGTTTTAAGTTGCCGATGGACGTTGGCGTTGTGCTGTTCTGACAGCTTGACGTCGTCACGCGACGTTCTCCGTTTCCACGCTCGATACGGTTCGATAAGACTTTTAAAATGATTAATTGATAAGAGTTGAGTGGGCTCCGCCTTTCCTGTCTGCTTCTCTTTCTCTTACTGTTAAATTTTCTGTTTCACTCACTCTAAAATATCAGTCTTACGAGTTCCTTCAATCAAAGCATTTTCATGTCTTATGATCTATTCTTGGTTATCCTCTCTTTAAGCCTGTTGTTCTATCAACTTGGCTGTTCTTTTCTACTTTTAGCCTCTCATTTATTCATTTACTCAACTCTTACTCAAACTCTCTTCTCTCACTCACTCTCAACCCTCTTCTTCCAACCTTGTTTTCTTTACAGTGTCAAACATTTACTTTAGTCGTTCCGCCTAGTTTGTCTTTCATTTATTTCGCTACGTTCCGCCTCATTTTTCTCCTCTATTTTCTCTCTACAATGTGCCGCCCGACGGAGTTCCCTAAAGTAATTGCCTGGCGCCATTATCTAATCAGCAGAAAATATTGCGCCGGATTAGACACTATTAGAACGCTTTTATAAAAATGTTAAGCAATCTATGTAGATGGGGCGGCACTGAATGTAGAGAGGCGCTACAAGAGCGAGATATGTAATTAACAGATTAATTAGAAGAATACGCACAATGTACTGTATCCAGTTTTGCTTCGTAAAGTGCAAAAAAAAATTTTTTACTTACCATGACGTTCACCGGTATAGACGCTTTAATGACCAAGCGTCTAAATGAACGGTAACATAGATTCACTGGCGACGCCTGGTGATCGAATTGATTGATGATTGCTACGCGTGCCGGAGTGGAGATGAAAAGGGATCTACTATTGTCCGATATAGCAAAAGAGACGCCCGTGAAATGTTGTTCGTAGCGGGGCCAACCTCCATATATTCTTTACTTGGCTAAGCATAATGAAATTACTTAAGGCATAGACGCTATTTGACGGCTTTGGCTTTGTTCTATGCCTTGTTTGTCGTATGTTATCCATGTTTGCATTGCAGTCACATTCCTCCGTAGTCAATGATTTGTTGATGAGTGTATAAGTTTGCTAAGTGATAGGTACTGATACCACTAATTATTTATCGTATGAGTATACAATTTATATACACAACATGTTCGCTTTGTATGTCTATTAATTCATAGAAAATAGCTTTGTCCACAACTCTGTGTCACAGTATACCTTTTCCTTTGCCAATTTATATAAACAAATACTTTCTTATATCATAAACACTTCAGTTTACTGACAGTTGATTAAGGTAGATCGCTCTTTTATTGCACTTTTGTCTACTTAACTGTTCTCTTTTCGACGTGCTCCTTTAAAAAAAAAAGCAGCGCATCGTTTGAAGTCCGCCTTTTAATTTCTCTTAATTTCCGCAACTCCACTCACTTCGTTAATGCGCCTTCAGCCTGAGCCGAATATGACGTTTCCTTTCATTTTTTCGTCCTCCTCTTTCTTTCTTGTTCTCCGAAGCTATAAGTCTCGCCTAATTAAATCTATAACGCCGCTTTTTCGACGCCCTAACGAATTAAGCGTTTTTCTCTCACGCCGATCGATTCGCGTGCATGTTGCATAATGCAGAGCAGCGGCGTTTTTTTTCTCTTACTTTGAATCATTCCTTTATGCGAAGGCCGGACGCCACGATATCGACGCTGTAATTAATTTGCCAACTTTACTACGATTAGAAATGTGCGTGTGGATGCCGTTTCTAAATGAATTTTCAAACGACGTGTTTGCCTGTTTTTATTGCACTTGCTAAAGCGATTCTAAATTATTAATAGTCAACAATCATTTAACGCAATTCTTTTAACTGTAGCCAGTCCGTAATCGTTTGCAAAAACTATAAACGAGTCTTTATCGCGCCATCTACAGCTATCCCTATCTCATCGTAGTGTAATAACTTCCATAATGTCTCTTTTCAGTAATCTTTTGTCTTTCGTGAGATTTTCGATCAGTTACAATAAGCCCTATTGAAAGAAATCAGATAATTAAATTAAAAACCTTACTTGTTTTAACGTTTTTCGATTTTACACCTGATGGAGAATACCTATTTTCTAGTCTTCTTAAAATGTAATGCTTTTTTTGCTTATATGTCAATCTATTTGGAGTACTTTTTCGCTTTTTATGGTGCGCACGTTTGCTTTTTATCTTCATGACCTCTACTTTTAGGGAGACAATAACTTAGGATTTTAAATTTTCAAATGACATAATCACGATTTTTTTTCTTATTTAATTGGCCTATGTCTTTAATCAGCATTCAACAATTTAAATTAAAACGAAGGGAAAAGCCAGAGTCCATGGAAAGGTATTAAAATTAGCGAGATTGATGCGAATGTAAACGAAGAACAGACAAATGTTTGCGTCGATTGATCACCTTTTATATTACCGCCTTTTTGTTCTTTCTAGACGCCGCTTCTGTTCGAAAAGCGCCTGTTTACTATTACTTATGTAGCTCACCGGCGTGAAATAGCGATCTGTCATGAGCTGTTTACAATTCGTAGTATACAGAGTACTGCATAAGCAAACGACAAGTTGGCCAATTGATTAAAAATGTATGTACTGCTTTTACAAAATAATAGCCAAGCAGAATTTCGATATTGTTGTTAAAATTTTCATCAAAGCCGCAATGCGAATATGCCCGTTGAAGTACTAATGCTGCCATCTATCTATGATTGAAGAGAAATCGGTCTTAAGCAAGATTAAAAGACCGAAGAGGGTAGGATATCACTTATTAAATAGATTATTCTATATTGTATTACTAAAAGGTTTATTGAAAAACTATAGATTCATTGGAAATCTGACTATTGTAACAGGCTTATTTGAGTTTGTTAAAAGAAATTTGTCTGTTAGAAAGCATAATATTAATAAAAAACAGGAATGACACCAAATAAGATTATTAACGCATACTGAAATCAAAAGTCGCTTCTGTAATACTAGCTATAGTTTGCTTTTTGTTAGCTAGGATTCTTTTATAATAGTCGACTTTGAGAACTATAATAAGTAGCACTTCGACATCAAAAAAATAGTCCGAAAATCCGGACGGAATTACGTTTTCATTTTCTTCCCCTAGCCATTTTATACTCTCTTGCGTGTGTTTTTTTTCAATACTTTCTTTATTTCCTTTCTTTTCCTTACTTCCTCGACCTTTTCTCTTTTTCTCTTCCTGCTTTCTTTCTTTCTTTGTTTCTAAATATAATTATGTTTCATTATTGAGGTATAAATTTCTTATTAAGGTTATAGGAAAGGAACAAACTTTTAATACCTTTCATTATCAAGGCGATATCTCATATTGAATGTCAATTGATCGTAATTTGGACCTTGTAAAACTTTGATCACGTTATCTATTTTCTATTATTTAGCTTGAAAGAAATTAATTCCGATATTATATTCTATATAATAAAAATACTACTAAGCTTATATATACGGCAATTATTGCCTATTAAATATGTAATTTATGTTTTGAATACATTCATATACATTCTCGTTAACCACTTCTTTCAATCTAATGGAAGGTAATAATTTAGTGCAAAGTCTTGTTAGTCAATTGTCAAGTTTTCAACAAAGACGCCTCACGGTACATACACACTGTATATGTACAGTATATATGCGTTAGTGTATAATACTTATTTACAAGTTTCGTAGTTTGATTGTATGGCTTGTTCAATGAATAGCTCTAGCATATATCTAAATTGATTATATTAGACGCCAGTACCGGCGTCGTAAGAGTTCGATCCCTGCTTATTCATAATCTACCTTATCCTACTTGTCACGTGTATGTGTGTTTTCACTTTTTACAATTCTGGAACATGAAGAAAGATTGCTAGATGATAATTTATTTATAGTACAGGAGAGCTAATTGTTTCACTCTGTAATTTACTTACTATTTTAAATGTTATTTATAATTAATATATTCGTTTTTAAGTTATTGACGAATACTTAAGCAAATACGTATGACGTAAATATAATTATCACTCATAACTTGGGATTAAGTTTATAAATTAACGTAACTTTAAACTTTCTACGCCAATTAGAATATGCGAAATAATGGCAATTAATCAATAGTTTTTTTTTTTTGCAAGTTTCTATTCATATGAAAATAAAGCATGGAAAATTGATGAATAATCTATAATCATGCACCCCACACCTTCTTTATGTAAACAACTAAACTCATTAAGATTTAGTTGGGAATTTTCTACTATTACAAAAAGGTTTAGTAGAAAAAGACATTTAATATATTGTCAAGGCCTATTTGATGCCGTCTTAAAACGTTTGAGCTTTTTTTTTTATCACCCTTCCCTTTCCTCTTAGTCGACATTCCTATGACATATTTAATTCCATTTGAAATTTATTAACCTAATATGTATTTATGTAATTTTTTAACAAAGAATGCAATCCGATTAAACGATTTTAATAGAAAAAACCAACAAAGAAAAAAGTTCAAGGACGCCCGCATGATGAGATAAAAGTGAAAAATATTTCTTATGAGTTCTTGACTACGTATTTTCAACTTTGAAGTTTTACCAATCCTTAAATGTTTCTTTTAACTGTCATTTCAAAATTTTTGTTTTTAAAGGATTTCCTATCCTTTTACTCTTTTATCCTATAAGTTGACCCAAGGAATATTGGCTTGTGTGAATATTATAGATAGTATAATCCATAAATCCCTTTAATTAATATTTACCAAGACCAAGGAAATTTTTTTATCTAATCGAAAAAGAGAAGAAACGCTTTGTTACATTATTAGAAGTATTCGTCTTCAATTTTCATTAGAACTAACTTATTTCAGCCGTCTTCTGGAATTGACTATATTAAGATCTAGAATTCTCAATTGTCTCAAATGAAACATATCTTGGAATTTTCTATTTATAGAGCAATAGCTAAACCATTGTTTCCTCGGTACTTCTCGATTATATCAAATATTGATTATATTTTTAACACCCTGCCTCGCTTGACGTTTATACAGCATAGGACAAAAAAAGGGCGGTTAATCTTTAATAGAAACGACTAACACCAACGCTTTCCGGATCGCTTTGTATATATCGTTTATTTAAAACGAGGTAAAACCTAATAATAACTATATTTGCAGGCAGATTGTAATTGTGTACGTAAAAGAATTTTCGGCAGTTGGGGCAACAGTATTATCCGGATTACTATCTTGACAAGAGAAGAAATGCAAAATGCTAAAGGTCAAGAATATGAACAACAAAGTAGCAGATGTTTATTATCAAATGCGTAACGTCTACTATTTAATTCACGTTTATAGAAGTTGTAACATAACCTTTAGAAACTGTTACAACAGACTATATAATTAGGATCTTTTTTTATTTTCTCGTTACGTGTTCACTTTATATCATTTTCTCCGAATGATTTATAAATATACTGCAAAGTTACAGTTTACTGTATTGAAGAATATCAATAAATATGATACGTAACCGCAAATCAACAAGAAATAAACTAGTCATAAGAAAAGTATGAATGAAGAAGATTTTGTATAAACAAAGAAACGATTTTCGAATTGGCACTAAACAGTTTGAAATTTCTCACAATTTCTTTAAATCCAGCTGCTGACAAACACAGATTCTTCACCGCTTATTGAACTGGAACATTCCTCATCACTACATAGGCAACAATCTGATTCACAGCACTCTTCTAGGCTACAGCTTACAGCCGGTAGTTGGCGCTGCAACCTATGCTCCAAGATGCTTCTCCAGGCGTGCAACTTTTCCATAGAGGGCGCAACGAAATGTACTAATTCTGTACTGGCTCCATCTGTTGTCGGTACCGAGTAGGTAATTGTGAATTCAGCTGGAGTGGGAAAGCAAAAAATTAATTGGGGTAAATTAATTGGAAATGCATTCCAAGTACTTACGTTGCGATCTTGAGAAATTAACCTTCCCAATATTGGGAAACTTTATTGGGGGGCAGACAACAACGATTCTGTCATTCCTGGCTATCGTCACTAGTATCATATTATTCAAGAGGATGACATGTCTCTGTTTAAAAAAACATAATAAATGTAATATATTGTACCCATCTAGACATGACTACATAAAAATAAACACTCGAGATCATACATCTATGCCATATATATGCCATATATTTTATATTAATAACTGTACTAGCGAAAACGCACCTGTTGTTCGTATCCACGTGCGTCCACTTGAAGTAAGTCGCCCGTATACACAATAAACTGACCAGGTTTAGCAATATCCAAGTCCTGTTTATTTATGTTAAAATTATTTATTGGTTTGTTCCTGTCCATTGTATAGAGTGAAGATTTTAAAATTTTACGTACCTCACCAATACAGCTTGGAACGCTCAACCTATTCTGTAATTTTGCAACTTCGCTGTCAATACTACTGCAGGATGATGATAGACTACGGGTTTCAGCAGATGGACTCTGGCTGACTTCTTCACAAATCTTCCGTAACTCTGCAGAATGAAAACAACAAAAATCATTAGGATTGGCGAGAAAAAAAGTTGCTTGGAAAAACAAGGTTGTGTTTTTACAGTTGCCGATTAATTGCATCTTTAGAATATTTACCTTTGAGTGCTGCGACTAAGGTTTGTCGTTCCTCATCACTCTTTAAAGTTTTTAAAAATTCGAAAGAATACAAGATAAGGTCCCTGACGTGTTGAACTGGTAATTGAAGGAAAGTGAAAATTGACATGCCACAATCGTTGTTCTTAAGAAACATGTAGACACAACGACGTCTCTTTAATTTGCTCGCAATTGTCATTGCGTGGCGAACATTTTTGCAGTAGCGTGCGTAGACTGAACGCATTTTAGAGCAATTGTCGGCAAGGACGGTTGCTATACTGTTGGTTTTCATTTCATTGTACACTTTCTCGCTTACAGTCGTCACCTGTACATTAAGAAGTCGAAAGTAAATAGTAGTCGAAAAAAGAAAGCTTATTCTCATGGTATACGTTACCTGCTCAATATTTACAAACAGTTGAGAATGTTCCTTTTCATCCATAAACGCTTCATCTTTCAAACTTTCCACAAACTGCTTCCTACCAATCACCATCTGGTTTGCGAATTTTGCTATGCAATCAAAAAGTCGGTCGGCGGCCGTTTGCTCTTCACTAGAAATGTCCTGAATAAAATAACACAAAGGGTTAATTAAAGAAAAAATGTTTTCGGTATTATAACAGCTCGCAACGGGCTGTTCATTCTGTATAAAACGTTGTAATTACGATTGGCAAGGCGTTTGATGAATGACGACTGACATCTCAAATGTCCATTATTCAATTTGTTACACACTCGCAATCAAATTCTTTCGCATCTGCAGTCTACCTACAGGTTACCTATTGTTCGCTCGCGTCGTTCAGTATTTAATCGCTTCCTCTTACATTCTATTACGATTAATCAACTAGCGATAAACTTTGCTAAAGCAGGAAGTAAGAGATAGTAAAATAGCGGGTTCGCGTACGCTTAATATGCTTATGGTGTACTCGTTTCTGACGTCACAGTTTAATGTCACCCGGTTTATTCGAGGCGTTTACCTGTGAAGAATGGTCCGTGCCTATTCCACTTTCCGAAGCTTGTTCGACGCTTTTCGACATAGTTCGACGGCGGATGTCCAATGTCAATTTATCTCCAGCTTGCCTGTGTAATGTATTACAAAATATTACTCATGTATTTGTTTTTACCCGCCGATAGCGGAAGAAGTAGAAGAGGTCAGTCGATTACGTTTTCGACTAAATACGTTAATTACTTGTCAATCCCATGTCTTATCGGTCAGACAGATAAATTCAAAAGCGAAAAAGGGCGAGGTTGGAGGGTAAATAAAAAATAAAGGTTACTCACTTTATAAGAATAGCGACGCTGGTAGCTGATGACCTCGAAACATTGCGGCCGTTTACGGAAACTATGCAGTCGCCCGCTTCTAAGCCCGCAGCGTCGGCACTGCCACCTGAAGAAGACAGTAGTTTGAATAAATAAACTGTCAGTCGTGCGACTCAAATTTTAGATTGCAACTATTTATTGTTGTTAGGAGCGGAAGCGCGGGCCATAGACAAGCGCTTTATCTAGGGCGACGAAAATAACAAACTGGCGTTTGTCGGCATTTACAAAGCATCTTTTGTCGCCTGGACTCGTGGGAAAGCGATCGGACGCAAATTAAGTGGTGAAGTAGCGCAGGTGCGAATGAACGTGAAACTTACCTCGTTCCACTTGACCGACTCTCGCCGGACTAGAACCATACAGTGTGAATCCGTAAGTGGACATCTTCCTCAAGATAACCTGTTATTAAAGAAAAAAGTTTTTGCCTGATTAGTCGGAGTTAAAGGAACTCTGCCTATTATCATTTGTCAAATCATTTCTTTTTAGCCCATTGTCCTTATCGGATGTTAGCTTAACGGACAACGAAATACGAGACATCTTGCCTCTGTTTTTATTTATGCCTTATCTTTTCATTTCTGCCATCGACTGCCCTTTCCCTTTATTTTCATGTAGCAAAAACAATTTATCTCAAGTATTTATTGCGCGTCGAAGGTCTGTTTATTTTACTTGGCTATGTTAAAGGAAAGTAAACGTACCGTGACGTTATGCATGTAAGAGACGTCGGTGTTGAGTTGGGGAACGAATCCTGTAGAGAGAAAAACGAGTATAAATTATTAGTCATACGTAACGGTTTAAATGCATGCAGCTGTGGTTGTCCGTCAAAATTGACCGATGCCAAGTCGACTAATTACTATCTTGCCAGTAAAAAGTCCCGATTCAAAAAATTAAACTTAATTAGCTTCGATTCTATCTCTTTCTACTCGACTAACACTCCATTGAATAGGTCTAGGCGCGAAGGGAAAAAGTAGTATAGGACGAATTTCAAAACCTCTTCCCCCCCCGTAGGTTTGCAAGTGTTGAGTTATGCAGGCGTATTCCATCTGTCATTTTTTTCACTATTTTTCAATTCCGGACTTTCTTAGACATTCACGCCTTAAGTCTAACGGGAATTACTTTCCTAGGCCTAAACTGCTTCAGGGCGATGGTACAAAGTCAACAATTCAGAGATGAATTGTTAAGGAGACTGTAATTTTCGGAGCTTTGATGCGGCGCCAGTAATTGAAAGTAGATGCTCCGAGAGGTCTGTTATTATGATAAGGTGTCGGTCATGCACATATAATCGGCATTCAAAAGGTTTTCGACCGAAAGATGAGATGAGTAAACGAAAAGCCGAAAGTTATGTCACGGAAACGTCCGACGGGCTAATACGAGACCAAGCTCCTTCGACCCTCCACGACAGTTCCATTAGCGATATGACGACAATGAAAACATGGCTCGGCCTATATTATTTACCTCGTTTACGCTTCGTTAGAAAGCCAAACGAACGAACATTTAGCTAAACTGCTGGTCTAGCACAGATGGTATATACTTATAGCATAGACGGTTAGGGCTTATCATATTCTAGAATCGACCATCCTCGTACATCTATGTCAAATTAAATGTCTAATTTGTTCTTCTATTCGCTTTTATAGTTTATACAACTTTATAGGCCTCCTCTCTCTTTCCCTATTCTTAGCCAACATTTTTATTGCCCATAATATATTACTTACAGTTACACAATATGCAAAACTTGAACGGTCGTAATTCTACTATTAAAACTTCATTAAGAGAAGTTAAACGATCATATTACGACTGAGATTTATATTGCTTAATTGAATATATTATATCCTAAATATAGTTCAACAGAGTCAAAAGTTTTCATAAGATTTAAGTAGATTTACTATTTTCTGTAAGGAAAATGACCAATCCCTTTTATTCTACTGCGCTCACGCGATTTGACTATAAAAACTAAAGATAAGGTAAAAGTCGCATTAAAGTATATATTCGAATCTTTTAACGGTAAATGTCAAATCGACTAAAATATAAAAAGCGAAATTAAAAAGTAAAAAAAGACTTACCTGTTTTCTGCATCATTGAGAAAATCTAATTCGAAATAGAGAAGAAAATGATGGTACTGTTCACCCTTCTCGATCTGCGCGCTTACTGACACGTGCTAATCAAGAATTCGACAATTCAACGCCAGGGGGAGCTTCAGCACCTACAATGCATAATTATTCCTACATTATTCCTGTTATTTGGGTTCATAATTAGTTTTTAAATAACCAGTGCCCCCACGTACAGGGTACTGATTGCATTTTAAATATAATTTCAATGTTTTCCTGCATAGAGAAGGAATTTGTTAAAGGGTTGAGGTTATACATTTCCGATGTATACAATTACGCAACACACGCCCCATTCACTATACATAGTACATGCTATATTGGTAAGGGTTATGGCTTATATCGGTTCAAACTGGGCGAGGCAAATATGTAACAAATAACAATGGTCGGTTAAAAGTAAACATTTCATTAATTTCGCATCACTCTTATTTCCTTTCTTTTTCTCACACTTTTAAATCGGTTCTGTAGATGATTCGCAGACTGAGGTTAAAGTTTAACGATTCTGTTGTAATTGTAGATGGAATACGCGTTCAAGGCGCGCGCTTCTTCCTATGTGTTTTTAATATATATTAGAGTATTACGCGTCGAGTTTCCAACTGAATTGATTGTTTGCGTACAGATGTTTGAACGGCGAAAAGAATGATGATCCGCTTAGCTCGTACGTGAAAAGAAATTGTTAAATTCAACTTAGTCTCAAGTAGTATTATAGCAGACGTAAAAAATTGTAAGGTATTAAATGAACAGTCTATTCCTGTGCAACTCAACTGAACAGCACAACAACAACAACGGTTATATTTGAATATTTGACACCCCCCGAAGGGGGCCTCCTATAGGCGTTAATAAAGATTTATGGTGTGCCTCACGATAACGGCCTGGTCGACGAGATAAGAGTGGAGCGTGTCGACGGTTAACGAGAGGACGAACGGAAGCGATTTTTATGTTTGACACAAACCAGATACGGATCTCTCGATTTTCATGTTAGGCCTAAGGGTTTAGTAAGAAATATTTTTTTAAACTAAAACGTCGGCTCAAGATCAAAGGCAGGCGTTGGACACACGCCGAACAACTCATCAACGTCAAACGTTCGAGTGACGCAAGTTGTCCGTAATTATGCCCAGTACGACTCTCTTTCGACGACTGTCGTCCTACGAACACTCACGGAACGTTACCTTTCTCTCGAAAGATTACGACAGCGTAAATGAACCGTTTAGAGGAATAAACCGCTTACAAAGACCTCTTGTTGACTTAGGAAAAGATCAAACGATCTCTCTGACTCTTCCTATTGATTACGCAACCTTATAGACACTAAATAAGTCAATCAAGGTTGCTTTTCAATTCTCCAAGCGAAGAGCCCACTTTTTCCGGGCCATTTCAGCAGCCAGTTTACAAGAATGCCGACATTCACTTTCACACATGTTTTTAATAAGAGAAAACGGTATATTTCTCTAAAAGTAATGTAGAGTAGTCGAGCGTGAAGTGGATAAGTATTCTTTCGTGAATTACCACTTACTCAACCCAGATGTCATTCAAAACGCTATTTTTCTTCTTTCAAGCGTTTTTTTTTATTCACGTCCCTCCCTTTTACAAATACTTTCTCTAGTTTTTAAAGATAGCGCCCTCTCCCGCCAGAGTATTTACTTTAAAAATCCTTTTTGTCATTTACCCTTTGCTTTGTAATCTCTATTTCTTTTGGGATAGGTTGCAATAGTCTTATACAAAACGAAAAGTAAATCGTAACAAAAACACTAGGCCTTTTATAAATTAAAAAAAAATAGAAAAAGTTAATGCCAGCTCTGCCCCGAGTGAGGATCGAACTCACGACCTTGAGATTATGAGACTCACGCGCTGCCTACTGCGCCATCGAGGCTGGCTTGATAGTGTAGGAAAAATTGTGTACTATAAATTACACCGAAGATAAAGAAGCATTAGCATTTTCATTTAACTGATAACGCTCTGCTTCATAATAAAAAGATAATCCCGAACTATTTATTTTTTTCTTATTTCGGTTCGTTAAATTGACGTATCGCTTAAATAATCTCGATGAACAGCCATATCTATTACAAAGATCTAACATGACCTTTGCTGTGCCGTCATATCTAAAAAAAAAGCGGCCGCTTTTTAGATATTTAAAAGAAAATGATCGTATTTCGCGGGTTGTTTTATGTAATAAAAAAATTGTAGGGTCCTATAGATAGCGCCATCTATTGTGGTAAATTAGAACAATCACGTTCGTAATATATACAGCACTTGTTGGCGTAATATAATAGAGAATAAGGGGTAAAAAAGGTTTAAAATAATATGGTTAGGTAATATCTTGGCTTTTATTCTCTGGTAAATAATTTCATATTTTTGTTATGCAGATGCACAAACAATGGAAAATTGTATCTAATCAAATATACTGTTTCCCATGAGTCTATACTATCGTGATGTAAAATGCCTAGTTTCGCACATTTCATCGTTGTCTTATTTCCCACGATAGTTTAACGAACGGTCTCACTTTCATCATGAACCGACTATCAACATAAAATCCTCGAGCGCTTTAAGAGATGTAATTATCGACTGATCGAATTGAGGTTGTCAAGTAACATACTCTTATAATTAGCTGAGGTGTCTTCAGGTTGTTTCTAATAAATATAGATTGAACGAATAGAATGCAACCCAAATCAAGCCTTGTATTGAACGCTCACGACCCACCAGCTATTGAAGCGTTTAGTAACGCAGTTAGAAATAATATTGGCGTTACTGAGTTAAACCCTCTTAGCAGAGTCTTCAAATATGGATACTGTAACACCTACTCCGAGTTTGTACAGCCCCCGTTCAATTACCGCTACACCTCGAACGTTTCGTAAAGAGGGATATGGTAAGCCAGTAATGCCAGGATATAAACCTACTGGTATGAATAGACATAGGGACAGCACTTTGTTTATACACAGAACGATAGAGGTTCAGCACGTTTCGAAAGATACAAATTTAAGGGACTCTATCCCGATTATGTCAAAACCCATTGCTATTTTTTGTGCAGTTCTCAACGTCATTTGTCCAGGATTAGGTAAAAAAAATATATATTGCTTTCACGACCAAACTGAAAACACTACAGGAGTTGGTGAATAATTGATTGATATCGATTTTCAACAGGCACTTTCATTTCCGGTTTGACTGCAATTTGCGGAGCTAAAGTACGTACAGTAAACGGAGAAAAGAGTCATGTAGTGTGGGTTAACACTTGGGTAGCTTTATTGCAACTTGTGACAACTCTTTTACTTTTTCTCGGTTGGGTATGGTCCATTTATTGGGGAATATGCTTTATTAAAACGTCAAACGAATGTTTGGACTCGGAACGTCGCACCTCCCAAACGGCTCGTAGCGTTACCATGACAACAACTGTGGTTTCAGGAAACGGAGGAGCAACAACTAGAAATGCTTTGGGAATGGGTGAAGCACCAGCGGCTCCTATTATTGTTTTACAAGAAGCACCCCTAGTTCTCCGCGCAGATATGTTTTTAGATTCCCCCGAACCGTTGCCTGCAACAGTGGCTCCAAATCGAAATCAACGACCACTCAATCCGTATAACCCCCGTCACCAGCGCGCAATTAGACAAAGGCAAGAGATTGATGCTGCAGACACTCTATTTACTTTAAACAATCAGCAACTGGAAGATTTAATGAGCAACGCTCCGCCAACGCCATCTGTCGATGAGGAGCACCGACAGAAAACGTCGATTGTCGCCTCTCCACCTCTGCAACCAGCTCACGAAAATGCCGATCCGGTTGCTAGGAGGCATGGCATTGATTCTGCCAGAGCTGGACGTTCGCTTCACATTAGTACACCACGACCAGACGGTTCCGCCGGAAGTGGCGGGCTGTCGTTACCGGGGTCTATTTTACTAGTATAAAAAAAGAACATAATAATGAAACGCTTGCAGATATATTTGATAGGAAGAATCGAAGAATTTGTCGAAAAAAAACTAACGCTGTACGGGGAAAAAAGAAGAAAATATTTATATGTTTATACATACTGTTTTTAGTATATATTTCTTGAACGTTCGTATGAGCAAAAAACACGTTTAGCGGGGCGAAAGAACGTCGCCGAGAGACGGCCGATGTGAAAAAGCTGTTTGAGCGTTTACCGAAATACGCGCCTGACGAGGTTCGATAGCGAGAGACGCTTTGTAGGTTGAATCATCATCTAGGAGTTTCGACGTATCCAGGATGTAATTTGTTACACGTTTATGATGTTCGATACGGTAGGGAGTATTTTGGAACTGTTGAATTTCCCTGATCACATGAGCGATCATTCTCATTTTAGAGAAATTGACTAAACCCTCTTCAGTTTTGTTCGGTGTTCCTTCTTCAATAAAGGACAAATCTGTTAAGTACATTCCCAAATAAGGTATGCAGGGTGGGTCAGATCGGTGCAGAGCATCACGCATATTTTTAAATCTGCCTTCAGACGAGACGAGATTTTGAAGCTTTTCTACAACTCCTTTAGTAGGTTTAGGAATTCGATCCCATGTCTTTTTCAATCTATAGACGCTCGAATTGACGAGTGCAGCACAAATTTGTAAAACGCCATTATAATTATGCATGCACCTACAAATATCGCCGATAGCAGCCCATTTTTCAATACATGCTACACGCTCCTGCATGCTTGTCCTCGATACAATTTCAGATACGACTAATCGGCTCATATCATTAAAACGTTTTGATACTAGTAGGACATGCGGAGCTTTTTCCTTGTCCTTCATCCAAGCCTGACTGAGCAACTCCATAGAACGAATAGACACGAAGATTTTATGATCAAGGAAGGTCATTTGTTCGGCAATATCTAGAGCAGATAATGATTCAAAAGAATCTTTGGTCGGCTGCAACGGAGGTGCTAAAAGAGAGTTCAAGTCAATTTTAATAGAGTTTGCCTGTTCTTGGGTACACATCTTCAATATAGAGGCGGCAGCTTTGTGTTCGGCGGGTAGTAACGAGGTGTTACAAACCATTTCCTCTAAGAGATCTTGAACCTCTTTACGTAATACATCATCGTGCTCTAAGTCCTGCCAGAATTTGCTCACCCAGTGACGTATAACATTTAGAACACGCATTGTTGCAGCCGTATTCAACACTGACTCTCGCTTTTTATGCAATCTTTCCACTTTGAGCTCATTTGACAATTGAGAAGGTCGATGAACGTCTGGAGGAGTAGAAGAAGCAGCCGTGGCTGCAGCAAAGGCCGCTGTTGCTGCAGTGCTACTTGAACGGCGTTTTGATGCCCTTGAAGAAGTAACGACAGCTCCTGCTCTGGCCGTCGGCGGAGAACCATCAGACGGTGGACAAGCAAAGCTTGTTCTTGGAGAGAAAGTGTCAGTTGAGTGCTTTATACCAGGAATCATATTTGGGGAAGAGAAAGAGTAAGAAATTGGAGACGGAGGGCGTTTCGTTTTTGGGCTTCCCACAGGTGATCTAGTCGCGATAATTTGCGGTGAAGAAGCCCTTTTCTGTTGAATAATTGGAGGTGGAATACTTGTGCAAGGACTCGTAGCACGACGGACTGTTTTCAATATTTTCGGTTCTTCTGGATCAGTTGAACTCTCTCCTGGTGGGGTTGTTGAAAATCGAACGGCAGTTCGTCTACTGAGAACAGCAAGAGGCATTAAGGTTTCCTTGTCATCGTCATCATCGTCATCGTCCCCACTACTTGATGCACGTTCGGGGGTTTTTTGAATTTGATCACTTAACGTTTCGCAGCTAGCTATCGGTGCCAACTTTGCCTTAGTTGGTATATACAAGGCAGGGGGTTCATCGACCTCTTCTATTGAATCGGCTCGGTCATACCGAGTAAACGAACTAGCTCCGGAAACATCAATCTTTTGCTTTTCGCCCGTCACTTCAATACGCAAACCGCCCGTTGAAATGCGACGAACCTTTTCGGCTTGTGGTTTAATGAGTAGTTTATTATCTTTGGGAGCAAGACGTCCATGAAAATTGGAGGGTGGACTCCCTGCTGCGTTTCTAAGCATTTCATGATCGAACGAGTGTCTGTGCGTTACATCATGTCCGCATTTCTCATCTGTTGTTATAGGAACTTTAGCGTTCTCTATAGGTGAATGATAAACCTTTCGAAGAGCGCAAATTACATCAGTGCCTGACGTAAACACTCTATAAGTTAGTAGAAAGGTGTTAAGAAAATCGATTGACAAGAAGCGCAGATCAGTCAAACGATCTAATAATCTCTCGACGGTCGCGTGCCGAATTTGTGGTACTTTACACGAATTGAGCGTTCTCGAGAACTTGATGTCAATATCGTCTCGGAAGAGTTTAGGATCAGAGCGTACTTGTTGAGGCATCGTAACAGCCGATGTTTCAGCCATTGAGGTTTGCAGAAGATCGGAATAATGTAGGTTTTCAATGCAGCTCGATATGTCAGAACACCATGCAGCCTTCTCTTGAACACTGTTTGCCACTAGAGTTATGAGCCAAGGTTGACCATTTTGAGTACGATTGTCAACAATTAATCGAAAATCTAATCCGTTGTAGTCGGCTTTATCTTGTTGGGCGGCTGTGGGGAGAAGGCTATCTCCAGCTCGAACATTGCTATAATCCTCTTCGTCGTAGTAGAACGTATCCGAACTCGTATCTTCTACTAGCGTGCAATCGGATAATGAAATTTTTCCGTAAGTCTTCCCGCCAGAATCCCTTATCACTTTTTTCCACGATGAGATGTCTTCATTCTTTGCTAAATGTAAGCGTCCTGACGATCCTCTGGTTGTCAAAAGCATATGATTAGTAAACAAGAAGACTTGTCTCACAGCTTCTTTCTTAGACTCTTTAAATGTTGAAGAGAAAGAACCAAGACGGGTTCTACTATTCTTGCGGGGTTCGTTTATAACTTGAATAAGTGTCCCTTGACGAACAAACGTTTGATTGACATCTAGAAGAATATCGCACCCTTCGACAATCATCCTTTCAATTGCCAAGTTCTTTCGGATATTCTCCGTTTCACTAACTTCATCCTGCATGATTTGTGACAACTCTTCCAGCTTGCCCTGGGCGTACTCCAAGCTCTTACGTTCCACATGATCGTGCGGCGTGTGAGCTAGTAGTTCGTGGATTGTAATGATGTATCTGGGAATCTAAAGGAGGAAGGAGAAAAAATTCGTTTGCCTCTACAACTATTTGAATGCTCTCTAAAAACTATGTATTGTTGTAATAGTACAACCAGGAATTATTGAATTCATCGAAAGTGCGGCATAGGTGCGTGAAAGCGTAAAGAAAGAATAAAAGGAGGGATAGTGAAACATCAAGGGCTTGATATTTTTGTACAACGAATAGAAAACCTGATGCATCGGGTAGGTAAGCAATTGCTCCAATGTGCTGGTATTGCTATCCGTTGCTCCGCTAGTAGAACAAATTGACGCTCTTTTTATTGCGTCCGGAAGTTGAAGGCCTAGGGAATCGGCAGCATGAGCATAACTGGCCGCTCGACTGCGTTGAAACTGCAACTGCAACTGTAAACGGTGCCATAGCCCCGTTTTAATATGAAAGTATTAAGGAAAAAAACAAACGGTTCGTTTTCGCAGCATACACCGACGCCGTTTTCTTTACTTTCCTTTCTAATCGCATAATTCCGAAGCCTGCTTAGAGCGGCTTTAGGAATGCGACGGATCGAAAAAGCGAAAGTGAAAGAACGGCGTTGGCGTCACGTATATTTATATAAAAAGCTAATTAGCATCAATTCTACTCGAGGCGTGAAAACGAAACCGTAAAAACGCGTGCAAAGTTTACGCATATAAATATATAACACTGTATAGATTGAAACATTTAAAAAAGTGTAAACGGAGGCGCCATTACGCTATAGAGCAAAAAGAGGATAAATTGTACGTACCTGATGCATTGGATAAGTAAGAAATTGATCTAGAGTTCGACCCTCACAAACTGACTTTTCCTCATAGCGTCTAAGGAGCATATTGAACTCTGCCTTTTGCTTGTACTCTGCTAGAACCTGCAAACTATAATGGTGATTACGAACATACTCCTGGTAGATCCCAAGCATCGGAAGAAGCATGTCGAAGAGGTCACCAAGTACTAGAGTGGGCCAATTCTCCATACGCGCCATAAGACCCTTTAAGAAGATTTGATGGAGGAACAAGACAGTTTCCGCATTAAGGAAAATACTATTGACGTCCTCGTGCGTAATCGGCGGCTTCTTACTGCTGGCAGCCATTCGAAGTGGCCGCAGAAAGACAGTGACTAAGGCGGACAACTGCTGGACGTACTCTTCCTCTTGTTCGACCAATCGAAAAACGATCGAATTACGCTTGCGCATCGACTCTGCGTGTTCAGAACGTATGTACTTGTCAACTATCTGCTTCCAGCGACGTCTGCATAGCCAACCGCGGAAGAAACTTTGAACCTTCTTAATCTTGCGAATCTCCTCGCCTTCCTCCTCTAACGATTGCTCGCCGCCGGAGGCGCGTCTTTCGCGTTTGTAGTCCTTCATTTCGCACTTTAGTTGCTTCACTTCGGCGCTCAACTCTTCCGTTTGTTGAACATAGTGCCATTTCGCCTGTCGTTCGCTCTCCAAGATCTGCAGTAAATGAGAGTGCTTCTTCTCCAAGCACTCTTTTTGCTCGACGACTTTGGCGAAGCTTGCCTGCTTAATGGCATCTACCCATACGGAACATTCGGCCTCGGTTTCTGCTCGCATGTCATATTGCCTCGACTGTTGTCCCTCCCTCCGATAATAGATTGCGAAACAGTACTGAAAAGGCGGATTAATCGAACGTTTAAGAGTAGGTTGCTAGGCAACAAACGCCGCCAGTGCAGCGAACGCGCGCCTACCTGTTTGTCAGCACCTTTTCCAGGGGTAATGACGCGGTCGCAGTAGGAACCTTCCAGCAATGCGACGCCGGACGGTCGAACGATCTGGTCATTCTCGTAATAAAACAGTAGATTCTGGTAGAGGATGAAGTATCTTTGCTGCCATTTTCCAGTATCGACGCTCTTCTTATGCAAATATCCGCACTTTGTATTTTCCTGTTTCGCTTTGCTCGACAAGTACAAAAGTTGCGATTCATTCACGCGAACCGCTTTTTGCATCGTCAAAAACTATCTATTAAGACGGACGACATGGTAACCGAAGCAAAAGCGCGCGTTTAATCTATACTATAACTAGTATATACTACAACAGTAGACGGCGTTAGTTATGCGCAATTAACATAAATCATCGAGCGCACTGCGTCACTGTACTGCCGCGTACCTGTTGACATATGCGAGCGACGTCGACGACAACGTCTTTATTATCTATAACACCAGATGGCACTGTTAACTTTGCACTTTTATTTGAAAAAAAAAACAAATTAGCTTTTATAACACGGTACTTGAAAGTTGAAGACTGCTTGAACATAATTTCCGGGAAAAGTTCCGAATTTACCCGTTCTCTTATTCTCTCCCACCATCCAACCATCACGGCAAATTTCCGTTATGCTGATTAAGTCTGACTCTTCCAATGCTAGTTCGTCATAACTTTGGGGAACATATTTAAATAGAGCTCGATATCTGTTGGTATATTAAGTAAAAAAAAGAGCAAGAAGTAATTCGATGTATCACACTTACAGATTCTTTCCTTCATCATGCGTCTGCTTTTTCATATTTATATATGAATTGGAAGACGAGTATCCGTCGTTGCTTGATGTATGTAAGACTTCCCCATTAATAAAATCATTCATTTGGTTAGGGGGAAATGTAATTACTTTTACATATGATGACGGAAAAATTCCTTGTCTATTTCCAATTTGACCTTCCCACCAATTTTGATCAACTCTTCGGATTAACTTGATTGTTTCGCCCTTGCGAAGAGGCAATTCAATATCAGTTTGTGGTTTAAAATTATATAATGCCAACGCCCTTTCTGCTGTGATTTCCTTAATGTATATTTCTGATTCGGGATGGCCTAGATATTCAGCATATTTTGTTGGAAAAACACCTATATGCCCATTGCATTGACCTTGAGTCCAGTTTTGGTCTATTTGCCGAACGAGATTGATCATATCACCCTTCTTTAATGTCAATTCGTTCTTTTTTTCAGCCGTAAAATTGTATTTAGCCCTAGCTATTCCGTTTAATTCGTGGGGTGTATACATTACGGGCCTCTTAATATCCTCTGAGTGATCTCGAATCGAATTTTCATTACTTGCCCGATCTAATAAAAATAAAGATGAGGTAATATGAAGTTTCTTGAAAAATTCCTAACATACAACTTACTATAAAAAGTTTCTTTATTTGGTTCACAAAATCGTAAATCCTTGAAACGATTCCTTTTACACTGCCTCTTATCGAAAAACGAACTTTTTTTTTTTATACACTTTTCTGCGGGTGAACAACGATCGTGCTCTCTTAAACGAGGTTGATCATATTGAGTTTGTATTCGCCTCGAATATAGATTTTCACTAGGATGAGAATCTTCTGTTGAACTAAACTTATTTCTCGATGGATCTAAGAAGAACGCATTAATAAAAGAATTAATAACTTAAATAGATAGAATTCAATAGAAAGTGCTTCGTGGAACTTATTTCTCTTTTACCATTAAAATATATTGTAGATTTTTGAGAGGAGAGTTCATCCCTTAACTTATGACTAGCTGTTTTGTCATAAATATTCTCCTTATTCTCCACTATTTATGTGTGCGTAAATTAAAATTATTAGCTAATTATTTTAAAATTAATAACTAAAAACATAAAAAGTGTGTTCAAAACTGATCTACCTGAAAATTTTGGATATTCAAAATCTGAAAATTTATAAGTAGGTGCATAAGTGTTCATTTCTGGAAAAAGAACAGAAGATAAAAATACTACACAGAAAAAAAAAGCTATTTAAAAGATCACTCTGGGATTAATAAGCTAACGATTTTTTTAAAAGCTTATTGTTTAAGTAACAGTGAGGAAGAAGCGAAAGAGAACAAACCTTGCTCGGGTTTCTTTTTGTGCAACGATTTAAATACTTGTCTATACCAATTTTTTTGCTCTTTTTCGTTAACCCCCTGCAAATCAATCTCTTTTGAAAATTTCTTAATTAGATCTCTTTCTTCGAAAGAGGAAGTATATGTGATGCATCGTGCTGAATTAATTGGACGCCAAATGATACTCAGAGGAAGGGAGTTTTTAATGCAATTTTTAGTAATTTGTAATTTGTAAAATCGCTCATTTTTATAACTGTTACATAAACTAAACTCTTTGGAGGGATTTCGAGCTTTCTTTTAAAAATGATTAAACCTACCGATCTTGAACTTGATGATAATCTCTTCTCATTAGTAAACGTATCTCTTGGGGATCGATCGTTATATAGAAAAGAGTGATTTTCAGACGATAGATCTTCATTGAAATCTTTTCTATTCCTATTAGATAACGACGTTTCTGTTAACCAGTTGTAAGATTTTTCAGCGGGTCTTTGGTCAACATTCCTTTCTATTTGATCAGCTTTCTGCGAATCATTTCTGATTCTCTTTTCGATGCTACCAATGAAGTCTTCAGGGGGATAATTATCTGAATAACGAGAACGTTAAATACAGTATTATTTTAAATTTAGAGTATACCATTGAAATAAACAAGGTGGAATAGATATTTCTTCCTTATTTTTTTAAAACAAACGAAAACTAAAAACTCTCACCGTATAATCATACAATTAATAAAAAATCAAAAGCTTTTTTTATATTACTTTTGTCGAGCTACTATAATTAATAGGCTGTAAAAGGCAAAAAGTGTTCTATACTACTATAAAGTATTCTGGTAAAAATATAAAAAGATACTAAGTAATACACAATACATTTTCATAATCTTTTTGGTATAAAACATAAAGTAGAACTAATAAAATGTCTTTTTTAATATTAGTAAAAGTAATTAGACGCTTCTAAAAATAGGTTTTGATAATTGAACTGAATAATTGTAAAATAGCTAATAAAGAATAAAAATACCTTTTCTTTTTTCGTGATTTATAATAGGTGGATTGAGTGATTTTGATAAACTGCTTGTTGTATTAGTGTTATTATCTAGCATTAATTGAATGTTGCTGTTTTTTTGCCAATTGATTCCATAACTTTCCCTTTTTGCTGTCTTTAAAAAAAAAGGAAATTAAAAAAACTAGGTTGATACTTTTGTTAAAAACATTTTATGTTTCGGTGTGTTTGTTTATTTTATGTCTTCATCACTTACAAAAGTTGAAACAATTGGGCTGGAAGGCCGTTCGATTTCAGGTGTGGTAGACTGTAAACGAGTTAGCTTTAAGGCATGATGCGATGACGATTGAACTTGTTTGCCTATTTTGAGCGTTTTGTTACAAGAAATAGTTAGAGGGGAAGTGGAAAGTATATTCTTAGTATCTGTGACAATTGAATTTTGATATGACCATCTTGGATATACAAATGCTATACCTTCGTCATTAAGTTCCCAACTATGCAATTGTTCTTGATTTCCTGCAAACGGTAAAAGATAATAATAGCAACTAGTATACGGGAACTAAATTGATATAAAGTGGAACTTTGTTCATAGGTAGGCATAGAATGTTTTCATGCATTAAAAGCTTGTAAAAAAAATAAAACAATATAGCTATAAGTATTATAAATTATTATTCTTTTTTGGATTCACAACTCCGCAAATAATTTAGACCTCATCTCACCTGTTAGACCGTCATAAGAGTAATCATGAGAGGGAACAGAGATTTTTCTATAACCCTGTTTTCTAAAAGATTCCTTATTACCCTTTAGTGGCGTGCTTAAAATGTATTTACTACTTTGCTGGCAATCTGTCCCTAAGATATCAACATTTGAGTTAAGTTTTAAAGTCAGATTATTTATAGCCTCTGTGATATCGGATGTTTTTGGCAGGACAGAGTAATTTAGCGCAGGACTGGGCATTGCAGGACTAGACATTGTCTGAATTTGTGGAGTTTTTAATTGATCTTTCAACTGCACTTTCTCCAGTGAACAATCTGTCTTCTTAAATTGTGGCGATGCACAATCATGATATTCAAACTTTTTTCCTTTAGGTTGAAATTTGGATGATGAACTATCATTTACTAAAAAGGTATTACGGGCAGATGTTGTTTCACTTGAAGAGATCACTCCTACTTTTAAATCGGTAAACTTATTAGCATTGACTGCAGCTTCTAGAGCGGAACTATTTTCCTGAGAGGATAACCAATCAACTTTAGTTTGATCTAGCTTCACTTCTCTTTTTCCCTGTCCGTTGAAATTAAAATTTCTGCTAATATTATCATTGCTATCATGACTTAAGAAGGGAGAAGATATTCTCCCTGGACTTTTTGTATTAGGCACATATTCTTCTTTATAATACTCAAAGTTATTGGGGGAATAACACTTTTCATAATTTATGTTTGCGGTATGGCAATAATGTTGTTTGTAACTGTCGTTTGATTTTACAGGTTGGGTAAAAGTTTCTTCCTCTTCGTCTAATTTGCTAATAGTTTTTTTTGAGCTCCAAGACTTGCCATTACCCAAGTAATTGTCCTCAATAAAAGGTTCGTTAATTTTTGAATCGGGACCTATAAGACACGTTTCCTGCGAGTAAGAAGTGGGTCTAAGTTGCACTTCTTCTAGATGGTTGAAAGAGTGGTTAAAATGGTTATTTAACTCCCCCCCTTTCGAGTTTAGAATAGGAGTTATCGATCGTTTGCATTGACGATCTCTAAGTTCCCTAAAATTAACAGGGTTGCTGAATGACATTAAAGTAGGTGTTAACGATCTATCACAACTTGCTGTACAATCTGGCGATTGCCTAGCAATTAATTTATGGTGGGGTATTATATTTCCCTTTCCTGTTGCCGTATAAGAATACGATGATGATGGCGATTGATTATATTGCGGTTCTCTTCTGACAAAATACTTTTGAATAGGTTGATCATTTGAAAAAGAGTCATAAACTAAGTTCGAATGTGACATTCCACGAGAATAATTGCCTAGATTTTTATCAATATTTCGGAATGAAGAAGTATTACAACTCTCATATTCTTCCAAATTATCATTTGAATTCCTCAATATCTCTTTATTAATAATACTTCCGGAAGTTTTTCCCTCTTTTGTTGATAGGGTTTCGCCGTTTGAAGATTTCTTTGATTGTTTAAGTAATATGTCTGGTTGTAAGATTACTGGGGGAATTCGTTCTCCAGGCGAAGATCCGGCCAGTAGCGACCGCCTTTGAGCTGGAGATAAAATTGGAGATGCAATTCGAGTAGGACTTGAAGTATCAATAAGTAATTCTTTTTGAGAGTTGGCCCTGAGTGGCATTAATTTCGCTTCTTGCCACGTAATTGGTGTTGAATTCTGTTTTTCTGTATCATTTAATAATAAACTTTTTGTGTTACCTACGACGAAGTGATACTTAATGCAACAGCTCAAGATCAAATATAGTCCTAATTTTACATATAATTTAGCGGGTGAATTTTTAAGTTTAATCGTTAATATAAAAGTAATATTGACGAAAAAAGAAAACTTACCCTGCATATCCAAAGAATTTAGCTTGTCTATATCTGAACATTTGCTTTCGTGGTTGATTGACGGACCTGAAATTTTATTTCTGATAAATTGAAAAGAACTAATGTTGACTAATTCTCCACGGTTTTTTATAAATAATTGAATTGTTTGAGTTGTTGAAAATCTATTATTACTATTTAAAAAAAAAGTAAAAAGAAATTCTTAGACTTAGAAAACGAACAAACAAGAAACAACAATAGATCAAAGGATGAATTTCCCTCAAAGAATTAAGTAGCAAATCGAATTAATTAAGTTTACAAAAAATGAAATAAACTAAGAGTGGCCTAAAAGCCTTCGAGTTACGTTAACTTTATGATCTAAAAATTAAATCGCACCACTTTTTTGTTTGAGATGTAATGGTTTTTTCATATTAAAGGTTCCTGGTTGAGAATCTGTTTCTGAACTGAATGATATATTATCATCATCCATTATGGTCTCATCTTCTCTTTCCAGAGCATTCGACGTAGTTAAAGCGGGACACACTGTAAAACAAGTGCTAAGCATATTTACAAAGCTCACTATAAACAATTGAAAAACGTTTTATGACCTTGAAATTTTGCAGGTGAATTTTGTTGGCAGTCGTTCGTTTTATCTCTAAATTTTGTGAAAAGCCGTTTCCAAACAAAGAAGATACTTATATTGATGTTACTTTACCTTTTCAATCGTAAATTTAAGGTTTCAATGCTATTTTTGATCAAGTTGACAGATTGTTCATGAGTTAAATCAGTTACAGACTTGCCATTAATTTCCATTAAGATATCTCCGACTTGCATTCCTGTTTCTCCTGCTTTTCCTAGAAGGCTCAACTGTAAGTATAAGGTAAAACTATTCAAAAGTTATTTATACCAACTAAAATAAGACACTGCTTATGACCGAAACTGTTTAATGCATAAACAATAGATGGAGCCACGCAAAACATTCTTAGGAGTAAACGTTTGTTTTACGTTTGTAAAAAGAGCGAAAGCTAATCGCTTCACCTGCTTTCAGTCATTTACGAGGTAGCAAATAAAAAATCAAAGCAGGGATAAAGAAAATAGATAGTATCGTTTTTTTGGAAGCAAAGCAGCAATAGTTTCCAGACTGCTCTTCATCAACGGAAAGTTAAAAGTGCACGGTTGACGTAGCTAAACGTTTTTTTAAAGGCTCAATTATGTTTATTTTTTCTTCTTTTATACTACAGAATTTATCCTAGTAAGCCTAAACGGAACTTTCACGCAACTTTTTATAATAGCAATCCCATAATCTACCTTCAATTTTATGCTTTAACTAATATCGAATAGAAGGGAACCTGCTATCTCGACCACCACTTTATCTGCTTAATTAGTGACTTAAATTCGGTAGAATCAAGTTAATTTAGTTCTAAGTATCTCCCTTTTTATCATCACCAAGGGTATCACTTCTATACGAATGAATAGAAATCTGAGAAACGACCATGAGAGAAGAAATCTAGGTCAGATAGTCTAGTTACACTTTACCTAAGAATTTCTATAAATTATACGTTTATGATACCCGTAAGAATAAAATATTGTTTAGTTAAAATATAAAATATCAAGAATAAACAAATACCTGGTAGACGAGTAATATTCATTAAATCGTTGGTATAAAACCGTGTTTATAAGTAAATAATCCACTTTAAATGATTTACTTTTATACTATATATATTTGCATTAAACAATTATACGATAAACTCTCTGACAAACGGAGCCTATCAAGAACATGACCTGCACGAACTCGTATAAATATACAAATAGAAAATGAGCAAAAATGTTAAAACAACAAACTCCAATAGATTCGTATGAAAAAATATACATAACTAGTCATCGGTTATTACACGAATAAATCCACTAACGCTAAAGTGCTTAGAGTATGTTTTAGGGTATAAAAACAAACTTTGCCCCCATTCTATTCTAAAAATTTCAACTTTGATTATAAAAAAAGAAGAAGAAAAGAAATCAAAATATGCCCGAACCAATTGACACCTCTTTCTCGTCTAACAGTTTATTGACAATAACGAACCAATGTCTTCAATAAACTTTTTCTATGTGCCTGTACTGTTATACTAACAAGTAAAGAACGATTGGAATTTTCCCCGTTGTATTATGTGCTTAATCATTGATTAAATACTTAAAAATAAATACTGAAAGTTCTGAAGCCCTTCAAATATAGGATGAATTATTCTGTTAAAAGTAATTTATATTGACAAAAATGTATCACAATATATGGGGTTTTTGACATTTTTGGTAGAAAGCAATTTGAGAAGAGAAATTTCTTTAAGAGACGGATGAATAGTAACAAGAAGGAAAGTAAAAAAGGAAAGGCTTGAATAAAATTTCAAATTAGAAAGGATTTTTTTCTATCGTTGAAAAATGGCGTGAAAAAGAAAGAATGTTAAAATATTTCGTTCACTTTGCTTTCTTTTCTTCTTTTTATTTTTTTCCCACCCCCTCCTTCCCTACTCTTTCCCAGTTCTTTTCCTCTTTCACTTGTATAAGATAATCTGTTTTCAGTTTAAATATATTTATCCACTACAGCGTAGAATTTTGAAAAGAGAGCTTATAATAATCTTAACATAAAATTTTACGTGCTAACTCTAATATACAGATACTAAAAAGCTGGGATTTACATCATTGTTAGTGTTTTCCTCCTACAGGAATCACTATTACAAACACATTGCTTAGGGCTAACGAAAATATTTTTAACAGTTTTCCACTGAAGAATTCAAAAGAGAAGGCGAGAGGGGTAAGAGTAGAGAGAGAGAGAGAGAGATAGAGGGAAGAAAAGGATTAAATATAAAAAGTAAAAACATAATTGATTTCTATATACAGTAAAACACTTATTAAGTGTTCTGAAATAATTTATAAGTCAATTAACATAATTTTACACAAGAATAATTAATAAGAAAAGAAAGTTAATTGAAAAGTATTGTTTGTTCGAATATCTTTTTCATATTGTCAAGAATGGATTACTTTACAAACGCTTCTTTGATCAGTTGCCAAAATAGTATAATTCAAAAAGTTGTCAATAGTTCATATTACACGCTTTATCGAGTGTATAAGAGGTCGATGAAACAGAAAATTATTCAGCTGTTAAATAGTCAAAGATTTTTTAAAGATCATAATTTTAACGAAAAGAATAGAATAAAAGAGAATTTTGTTGAGTTGTATATTAAAGTCTAAGGAACAAACTATTTAAAGTTACAACTTTGTTAAAATAGAATAGTAATCCGTAAGTAATTGGTTTTTCTGAAGAAAAAAAATACTTACCCTTCCTATTTTTAATTTCTCTCCAAATTCTCGCCCACCTTGGAGTCGAAATCCCCAAGGAGAACCGCCTTTTAATTCAACACAATAAGACATTTTTACCGCTAAACTATTATTCAACTGGTCTGCTAGAGAACTTCCGTTATCATACAGTAGCGCCATCTGTTAATAATAATATTTTTCATATATACCACGGTGAAAGTTATCTCAAATTCCTATTTCGTCTACCGCTTTTAGAAAATTCTCTGTAAAAAAATAAGCAAGTTCTACAAAGCTTTTAAGAACCTTTCGATATTTTAGACCTCTAGGGACTTTAACCGTTCTGATTATGTCAAAGATAGTAGCCATATATTTACATCGAAAGAATTTAGTTGCCATGTGTAAAAGATAAAAAATAGAGACAAAATAATGTATTTTCTTTATACATAGATATATTTTGTAAATGCACCAAAAAGAAATTACCCTGCCGGAACCCGGGATTGAACCAGGGACCTTTAGATCTTCAGTCTAACGCTCTCCCAACTGAGCTATTCCGGCAACCATGATTAAGTAGTAATTAATTTGGTATAACTAATAGTATTAGGCCAAATCCCCGATTGAATATTTATAGTAATCAAAGGTGATTCAATCCATTTTTCGATCACGTCACGTATCTTAAGCTAGGATGTAGTTGAATGAGATAATACTACAATTTCGCTATTTCCCGTTAGCAAAAGAACAAATCAGATTCTATGAGAGAAATCTCTTTAAAAGCATATATCAGCCAATCGGGAGTTGTAAACTGTATACATCTGTTGCCAAAGTTTATACATGGCTAAAAGCAATTCAGTTGATACTGCAAAATTACCCTAAAGAAATCGATGCGAATGATTTTTTCTTTGTTGATAGCCTATCAACTCCTTGTTGGCTATAATCTTGTTATTTAAAGGATTATATTAAAAGAAAAAGTATAATCTTTCAATAATTATTTGTATAGAATTTCTAATATCCTATTACAAAATAAAAGTCAGCTCCATCTGTCGTTCTCTAAGAGAGATTTCGAAAAGGAATAGTAAAATATTAATATATTTTTTTGCTGAGTAATAACACAGCTTAGTTAACTTGTATCGGAGAAATAATCTGATATCAAAATAATCTCTTGATTACATGGCAATCCAGGAGTAAATAGCCTATGATACGTCATAAATTTTAGTATTTATTATAGCATATGATAAACTTTATGTATTGAAGTTATTGGAAAGTGTTTAAAAAATTGTTGTGAAAAAATTATTCAGTCATTTAAAAACTTGTATAGTTAAAATCCATTATTTAGTTTCTTGTTATCTATCTTTACTTCTAAGAAGAATTAAAAAAAAAGTATCCAACTATATGTATACAGTATATATATAAAGATACAATGCTAGTTTGAATGGAATCTTGTCCAGTGGCACAAATTCAATTTTTTTTCTCCATTATCTAAAAGGGAAAATAGCTCAAAAAATATTTAACCGGAAGAAAAAACCGGTTAGACTAACAGTAAAGAACAGCAATTAACAGTGTGCGCACAAGCAGTGCAAATAAATTATCAGTTGTTTTCCAAGAAAAGGTAGACAGATTATAGCAAATATTAAATCAACATAAAACATTAATAAAATTCAAGTACAGTACAGTACAAAACATGCATGTTTACAAATATGCTTTTGTTAATATTGCTCATAAATGCAATATATGCACACAACCCCTTTACTACCTTAACTACATTTGTATCTAAAAGCAATGTGTAAATAAAATATGCATACTTTAAATATTTGGCACTGAAAATTCCCTATTTAGGTAATAAATAAATAAGTTAGAAAAAAATGCTAATGAATACTGATTTTTTAATCCGATAAATGCTTTAACCAATTCTCTCCCTCGATTTAGATCGTATTTGGGGAAAACCATTTGATGGTACAGAGGCTTTACTTGAACTTGGACGTTCAACTAACCTCTTACCGGATATCCTTTCTCCATCTAAACCGATTGGTCTGGAGTTATTTAATCCTATAATTTCTGTTTTACTTCTATGAACATTATGAGGAGGTACAATCATAACAGCGCGGTCCTGTCTAGCAGATAACCGACCGTTTTCTGGTTGTCTATGCTGATTGTTCGAAACAAGTTTAAGTCCTAGTTTCTGCTTCAGTCTATTATTCTCCTCCATTAAAGAGTTATATTGACGAGTTAGTAAAGAGTGACGCTTTCTTTCGTTGCGTAATTCATTGGCCTGCTCCTCAATCTTTCTTTGTAAATCTCCAGCTTCCTGATTGAGAGTAGAATATTTTTTTTCAAGATCTCTCCTTTCTCTTATCCAATCTTCTTTTGCATTTTTTAGCATGTCTACTTCGTGAAGAATTTCTAATTCTATATAATTTTTCTTCGATGACGCTGGCGTTACAGGTTGCTTTGTAGTAATTGGAGGCGGTTTCTTTTCCTTTAATTCCTCCATCTTCCTTTGAGCTGCAGCGAGAGAACTCTCTTTGGATGTCAATTCGTTTTTCATATTATCCAAATCTTTCTTCAATTTCACATTATCCCGATCTTTTGATTCCAGTTCCCTTTGAATGGTAGATAATTCATTCTTCAACTTTTCAACATCAACTTCTCTATCAGAGATGATTTTTTTATTTTCATTCATTAATATTTCGTTTTTATTTTTTATATTTTCTAACTGTAATACTAATTTTTTGCACTTTTCTTCTTCTTCTCTTAATTTAGAATCTAAAGATCCAGAAGAGTCTTGAATATCAGATAGCATTTTAGCTTTTTCTTCTTCTAGTTTTTCAATTTTTGTGGTAAGTTTTGTATTTTCTCCAACAAGGCATTGAACAGCCTTATTTATGAGTATTTTTACAGTCGTAGGTGAAACGTTTGTTAAACTGTTCTTGGATAAGAAATCCTGTAGAAGTTCATCGGCACTGTATTCAGAGTCTTGAGCACCATTATTGAGTTTTACTGGCGTTTGTTTCCTCGACAAGTAGACTTGAGATATACGACTTGCACTTGAATTACTTCCTGTCGACTCTACTGATAATCGACGTTCAGGAGAAATACTTTTCAGAGGCTAAAGATTTAAAATTCACTTTTCAATTAAAATATAAAAGGCAAAAACTCTTCACACGCCCCATTGAACTTACCGAGCCTGTATTAGCATCTTCAATTACTTTTTCTTCTTTTTCTAAAAAAGATAAAAAGAAACTTGAAAGGGTACGAAGAATTAAGTTCACAAACTATTCTCTGAAGAGGGGAGTGTGTCGATTACAATATATCTATGTTCTCAAGGATTCATTCTTAACGTACAAAATAAATATACTTAAAATTTTGTTAACAAAGCTATTGAAAAATGTTTGTTAGATACTGTATATACAAAGGACAACCTTAAGCTACTATATCTTTATCATTGTGGTTAAATATCACAATATCTAGTGGTATTATAGAAAATAAACAATTTTAATCTCTTTGCATTTACTTTTTATTTATAAAAAAAGACTAACCATCATCATATTTGCATTCTGTTCGGAATACATCTTCACCAGCCATTTTCTTTCGTTCTTCTGTAAAATTTGTCTCCATTATTGAGTGAATATAATAGAAGAGAATTTAAATGAAATCATTTCTTGAATAATATCCGATTTATTATTTTTCGTCAATCTTTATTTGTTTAGCTAAAAATGAGTTCACTCTCAAGAAAAAGTAAAACAAAACTGAAAACAGTATTCACTCAACGAACCGTTAAGCGTAACTAAGACTGAAACAAACAGTCAGCTTTTTACAAACACACTGATCGAAATTGAATTACAGTCAATAAACGTCAGTCAAGATTTTTACAAGTGATCAAGCGGAATCGAGTTGGCGCTCTGAACTTATGGGTAATTCGATTAAAGTGTTGACAATGAAACCAAGCCTATCAAGCTTAGTGACGTACCTTCTGATTGGTTATTGTCGGCCGTTTATTATAAGCTTACCGTTTAGTTGTTTATAATCAACTTGTTCAAGTGCTATTCGATAGCTCGTTAGGTTTTACTTTAAGAAAATTCATATAACAGTACTTTTTTCGCCCTTTCCTCTCCAGTTCAATTGTGTTTATTGGCTACTTTATAACCTTCTATCTTTTGTAATAGAATGCACTCTTGCGGCAGGCGGACAATCATTCATAAAAAAATTCATTCATACGATTCATACAAGCGTCTATCCTCTCCCACGTTGTTTTTAAACAATTATATTTATTCATTGTTTCAAAACAACAAGCGAGTCACTTTTTTTAACGAAACAAAAACAGTAGTCTTCGCTAACTTTTTCTATTATTCAACAGGAATTTGTGTCATAAGGGCGGTAATTAATTCTAAGCATTAAACTTTTTTTTTCAAATGAGCGGCTCTAAATCCAATAAGCTTTATAGCTTTTTAAATTAAATTGACTGGAAAGTTTTATTAATTTTTAGTTAAAAAGCTTCAACATAATCAGGATTAGTAAAAAAATTGACCTTTTGCATTATAAAAGTATTTAATCTAGTAGAAAAGTGCGGAATGTTATAATTATCTAAACCTTTGATCAGCATATCTACCAACATCTATTCGATTAATTGTTCGAAATTTTAGCCTGGGTCTCGTTTTCGACTAGATTAAGCATGTTATATCGTCTCCTTTTTCTACTTCTTGTATACTCGAAAAGTATAAATCTTTATTGAAAAACAAAATAAAAAAAAACGCTCTTAAATTGGATCATGGCCAATTTTCGAAAGGGTTATGACGTCATAACGAGTTGCTTCTAAAGAACTTTTACGACTTATGAAAATCGCTTTTAATTCAAATGGCTTTAGCGTTCAATTGACCGTTCGCGATCAATCGAACCGATTTCCGTACAAAGCAAGAACTAGCATTTTATATGCTCGGTTGGCCTAATGTTAGCGATAATTACGAGTTTTATTTAACTGTTTTTTAGGAAATAAGCTCTATTAGTTCATAAGCTGTTATCCCTGCTAAATCATTCGATTTAATCCGGAGTAATAGCGGCCTATTTCGGCTAAACACTTCAAATACATAGCAAAGAATATTGGCAAAAACACAAAAAAGACTTTTTCAAACAAGTGTTTAGAAGTCTAACCTTCTATTTTCTTTTCCTGTCCTTCTTCCTCTTTTGTAATAGTAAACCAAATGAGCGACGATCCTTCTTCTTTTGCCATAACTTAGAATTAACCACGAACGAGCTCTTGTATATACAATATGTGATAAGCTTGAATCACATTGATTCGCAACTTTGACAACGGACTGAGTCAACGTTAGGTTGCTCGGATAACTGTAACACTAGCGTATATATAAAAATGCTTGACAGGACTTGTGCTTTTTTATCGTAACAACAACAATTGATTTACGATTAGGCCTTAGCTACTTTCGATGTGGGAGAGTTCTGAAGATGTTTATTAATTGGTAAAATATTGTGTCAGAAGTGGAGATAAATCTTAAATCCCATAGAGTATAAATTTATGTCAGCAGAACTTTTTAGTGTACTTTAAGCAATTTAAATCTAGATAGAATATTTTCCTATTCATAATTCTTTATCGATGTTTTCCTATGACGTAACTAGAATTTGCTAATGTGTAGAGATCGATACTTGTGAATGGAAGTTCAGAAAAACAACTGTAAAAGCTTATTTTTTCTAAAAAGCGATAATTAATACATGTCGTATCAATTTCGAATAGAATTGACACCCACTTCTCTCCTCTTTTGAGAAAGTAGTCATAAAAAACCAACCAACCAAATCCCAGGTACATTCTTCAAACCTTTAATGGATTAGGAAGACATTAAAATTCTTAGTATTTTATTTGTTCTTTACAAGCAAATTTTCCTCGAAGGGATATACTTTTCAACAGCTAATCTTAAGCTTTGGTGCGGAAGAGATCTAACGCCTACATGTACATTGAATTCTTTTGTAACCAGCACTTTAAGACCATTAACAGCTCTAGTCTTCCATCTATAAGCATACCTTTAATACGTTATATTAAGAATATGTATTTTACCACTCCCATTCTATCTTCAACTTAGCTACATAGAAAACTAATTGATGTTTGCGAATTCTACTTAGTTCTTTCTAGAAAGGTGTGTGTGCCCAATTCAAAAGCCCCACTGTCTAAAGTAGCTGTTCCTGTTAAATAGATACACACTGATATTAATAATTCATAATCGTAAGAATGAGACAAAAGAGTCATTAAAATCTGCATAGCTATGTGCGAATTTTCCCTTAGATGTTAAATGTCATAATCAGCATGAATTTTACTTTCATTATGTGAATGTTATAAAGTTTGCATAATATAAATGTACATAAAGAAAAAACTGCTCAAATTTCATAAATGATCGTGAGAAAGAATGATACAAAGTTTGTTCTTTTAGGCTAAAACTTTAAAAATTTTCGAACCTTCGCCTAAAATTTATATAAATCGTCACTATACTTTCAAAGCTCAATATTATCTTTAATATAAAAAAATTTCCCTGTCCTAGAAAACGATACGAAATAAATCACTAGATGGCAATAGGGTGCGCGGAAATCTTAGTTTCTTTCAAAGTGCACTAAAGGTATAACTTATACACAACAAATAGACAATTTATATTTGAAAAGTATTAATATTAAAAATTAAGCAAAGTTTAGAGTGGGGAACACGTTTTCTAACAGTTCGGTTTACACTTATTAAATAAATGATTAAATATAATGAAGAAATGAATGAACGATTGGATAAGGTGCAAGTTTGTATACTGTTGAAACTTATTGAAAAGCACGATTTCTTTATAGGAACATGTTTATATTAAAATAAAAAGTATACATTTGAAGAAATTCATTAACCACGATTTTTCCTCAAAGCTCTAATCTACGTTAAGCTTTTGAAAGGTTCCAGATACTCCCGCTCTTCCGTCACCGACCTGTTCGGTGCTCTTTCCAGTATTTCCAACAGCGGTACTCTGATGCAATTTATAGTTACCAATTTCAGAATAAAATTGCTCATTTTCTCTTAAAATTTTTACATGATTATCATATATATCCTCCCATGTACCAGCGAATCCTTCCAAGTGTGCAGGTAGGATCTCTTTTCTAATGTGAGAATGAAGAGATTCCAGATTATAGCCGTGAGTAACAATTCGCGATAGGAATTTGGATTTCAAAAACGGTTTAATTATAGCAAAGAGATAAGAGAAAACTTTCGGTTCAGCAACAAAATGGAAACCTATGATAGGAAGGAAAGGTTCATTACTAGTAATAAACACATCACAGAATTTGAATGACACCTACCTTTCATTCTTAGAGGAAAAGCATCTTGATATAAGCTGGTCATTAATAGAGCATATTCCTTACTGAAATTTCGAACTTGACTCCATCCCACCTGTTCAAGGTCAGCAATAACGTGAATCCCGTGTACTTGAACTTCCTCGTAGTTTGCCAAAAGCCATTCGAGGTTCAGAATGTGTAACTTGTACATATAGGAAAGATCCGTTAAATCGGGATTCCAGTTACCTGGTCTTAGCATATAAACAGCACAGCCATCTTCAGTACGGCCAGGTAATATACAAGAAACTTTTTGTTGAAGAAATATTTCAATTGCTGACGGTAAGATGTTACTACAGAATTTCGGATGTTCCGATTTAATTCTGAAGTAATTCGTTAAAAGATATTCAGCTTTTTCTACGTCAAATTTACTTCGTCTCAGAAATTTCAAAAGATACTTATCATCCTCAACAGGACATACGAGTAGATTATTTCTTTTCAATTTAGCTCTTAGATTCTCAATCGATTCCTTTCTGACAGTTGGTGTTTCATTTAATTCTTTCTCAGCTTTCTTTGCTGTTTCATCATCAAATTTGCAGATGTACTGAGACATTACCGTTTTATGAGCCGTGTACAAAGTTTGATCTTGAACAGACTGAATAGTGATTGAACAACAGGTATTCTTTTTAAATGGTTTTGTAGGCCTGTTGTGTAAAGGCTTACGGAAATATGGAAGTTGTGAGTTTACCCAAAAGAGAATCTGGCTTATTCGCAAATAAGTATTTCGTGTTCACTTTAATGCATTAGTCTATGTAAGGATTGGGGGGTGAAGAAACAGTATTAAATTTCATCGTTTGACAATAATATTTAAGAAAATAATGCTAGATTTTTACTTACAGACGCTCAAATTTCATCACATTCACCGTATCTAAAAGGTAGACCAATATATATGGGGATTAAAAGTTAATTTGATATTTGGTCAATAAATTTAAAAGTTGACTCAACTCTTTTTTAATAACTTTAGCGTAATATTTTGGATGTCTAACTTGTATATTAAATATTGTTACTATCAAAGAAAAATAATGAATGATCCCATAAAAAAAAAAGATAATGTATTAGAAAATAAAGAAAAAAATAATAAACAAGTTAATAATTGCTTTCTTTGTCACTTATAAAAATTTGTTAAATATGTACATAAAACAAAATATCATCTCAAGAAATTATCAAAAAAGATTGGTTTTGCAATGAAAGATTTCAAGTTTGTAAGATACAAACAAAAATCTATTTCAAAATCTTGAGAGTTAATATCTTTGTTTAAAAAATGGTTCAAAGGAATAAAACAAATAAAGTAGTAAAAAGAAATATAAAAATATTTTCGTTGTTAGTAAAACTTTAAAATTCGAACTATGGAAAACGAAAAAAAAGAAACAGAGACTTTAATATAAGCCTTATTAAAAAAAAAGGGACAAATTTCTCTCAATTAGGAGATTGAAAGGTTAGAAAGACTTGACAAGACTGGACCAAGTTTTGGTTTATGCTTGCTATTTCTCATTAATGGTTGATGCTGATCAAATCCTTTCTCCGAATGTCTTATCTTCCAGCAGAGTGTACAAAAGTAGCGATAACAAGCGAAATTTTTACAAAAGAAGGGCCCTGCTCGCTCTTGACAAAAAGTGCACATAGAATCTTCAAGTTGGGGAGTAATTTGAATAGTTTTTTTAAACTCGGGAGTTTGAACATCAACAAACTCTTCGGCAATAGCTCTGCGATAGCCTAAGGGAAATGATAATAAGTTTTAAATAAACAATTAACTGTATCTTCTTTCTTACCGTCGTTGTCGGCAAAGGCCACTCTTCCCGATCCAATTGGGTACTTGAACTTGTCAACATCTATCGTAACCATAACAATTTGTCCAAAACCGCTAAATATGTCTGCTAGAAACTTGGCTGTCATTTTTCCGTGCAGACCTCCGACAAAAATTACTTTTTTGTTGTCGAGAAGAGTTTGATTATTCGTTGGCACAAAATGAGAATTATTAATTTCCCAAGGAATGACTTGCACTGTTTGGCTACCTAAAGATGTAAAATACTCGCCGACTGTATTTTTAGCGCAAGAATTGAGTAAATTCTTTACACAGGCACTGGATTCATATATAAGGTAGAAGAAATTGTTAACATCTGTAGCTTTCTTCTTTTCAACTTTAAAGTTGCCATACTTTGAGAATGCTTCATTAATATCTAAGTCGGTCATGTGTGGAGGAGCTCCACCGATAAATACTTTCTGACTGAATAAATTAGATGAAACACTTCTTGGTATAGTTCTCTTAAAGTGTAATTTTATTCTGGGTTCTGGATTGCTATTTACAGATCTTTTGTTACATCTAGCCATTTTAACAAGTTCATCTGAGTAAGAATCGACTAGTTCTTCGTGACTTACGTAATATTTTCTATTCATTTTCAAATCTATTTAGAAGAAAATATAAGCTATGGAGTAAGTAAACATGCGCAAATAGACGAACTACGCAGTAAATTTTGGCGCCAACGTCGGAACAACAAGAATATTTTATTTAATAACCTATTTTATTATAATTTTTCTAAGTATACTTTGATTTATCAATATTTATTAATAAAATTACACATTTAATTCAAGTTTAGCCCAAAAATTTAACTTATTTATGAACTTATAAGCGAAATCAACCGATTTTCAACGGTTAATACATCGCCATTTAATTTAATTTTCAAAAGAATGTATCTAGAGATTAAATTTAAAATAGTTTTAATAATTCATTTATCGATTAGTTACGCTAACTTTACTATGGAAAAAAAATTACCAAATATCTGTTTCAGGCTATTTAAAATCGGTAGTTAATCAGTAACTGATGACTCCCTGGAGGTTAATGGTCACTTTGCAATCACGAACCGTTAATGGTCATTCCTAAAACATGGATCTGATTGGCTATCCCATATCTAATATTAGGTAAACAAGTATAATTAATTTGTAACATTATTAATTACCAAAATTTACTAATTAAAATAAATAATTAATCTATTTCATTGATAATAATAAAAAAATCGTGTTTTTTTTTTATTTTAGAGTATTATAGAGTAAAATAAAATAAACAAAAGACTATATTCAATCAGAGAAGTTGACCATCTTTTTTTTTTACCCTTTTCTTAAAATACTTTAGCATTTTCCAATTACTTTTTTTAGACTAAATATTTTCTAAATTAGAAATTTTAATTAAAAAAATAAAGGATTTTTTCACTTGAGTCATTCAGTAAAGATTGCTACTGGAAAAGAGGTTGTTGAAAATCATTATTTTAACAATCGGTTGGGGATAATATATGAATTAAGAGTGTTTAATTAAATATATAAGCTTAATGAATTTGAAAAATATTGCTGTATAATGTAAGTTTTTATATTGTTTTGAGATTTATCTTTAACAGCGATAATAAGGGAAATTAGCAAATATTTTTTATATATAATGGTTATTATAGTAAAAGTTATAAAAAGAAGTTTGGTTAAACGTTCTGATATAAATGTAGTGCGAGTTTTTATACAGTATATGTTTTAACCATCAGTAAAAATATGCAGATGGCGTTAGCGACATTAGTCAATAAAAATGGCCTTCACACAGTAGTGAAACAAACAGCCAATAATATTTTGTTTAGAGAATTTGTTTATGAAAATGCCCAAGTTTTGGAGTGTTCCAGAGGAAGATGTTATGTGTGCTATTTGTCTAACATGTTGGATTCATAAAGACCCAATACTATTACACTGCAGTCATACATTCTGCTCCAAATGCATACAAAATTTAGTGAGATACAATGGAAAATATATTCTGACCTGCCCTAGTTGTCGAACGGCTCATCCTTTAGTCTCACGTGATGTGAGTAAGTTACCTAGAAATATTATGTTTTCAAATGCAGTAAAACAAAATCAAAATAAAGAGTACGACATAGAGAAGAGATTGAAGATAGATGATGCAAATGTGGCTGGAACAAGACAAATGATTATGAATCAAATTGATTTACAAGTGGATAGATTAGAATCTTTTATGAAAACTGACGTTCATAAAAATAACTCAGAATTAAAAATGCAAGTTGAAAGATTTTTTCAGATTCAACAGGAAAAACAAAATATGAATCAACCGAGTTTACAGTTTCAAGCAACTTCCAAATCCTCATCTGATATAGCCAATTGTCAACTTTTTAAACAAGTCGTCAAAACCTCAATAAAATTTATAGAAGCAGATTTTAATTTAGGAAAAGTAAGGCAAGTTGAAACAAAAGAAAATTTTGATCTAACAGAAAATTCGAGGACAGTAAATTTTGAACAAAAAGATATTTCTATCCGGGGAATATTTTTTATAAATTCACATTTATATACTTTGGAAGAGAGAATCTATCCGAATAAAAGTTTTACAATTGTAAAGCAAGATTTCAATCTTGAAAATGGACAAATATTTTCTAAACACGATCATGAACTGACTAACGCTTTTGTTGATAAGGGAAAAGTTTACATGAATGACTTTAACGATTCGCATAATTGTCTAACAGTTAAATTTAATTTACAAACCAAACACGTCAAGAAACTATCTGTTAGTAAATTCCTGCATGAACTGCAAAATTTCCGCTCTGTTGGTCATAAAGATATAGTAGCGACTAGTAAGTCTCATATCATGCGTATAAAAGATGGAAAAATCTTATGGACAGAAAAAGGATTTAGAAGTTTAAGTGAGGTTCTACTATTGAAAGGTAGAATATTTGTTACTGATTCCTATTCGAATAGCATTCATATTCGTTCACTAGAGGACGGAAAGTGTCTACGAAAAATTGACATTGATGAACCAAATTGTCTTTGTCAGATAAACGATAGCTATTTTTTGGCTAATAGCGAATTTCAAAAGACAATAATATTGTTTAATTATCTTGGTGAACGAATGGATACTCTCAATTATTCGCTTGCGAATATTTTCCACATGCAATATTGCCCGAATGCTAAAAGGTTGTTCTTGGCAAACAGACAAATGGTATCTTCGTTCTACCTAGACTTTTCTTGATTATATAATGCATATTCACTTTATTTATCTTTGACTGATAACTGCACCTTTCCTTTTGAAAGTTTTCTCTACAGAAAAAGTAATTCAACTTGATTGTGGTGTTCTCTTCATTATCTCTACCCTTTTTAGAGTGGATGGTCCAACTGATCGCCTTCAGTGTTTGCTAGATATCATAATACGTATAAACTAGACATTAGGCTGTCTATCAGTATAAAAACACTACAGCTATACATCTATGGTCGTTTCTTTTTGCGTATGAAGATGTTGTCCATATTGATGAACTTGTGTTGGAACTATACAAAAATTCTCTATTCTTTATATTAGTACTGTATATAAACAGTATATCTATAAATATACTATATATACTGCATATTAGTATATATTTATTTACATTACCTTATAATATAGGTCAAACCTTTTAATACAAAATTGATATTAGAAAAGAAATGATTAGATTCTAATTATTTCAGTCGAACACTAAGAATATAAACTAATCAGTTAAAGACAACATATGGCTATTCTCAGAACATGTGGTACAGTGTCTTGAATAAAATGAAAAAATAATTGAATTCTATAGCTTTCGCGACTGAAAAATGATTAGAGGATTTTCAATAACTTTCCTTATTTGCTTATGCTTGTACAGCAATTTTGCTGGTTGGCATCAAAATTCAAAAATCTCTATTTTTTAACATACATTTTCATCAGTAAAGGCCGAAAAAAGAAATGTGGCAAAAAATAAGGATAATTTTGATATCAGCATAGATAATCTACGAGGACATTTGGAAAAAAGCTTTAGCTTCAAGCGCAGTCATTTTCAGCCAGAGGCAAAAGAAATTTGCAGACATCACATTCACGACTTCTTTGTTGATTTAGCTAATGAGAATAGTCAGAAAGCTTTTGTTGACGTCCACAATTTTACTTCCAATAGTGAAGATGATAATGGAAATTTGGTTTGCAGAATATTACTTATCTAATGTATACGTGTTATTTAACAATTAATACCTGAGTTTTGTTGTATTTTAGGCCGAAGGAGCAAATTATATTTATGTCCTAAAAGGTTCAAACTGGGGTACTTCTGCGGATAATGTCATTCTTATCGGTAGTCACTATGATTCTCAAACAAATACTTCGGGTTTGATTGATTCTTAATAATTCATTTACAACCAAAATAAGTCTTATTAACTTTAAAAGGGGTTGACGATAGTGGTTCCGGTATGGCGGCATTATATGAAATTACCAAGTTGTTAACTAACGCTAACTGCCCCCAGGAACATACTATAGTATTTGCAGCTTTCGACTTTGAGGAATTTGTAGGTACTGTTCTCTAATCTTGGCAGAAAGTTTACTTTTTCATTTCTCGTTAAGGGTTTACAAGGCAGTGCAGAATTTGTCGATGATTGGCTTTTACCAAACATTTTACAAAAGTTTGACACTTCATTTCAAGTAGCTCTGATCCTGGAAACTATAATGAATTATGATTTTGCTAATGAGACTCAGACGTTACCTTTTGGAACAGAATTACTATTTCCTGACCTAGTAAAGTTATTAAGAGATAGAGGAATGAAAAGTGATTTTCTAGCGATAATTGGTCGTCAAGATGAAAACGAAATAATGAAAGAGTTGAGCGACACGTACTATACTGTTGACGATGATCATGTAACACCATTCCATGCTTTGGGAATTGAAATACCTAAGAGAGGATGGGTTGATGTTATTGAATGGTTTTTTTCTGGCCTCTAGTAAGACTTTATAATTCTTTTAAAAATTGAATCAGCAACTTTTGTTTACATTAAATAGTGATTTCTTAAGGAGTGATCATACCAGCTTCTGGACTTACGATGGAAATTTCACCGATGTTGGCCTGAAAGCATTATTTATTACAGACACAGGTACGAAAGATTCTATTCTCAAACAGACATACAGTATAATATAGATGTAATTGTCACAGCCAATTTTCGTGGTTATATGAGGACTTGTTACCATTTTCCTTGTGATAATATGGAGAGAACGGCAACTGAAGAAAACCTAAAGTTCCTGAGGAGAAACGCCCTTGTATTTACAAAATATTTGTATGAGAAAACGAGGTCAAACTGCGACTTAAAAATGGTAACTGCTAAATAAAGAACGAAAAACAAAATCATTTGATACATAGCTATTTGGAGATTTTGTTATTTATCCTTGTAATGTAAAAATTCGAAAACATCAATCTCCTCCTAACAACTAGATACGGTTTTTTATTGTAATTTGACTAAAGATGAGGACTTTTAATTCAAACTAAGATTATCTTGTAATCCAACACAGATAACCACTTCCTAGTTACATATAGATGGCGCTCGCTATTAAACCTACAAAATTAACTATATCTTGTATTTATATTGCTGTATTGTTTATTTATAGAAACGATACTGATAAATAATAATTGAAAATCAGATGTTTAAGAACAACGATATAGAAACAACAAGTCACGACACTCAATAATCATTTTCTCTTAAACTTACAGATAAAATCTTTACACTAGAAACATTAATATAGATTATTTACAATACGAAAAGAAACATATAAATTTAAAGCATTAAATATAAATATTATTTAATGGATGTTGTCGAAAAGATAAGGTATTTAAAAACAAATGTAAAAGAGTCAAACTCTTTTGCTTATATAGAATTAGAAGTATTTTCATAAAAATTTACATTTCCGAAACATTAACTGTTACGGTATCTGTTGTATTTTCTTGCATAGCGTGCTTTGCTTTCCTTACTTCCGGAGGATATATTGGCTTGAAACGATATGCTAAACGCTGTAAAGTAAATTTCGAAAGAAAATTTGATTATAAGACTAAAGGAAAACGCCCAATAGAACAACACATTTTGGTCCATCAATAAAAAGAAAAGTAAAGTAGGATTGAGCGTCCCGTATAATTAAGTCAAATTAGTAACTTAATATTGTTCAATAAGAAAGGGTATTACTTTTAAATGAAAGTAAATATTTGTCTGATAGCAAAGTCAAGAAAAAAAGAAGGGAGAATCGTGTTGGAGAAAATATGCAAAAATTGAGCTAAACCTACTCGAGATCAAATTGTCAATGAAAGAAGTGAAAAGATTTCTTTTAATTTCCAATATCGTTGTTTAAAGGTACGAGAGATTCTAAAGATGGTTTAAGTATGCATTCTGCAGTTATTTCTTTAAATTTTCCATAATCCTCCGCTTCTTTTTCTAATTGATAGTCTTCCAACTTTGGAGTGATAGAGTTCTTTAGTCGCTGTTAGTTAAGCAAAATAAGCACATGCAGAAGACAGGAAATGAAAAAGATTTTTATCAGTAAGAAACTTAGCAAAGCTTATCATTTTGACAGAATATATTATTCACGAAGAGAAGCTTTTTTCTGATTATTTACGTAATAGTTATCACTTATTGTTTGTGTTCATTGATGAACAAGATATAAGTTGGTTAAATATTATCTTTAATAAAAAACTACGTTAATACCAAGCTATTTAACTTATTTGCGCTGGTTTATTGTTAAAAGGTAGATAGTGTTTTTTATGATTTAGATAAAAGAAAAATCTCCAGCGAAAAAGAGAAACGCCATAGGGGTTTTTCCATACTTTTGCAACCGCTATTCGGCTTGACAATTTACAGTAAGATCTTACACAGAGAAAAGGCTAACTAAGCTTTATAAAATACAATGTTCCTGTCGATATAGATTTATTAAAATTTGCTTAGACCTCCTATTGAATATTCTTTGATAGGAGTTAATATAAAATATAAGTATTTAAATATTTTTATATGATCAATTACTCATAATTAATAAGTCAAGATGTATAATGATATTTTGATATTTGAATAGAGTAGATGGCGCCAAAGTATTCATGATAAACAGAGAAAATTTGCAGATGTTATTTAACAGAGAGAATACATCATCTGACTAGTTTGTATAATAATAAAAGATGGCATAAAAAAATATATCAGCTATATGCAAAAATCACAGATCAAACTGAGCAGTTTACGGTTTTACAGTATAATAAATACTTTGATAGAAACCAAAGCAAAGTAAAAAGTGAACTTTAATTTTTAAAGCGGAAAAAGTAACTAACAAAGAAGTCGCCTCTTCTTCAGTTTTTAATTAATCAGCCTTATAAAGATAAAAATCAGTTAAATTATATCATTGTTAAGAACAATAAAAAGGGAAATTGAAAGCAAAAGAACTCTTTAAATGATAGCGACTGTCATTAAATGCTCAATGGGTGCAGTTGTTTGCACACGCTATTCACCTATCAGAAAAACATAAAATATAGCATACCTCTAAAAATGTCGTTCCTGGCGCCGTTAGGAGAGAGTATGGTACGTACAATGGTATGCATATCATTGATGCAAAACCCATACACATACCAATTGCTTGGGCCCAAGCTGGATACTTATATGTTTCATTGTATGTTAACGGTTCGAAGAGTACCCACATTGATATAAGTATAGCACAAGTTACAAGTGGTGTAATACACATCCAACAGATTCGAAACCAAGGATTTATCCTGAATCCAAACATTAATTCTAGATTATCGTAGTACTTAACTCCACCGTAAACCCAGCCAATTGTAATTGATTCAAAAAAGCAAACCCATAAGAGTGTCATACCGGAAGCTGAATAATAATCGAAGAGCTGAAACACATACATTCCTCCTCTGGTTACCATGGTTAAGCCGATCAAGAATGATATCAGAACGTATAAAGCCACAAAACCTTCTTTATACCATTTCTTCCTAAGCATAGGGAAAAAATCGACGATAACAGTGACAAAAGATTCCATCCCTACGAACTGACTGTCCAAGCCAAGAAGGAATATCATGAAGAAAAACAGGATTGCCCACAGCGTTGGTATAGGCATCTGAGTTACAGCTTTAGGATATACGATGAATATCAACCCAGGACCTTTTGCAGCAACATCCTCAATCGGAACATTTTGCTGTTCAGCCATAAAGCCAAGAACAGAGAATATTGCAAATCCAGCGTATAAACTTGTTGCAGAATTAGCAATAGAAACAATAATACAATCTTTATAGCAATTGTTGTTAAACTTGTTATAGGATCCCAGAGCAGTCATTGCTCCCAAAGCTATAGCGTAGGAAAAGAAAATTTGTGTTCCCGCATCAATCCAAACTTGTGAATCACTCAATTTGTTAAAATCAGGTTTCAGGTAGAATGTAATACCCTTAGAGGCTCCATCTAATGTAACTCCACGAATGAGCAGGATGGTCAGGACAACGTATGGAAAAAGTGCTGTAAAATATACAACCTTTCCAGTCCACTTAACCCCTTTCCAGACGCAAAAATAGCAAACAATCCAAACGAATAGTAAGCATACAGCATTCTGCCATACGATACCATCAGGATTGTCAACTCCATCGGAAATATCCAAAATCCTCCTATCCCAAAATTCAATTACAGAATCTTGTCGGCCTGTTACGTTGGTTTTATTTATGGAAGTTTCAAAAGTCGAGCAATTTGGAGTATTCCAAGTATTGTTACAATGTGACCAAGGAAGAACAGAGTTAAAAGACATAACGCAATAATTAACTGCCCAGGCAATTACCAAAATATAATAACAATTCATAAGGAATACTATAACCGTTGTTGCACATCCTATTCCTAGGAAAGAAAGGAAAAGTTTGCGTTTTACTATATTTCAATATTAATTAATTATCTATAACAGAACCCCGTACTCGTCTATTTTTTACTCGAAAGTATATACACCTTTTTGAAATGAATAGATGAGGTTACTATACTACATTGAAAACAACAAACATGGGATGACCATGACTACAAACTATGACTAATATCCAGTTGATGGTTTTATTTAAAAAAAAAAAAAAAAACAACCCTGGATTGATTGGGTACCAGATTTTTCAATCGGAAATATTAACATTTTAAAAGTTGTATTTTCATACTTGAATAAAAGCTTTGTTTTTACTAAGAATAATCTTAAACAAAGATAAATGCAAAATGATTTTTTAACTGTCAAAAGTCATAAAAAATTTCTATTAGTTGTTTTATGATTAAATAATTAACATGTCTAATTAGATAGTTTCAATTATAAAACGATTTGGTAGATTATCTTCTCTATACGAAATGACAAAAGGATTTCACTTGCGTGGTAATTCTACAAAGATGACGAAAAATAAGAATGAAATATAGGCGAGATAAAAAAAATCGATTTGTTCCCTCTCTTATTTACTAGCATGGCATAGCTTCTTTTTAGTACAGATGACGTCATTCTATTCATATAATATGGTTCTCTTTCAAAATATTTCAGAAATATAAACATTGAACCAATATATCTCGTTTGATTTTTTAAATTAAATTGAATTGTTTAATACAACAAGATAGAACAAGAACGAATTTCAATACCAATAGAATTCAATTCATTGTTGAAATAACATTTTAACGTTCAAAAGTATTTAAAAAAAAAACGCTTGAATAGATATTTTAGTTGAAAATCTATAGACTAATAATACTATTTGCACACAACTATATGCTACATATATCCAGATTTATATGTCATTAATATTCTTTAGAATAGATTATAAAGTTGAATCATTTTAGATTAATTTCAAATCTTTAAACTATGATTTGAATTGCTTAATGAATGTATAATGGATTAAATTTATTAGAAATTATGTAAATTAGCAATCGAGTCATATTAAAATCTTTTAATCTCAAAAGGAGCTAGCTCCATATAAAATTCTATGAAGGAACTTGACCTACTTGAGTTAGCTCACTGTCGAAAGTAGGGCTGTATAAATACGCTCTATGTAGTGCTCTGATATTCAGAGTTTAAATATGGAAAGAAGATTACTTTTTTTTCATAAATTTAATACTAAAACAACAATATTTGAAAAGGTGTCGTATGAAAGTTGTGTAAATTTGATTCTTTCAATCTAGCAAAATATTGAATATTCAATTAACCTTGAAATATAGGACAGATTTTCCAAACTCCAAACCCTCCTTGCCTCATAAACTGACCAAGTGAAATTTCTAAGAAGAGAATTGGAACTCCACCACATATTAGGCAGATAAAGTATGGAATAAGAAAAGCCCCTGTAATAGAAAAATACAAATATGTATTGATAGGGTAAAAAAAAAGCTGTAACAACATATAAAGTATAACGTTTACTTTAAATATATAATAGGATTTGTTGAAATAATCGGTTTTAACTTTTGTTATTAGTTTCAACTTTTTTAAAAGTTGAATTTTATTTTATTATTATAACAAAATTCATTATAAAAGAAAATTAATGATTTAAAGTACAGCTATAATAATGAAAGTAAAAAACACTTGCCACTTTTTAATGTGTTCTTCTTCTATTTTATCTATAGTTTATGTTTGTTTGTTTATTACTATATGAAAATTAGTAGTATATTCATTTACTTAGTTTAAACATTTAAATTTATATAGAAAATGTCAATCTCAATTAATGAGTTATCTAAGAACAAGATCCCTTTAGATAGCTGTACGTATATTGTTAAGATCTGTTAAAAGAATACTAGGGCCTATAGGTTTGATATTTCGTAGTGAATTAACAATGTCAATCTGCAAAAAGTGGAGAAAATTAACTTTTTTTTTTTACCTCCACCATTCTTGTAACATAGGTAAGGAAATCTCCAAATGTTTCCTAGTCCAACGGCAAACCCGATGCAGGATATGACAAAATCCAATTTGTTCGCCCACTGATCCCTTTCAGGTAAATCGGCTGCGTCCGATTTTAGACTATTGCCATCTTTTTGCGAAGACAATGAGACATTTGCCTGTTTAGCGGTGCTCTGATTTGAGTCCGGTTGCTTTTCAATGTCGTTAGCGTTAAAACTCTCAGCCATCTCGAATTTTGAAGCATAATATATAAATGTTATTCAATATTATTCAGACCGTCCACAGACGTGATTGTACATACTAACAGCTAGTATCCAAATTGGACGGGAGAGAGTTTTCGCTGGCTGTACGCACGCCGCCTACCTTTAAATGTTTACAGTTTTGTACGAATTCAGCTCCATCTGTGAGAAATTTCACTTGCATCAATTGCATCTTGCTACATTGTTAACTAAACTGAAGACTCCAAAACAAATATCATGTGAACACAACGAAAGAATCACCTTAAAACGTTCAATGATCCAATAAATAAGGTTTTTAGATAGAATATAAAACTTTTATTACTATTCCAAACTATTCATTCAGTTTTCCAATACTATTGGAATAGTATTATAGTAAAAGTGTACGTAATTGCTTCCAGAGAAAATATAACAGATATGTAAAAAATATCCCCAATTCTAATCGAATTAGCTTTTCTAGTTAATTTAAATATATGATTTTAATGAATAAGCAGTAAAAAAGTCAATAGAAATCGCGACAAAAAACTAGAATAACACTATTAATATTTTCGGCAGATAGCGCCATCTGCCGTATCATTCTTTTTTACTTTATTATGAAAATCGTTCATAATACACTAAATCGAATGAAAGAGATAACTTTAAAAACCAAAAATCGATTTATCAAATTCCCCTGCTATTTAAAAATAGTAACGAGCTTTTAAAACTAATATGATATGCAGTATGATGAAATAGCAATGTGAATTACATGATCATAATTAAAATCAATATAGAATTTGTATATGTTGTTAGTTTGATAGGATCGATTGGATAAACCAAAATAATTATTTTTTTATCGAATTTAGCCAATTTCTTTCTTTAGGAAATTCTTCTAATAAAACCTAGAGATTTTACTTTTAATAAAGTTTTGGCTAAATAATAATAACTTAGCTGACTGGCCTACTTAATATATTTCTTTTCGAAAAGAATTAACACGGAATAGCTATGATAATTTTAAGCTTACGTGTTTTTAACATCTCGAAAGATCTAAACAAATTACCAATCAGTAATCAGATAATATATTGCGTCGATAATACAAAATCGCTCATTGGTTGCAGCGCCTATATATTCAATAAAAAGTCATTTTTCGTCAAATTCCTCTTGTTATCAAAAAGAAAACTTTGTGATATTCTACAGAAACTTAATTACTATTGTGTTACATTGAATATTACAAGAAATTTTTAGTTACAGAAAAGAGTGGAATAAAAAGTAAACACCTTTGGCGCCATTTTCAACCAACTATTGTACAGACAGCTGTCACATGATCACGATGTAACTTGTAAACAAAAAATGGCGGATTTCCAGCGTGTCAAACGTCAAAAAAAATAAATGTATCCCATTAAACAAAAGGATGCGAGCAGATCACTTGAGGACCATTATTCAAATCAATTTTATTTTTTCGTTAACTCTATTACTATTAGTTTGTGCCTCGGACCACACAATAAGAGTTGAGGACATTTCAGAGGAATCTTCTAGAAGTATTAACTGTTATAATGCAAAAAAGTATGTTACTGATTCAAAAAACCAGTTATCTATATGTAATGAAAACTATTTCTTCAGAGATTATCTGTTAGTGAGTACTATTGATGGGAAATTTTCTTTGTTAAATTCGAAAAATGGTGATTTGAAATGGTCACATAAAGTGGGAGAATCTTTACTTTCATCAAGCATTGGAAGCTTTGAAGTATGTCTATTACAACAGAATTTCTTTTAATCTATCAGAAATATTTATAGGTTACTAGAAATGGCATCCGAACTCGTTTAATTCCATCTTTGGACGGTTCCCTATACCAGTTTGATGGGAAAAGTGTTGAACCACTACCGTTGAACGCTGATACTTTGTTAAGCTCCTCCTTTAAATTAAGCGATGATTCAGTAATAGTTGGTGGAAAGACTTCGGAAACGTATGGAATCGACATTTTATCTGGCCGCGTAAGCATCCTAAATAAAATCAATACACTTAGGCTCTCTACTTATCGAAAAACCGTTACAGCTAAAATATCAGTGTTCAGTTAAGGGTTGTAAGAAATTCGAAGCAGATTCCGTGCAAGAAAGCGAAGGAACTGTAGTTCTAAATCGAAACTCTAAGACTGTAAGATCAGTAGAAGTAGAATCAGGAATAGAAAAGTATTTTTAGATATTTTTTGATTTTATATAACTTTTATATTATGCTATATTGAAAATAGATGGAATTTTAGCGTTGGAGATCATGAAGTTAAGTATATACCAAAAATCTCAAAAAATTCAGATGATAATATTGATGATGTTGAAGTTGTATCTTGTCCAATGGACGGTACGTAAACTAGTTTCTTTTTTAGAGCTACATTACTTATGTAAACATATATATATATATATCCTATACAGATGATAAATCTCAAAACGCTGGACCACATACACATGAGACATTAGATTATAATTTCATTACGGCCGATGGAATAATAAGCGCTTGTAGTCCAGGGAATTCAGCGATTGTTTGGAAACAAAATGTATAATATATGATTATCATTCCTTTTTCGAAAGTACAAACTATATGTGTATATATTTATATATTTAAAAATAGCTTGAATCTCCTCTGGCGCAAATATGGCAAATTCGTAATGAAGAAATTTCTGAATTAAGCCTCTTTGATTCAAAACATGTGCCCTCTTTAGCGAGTACATCGGATAAAACTGAAGTCGCCCTTAGTGCGGCTTTGTATATAGGTATTATCATATGATATAGTTTAAATTGTAATATATTCATAAATATATATTTATTGTAGGAGTTTATAAGGATCAACTTTACGTAAAACCTTCTTCTTCGATGCAAAATTACCTTGAGTCTAAGCGATCTATGTCACCAAATATGCCCAAATTAAAGTGGAAGCCGTATATGGCTAATGGTGGGTAATAATACGTTTAACACAATGTTTGTGCTAATTGTCTTTTCAATAGCTCCATCCAAAACACAAGCAATTACGGGACCTCTAAATTTACTTCGAATTGGTTGGTCTTCGACAAAATCTACAGATGTCTCTATTTGGCAGCATACAGATTCATACAGTAATGATTTAAATAATAACTTAGGAAATGTATACTATGATTACAATGTTGTAGAAAACGGGCTCTACTTATTTCCGGACAAACCCCTTAAAGTCATTAAGAAAACGACTTATAAAACAACTCAAATATTCTCTAATCAGTCTGTCATAAATGAATATGCTATATTCACCATTCATTACATGGATTGGTTAGTAATTATTCTAATCAATTGCAGAGATTGAGATTATATTCTGTATTAATATATGCTGTATATTTTTAATTACTTTTAGGAGAAGCCTATTAGCTGCATTCATTGTCTGTATTGTCCTTGTACGAACCATCTATCTCAAGTGCAACACTAGAAAAAGAACGAAAAATGAATCAATGTCCAGCTCAATTGTAAGATCAAATCTCCAAGTTCACAATCTAATTATGTTGGTATATTTTCATATTTTAGAGTTCAAAATCCGAAACCGATACTATTATTGAGATGGATAAAAATTCTGATGATCAAATTAAAGATTCGGAATTTTTCTCGAGGTATTTAAATGATTTCGAGCAATTGGCTGTTCTAGGAAGAGGTGGATTCGGTGTTGTTTTTGAAGCTCGAAATTATATTGATAAGGCTAAATATGCCGTTAAACGGATATGCACTGGCTCAAGCAAGGAAACCGAGAGAAAAGTTTTGAGAGAAGCTCAAGCTTTAGCTAGGCTAGACCATCCAGGAATTGTTCGTTATTATCAATCTTGGGTTGAGCGTCCTCCCCTTGGTTGGCAAGAAGAGAGAGATGTTCTCAATCGTCACTTGAAAGATTATATTAGCGGAAGCGAATATTCACAAAATCCAACTGCTACAGAAACCTTACCCACAGTTAATTTTTCTAGTAAGCTCACTACTAGCTATACATTCCCCAGAGACGATGAATATGAAGACAGTAACCTTGAATTAGACCCTTCTTCACAATCCGATTCGGATAACTGTCACGTGAGGAAATTTTCAAATAATAATTATTCGGATAGTATTTCAATTGTTTTCGAAGAAAGTTCTGCATGCAATTCAAAGGACAAACGAAGTAATGAATATCGTTCAGAAATTCGAAATCGAAAAACTGTAACAGTCGAAACAGAAAGCAAAAGTACATTTAGTAACTCTGCTTCTACGCCGCCATCTCCAAAGAATTATCTCTATATACAAATGCAGTTGTGCGAAAAAAATAATTTGGCAGATTGGCTATTCTCTCGAGATATGATATGCAAGGAAAAATCTTTTGGTATCTTTTACCAAATTGTTAGTGCTGTAGAATATATACATTTAAATGGATTTATACATCGAGATTTAAAGCCATCGAATATATTTTTCTCCTTGGATGAACAGATAAAGGTGGGAGATTTCGGCCTAGCTATAGAAGAGGAAGGGCTTCAAGACCTGCAAGATACCAATACGTCTCGCTCCAGTAAACATACTAGAGATGTTGGTACAAAATTGTATATGAGTCCAGAGCAAATTAATGGTTTACATTATAATAACAAAATTGACATATATTCATTAGGATTATTGTTTTTTGAATTGTTAAATTTGTTTAGCACGGAGATGGAACGTAGAATGACCTTGGAAAAAGCAAAATCTCTGAGTTTTGACAAAACGTTTACTGAAGAGAATTTTGAAGAAACAGATATCATTACAAAAATGTTAAATAGAAATCCTGAATCTAGACCAAAGGCTGCGGAAATCATCGATTTGAATATCTTTTCATACCTTGCCTTAACCAAAAGAAGTAAACAACGGACAAAAAGTACCTCGTCTACTTCTTCCACCATGTAGGTGTGACTGCTATCAACTGGTGTTTTTTGTTTTTTACGTAAAGTTACAAAGCGTTAAGAATATTTAGATTTTTATGAGACAATCGAGGACTTTTGGAAGTTTATTTTGTTTATGTCTTTGATTATTTAATAAACAAAAGTTATTGCAAACTGCAAAAACTACTAAAAGCTATCATTCAACGATCAATATAGACAAAAGCACTCTATAAATCAATACAAAATCTCGAATCAACCACAGTCTAAGTGCTTATTATTTACATATGATTCTTTAGTATTTAATGCATTTTCACCTAATAAAAAGTTATTATAAATTTTCAATATATAAACAATGCAAAATAACAAGCCAAAGCATTTCTAGGAGAGTAATGACTATTAATCATACCCCAAAAACTACATGAATTAGCTATTAAATGTAGTCTTTTTTATATAATTTTCTGATTAAATTTAACACTTACCTTTTCGAGTAACAAAATTAAAAGAAATGATTAATTAATCTGTTTTTTCTTCTTTTTTTGATGAGTTTTTTGAGAATTAAACTCTTTTTAGTTTAAGTGATTTTTTTTTATGTACAATTATAGCTTTTTTATATTCTTTACCATGCTTCTATGATATTACAGCTTTGCTTTATATAAATTATAAAGCACTGATTGCAGACTATAAATCAATATGGATTAGTTAAATATAAAAATTCGTGAGTTCATTTTCTGGCATAACATATCCAATTTTAACTCAATATTGTCATATTTATGGCATTCTGGGATCTTTCTACAGAAAATAATAATAAAATTATATAATCTATACTTTAAATTTATAGGAAATTTTGATACTTACTAATAATTCATATATCTTTTCAAATCTATCTTTATGATACAATGCTTGCTCCTTCCAGTATTCCATTGCATTTATTTTATCTTTTAATTCTCGTTCTGTCTCTTCAAGTCTTTTGGAAGATGCTAATTCAAATACTTGATTTAGGGAGCTGTGATTAATATTACTTGAACTTCCAATGATTTCATTCTCGACAATTATTCCCTAATTAGAAAACTTAAATGAATTAATTTACATTTCTTAGGTTATACTATTACCATTCGACCAGATAGTGAGGATGATGAAGCATTATTTTGACGTAAGGAGACGGGATGAGAGTTGTCTGAAGAAAATTTTCACTTAGTTTTTGTACTATATAAATCAATGGTTTTATCTCACCGTTTGAATTAAAATCTGCTTCATATTGTTGAAGATATCTTTTTAGCTTCTCATTTTCAGCTTTTAACTCAGCTAAAAAGTGAATAGTATTGAATATATTGTTTTTTCTATATATTTTTAAGAGAAAACATACTGCTCTGACAAATTGCTTTACTATATTTCTCTTTATAAAAGTCAGATTGTTCTTGAAGTTCGTCAATTTTAAACCTCAATTCAGTCAGCTGAAAGAAGTTTTTTTTTTGTTTTTTTTTTACTATTGAACAATCAATAAATTTGAATAAGAACTTACACGTGAATCTCCTCCTTGAAGTAATTTATTTAACTCAAGTTTTAAGGCTGTATCCAGTTCAACATGGGCTAGTTGATATTTATTAATAGCCGTTTTAAGAGATTTTTTGCAAACATTTGTTGCGTAAGTTGATAACCTCTTTGGAGTGTAATCTTTAAACCGAAAACAGAATATTCAATTGAATAGAAATCACTTTCGTTGTTTTTGTATGCAATTTTCTCACCGTCAGGAAGATCAAAAGGTTCTAAACCAGTGATTTTAGTAAAGAGTACTGGATATTCATAGCTAATAATAGTTAAAAATTTCTTTATTCCATGACTACTTCGAGACAAAACAATATCGAGTAGTATTTCTAAAAAAGAATAGACTTAAAGGCTATTTTTTAACCAAAACGAAACAAGCCCATTTACGTGCTCTTTTTTTATTGTTGCTATGTGGATTTGTGACATCTTCAAAGTTTGCCTGACGTAGAATCTTTTCTTGCCTTAACCAATTAGCAACATCGTCCGGTCTAAGAATTTCCGTAATAATCGCAAAATTATCTTCTATTAAATTTTTCCAATCTTTTTCATCCTCGAGTAAATTATCCAAAGCTTCAGACATAACTAAAAGAATTCGACATTAAAAATAATAATTCATTCCATCTATTAAGTATTTAATCTAATAGAAGAAGTATAGTTTTGTCATATAAATTTTAGTTTACCAATACTTTGTGAGAATACTGAATATACTGTATAGTATTAAAATAAATATAAAAGATGTTTCAATAATAGGTCATGTTTATTGATTCACCATTTTACCTATTACGTATAAAAACTATTAAAAGAAAGGATAGTTTAGTCTTTTATAAAGATAGCATTTTATAGTTATAGTTTCAATAGCTAATTATTTTAATTTATTCACATATCGACAGTTTAAACTATAAAGTGAATTTATAATAAACGCTTCAATGATTTTACATAATTACAGTAATGATATACTATAGATTCTAAGTAAATAAAATGTTAAAAAATCCTATCTATTCCCTTTTTGCTTCTAAATTTTACAACTTAGAATTGTGGTCAATGGGCTAAATTTATCTTTTGTTAAGAAAAAAGGCTACTAAATAAGAACCTACCGTCGTAAATTTCGAAAAGTTGAAATCTTTAAAAAAAGAGAAATGTCGGTTGATAAAGGAAGTTTTTTAAAGTCTATTCACCAGCCTAACTATACTGGTAGGAAATGATTGAACGAAAACGGGTAAGATACAGATACGAAATGGTGATTCCCCCCCCCCCCACCCCTTGAATGTTATATCATTATTATGAAAATACTACTTCAAAAGCAATTTTTTAGTTCTTTTTTCAAATACATTTTAGTGCTATTTCTATGTTTTTTTTATAGTTACTGTAGTTATGAATAGATACAATAGAAAAGCATAATATATTTATTTTTTAATGAACATTTAATAAAAATCCACTGGTAATATGCAATTTGCATGTTATTACTTAAGTTTCTGTAAATTATGAAAAATAAAAGAGTTCTACAAAAACGTTTCTATTCAAAATCGATTAAGCATGGATTGTAGGTTATGAATATGGTATTGATATAAAAGCTTCTCAATGACAATAATTATTCTAATGCTTTGTATAGAAGATAATTTAAATAAGAACATTTGCCACCATTTTTAAAGCTGCATCTCCAGCATCTGATGGAACCTAAAAGTTTCAGAAGGAATATATTATTTATAGTCATTCGCTAAAGAAAGTTTTACCATATGCCCCGCTTTCAAAATCCAATAAAATTGAAATTGTTTATATGTCTTATAAAATAATTCAGGGATTCCCATTTTATTTCTTATAGCTTTCCTTTCAGCCATAAAGTAATCTTTCATGTGCGGCCATGTCAAACTTCCCACCCATTGTTCAGTTCCTATATATTTTGTTTTATTCTCTTACTCTAAATTATTTATACTCAAGAAATATTTATAGTTTTACCTAGAGTATCACAAATTAAATCCAATTGGCCTGAGTAAACAACAACTTTGAGAGGCGTAGTTTTTAAAATATCATCAACTACAAAGAAATGAAAGGGTAGATATATTTAAAAAGATAATCTGCTCATAAAAACCTATTGATACCACTGGTTTCATAAATTCTTCACTCTGGTATTTAAAAACATTGCCAGATTGTCCTACAAAAGTAAATAAAAAGTATTTTATTCAGATTAGTTGAAGCGAAATTCTTTTCTACCTCCCCAAGTAACGTTTTCTGGGATAATTCTCAACATTCGACGAACTTTCGTATTCATTAGATTACTTAATAGGTCATTGTTCAATCTTCCTACATGGCGTTTATATAAATAATCTATTTATGGATAGAATAGTTAGGAAGTAATAAGGGTCAAGGTAAAGTATATCTCTAAGTACCAATTTCCGATTTGGAATTGTGTAAGCTATTGGATTGGGAATCAAATCTTAAAATGTTATAAAAGTCCACCCCGGCAGTTTCGCTTTCGATGATACTTTCGAGTTCTGACCATTGGTTAGTAGCCTCTTTAAACTTTCCATCAGATAGTAAGCTCTTTATGTCCAATGCCTTATTGTTTACTTTTTGATACCCTAATATGTCGACAAGCGACTGAATTGTTCAATTTTTATTACGATAGATAGGATTGAAAAATTGGAACGTTGAAAGGTACTTACGGTAGAGTAAAGATAGGGAGCCCAGCTTAGAACAGAATCAAGAGGCGATATCCACGAATCGCCCATGGCAAAACCTTTAAAATTGCATTCTATTTCACTGGCTTTGATAGCCTGAAAAACGATTTCAATTGTACTTAAGAGAGATTTTTTTAATCAATTGCCAATGTAATTTTTTTAGAGTACCTTGTAAAGCTCTTTACTAAAAGCAGCGGTCATTTTGCCACCGTATGACTCAGAAAAAATATAGAATGGAATGCTTTTAAATTCCTTAACTTCTTTTAAAAATGATTTCATTACTTGAACTAAATCTAATGCGATTTGTTCAACACTTGTAGAATAGGCGTCTTGTGAGGTCACGTAACTAAATCCTGTACCTACAGGATTATCAATAAAGAGAAGGTTGGCTAACTTGAGCTGAAATTTCAAGAATAGAAATCTAAATAGAGATAATTCAATCATATTTGGGATTGATATCAAACCCATGTGGTATTCCTAGGTTGCAAATTTACATCCTTTGGACCAATTTCCATAAAATTCCCAAACCCTGTTGATGAACCACCGGGTCCTCCCTAAAAGTTATGGATAACTAAGCCTTAATTAATATTATTAGAGAATATTCTAACTTGAAGCCATAAAATAAGAGGTTTGTTTGCTTCACCAGCGTAGTACAACCACCAAAACATATGGGCATTCCGTCGAACGTTTACGTAATTCCACCTTTGCTTTGCTTCTAATTAAATTTACTAATCATATAATTTAACAAAACCTTAATCTGATAGAAAGAAACCTTCATTTTGAGTTGCATGGCAACTACTTATTATGCTCACACATAATAAGACGACAAAAACATAGAATATTTTGTTCAACTCCATTTTGTTTATCATGTGACTGGTCTAAGACACAAGTGGCACGTGATACTTTTTATAGGCCAAAGAAAATAGAACTTGAAACGATAATGGTTCAAGAAAATTGTATAAAATACAACACAACTTCAATTTTGTAAGAGGGTGTTTTTAAGTTACCTGTTATTCCATATGATACATTTTCCGATTGTAATCTCTGATCTACTCATGATAAACTAAATTGAAATGAATATTTTAATGTTAATAATTATATAAAAATGGCGTTCGATAGTAATCGTTCAGCTATTCATTGTTATTGTTACTATTGAAAAAATTAAGAACATTTTAAAAAGTTTACTTCTTTCTACAGCAAAAATGTTATTGACAAAATTTATTAGCTGTAAAAAAAAAGCACTTCTTACACGCCTAAAGAGGTTCAAATGCTTTGTGGTTTGCAGAAAATACGTCACGACGTAAAGCATTTCCATATACATCTGAGCGTATAATCGAACGAGATTATCTGCAATGGTGGACGGCTGAAGAATGACTGCTACCCAGTTTAATCGGGCGGAAACAATCAACCTATTAGTTTCGCCTTATTTTTAGAACTTTCAGCCACTTGTTAGATTTGAAAATTTGAAATGCAATGATTAGAGAAACCTTTAGAAAACCCTTGTTCGTTTATTAGCAAATAGTGGCTTTATCTAGCATAGAATAGGCCGTAAATACGCCCTGAATAAGAGGATGATAAGTTTTCTAACAATTTTCTTAAAATTTGCTAATCTTTGTCCAATGATTAGCATTTAATTAGACTAACCCTATAATAATGAGTATGAAATATAGTAACGAAATTAGCACAGTTCGTAATTATCATTGAAGCGTACTGTAAATCGTATTGATATTTCTCCCGATCAACATCCAGTTGACCGTTCAACTGTCTTTATTAGTTATATTGTTATATATCATCGAATAATATATATATGTGTATATATATACAGTATATACAATATATATATATATACTAATATATTAGTATATATTCAGATTTAAAAACTAAAATCAAAGTCCACAGAACATAGGAAAACTATTATTAATAATTAAGATGATTGATTAATTAAATTAGAATACTATATATATATATATACAGTATATATATATATATATATATATATATATATATATATATATATATATATATATATATGTATATATATATATATATAGCATATACATAATTGTATTAATAGTCAAAGATTTTTATATGGAAATCCTATATGTCGTCAAAATATTAATACGTAACTATGTATAAAGTGTATAAATATTCAAATAAAAAATTATGAAATATCAGAGACATAAAAAATCTTTATGAGATATATATATAAATATATAAATATATATATATATATATATATATATATATATATATATATATGCCGTGTGTATCTGCATAATTAATCAACTTATTCACCAGCATGTTTCCAGTTCGTTCCTCGTTTTTCACTAAAGCGCTGTTCGATATGGATTCGTGTGTGTATTCGAATTATAGAGAAGCTTTTCTCTCTTTTTCTCATTTCGTCTCTCTCGCTCTCCTTCTGTAATGGAGTTTATAGATTAACGTGGGACTGGTTTTTGAAGTAAAGAAATAATGCGTTCTACTGTAATTCTTGCCAATATAGTTTATTTTCTGTCAATGATTCGCTATAACATTGAAGGATACAGAGATTACTTTTTATCCAACAATATCTCTTCACTGTTAAACTGCCTGAGGGATAACAAAACGTTTATATGTGATCCCCAGCAAATGCTGGAAAATTCTATCAGTAAGTATTGACATAGAATGTTGATAATTTATTGTTTTATTAAATTATTCAAAGATTGGTAGTAAAACTCTTTTAAATCTTTACAAAACTTATCTTTTGTCATGTGTTAGAAAAAAATACGTATAAAAAAGGTTATTTAACTATATCTGATATTTACTGCATACAGAGACATGGGCGAATGATCAATTAATAGACGAATGCCGACAGCGATGTACCTGTCCTTTAGCAAAATTTATAGTGGTTTTCTTGAAAGAAAGGTAATGATATAACGATATACCAGATATAATAAAACGACCGTTTCTCCTATCAAACGGCTACCGTTTTATTTACACCGACTGTGTATAATAATATTGAGGACTTTGATGTTATTGGCTACAGGCTTGTTAATTTCCAATGCTAGGAGTGCAAAATCAACAATTTTTTTTAGGACAAGCGATTAAAAGTAATCAACTAACTCTTAGTTTCCTCATTAGTTGTTACATCACGGAATCATTTTAATCCCTATATAGGCTAAAACTTTTTTTAAGTATGATCTGATTAATGGACTATATCGACTTTTTCTCTTCCTTTTAATTTTTACAGAAACACGAACCTATCAAGGCAGTTTATCAATGAACTAAAGAATGATACATTTGCAATAGCTTGCCACTTACCAGTACTAATTATATGTGACACAGAGAAAGCTAAGGTTAGTTAGAATCATTGATAAAATATGGAGCACGCTAATTAACTATAAAGAAGAGTAGAAAGAAGATTTTAAAAGCTTTTACCTCTCTCTCTCTCTCTCTCCCTCTCGCTTTCTGTTTCTGTTTCTCAATCATTACATATTCTTATATAATTAAAAATGCATATTCTTTATAGGTAGCCTGGGCTGCAGACAAAAATCTTCAAAAGTGTTTAGGAGAGAAGAATTTAAAAGCAACGAGCATTTCAACCAACATTCAAACTCTCATTAATTCTTACTGGTAGGAGAAAAATAATTAAGGTTATTTATGTTTTTCAAGTTGTATATGGTTGTTTTTAAACTAATTTATAGGAAATTTAGAAAGTCTGGCAGGTGTTTAGAATATAATTCAATCAATTTTAAAAAAAGAAAGCTTGGTGCTGGTTATTTGATTGCGATCATCTTCATATCTGTTTGTGCACCAATAATGGTCTGTATAATTATAATTTTCTTCGGCCCTTGCTTTCGGGGATCTGGTTTCGGTGGCCGACGTCATAAGAATCTAAATCAAAGTTATAGATATTCAAGAAGGTACTAAGTTTAAACATTCCACAAATTTTATGACCTTTACACGTTGCTAACTGCCAACCTTTTTTGGTTATAATAGATATGCCAGGGGCGAGGGTCCAACCTATTTTCCAAGTACTTCGTCAGGTAAAAAAACCTATTAGAACAGTCGCTCTATTTACGCAACAATACTTTCTAATTACAGGTTATAGTCATCATTACAAAATTCGACGTTCGTCTAGGAACTTAATTGACAGTGACTCGAGGCCTAATCAAAGTTTTTCATCAAAAGTTACGTTCGAAGATGATGAAAAACCTACGAATCCCATTAAGTTACCGCCGGAAGAAAAGAATCGCAAAAATTACGAAAGAAAAGCAGCTATCACTGAAGGACACTTCATTGAGAATTTAGACGTCGAGTTTGAATATGAATTTTGATTCTACAGTAGTTCCATCTATCGCTTATCGAAAATATATACATATTTTATACGTTTTACTTTTCCTTCAATCCTGAGGTATGATTGACTAATTAAGAACCGAAATCAATACAAAACTGCATTTCTAGATCGTAATTATTATATTAAACGTAATTTCCTCGCTAAATAACGCGCAAATAGCAAATAAAATTTTTTGTCATTTTCATAAAAAAAGGGATCGAATTGATTATACATTTGGGCCGCATGCGTCAAATGTAATGAAACATAACTCGTTTATTTAAACCAGCGAATCGGAGCTTATTCAAGCACTGTACGTAATAATCTATAAAAACGCGAAGTCAACAACCGAACGTGCCTGTCAGGTTTTGCACGACTGACGGAGCGATTCGGACGCTTTTCTTCTTTAAATCAATTGTTTTCAATCGAAATATGCTAGAAAATACGCCCGCAAAACGATTATTATAAATAGCTGAACGGCATTGGTGTGGTCGTTTAGACTGACAAATAGATAAGAATGGGAGAGAACGACGTAAATCGCCCTGTTTTCGAAAGGTCCTTTGGTAAGTACCTATTTTCGATGCTTATCTAATAATAGTCTATACTTTACTATCAAATATTTTTTCTTTTTTTCCCTATGACAAAAAGGGCAAATTGGAATATATATGGACATTATTGAAGCCGTTCCTAAAAATAAGGATGAATACGGATTGAGGCACTATTACATTCAAGTATAATTCTGTTTTTATGTATAAAGATAGAAGAGCAGTAATAATGAATAGTATATCGATATACGTAAATATATATACATATATACGTAATTTAAAATACTTATAGAACGTTTAACATCGAATACATTATTTGTTTTATTTAATAAGCGAACTAAATAAACCGACATATAGCTGACATATATTTTATATTATATTATATATATATAGTTATTTATTTAAGAAATCTATGCATAAATTTATTTTAAGAGGATGTAGTTGTTGTTAAGGGAATTTGAAGAAATAACTGTAACTAATTATTCTTTATACTCTTTGTTACAATTTGTCTTTCGGTGTGAAAATCAAAAAAAAAAGACAGAAAAACAGAAAAAAAATGTAATTAATCGTTAATTATTTACATTCCTTGTAAATGCATAGGATTTGGAAGAGAGATTTCTCTCTGAATTGCAAAATACTCGACTAGATAAAATTAAAGGATTATTCGAAAAGCAGAGAATTTGGAAGGGTGTAATTATCGAGAGTTTCGATAAAGGTTATTTACTATTTTACAATAGGTGCAAGTGTCACAGCGTCTAATAAAACTTCCTAAAATAGGTATTGTAATGAAAATTGGTTTAAATGATATGGAGGCAATTGAAGAAGTTTGGTCCCAACATCAAACGAATCAATTACAAGACATCCTTCAGGTAAAATAAAAATAATTTAAAATCGATATAAAACAATTAAAACTTTCTGATTTGGTAATAAATGTTTTTAATTATTGTTTACTGCTTGAATAGTAAATATCTGGTAAAAGTGAATTAAACATTATAATTTATTATAATTTAGTCAACGTTAGTCGGCTACCCGATGAAAGAGAATCTAAGAATAACCGATATACGTCTAAGGGTGCGACTGTACGAGGACGAATATAAAGGCTGTAAAAACGAACTTTCGCTGCCCGATAGCAAGTTCAATTTGGTCGATAAACGTAAGTCGAAAGTGTCTTCAACAACCAACAAAGAATTATTAAATAGGACTGTAATGTTTTTCAGCCAATGATTTATATATGTTAAGACTCGTAAAAACATTCCAAAAACAACAAATCGAACCGCAACTACAAAACTTTCATAAAGGAGCCTCTTCAATCAACAATTGCCTAAGCGAATTGCTACTAGGCCTAAAGAGGTTCTTGCCAAAGGACATTGTGGTTGAATCCAGGCAGCACTTAATTAGTTTGGTGGAAGATCATTTACGAGGCAAAAAGTACGCTAATTTGGATTTAATTAACAAATTTTGCCAAATTCTTGGCGATGTAGTTAATTTCTGGGCGAGCCTTACTGAAGGTGTTTTGTATCCCCTTGCGCAAGTACACATGCAATGTGAAAGTCCCTCTCAAAGGCAATTTCACAAGGATCTAAGAGATAGAGTTAATGAAGCCACTAATAGCGGTAAAATTGATTTCAATTGGACGAAAATGAAACATGGTAGCATCTTAAGGAGAATCCTTCCGAAGGAGAGTGAAAGATTTTCGGGTTTATGTAGCATTTTACCCATATTGGTTGACAAATTGGATGATTTCGATCACGATCTTCATGAATATCTATCATCTTTTCCAATTGCTATTCAAGTATTGTAATATGAACGTTTTGCGGCATCAGGCTCAATGTTTAATTATCGTTATTTGTAGAACGTAGCTCACCTCGCGCCGAGCTCGCCACTTGTATAAATACATTATTTACACAATTACTTTTATTATAATAAAACTATATAAATACTTTCGAATTTTCCTTACTTCCCTTTTAATCGGGCTACCTTACCTCTAAACCAACCCCCCTACCTTTTCCGCTAATCAAAATCATTTACAGTAATAAATAAGTTTTGCCGTAATAAAATCCGTGTAGATGGCGGTAGGGACAGAAAGATTTTAAATAGCAGGTGGCACCGCATAATCTTTATTAATTTTATCTATCCGACATTTTGAGATTGAATATAATTTTTTTTGTCTCAAGGGGTAAGTGTAGGGGAAATGCTGTATAACATGTAAATTAATATCGTTAATTAAAAATTGGAAATGAGAAAGAAATGACAAGGGAGCGAAGGGAGTAGGAAATACGATTTAGATACGATATCGATGCCGCCGAAACGTCTCGCCAAATGCTCAACGATACATTATGCAAATGGAGATGCTCGTGTACTGTATATATACAAATTAAGTATACAGTATGTATGCAAAGGCAGGCGCTTTGTACCCTTTGTTTTATAACCGAGATTAATTTACGCCTTTTCACGGTCGTAATCAATCGTAATTAGTTTACGACAGCTATTAATAAAACATTACACATAAATAATTATGGACGGATATTTGGGGAAAGTGAGGCGGCTAATAGAAACTGGCAGCGGTTATAATCAGAAAGCAATGAGCAAAAATAAATAGAAAGAAAAGTTGATGGGTTTCTGGTAAACGAGCAAGTCCATTGAGAGTCGCATTCTTCATTGCCTTTCAATTAGCCCGAAGCCATTGGCGAGCATTTCGGTCGTCGAACGTCAAAATAGACGCCGGAAGATATAGAAAACGATACGAAGGGGAAAACTGGAAGGCAGATGGGGCCGAGTATTTCGTAATGAACGTTTAACTCGACGCCGACGGACCGAGACGACGAGCGTCGATCGAATAAAACCGCCCCATGCATATGATAAGCCGTTCCGGCATTTGTATGTATGAACAAGTGTCCGCCTATTCGCTTCGCCGAGCTCGTTCGAATATTTATTCAATCAGGAAAAGGTAACGACGGCGTGGCCGAGTGAAAGACTGCAATAATCGGCGGAATACTGCAACGGAAATTGGTGGATTTGTTCTGACACTATAGGGCGTTAGTTGCGCATTACACTCATCTATTTACGTATAATTTATACCATTTTTTTTTCTCTTCTATATATATTCAAACGTGATGTGATACATATGTACAGTATATAATTTAACTCATGACCTAAATACATATAGATTGATGAATATATAATTATACCGGCAATTTTTCTTCTTTTCGCAGCAGGTGCACGATTAGAACGGTCAATAGCGAAACTCGAGTTGTATGGACAAACACTTAATAAATGAAATTAAATTCGAACCGCTGTGTACACTTTGGAGCGGCGTGCTTCAAGCGCCAAAACAATTATTGCAAAGAAAAATGATCCGACTCCTTTATATATACTTTGCCACTTTTCTTCTTATTCCGAAACGGGAGGCGCTTGAATTTGGAAGCCGGCTGGTTGGGTGATGGGGAAGAGTGGATGGAACATACCAAGAGCGGCTAAAGGTTGAGTTTTACAAGCTTGTACGCGAGGGTATTTGCAGTTGGGCCGCCGTCCTCGTGGAACTTTATCGGCTTGTAAGAGACTAGCTATACTGAAAGAGTTTTTCCAATCTGGTGAAACATCAGGTTCTTCAACACCTCCGACAACATCAACGTCTTCGTCTTCTCTTTCACCATTTGAGTCACCGCCAGATTTTTGATGTAACTTTCTTTCTTGTTGTTTCCTCCGTTTCTTTTCCATTCGAGCGTTTTCCCTTCTTTCTAATTCGTCCTTCGTCAACGGTTCGCCGCTGCAGGTTTGCGGATGGGCGTTATGAGGGGGTCGACCAGGACCTTTTTTCGTATTTTCCTTTTTGCGCCACTTTGCACGTCTATTTTGAAACCACACCTGCAACAAAAGCACGCTCATTTATCATAGCGTGGCGCCAACAGGCCTCAGGCTAGTACGCTACAATGAACATCCATCAGCTACCTTAACAAGACACGAGGCCACACAGCTCTATCACGCCATCCAATCATCCATTGCCTTTTTCTCTATCACCCCCTACTACCCCTCCCTTCCGATTTTTTCGATGTCAGTAATGGTTACAAGCATTTCAATTAAACGCCCGAGAATTTCTCATGGCAAAAATGTCGCGCGCGCTCATTATAGGCGGTCGGCCGTAATAGTCACGTTCGAGCAAACAACTACGGCCGTAAAATGCTCGCCAAACAAGGCTCTAATTGATATCAAACTCGCTTTGCGAACGCCAATTAAGTTGTTTGAATATTGTTACCTGTATTCGTGATTCGGCTAGGTTGAGTTTAAGGGCGAGGGCTTCTCTCATAAAAACGTCTGGATAGTGGCTATCCTGTTCAGGAAAATATCGAATTTTCAATATTAAATCGCGTTCACTCTACTAAATACACACGCTTTATATATATATAATATATAATATATATATATATATTTACGTTGTATAAACGTTTTGTAAAATTTCCCGAGAATTGTATGCTTTACAAGAGTTTGCGCGCGCAAACGAATAACACTATGATTGATGAGCAATGCGGGGTCTTTATAATATTCTTTAAAAAAATGTATACATTTATATCTCTATCCGTAACAAAACTTGAATTTAGATAAAAGAAAATATTTATTCTGCTCTTCCCCCAAAGTAATAAATTAATATCCGTATATATATATTTATTTATAGGGGAGAGGAGGGAATAATAGAAACCGTTTAGCAAACTATCTAAAGCGTTAGATATTAAGTTCTTTCTTCAGTAATTTATTTCGATGGGAAAATTAGTCATATAAACATTACTTAAATAATATTTAAAGAGATATTTTTCACTATCAACTTAGGAAAAAAATGTATGAGCCTTGTGCACATCAAAGTACGTATGCGCGCTGTGCAATTGGCATACATGATTTACGACGTAATTTGCTAGAGAAGAAAGAGTTTTTGTTACGGGTCATAAAATTTATAAATATACACCCCCCGTAAACGCTTTAATTATATTCACGTAATAAACTAGGAGAGTATAAATATATTTTGGCGTCGGTAAGGATAAACATCAATTAAATGAATTCTTTCAATGTAATTGCTGCCCCCTTTTGCCGTTTATCGCAAAAAAACCAGATTAATCAAAGTTCCTCCCTCACTCGATTTAATACAAGATTCTCAAATAATTACTACTTTTTTAAATGAATATTTGCAAGCCTTTAAAGTCTTTTCTCAAACTGCACTAAAATAATTTAAATTTGGGGTATATAAAACTATATTTGGCTCTAACCGCCATAAAAAAAAACTTCTGATGGTTTTATAGAAGCGTATATATTTATAAAAGGTTGAAATACAATAGGAAAAAAGAAAGTATATTCATTAGCATAAATAAAATACCTACAAAACGCTTTTCCTGTGAAACTAGTAACGCCCGTTAGCGAGAGAAGCGTTTTAAATTAATATTTATAATCAATCACCCAAATCGGATATTGAACATTTCTCTAAATAATTTCTAGTGAGCAAATCGTGCCGAAACGGGAGTAAATCGATCACTTTCATATTGTGAAATATTGCTTCCATTAATTGTTTCTTTTTTTGAAATATCTTTTATAAAGTAAAGTTTTTTTTTGTTCTTTCATAATTAAAAAGCTCCTGATTTTAGCTTAAATAAAAAAAGTTGACAGTAGAATGAACGCTACTCAAAAACGGGGAATTTTTAAGTAGACACGACCGCTCTTACCCTTTATTCGGTTTTTTCGTAGCGTATGTAACCTTCTATAAGATAGAATCATTACACGGATATTATATCTATAATTTATTAACGCCTAAGCGGCTTAAAACCTTCGCATTAGGCAAGGTAGAAAAAAAGTAAATTGAATGACATATCGTTTGCACGTGATCTAATAGCATTATATAAGCTTATGATGTATATTTAATGCATTATATAAGCGTCTTTGATCCTATAGGAAAGAGTACGTCTTACTAAGTAGAAATAAGCTTTAATAATGTCTCTTACATAATAAATTTATGAAGTAAATCAATCGTAACTTTTACATTACCTGAAAAGCTATTTCTAATTGTTCCAATTGCCATCCGCTGAAGTTTGTTCTTGTTCTACGACGCTTGCCTTCAGGACTGTTATCCTCTTCGTCTTCAGAAACAAAAGATATCGTTCAAAGAAAGCGACTCGAAACAAAACATCCAAAAGTAAACTTACCAGATTTGGTAATTGGAGGAGAAGGAGTTATAGGTTGAGGTAAAGGAAGATGTAAAGGAAAAAGAGGGTTTTGACGATATGCAGGAAACCAAGGCCTACAGCTGGTCATGTCTGGTGTGACTAGCATACTCCGAACTGTTGACGTTTTCCGCTAACTGCCCTAAAAAGATATATCAATATCCAAGCAGCGACCAATGAACTAGCAGTCCTCTCCGCCAATCATCGACATAGCTCCTCCCACATGGCTTAATCAACAACAAAATAAACTTGCCCTCAGCTAATTCCATTTTCCATTTCAGTTCTTTTCGTATTCATTACTTCGCTTATTGATATAGCACTGCATGTTTTTGGAATTGCCTTCATTAACTTTAAATTGATGGCCATAATTAAACCGTCCTACCTTCTTTCCTGTTATCCTTACCCAATTTTTCCGTGGTCGACCTTAATTTAAGAAATAGCTTACACTCACTTGAACTTATATAACGGTTTAATATCTTATTACTTTATAAAGAAATTTAAATATATATATTATGATTGGTTAATTTTCATCTCATTTTTTTTCTCAGCAGCAGATTAATTTAGTTTTCTTCCTTGTGAATACGTGGATGTCAACTGTTTGAGAAAAACATGAAATTTTCGAATTAAATTCGGAATTTTTTTATAGTGATATATAATTATTTGTTGCTTTTTCGTGTCGCAAAGTCATCAATCATCCATTTAATTCAATGCTTTAGACCAACAAGAATAGGTGTACGGTTTAAATGAAAAAAATAAATTGATATAGCAGACGCAAGAGAATGCCTTGCCCCTTAGATACTTTCAGTCAATCACACTTGTCATATATAACTTATAATTAAATAGGCCTTTGCGGGGTCGGAGAAATGATTTAAAGAATAGGAAATAGGTTTTTTTTCTCCCCGATTTCTTTCTTTTTGTACTTTTATGACATGGTCGTTAAACGAAAAATAGAGGGAAGAGCAGGAACTGGGCGGAGATATACAGTAAGTAGAAAAGGAAACAGTTATTCTATAGTTTTTAACTTCTAATGAATTATCTTAATGCGTGCGCCGTTGAAAAAGGACAAAGTGAGATGATGAACGCAGATGGCAAAGGGACGGTGGCTCGGCTCATTGACTATGATAAATGATGGTGAGCAGACGCATTGAAGTTGCCGCCTCTCGCTTATACAATTAATTGACACAATCAGCCGCTCGTTGTAAAACTATCACGCACTAAAACATAAATAGAAACTAAATGTGCCTTTTATAATGGGCGGCGGGCGTAAAAGTTATCTATAAAATGCAAATGCGTTGAGCGGTCAGTGTTATGATTACAAGTTCTACATGCACCGCTGATCAGCGCATATAGCGTTAGATTGAAGGGAAAGTGACGCCAGCCAAACGCATCGCCGTCTCATCTTCCTACTGTCATTTCTGTGCGTATCTAAAGGGAAAAGAAATAGTTTCACTTTTTTTGGGTGTGGACCACACAATAAGTACCATAAACTAACCACTCATACAAAGCTAATGCATTTACACCGGTCAATAAATAAATTTGCCCAACAAGATGCTTTATACAGCCAAATATTATTTTACAGCGAGCCGCTTTCAATTTGCATCCAAATAGCCGCGTCGTTCTCTAGAGGCACATCTATGTTCATCAGGGGCGTCTAACTTGTTCTCTGATTGATTGAGTGACGACTGACGCTGTGATTGTTTTTCTAGGCGACGCTCTCTTTTTTCTATTGAGTAAAAAAACTAGTGTCGAGAGATTATTCTTTTATAAAAATCGTTTAATGCGTATAATTTGTACGTATATTTAAATATAGATATTATATGAGATTTAAACGGCTCGGCGCTTAGAGCGCGAGTACCGATCAATGACGACGCGGAATGTAATCAGTAGGCAATTAAGCGTGCATAAAGAGACCGTCTACGAGCGTCATACAAACGTCCTGTTAAGCTTATTGAACTAGACGAAATGTGAAACAAGCAAATTAATTGAATACGAGATGAGCTAGCGTGTTTGATGCTCGTTAATTATACATGACAAAGCAGGTGACGATCGACGCACGGTTTGACAAACTATATAAGTTCTCCCTTCCGTTTACTCCCACACTCGTACATCGTTCCCATACAATAGATTTATTTTTTATTTTTATAGCGCCATCTATCGAACGCATGGGTACTCGATTTCAAAAAAGAGCAGGGATCTAGTTAAGGGTGATTAATATTATATTCAAAAGTCCAAACGACGCGTTTTGAATTGGTAAATAAAATGGAATTGACAATTTTCCTTTTGATGTGGTCTATCTAAGAAAAGATAAGCGTAAAAAGGAATATAATAGAATTAAAACACCCTTTTCAATCGCGCTCAATAAGTCATGTCGATTGGCTATATATATTTATATAGATACTCTTTTAATGTTTATGAGAAAATTTTATCTTTTGAATTCTATTAGCTGGTTTTACTCTGTTAAATATTTTAGTAGTTTATTCCCGGTGGCGACACCTGTCTCATAACATACACTTAGTTTGAGTGCACGAAGCCGTCATGATGTGGCAATGAAAAAATTACATAAGCTTTACACAAGCGCTCTCGTAAAATTCGATTATCAAGCAATTTGCCTAATTGTTTCTTTTTTTATAATTCAAGTACTTGATGAAATGCTATTCACTTATGTTCAAATTCAATAATAAAATTTCTTTTATTCAACAAAACCATCAATTTAAGCGAAAAGAAAGAGATTTTTTTTGTGAATGATGGGAAAAAGTAAAAACATACTAAAAACAGAATAAGAAAGAAACGAGGGTAGAATGTGCAGATAAAAGTTATAGCCAACTCTGTTAATATTTACAGACACACAAGTAAACTTGATAACGAGCACCTGAGCAGGGTTCGCTATAGCCTTTATTTTTTAGCACCTGCACATTCGAAATGTCGTTTAAACGACCATACTTCGAAAAAATAAGTCGTCAATTTCGTTACAAAGATCATTAGCGTCAACCACATAGGAACCGGAAGTTGTGCTACCTTCCTCTTCGGCTGTTTCGTTGGCTGTAATTGTTGGCATAGTCGAACGCAAAACATCAGAAACGTCTCGACAAGAATAGAGCGTAGTTTCGATTGGCCTGCTAGATGGCGTGAACTTAGGTCTGGAAGAATGCGACATCTGCCGTTGAGGTGAAGAAGATGTAGAAGGTGTTTGAGCGAACGCTCGATTCAATGAGCCTTTATAGCCCTCAGAGCTTCCATTCCTTAGAGCTACGAGATTGCGATTAAAAAAAGTAGATTTAATTAGCGAGAACAAACGATCGATTTTTTATAGATTTCTCCATAAGGGATACAACTAGACGCCTAATAGAAAGGAGGTAAAATAGAAACACGATACGAGGAAGTGGATTATTATTGCAACGCCACCTACGAAAAGAAACGATCGGTCGCTTATTTACCCCCTAACTCATCAATCTAAAGTAAAAAAAAATTTATTGCAAACCTTCCACGAACTGTTGTTCTCCAGCGTCGCTAGCCCCTTTACCACTATCTGTATTTGAGCAATCTCCAACACTGTAGGCGCTATCGGTCTCCCCATTTACGAACGTTCGGAGCTGCTAAAGTGGAAAAAATCGAATTTATTTATATCTAGATCAATCAATAAACCGTATACACGTAATAATGATCATTAGCTACGACCGTCACTTTTAGACGTCGCACAGTCAATTAAGGACTATCGAACGTCTCCTGCCAATATTTTGCTGTCGACTCGTCGTTTAACTCGCTTATATCAATCTTTTCCGTATTGGCTACTCGTTAAATTAGATTTCTTCCGACTTACGGAAGAGCTCTGAAGCTGCCTTAATCAAACACTTGCAATCAATGGATGAAAGTAATAATGACACTTTGAAAATATAAAGTTGTAAAGAAAGCAGGAGAGGAGCAAGTCTGCAAAGGGACGTTCAGCAACGCTACAAAATTTATAAGCTCCTAAATTGTGTTCCTGACCACAATTTTCGCACTACATAAAAACTCGTACAACCGCAAATTAGGTCGTATCTATAGACCCGGCAGTTCGCCGACGTTATTCAATTAAAGACACTCAAGGGATTTATTCCCTGTGTCCAAGAATTTCTACATCCGCCCTAGGCCCTTCTAGCAACACTCTGCCGTATATATAGAAGAAAATTATCGCAAAAATTTTTTTTTGACCAGTAGAAAAATTGCAGTTCGTTAATCTTTTATTGGTCGTTTGATAAGCTGGATATTCTGACGTCTGTATATTGCCTTTCCCTTTCTTTATACTACTCCAGCCAATTTTTACGCCAATTGGATTTTATATAATCCTAATCTCCAAACAGAATACGTATATAAACTGGTTAGTACTACAGACTAAGCAGCTCTTTTAAGCTGTCATTGATATCCAAATGATCATTATATGTTTAAAAAACTTCTTTTGAGAAGGCTATTCATTTGGTTAACACCTAGGAAATGAGAAATGCAGCAGGTATAAGACCTCATATACTGTATGTATGCCTTTTTTATACTGCAGAAGACGGCAATCAATAAGTTGGACAACGACTTGGAGGCGTCGTAGCGATTGCAGGCTAATTTACTTTTTAGAAAGGACAGGGCGTCTCGGCCTCTGCCGATAACGGCCGGACAGGGTGCGCTAGACGCCTCATGGGGCAGAGTTAGGGATGTGATTGAGCGTCACGCGTTGTCTATGCAGAGTTATTTAAGCCAGTGTGAAAAAAAAAACTAGAAAACGTCAAACCTCAACATCTTTTTGATTAAGTCTGCCCCTACAGGGTGGTGGTGGTGCTAGAGGGTGTTTAAACTGTCGTTTGGCGCCAGGTGGCGTAGCCGTTAATAATGAGCTGTTCGCGACCGGAATCTGTGTAAATTATTAAAAAAAAAAGTAAATTTCTTGTCTTCATTTGCTCTTCTAAGGTTTTACGTTTGTAGGAAAATATAAACTCAAATGAAAGAGAAACATACACGAACGTCATAAAAAGACAATAGGCGTCTCTTATTCCCTTTTCTTTTCTCTCGTGCCTCTTGTTTTTTTACTTAGCCTATTATCTTACGCTACTTAAGGGAAAAAGAAACGGAATGAAAAACGCCAAAGTAGAAAAACGAGGGGCGACGGAAAAAAAGCATAGATAAAAGGGGAATTCAAAAGGAGAAAAAATTGAGGAATACATAAGAGGAGAAAGAGGGAAACGTGCTTTTTATTGACTAGCAGTCAACGTGGCCTGCATGCTAGCTTTTGACGTCAACGTTACCGGTGTATTTGTATCTCTATAGATTATCGTATAGCCGTCAGCCGTAGTTTGCATATTAAACGCGGGTTGCTCTTATTGCGGAAGAATTAGACGTAAAAACGGCGCCGTCCCGTAATACGTTTAACGAGGAGAATAGTAAGCATATTGGAAATCCATAGGCGGCATGCCAGCTTATCAAGTCGTCGCTACAATCTGCTTTCTCTCTCACGCAATACTGGAAATAGTGCAGTATGATAATCTTCTGACGAGCAGGAATGAAAGGGAGAGAGGATAGTAGGAAGAAAGGAGAACGAATCGGCTAACTGCTTTACTTAAAATAGACGCTCGCCTGAATTTACTTAATCCATCCTTCCTTTCAATCAGCTGCCGGCTGTCTTTTTCTTTAACTGCCGCCTGTCTTATTCCTTGGGCGTGCACATATGAATCTCACTTTCTCATTCTTCCTCTACTTTGTTTACTTGTCCATTTACTCATTTATTCACTCATCAGCTCTCTCACTCACTTATTTGTACTTTCCTCTTCTCAAGAAGGCAGACTTAGCAATACAGTGGCATTAGAAGGCAAAGGTTTCCCCTCTTGGACCTCCTTCCCATCGTTTACAAATTACAAGTCAAGACCAGACAGTTCTGTATCTGACGCAGCGCAAATACTTGTTCAGTCATCTGATAAAATGACAATCTGTATTGCTCTGCGTCGTTGTATTGCATCGATTCGCCTAGTTCTGAGTCGAATACGAAATAGAGTATAATAACTAATTATTTACAAGCGTTAGCGACAAAAACGCCGCATCGTCCAGCGTCACCAGCTGCGCCCCTTCCTAAACTCATTTCGTTTATCGCTATCGATTGGCCCGTATAATTATAAGAAATTACAGCGTTCACTAACTATTTATGCACGTATATAGCCGAAGGACGTTGTTATAGATTCAATCTTGCGCTAATCCGTTTTTTTTAGGCTGAAGGCAAGATTTCTCCTCAATAAGAAATAAGAAAACATATCGCTGTAACCGTTGGCTATACGATCTTAAGTGTCGGGTTGACGGATTTTAAAGGCGTTCGAAACGACGCCACCTCTTCAGTTTAATAGAGGTGTTATCAGGCCATGCCACATTTTGAAAGAAAGAGTCAAATTTGAGACTAGCTTGAACACGAAACTGCAAAAGCTTTTAGAAAAAAATATATACAAGCATTAGTCTGAACAAGGTAAATGTTGACACGTTTGAGCAACAATTAAGAGTTTTAGAATGCAAACAAAAGCAAGGTGTGAAATATAAAAGCATACATAGGCGGCAAGCTTATAATATGAAGCAAGCTATTACCTACCTCTTCCTCCGAACCATACTATAAATTGACGGCAATTTGCAAATTAGAAAAAGCCTTATGATTACAAGCCCATATATAGATGACTAAAAAGGGAAAGAAACGTTGGAAGCCGTACTAAATAAGGTAATCTCGGATAACGTATGTCATCAGTCCACGACTTTATCGAAACTCGTGGTTGCTGGTACGGTTTCCTTCCTTCCTTCCTCAAAAATCGAGCAAGGAAGGAGTTTTATAAGGGAAAGGGGGAAATTATATATATTTATATTTTGCCTACTCTTTCCTCTATTCTACTTACCACAAATTCTATATGACTTGGGTCGAGAGCCTTCTCGTAATTCAAACTCTTCATTTCACGAGGCGAGTGTTTGCACTTATCGCTATCTCGAATGATCGTAGGACCACCATTCTTCTCATAAAGAATCTTCAAGGCCTCTGTTCGACAATTGTATCGCAATTGTTGTTTGTCCTTCTTCGATTGACGAAGACAACATATACATAAAATTAATAGCAGAATGACGACGAAAGATCCAATTCCGACCGCTATTAAAATCAATAAATTACTCCTTGATAATAATGAACTGTGCGAGTCATGCCAAGGAATAGAATCGTTGAAGACAATTATCAATTGAGTACGAGTGAATTGAAAGGGAGAACCACCATCCCGGGCTTCTAAGTCAATAGTGACGGTTTTGTTAGATAAGGTACTCAAATCCTTCACCAGCTTTATATTTCCCGTTTCAATGTTCATTTGGAAACAAGACCATGAGGTATAAACCCCAGAGTCTTTTTGCTTCAGAAATGAAAGTATTGTCTGTTGAAAATAGATATTTACATTTCCATTATTTCCAAAGTCTTTGTCGGATACTTGTATTTTTGTTATTGCTGTGCCGACAGGTGCATGTGCAGAAAATTGGAGTGTATTATTTTTTGCTGAAGGGAATGTGAAATGTGGCTTCTCATCATTGCGATCTATCACATGAACTTTCATTGAAATTGTAGAAAAAAGACTTGGACTACCACCGTCTCGAGCTTCTAAAAGTAAATGATAGCTGCTCGTATTTTCCCTATCCAATACTTCGGTTGTCGATATAACACCTGTATTCTTATTGATAGAGAACGGTTGATCACGTGCAGAAACTATCGAATATGTAATTTTGCCATTTTCTCCAATATCACAATCTTCCGCAGCGACACTACCTAATAGGTGTGTTTCACGAGCTTCATTTTCTGATATTGATAATACAGGGAAATTGGCATGCTTAACAAAGGTCGGGATACAATCGTTTACATCCTTTACTGTTACTTCAACATATGCTTTGGCTTCATTTGGCTTTGTGCCCTTATCTCTTGCTATAACAGTCAAATTATGAAACTCCTTTTCCTCTCTATCTAATATTCCCTTTGGATAAATTTTACCGCTATCGGCAATAATATTGAAATAGGCTTGGCTAGCGGCGTCTAACGAATAACTCACTTTTCCGTTATCACCAGAATCTTTGTCAATGGCCTTAACTTGCGCAATAAATCGATTTATTGGTTTATTCTCGGTCACTTCGGTTTTATATAATTCTTTTTCGAAAATTGGATCATTATCATTTTCGTCTCGTATTTTTACTTCTAGGACCGATGTTGAAGTTTGTGCAGGATTGCCATTATCTTTGCAAGTGATTACAGCTGTAATTTCCTTAAGTTCTTCATAATTGAACATCGAATTAGATTTAATTTCGTATTCTCTTTGATGTCTATCCCTTGAAGAAGGTGAAAAATCAGTTAAAGTAAAATATTTGTTGCTGTCAATAGTGCAGGAAAATCTGCCGTTTCGTCCTTCATCTGGGTCAGAAACGTAGACCATAGCAACCGATCTGCCAACCTGGTCATTTTCTAAAATAGTCAGGCTGCTATCTGAACTTTGAAGAAGCGGTGACGTGTGTATAGATGGAGCATTATCATTGATATCTACAACCGTTATGTTAACCAGAGTCTCCACAGGTGTTGCATAAGGACCAGAATCTTTGGCTTGAACATAAAATATGTAGCCGCTAGTGGTCTCCCTGTCAAGGGAAGAAGCCAACGTTATTCTACCCGTATGTTTATTAATATTGAACACGTTGGTCAGTTGAGCAGACGACGAAGGCAATGAGTAAATTATAACTGAGTTGTCTCCTACATCATCATCTTGAGCAGAGACTATAAGAATTGTAGAATTTATAGCTAAATTCTCGGGAACTTTTGCACTATACGAATTGTGATCGAACTTAGGCACATTATCATTGGCGTCTTTTACGCGAACGTCAATTTGAAGTTCACCCTTCCTGCCCCCTCCGTCCGTTGCTATTAAACGCAATTGATAACTGTCCTGAGCCTCTCTATCTAGTGTTTTCGATAAAACAATTTTTACGTTGTTCGATGCATTGTTATACTGCAGACGATACCTTCCACCATGATCGTCTTCCAATTTATAAGTAGGTGACGCGAACTTGGGGCTATCAGGGTCGATAGCCGGAGGTATGGAAAGGAATTGCTTGTTAGGAGCAACCGATTCGTGAACTGTCCACTCTCTTCTGCTTTCCCGCCAAGTAGGAGAATGATCGTTAATATCTTTAACTGTAACTTTAAATTGCAAAAGTCCTAAACCAGATGAGCCTCGATTTGCGTAAACTTTAAAATTTAATTCGCAAATTCTTTTTCCAGAGCACCCAATTTTTTCCCTATCAATTTTTAAGTATGTCAAATCAGAGCTATACGGAAATATCTCAAAGTAACTACTAAAGTCATTTTGTAGTAATCTGTACTCTATATTCTTTTGGGATGGAATATCTTGAATAAAACCAGAATCACGGGCAATATTACCCAAAATTGAACCACCGTCTGTCTCTTCAGTTACTACATAATTTGCTATTGTCCATCGACCTTCTATAAATTGCAGTAGAGTCGAACTGTGGGCAACGAATAGCAAGAATCGCAACATATATAATCCGTATTTGATGAGACCTGTCAATCGAATATTTGTTACGGTTCAACAGCAAAAGCGTTTAGAAAATCGACAATTAATGGCGTGTCGTTTACCCGAAATTCAATTCATTGTACTCTTACCTTCTTTAATGGAAATTACTATTAGTCGTGAAATAACAATAAATTCATTCCCTTTTTATTGCTAAAGAGATCTGCTCCGTTTTCTGCGTCGTAATTTTATAAACGAATTACTAAAATAAACGATTAAAAAAAATCAGCTAAAAAAAATTTTATTCAACTGGTAAAAGTGAACTGCTACGTTATAAACTTAGCGGCATTCGCCAGCTGTCTGCCGGTCGGAACGAAAATACTCGCTAATTTGAGCGCCACCTTGTGACCAATCGAATTTCTTATAGCCTATATATGGGACGAAAATGAATCGTAATTAAATTGAAAGAGGAGGAGGTACCTTATATTAGCATTCATCAGCATTAACTAACTAAGATCTTAATAAGACGATACGTCAAAATAACAGTCAATTTTTCATCGACGCCTCCAGCGTAGCTATATTGACACTTTGAACTTTTTAATAAACAAAGGAGACGCTTCGGCGCGTGCCGACGCGTTAGCAAAGTGTTCGTTAGACGTAATATAAATGCAATTTATTACATTGATTACGAAATGATGAAGCGACGGCGTTCGAATGTGAGCAGATTGCCAAAACGATGGTGCCTAAGGCATTACAGCTTGATGACGTCTATCGTAGTTTGTGATGCTATAAACAGTCTACCTTCTATAAACATGTACTCATCATCACCCTGTTAATATATCTTGCTGGAAGTCACCCCCGGCTTCTTTCACATTTCCATTAACAAATGGACTCTGATCGACTTGTGGTGATGTCAATGCAAAGCGCTTTTTAAGCACTCTTCACAGTGATCTCGACAGTTCATCAGAAATGCTTCGTCACCTTCTTTCTTGTCTTTAATTTGACAATTTCTCACCCTATTACAAACCATTCGACCGTAAAAACTGCGTGTTGAAGAAGAAATTTTGATGCATTCGCTCCGAAGACAGTATTCGAGTGCAGTGCGATTAATTGGGCGAGCTCCGTAAAAGCGTCGAATTAACGGCGGACGAAAGATGTAAAGGAAGGAGGAAATGAGGTGAAAATTGACGACTTGGGCTTTACCAGCGACTGGGGACTGTTACACAGCCCGCGGTCAAAATGTGACATTTTATACGCGTCACCCAATTTTTGTTTATTGTACTTTTTTCTAAGCAAAATCTAATTAGTAAAATAGGCCTATTGTATCTTTCAAGATACGACTTCCGACTGCCTATAATACCAAGTATAAGAAATACGAGAAAGTTGACGTTGGCATAAAAGTATTATCCCTAAACGGAAAGAGGATAGAGGGGAAAAAACATAGAAAAGAGGAGTCGTATTTTGTTGCGATTGTTTTCCTTCAGGAAATACAAAAACTTATATATTGAGGCTTTGAAAAACTAGCGAATATATTTAGAGCGGTATCTACGGTTCCCTTTGTATTATAATAGAAATATGCAATCTAAAATGAATTTTATACGTGTGCCGGGTGAGAAAGTCTAACTGTTTGCGTAGCTAAAATGTCAAGAGTGATATTCTTGTATCAAACAATCGACCAATGTTTATTGTATTGATGACACAAAGACCGTCTCTTTATTCAAACAATTGATTCCTTGCCACCGCAAAATTCTTATCGACAGGACTTAGCTTTCATCAATCTCTTTTATACTTTACCTTGCCTAACTTAATTAGATTCAAATAAAAGAAGCGCCGTTACTTTCATGATGTAATAGCATTTTAGTATAGGCAGGTGAGGCAAAGTGAGAGCGGCGATTTCAATGACCGAATCTTTACTTTCTCGTATTACGCTATGTAAACATTTGCACTTTTGCTATAACGTCTAGATTATTGACGGATTGTAACAGGCATATACTTATAAATTCAATCTAAAATACTAAAATTATCTGAACACTTGGCGGATTATTCACAATATGTTGTAAGCTTAAATAAAAATTCTATAGTGTAATTCTTCTAACGCTAAATCATTGAAATACTCTAAAATAAAAGCATATTATCATTAGAAATACATGTAAGTATAGTAATATGTAAATTATATATACTGTATATATATATATAATAAATTTATTATACAATATGCATACATTCTTTATTTAGATTTTATTAAAAAATAGGTAATTATTAATGAACAAACCAATAGTTCATTGCTTCACAACGATATTAGTTTAATTATGAATATGTACAACAGATTGTTTCGAGTAATTTATAAATAATTTTCTGTTTTCGTATCAATAGAAATTCTTTTATTAAAATATCAACAATAGATTAAAGTTTTAATGTAGAAATTTAACAACACAATAGAGTCATTATTAGCTTTTATTTTTGTAGACGTTCCAAGAACAATTATAAAGTTTATGCATGTGTAATGTAAATAAAGTGTATAAAACTAACATAAAACTTCCATATTGTATACATATATAATGTACAATATCAATGTGAATAGCATAGAAGGAGTATGTACTGAATCTATATGGTGTATACAGTATATATATATGTGTGTGTATTCATATAAAATGTATATATGTTATATACTGATTAAGACGGATAGTTATTCGATAAACTTACTCTCTAATTGTAAATGATAGGAGTTTGTACACATAAACAGTTGATACAATAGCTTACCAAGTTACAATAATGAAAAGAAGATAGATATCAGCAGACGAATTAATTACATTCCTTAAAAAGGAAAACACACACCTATTCATAAAATAAAGACGAATGACTTATTGATTTTCTTTTCTTTTTGTCTATTCATTTCGATATTCATTGTTCTTTTTTTTCCTTGTGGTTTGTTGCGTCGTAATAGGATAGATTTTTCCAAAGTGTTGATGTTGATTAAACATAAACCTAGATATGATACTCTGCGCAACGATACATCTTTTCTAACAATTAAGTATAAAACTCGATGGACTAGAAAGAACGTTGAAATTAAAGTGGACGACTATATGAATCCAGCGAAATTCAACCTCAAAGTAAACGCCTAAAGCGGTTCAGCCGAGTAGAAGAATTCACAGAGTTCCTATTGTACGCGCCGCTAAATCGAGTTGGCATTGGGTGGCGATTTATTGAAAATAAATAAATATCCGGTTTCAGCGCAACTACGTTAACGATTCGACTAGAAAACTAATCAGGGAAGTGAGAGGCCAAAACGAAAAGCTTAACTCCGCGGAGATTGATGGAGAGAATGATAGACAGAAGAGATGAGAGACTTGATTGATGGTCATATAGAACGCTGCCTTTTTCTCTTCATTTCACACTAACTGACCGATTGACCACTTTGGTTTTATTTTCGGCTTAAGAGCAAACAAAAAGACAAACATAAAAGATAAGATAAAACGTGCTAGTCTTATATTAACTCAACTGTGTATACTTGAAATAATCAACGGATTGTTTATGTGGCGAACGTGGGTGCAGACAATAAACAGAGCAAGTCTCTTTTCAGTTTGGCGCATTAATTACAGTAACGACTCTCGTCCAAGAACAATATCGGATCGCTAACCACTTAGCGATTAAGAATGTGAGTTGTGTATTTCTTTAAATTTCATTGTATTCGATTGAAGGAGAAAAACGTGGCGTCACATTCGTCCGAGCGTGACAAACAGGCCGGCGGGAAATCTGAATAAACTATAGCCGGAGGAAAAAGGACGCCGAAAATCACTGTTTGACATTTTCGCCCGCCCCCCCATCTACAAAGAGAATGCAAATTGACTGATTAAGTGGAAACAATCAAAAAAATTTTTGCCCAAATTTCCCTTTTTTCAGAAAGGGCACGTACGTCACGAAACTTGTTGATAAGATTTTTTGATAAGAAGCAACTGGGTGAAGATTGAAGAAATCAAGTAGCAGGATAGCGGAAAGTTGATTAACTGTATATTACGTCATGCGTGCACGTGGCATGGACGTCCAAGTAGACGCTTTTATTTCTCCATTCAACAGCTCTAATTGACGCTTGTACCACAAGAATAAAAAGAATACTTTGCGCAGAAAGTCTAAACGTGATGGAACAATGGTATTTCGTTCGGCAGATCCTCTAACGTGTCAACAGGATTCAATAGGAAGCGTTTTCTTATTGAATAGCATAGTCTGCACTCTATAAACAAAAAGAAGACCGTATGCATGACTGCTAAAATTAGTCGACGGAGCAAAAAGAAGACGCTGGAACGATATATAAAAGAGAGAACTTTTATTGATGGCAGATTAAACCTGATAGACAAGCGTGCATAACTTTTCCTTTCCAATATGATAGGAGGTTTCACCAGTTTTTCATTATTTACTTTAAAGACTGCTTTATCAGGCTCGTGCTATGAGTGACTTACCGAGCGTTAATAAGCTTAAACGTTTGACAGTAATCTATATATAAACAACGACCTGTTTTAAAAATATAGTACCGCAGCCTTTCATGAAATCCGAATGGAGGAAGCGTTGTCATGTTCTTATTGCATAAATCCGTTTACACATGAAACATAATGATCAACTTTTAATAATAATAATTGACGTCATAATTAAATTACTAATATTCGTGAATAGATGAATGTGTATTAATAATGAAAAAAACAGTTTTTTTTTATAAAGTTGGCTTTCTATTTAAAGTATATGAATTAATATAAATTTTCGAATAAAGTAATTAAAATGCTGGTATTTATCAATGTTTTTAATCATAAATTGGTAAAAAAATATATACTGTATAACAAAATTGATCATTGAATAGAATATATATATATATATATAGCGGGAAAATGTTTCACACTATAAAAGCGACATCTTTCGCTCTTAGTATTTTCACGGGAATTAAAGTTAATGTAATTACGTAATAGTACATAAGAGCTTAAAAAAATCGAATTTTAATAATGTGAATAGGTTTTGAGAATAAAACTAAACGGCGTTTTATGACCTGAGGTTGGGAGAGAGCGTGTTAAGAATGAATAAGGTTGATTAACGGGGAAAGAAGTGTCTTGGTTATAGATTGAAACGTGCTGAAGAATGAATAAGCACGTCACCGAGGAAGAAAGGTCACGGTGCTGCAACTAATGAAGCAAAAATTTCTACAATGGGAAGACGGCCTAATGAGTAGCATCATTCGGTAATTGTTCCACAAACATCAATTTTCTGTTTCACTTAAAATAAGAAATATCCACTTTCGTTTTGGTCTTCAGTTTCCATTTCTTCTAATAACTTCTTTTTTTATCTAGTAAAAGGGCAAAGATTTTTAACGAATGTATGCTCT